GCTTGGAGCAGGCGCCTCCAAGAAGAGATGTCTCAAATTATAAACCGCCACTGAATGCAATCATATTAAGTGTTCATAGGAGAGTGCAGACAGTACAATCAGAAATGCAGTATGTTGTGAGTTGGTTTTCATGATCATTGGCTACAGCACAATTTTCAATCTGCCATCTGTCAGCTATTTCGGCTTAGGATACCTTGTCTCATTTGATTGCAAGCACATGATAAAAAATGATTCAATATAAACAAAGCTTGATCACGCCATTTAGTCCATTCCAAGACAGGAATCCGCGTAACAGAAACAACAAACAAACCACATCAAAATGCTCCCATTTCTTTTAAATCAAGCATTGCCAAACTCTGACTGGTAGGAGCTGCTTGGTGTCAAGCCCTGGCACGTCGGACACCTCCCCGGTCTTCCACTGTCGCCAGAAAGTACCACTCGCGGAAGATCTCGCGTGGTCCCATTTGCGGGACGACAGTAAGTCCTGCCGGCCCGTGCTTCAGCCGCTTGGCATCGTAAGATACCTATGTAGTGCGTGCATCCGCAGCCATTCTGGCCATTATAAAGCTCGTATCGAAGATGACACATTCTGTAAATGTCAACCAAAGAATTCAATTCTCCATGTGTTTTATCACTGTCGACATACTTTGACTGAACGCTGAGTATTGGATCGTGTACTTGATGTTCAAGCCCGAAAGGGAAACAAGGCAAATCCAGATGGTGGAAATGGGCAGTAAGAGGAGCTTTGGGTAAAAATTCACCGATATGGAGGAGAACAACGGATTCTTATATGCTTTAACTACTCTATCTGTTTCTACGTGTTGATATCGGTCTAAACTAATGAGAATCATGTATCGACAAGATGACACGGAGCATTTACCCATAGCACTACCGATCATGTAAGTGGTGAAGATTCCTGCGTGATATGCTAAAGACCCGAAAAAAGTTCACTTTCTTGGGTGCATACACAAAATTAGTGGCGGTAGGCATTCTTGATTGGCGCTCCGTACCAAAAGTACATTGTAGTCATTCTGGTTGAAGCTATACCTCCCAGATGGATGGTATGGCTGTCTAGGACCTGCAGCAGGGGAGATTCCATCTTGCCCAGGTATTTCGCATGTTTCATTATTACTCTCCCTAGATACGATCTCTCACATCCACGTACGCCCTTCAACAGGTTTCTCAGGCCGTAGGTCCCCGAATATCAATCCGTTAAGGAACAATGGCAAGAGTCTGGCATTATAATATCCGAGCAAATTAGAAATTGCTATCTAGTTATTCTGTATGACTCGGAAAAAAGAAGAAAGCAGCACTACAGCTTCGCCTCTCGATGGTCGGGTACAGCTTATGTGTAATATTAGTAGTGCTGTGGAGGCTGGGTTGGACTCGTGCAGAAAATTATAAGAAAAATATTCAGCGGTCTGCTTGCGTCATGGCGGAGATTAGAGATTACAAACAGAACCCCCGACCGCCGCTGATTGTATCAAATAGCAGGTTTTGTAAATCTGTCTTTATGAGTACAGCCTGTCATCCCACCACCGTGAGTCTCTTTCAAACAGTCGTTCCAACGTCTCGTCCCCAAGGGTAGGTTCTATCAGTGTATTGTCGCATCTTGCGCAGGAAGTTCTCGAGCTCGAGTTTGTTTTTGAATGGTACCATACGCCTAGAGAATTTGGTCAATTACCTGCCAGTAGTATGACTGTTTGGCTAGTAGACCTTCACTCACTTTTCCCCTTCAACATTAGCAACCCGATATAACTCATGACAAAAGTCTTCGCGTAGAGGTCCAGTATGTTCATCCTTATCGAGGTCGATGATTATATGAAAACGTTGATTCGAGTCAGTAATGTCGGGATTCGGAGGTTGAAAGTGCCAGTAGTGTTGGTGGACAAGCTTCTCTACCTCCTCAGTCGGGCGTCCGTCAAAAGTGAGGTATAAGTTGACACAATCGACAATATCAGAGTAGGTCATATCTGGAAAATCATTTTCACGAAGTCGCAGGATTACTCTTTTGGGTGGCATAAAGAAGTAAATGCTTGAGTTAGCTGACAAATCGAGGCGGAGGAAGTGAAAAGTTATCGCGAGCAAATTTTGAGTGGATTTGAGAGATCTTATATATCCAAGCCGCGAGCTAAAATGTGAAATTACAATAACCGACCGTGGCTACCTCAGCGGTTTGGACTTGTGCAGTAGGGCATACCCGCGAACGTATTGGTGCACATTGGCGCAGACGGGCACCTATACTCGATCCTTTTCCTCAGTTATAACGGACATTTGTAGCCCATGAATTTTGTACCGTACACATAGTCTTGATTTTACGGTATGTATGTACATATTGAAGAGGGTTAAGTGCTCACGGTAGTCTGGTCTCATCAGACAGGTCTAGGCATAAAGGAAAACAAAGCAGCACAACCAAAATCACCAGTTTGCGGTAGTCTCGTAACCTCTCACTGCGACCGTCCCAATGACATCAACAAGCCAGGAAACAGGCGGAGATACCATGCGCCGTCAGAAAGCAGCGTTCTAGGCGGGAAAGGAAGGATGTAATGATTACCAACAAGAATGGTATCTCCTGTGCTCGAGAATCATGAATGTAAAGACTGTCTTCAAGTTGGATAATTGTCCCGCCAGTTCCTCTTCGTAGGAAAACCCTTATCCCTAACCCATAAGGCAGCCAGGCTCCTAAAGGCCACCTACTTCTCCGCACTCATCAGGCTCCTACCCCATAAGACAACTGCGCCTAAGTACATATGCCATGCAAGCTTAGCGCGGACTGACTGCCATCAGCCAAAAACAAATCCAACCTCTGAGCCTTCAGAGCTAGGAGGTGTGGCCCCACGGCATGCAGGACAGCCTCCTGGTTTGAAATCATCCTGCTGGTCGATCGCTCGGGGAAGATCACGAACTCTCCCGGTTTCTGGAAGGCAGGGGGTTCCGTTTGGACGTTGTAAGGCGACCCGGCAACGCTGAATTCCCGTGGAATACATATGACCACAGCCACCGCGACCATTGTATCTTTCGCAGAGTAATTCACACATCTTCTGCTAGTGTTAAAGAATAAGTAGATATTCGAGTACCTAGTGCGGTAGGGAGAGGGTTTCATGTACTTGGGTCAATCGTCCAATCTCGTACCAGGTTTGAAAGAGCACAGGAACTAGTCCTTCGGGAAGCTTCAGATGTAATCGGAACTGAAAGATGCGTCTGATTATGCCCTGCCAGACAAATTATTTTTGAGCCATACGTGATGGGGAAATAAGGTCTTTTGAATGCTTCTATGATCTGGACGTGATTGTAATAGCTCGTTCATGTGCATACATCTGCTCTGTAGATTGGAAAGGGGATACACATTCGCCTAACGGTCTCCTGCACTGCCAACCAATAAGTACGCCATGGTTGTGTAATTCAAGGCCATGAAGTCGAGCTGCTATCACCTCCAGTCTATTTCACCCAAATGATGCAATAAGTGAATGGTTCAAGAGGGCCGACTAGCTCAAGTAAATCAACAAAATGAGTTTCCGGCACATAGAGAATCCAATCAATCGCGTTTATCTGGTGTTCGTCGAGAGCCCAGGTTACCTTGCCTGGAGTGGACAGACATCTCCGCCAGCCCTGGAGGAGCCACGAAAGGTTCCCAAATTATTACAGCTATCGAGCGAAAAGAATAGTTCACGGTGAACTATTCTCTCGGGTCCTATTGGTTGAGTTTCAGCTATTCGGGGGACCCTGCCGTTTAAGCTTCGTAATTGGATATCGGGGTCCACTTCTAGTCCGCGTGAGAAACCAACACACGCTTACCCGTAATAAATTTCAGATATTAACACTGGCGGCTATATCGGCAGAGTAAATAAGGAGTACACACAGACCCATAATCCTCATATAGCATCTGGGTAGTGTCCCTCTCCCTTCGTTCCTCCTTCAAAAATTCAAGTAATGTTTCAACCTTCTCTCAGAATACTAGTCTCAGGAGTGCATACTCGATTGATTACTGGAAGCTGCTGGTGAGACAACTAATGATATATGGAGTATTGCATATCTCACAGGTAATCCTCGACATCATTCGTTAAATTGACTGGGATACTGCCATGTGCAAAGTGTGAAGAGAGAAGAGAACAACATACTACCGATATGCACACACATGGAGCTTCCGATGACTCTTCGGACAACAGGCATGCACACGTCATTGTAGAGCTGACTGTGATTCCCCATCTTCCTATTTCGAGAAAAAGATGGTTTTTGGAGGTGTAATCGATGCTTTGTGACTCCTCAATTCAATTTTATACCAAGGATACAAGATCGAAGACGACAGTCGTAAATAAGCGTCTTTTGTGGGTTTAGCTGCCGTGGAAAGAACCATACCGACCACACAGTATGTACGATGCCAAGAGTGTTTTCTTGTTTGTGGTTTCTTTCAAACTGGAATGGTGACCGAATATCCGGGCTCTATACGGAGTACATACCCTTCATATATGATCGATCTGGAAGAAACACTCTACCATGGAGAACCTGTTGGCGCCGAAGACATGAGACAAGTGTGTTGGGGAGAGTCCTACTCCTCTATGCAGATCGCGGGCCTATAGCGCACTAGCTCGGCAGGAAAGGCTGCTCTGGAGTGCGCTGAGCTAACGATATGTCTACCCCTGCCTGTGTCTCATCACGCGATTTCTATGTCTGAGCGTTGTGCCATTTCCAGTGCGTGGCCAGGTGTGCAGCAGCACACCCCTCTTACTTAGCTCGAAAAATTTTGAATCAGTATACCTAGGCTTTCCCCAGTAGCACAACCCTGATTTCCAGCTCTTTGCCGCACCAAACCCTATACATGAGACTCAAAGGCAAGAAGTGTACGCTTTGATGGATGTACCGACAGCACTTGCAACTTTGCGCAACGCATCGCTTGAAAAACTACAAGAGCATACTGACGACGCTAAGTCAACATTGGAAGTTTTACGGAGCCGACTTCGTCTTTCTGATCATGAGGCACCGGACGCTATAGGCTCATCCCAATGTCGAAGTTGCGGAAAACGCTCCCAGGTTAGTCGAAAGAGGCGAGCTCAGACAACGACTACGAAGACATCGCATCCATTAGAAGCCGCCAAATCAACCTCTGCCATTCCAGATTTATTGGAAGCTTTGAAGAAACAACTTGCTTCCGTTCAGGATGTATTCACAGAATTTCCCCCGTCAGATTTATATCATATACACAAGCGCTGCAGGCGGGACAGAAGACTGGACGATATCCTACGAACAGAAAATAACCGGAAAAGAGCGACAGCTATCGACAAAATATTCAGGAGTGCTGCACAAAGGTCACTGGCCATGCAGTATTCAGAAAACCTTCGCGGAAGAGCAATCTCATCTCGCCGGGACCAACTCTATGATATATTATCAGGTTCAAACGCCGCAGCACAAAAAGAGGTGCGCGGTGGACGATCAGGAAAAGTGATCTTGTGGGTAAGAGAGAATCTAGGATTTGAAGACGGGAGAGATGAAGACATCGCCAGGTACATCAGCGTCGGATTGAAGCAAATTGTGTTGGAAGATCTACTCCAGGAGAGGCTCGATGTCGAAGACCAAACGGAGGCAAACCCGTCTGGAGTCGGTGTGCTCACTACTCTGGCAATCAAGTCTTTTAAAAAGCTTTCTCTACTGGAGATTCCGCAATTCCTGGATCACATCATCGCCGCTGAAGTTGATTCACCAGCCCTGGGGTCAAAGGGGACCAAAATAGGATTCCTATATTGGATCAGTGGGCTCTCTCGAAAGATTGCAGAATTTCTAGCTCTTTATGATGGTAGGTGATCTCCTTCTGAAAAATAGTACCCTACTTCTATCAGGTCATTTCATTAACAATGCTGTCAGAAAGCATTGCGATTGAGAACCAGGCAAGCCAAAATGCTACGCGAGTTGCTCGTGAAAGTTGGCGCCAAACACCCATTTTGACATCGCCCCAAGATGCACCTGCGGACTACGGAACCCCGCAATCACGTTTGCGGGCTTCAAATACATACGCTGCTCTGTCGTCATCGGCAGCTCAGACCGAAAGCCCTGAAATTCAAATACCCCCAATTTTCTACTCCAATAGATCGCAGACGCCTAATTTCTCTCTGACAAGCATGCCACTCAGAAGACGCATGTCAGGCGCCACTTCTATTTCTGAGCCACTGCTCTCCCATCCCAGTCCAACTACATTGTCAGCCAATGGGCTCCAAAATAAGAGGAAACGAGTCTGCCTTACGCATGGTAAGTGTACACCAGGTGATCATCGATCCGCGTTGAATTACGAAAATGTACGCGACATGGAGTGACATGCAATATGCGCAAAAAAACACTAAAATCCATAATTTCTGGTGCTACAGGCGAAGAAAGCGCCATCCCTCCCAACGCGCTTATACAGGTTAATTCTTCCATCATGGCTGGGAGCACCTGCGACGGTGCAGAGGAAGGGATACAAACAGATATCAACATCAACGACGCATACTGGTCAGTTATATTGTCAGACACGCCTAACCGAGCTATAAGCGGTGCAGACTGGTTGCAGTCGTCTGTTGGTATGAGCGGTACTTTTCCGGAAATGGGTACGAGGGCATCAACCACTGCGGGCACTCTGGCCGACCAGACAAACTTTTTCGTACCTGAGTTTCAAAACGAAGCATATGCAATGCTTGACTTTCACGATGGATCAAATCAGCTCCCATATTCTTCGATGGTGTGGCGTTGCTCAGCATCGACACCTTTGACATGATGCCTCATCACCCTAGCCAATAGATAACTTCGGAGTTGCGCATCGCTTCCTGTATCAGATAAACGATTTGATGTCCGGAATTATCGCAGGTTTCTTCGATACACCTGTATCGGATCTAACTTTAATATGCGTCACGATACTGGTTCCTAGTACAATTTCGATTGAGAGAATGGCATGATGATACCGTAAATTCGTAAAAGAATGGGCCCGATTCCATGAACAGGGGGCTCTTGTGATGGAACAACAGCAACAGAGTGAGAAAACGACATATATTGTAAAGACTCTCCATTCCACTGGCCGGCCTCTGAATGGTCAATCCCAAGACTTGGTGGTCTGACTCTAGTATGATACTCGAGGAAAGAGAACGACCCAAAGTCTCACTCGACCGTTGTTTTGGCCTTGACAGACAGCTTGGCCTGGCATCAACCATTCACCTACGTATGTGTTAGTCGCCTCTTTGTGAGCCATTATTGAATGACATACGAGGAATGTTGAAAACTTGGTATTCTCGGCTTCTTTTTGCCGCAGAAAGGGCATATCTGACCGGCGGGGGTGATGCCGTCCTTGCAATATGCGCAGTCGTCTCCAGCCATCGTGTAGGCCTTTATCGGATGGCTGTAATGATTTTTATTGTACAAGAAGTGTCTGAGGAAATTGCAGATGAGGCCAGATCGACCCGAAAACAGTAATATATTTAGTAAATCAAGATGTTCTGGGTTGGGCATCAAGTTGAAGAGTCGGTTGGGCATTAAAAACCCGATTAGTAACACAGTGCGTAGGTGCCTGTGACCATGATGCGGGCCCGGGCCAAGGAGGGGGCAAGGCCGAGGTGTTGCGTAATGGGACGGATAATTGATTTTGCGGAATATTGTCTTGATCATTGCGGGGAACTTGCCACTCTAGATCGCTTCAGCCACGCATCCCACTGCTGGTTCTGTTGTAGTTCTTTTTCTAAATGACTTCGCCGGCTTCTTTATTATCTTCTCCCTTCGAAGAGACTTGTATCTCACCTGCGGTTACCGTAGGTGAGGCTCAAGGATTCTTTGAAAAGCACGGCATTTTCTACGCGCCCGACGCGGAGATTGGCAGTCTAGTGGCAAAACTAGGTAGCGAAGCTGTTCATGGAAAGATTCGCATGGAGCGATTTCCTATACGCGATACAGTATGTTCGCTGATCAATCTCATTGTGTGCCATACTTATAAATTACAGCGCCTCCGAGCCATTATTGAACAATTTACCCCGTCGTTCTGTTTCACTCTTGGTCCAGATCCTTGTTCATTTTACGCCTCAACGATCACAGAAAATCCAAACCATCGCGCCGTAGTCTATATGTGGGGTAGGAGGACACAGTGCGAGTTTTCTGAACGCTCTCATGTCGGCGAGCTCAAGGGAACTCTGGCATCCAACGGCCTAGTCCAGGTTCCATATTCGTGGTTGAAGAAGAGGAACCTGCAAGACAAATCAATCAAACTTGAGGACGGTGGCATGTAAGGCGCGCTTCTTCTTCTTTCTCGACTTGTCACTCACCACTTGTAGCATCGTTGTTCATCCCCGACTGTGCTTCGCAGTGAATGAGGGCTATGCGATTGGTTGGGGGTGTCGAAAGAAATCACGCCCAGAGAGCGACAGCTGAACAGTGACGACTTGGAGCAGACTGCGCTTTCATCAGCAAGCTGGAGACTATGCTTGAGCCACTGACATGGATCACGAAGAAGCAGCCTGACAGAACTCAAGTCAAAACATACGGCACTCCAATTTTACGGTTTACGTCCTCACGAAATTATCATTATGATTGTATTTAGCCTTGGTCGCGCCTTTCACCTGTATCATAGCAATCATGTCCTTGCATCTTCAGCGAGCATGAAGAACCATATCATGATAACTCCACGTCTCCCCCGTCATCATCTACCTGTACCAGTCAATCTCACCAACATCCGCTGTCGAATTAGTAAGACCACTGACGTAGCAAAGACGAATGCCGTAATGCTGCATACTCACGCCACCATGACCGAATCCTGACCGACTCGCTCGCGAAAGTCGAGCCCCAAGTTTGCATTGGGAAAAAAAATACACTGCGAAACCTGTTGAGGGTCTTGCAGGACGTGCCAGAGGTGGGCGCTAAGTAGGTCATTCACTAAGTGTTACTACTGAGTGAATCCCCTACCTGTAGGTGGGATTGTTTTTAAAGTGAACTATGAAGTGCTAGAGGCGTTGACGCTAGCCGTGGCGTTGGCGCTGGTTGATAATTTTGTAGAATTTTTCAGATTTGATGCTGATTAGCAGAGATGCGAGACTCAACGCAAAATTCGTACGAAGCCCAAGAGGTTAACGCTATTCCCCAAGCCGATACCGGTCGAAAAAGCTCACGCTTACTCGACAAGGTTGACTTCTGGTCGAAGTCCAAGCTGGTCGAAAATACGTACTTGACGCGGTGGTTGGAGGCTTGATGCGTAGGCTGAGCCGAAAGTTGCGTGGTGGCCGAGATAGCCTATTTGATTGGACCGAATTGGGAATCATGTGGGGCACTGGGGTTTGATTCGAAGTAGCGCTACGTTAGACAGAACAAGTACTCACAGAGGAAAGGAAGTATACGGATAACAGCAGGGAGATACCCCCTCTAGTCACCTCATAAAGCTAGTCCTATCCAGCAAACATCCAGAGGGAGAAATATCGGCAGGAAGGCGTATCTCATCTCCAAAAACGGCGCTAATTACTCGCTGGCTATGTCATAGCATATAGAGGTTCGTGGCTTCACATTGCATTAGCATATTGTTGGTTTCAGGTTCCTTGCGATGACGAAAACCAATGATTTCTCGGCCAAGCGCCATAGTTGGTCAATTTAGCCTCCTGCAACATCACTCTGGCATTAAGTTATAGCGGGTAAACAACCTCTTGGCTCACTTATAGATGTGTGTTAGTAGTCTTACTTCGAGAGTTAGTATAAACAAGCTTCACCAATTCGTTGTCAAAAAAGGCATCGTCATTTATAAGCTACTCATCAAGCGCACCCTCAAGTAAAGGTTTTTATTAGAACTGGTCGCAGGAGTAGCTTGGTTAGAAAAGAAAAGAAAGGCGATAGAGGAGTAACGGATGTCCGACTGAGTGGCTCGAGGGAAGTCTCGACGCTGTGAGACTCGGGGCCGCGTGAGCAATGGCAAAGATGCCTCATATTGCCCAAGGATATTGCGAGGAACTGCGACAGAAGTGAGGAGCGCAATGTACCGAAAAACGGTATTTTTTGAAATCCTGGCGAGGCAGAAGACTGAATTTATACTCCTACGCACGGCATCCGACAAGCACGTGCCGGGCTAACCCGGATTCGGTCCACCGTAGCGAAAGGATACATGATAACCAACTACACCATCCGGCCAATCAAAAAGTTATGAAAAACTGAAGCAGTCGACAAAGTTGGTAAAGTCTCAGGGCGAGAGAGAAAAGGACAATCTACGGGACAAATTACGGTAGAAAAAATCGATAAAATATTCTTTGCTGGTTATCCCAGGTCCTGGCGATGTCGCACTCCCTTTCAATCCATCCCAAGTCTGTGGAAGTTCGTTGCTCTTCTTTCTAATACCAACTCCTGGCTAGCTCGTCAATTCCTAGTGCTATGTAGTTCTTCGGGATTACATAGTGAACTAGCAATATTTCGGTCAATCTTTTGTTCAATGTTGAAATAAATGGAGGGTTAAGATCTTCTTGGTATCGTAACATCGATTTACGTTAGTTGATGTTTGTGTATATTTGAATATCGAATTTAGATATTTAGGAATGATGAGCTCCCGCACAACCAGCTTCGAATGTAGTGAAACAACAGCCAAGGAAAAAGAAATAGCAGTCAGCCGTGGTTTATATTCCTAGCACATTGCCGGGCATCCAAAGGGATGGTTCTTATGGTCCCGTGCAGGGAGAAACGAGCTCCAAAGGGGGGCAGACAATGGCAGAACAACGGCGGTGGTGCGTTGAGGAAGGTTATCCTTGCTTTCGACTTTTTTCTTGGGCAAGAAATGGAGTTTTGAAACCAGACATTTGCGGGTTTGGCACCGCAGTCAGTTAGATGTCATCATGCCAAGTGAGCCCAAGATGCCCCTCCAAACCTTCTACTTGATTAGCTCTTCAGCTGATTCCTTCACTCAAGCGCGCACTTCTTTTTCAATAAGACAGATTACGGTCCGCCGACCAAGACAACCCATCCCATGCTTTCCAAGAAGTCTCTGATGGAAGAGTCAGGAGACCCACTGCAGTATCTAACAATGATGGTGCCCAGAGAAGCAATCTTTCTGAACTCAGAGTCGATTTTCGCCAGCAGATCATAAGCAAATTGGGGATTGTCTTGATCTTCTGTGATCAGATATTGACAGCTCTGGCCATAAATGAGGGCTTCAAGCGTGCCCAGCCCAGTGCACTTATTCTGAAGAAGCTGTAAATTCTGTAAGTCGTCTTCCCTGAGACGAATTTCTCCTTCTTGGCCGTGGACTCGTTCCGTAGCCGGAAAGGAGATGCGCAAATTTGACAAAAAGCCTGCATTGACAGATCCAATGCCTTTTATGAACGATCTCAGAATGTTGCTTCGGTAATTCGCTATCTCAACTTCTTCGAGGGTAAAGCGATTCGCACCGTATAAGACCGATCTGGCCTCGTAGGATAATCGCCGACAAGTATACAGCAACGCCAGCCATGCATGGGGTTTGTAGGGCATGAAAGACTCCAGTGGGCTTCCTCGATCCTGGAAAAGATATAGGGAGTCCGGCACAGCGAGCACCAGTTTGAAGATCCGGTAGCGAACCTCAACCGGCAAGACAAATAGACCAGCAACAGTCGGCTCAGGTGGTTGGGAAGTTGTTCTTTGTGATTCCCGGCCTGACATAGTGGGTACGTGATTCGTTTATGGAACAGTTGGAGACAATATCCAGTAAAAACGTTGTGTAGTTTAGTAGTACCCTAGCCCAAATAAATCATCAGTCCAGATCACATATATGATACCAAGTTATGCTAACTGACCACCGTACAATTTTGAATCGGCATAGGAACCCAGACATCAAGGGAAGGAGCTTCGAACTACGTCGAACGCCAGGAGGGGGGCCGATTGGCACGTGACTTCGAGGCAGTATATGATGCCCAATCAAAAACTCTCCTCGGTGAGGGGTAGGTCCCCACCTAACGGCAAAACCAGCACCCTTGAGTTCTGACCGCGAATACATGAATATCCAAATCTCATTTGCATACATAATTTTGGTGACGGTATTCGGTTTCAGTCCATTACATTTGTTGACCAGTTCTGAGTCAGCGCAAAATAATGTGCGATACTTGGGTATAATTCACGAAAGAAGCCCCATAAAGAGTCACTTTAGAAGGCCATTCCAGCAACCCAGGCTTTTATCATCTCGTTGGTTGAAATGGTCCCACTTGGTTGTAATTTTTTGTCTGTATTACGGACATCGGTATACAGTACTTCCTAATCAATGTAGGTACAGATCAGGTAGCAGTGTGACGACAACACATACATGCATTAGTTTCGGCAGCGGAACAATAGAATTATACCCAATCGCTTACCAATGTCTTGAAACACAGCACAGTGGGCTAGGCTTGTTGACAACCTCGTCTCACTTTCATTTACAAACATGCTTTCTATGGTGTATACACGCAGGTTCCTCTACTCTCATACAAAATTCATCTACGATGGCGCAGTCAAATCCTAAATATGACGGTCTTCGCGATAAATTACGTCGACGATTGAACCACTTTCGAGACAGATCCCGAGGTCCATTGAACAAGGAAACCCAAGCACAAGCGCTTGCCACAACTAAGTCAGTCACTCCATTCTTTCACTACTTGCTGCTAATGTGAAAAAAGCCTATTGTCCCTAACTCAAAATCAAACGCGCGACGATACATTCAAGGCCATTGAAAACTGTGAGGTGCATGAGGAATCCGTGGGCGTCCAAAATGCTGTCCGAATCCAACCAGACCAGGTGGTTCTCCAAGCGACCAGCCTAGAGGCGAATTTGACAGCGCCTCAGCGTATTCCTGGGGGTGAATCAGGCAGCGTCGACATCTCTTCGGGCCTCTGGAGTGCAGCATTTCGTGAGGCAGTGGAAGGTCTTCGGGAGGATATTGATATTGCAACTCTCAAGGGGAAAGATGCCGCGCAGTTACTCAAAGATCTCGAAGATGTTGCAAAAGAGGCAACACAGACATCGATGTTCTGGAAGGGGTTGAAATACTTACAAACCTTACAAGTACCCCTCCAGAGGTTCAAAGACGTATTGGACCTGGCAAGTCCACTGGCAAACCTTGAACCTACTGCCGCAACGGTTGTTGGAGTGGTTCGAGGCTTGACTGCGGTAAGTTTGTGAACGAAACATGCTTTATACCAAATCAGTGATTTAGCTGAATACCCTAACTCAAGATTTATACAGATCGCAATCAGCTTCGCAAATTCTGATTCAGATTTCGCTGACAAGCTTGAAAGTATGCTAACGCATATTTCATACATCGATGAGTGCGACACCCTTGGTCGGAAGGCGGAGGAGAAGAAAATTCACCGGGTAATTTTCAAATACAAAACCTTGCCCCTTAGACAATACGTTTAACAAACTTCAATAGGCACTCGTTTTGGTCTACCGAAAGATTCTAGAGTTCTACCAAGCGGTATGCGAGATGCTCGCAAGAAAAGGAATGCGGTTTGTAATAAAAATGGTCCTGGAGAGTGATCGCCTCCCGAATATCGTCCAAGACATCATGAAATGCTCCGATATTCTCCACAACCTTGTGCAAACAACAACGCTTAAAATCCTTCAAGATATTGAAGACAGGTTGATCCATGAGCAAGGTATTTTTCCCCGATGACATTCAATCATACCTGAGCTGATTTTTACCAGTTCGCAGTTGGCTAGGTGCCGAGAAGATGAAAGGCCAAACTTGCTACCATGATGAACTTAAATTTCTGCGAGCTGACCAGGCTTGTGACTTCATTTTAAGAGATTCCAATTTCAGAGCCTGGTACCATGGCTCGGGTTCTCGACTGCTGGTGATTCTCGGTGAGATGGGCCGTGGCAAGACCGTTCTTATGGCCTACATTGTGGATCAACTTTATCAGAGGAAAGGCGATCAACTCCCGAATCCCAAGATATGCTATTATTATTGCCGGGAAGATGAGACCGGGAATGTGGTAGCGGTACTATCTGCTTTGATACTGTCGCTTCTTCAGCAGCTGCCAGGTCTCAAGAGGCATTTCTGCGATTGGTATAACGAGAAACAGGCTCTTGGATGTTACGATCCAGCAGCGAGTATTGAAAGCCTTGAAGAATACTTGCAAAATATGTTGGAAGCAATTGATCGCCCAATTTTCTTTTTGGTCGATGGTATTGATGAGTGCGACAAAAATTCCACAAGAAGACTTCTCAAATTGTTGAAACATCTCTCGGCAAACATTTCGGGCCTCAGAATTCTCATCTCTTCTCGACCGCAGGAAAGGATACTTAGCCAGCTGGATAAAATCCCGAGCGTCGCAGTCAGCTCAGGTGCTCAAAGAGATATGGTAATTGCTGAGAAAATCGCCGATATGTATCTGCCCCACCTGGCAGCAGAGCTTAGGGCGCTGGTGATAAAGGAGCTATCGCCACTAGCGCAAGGGAGTGCCATATGGACGAAGATGGCAGTACAGCTTCTTGAACTCCGCGATGTCAATAATGAGGATCAGATACGACGCTTTGTGAAAGAGGCAGCACTACCGCAAGATCTGTCAAAACTCTATGCTTCGTTACTCTCCCGATGCACTGGGAACGATTCGGAAAACAATCAGCTTGCCTTCACAGCGTTGAAAATTCTTTCCGCTATTCATAGACCTTTGAGTATTATGGAACTGGCCTGGGCGGTGACTTTGAGTGTGACTGACAATGTTACCACCGTGCATGCTCTCGGCAAGCAGGTCGACCATCGGAGAATCGTGGGTCTTATTTACCCCTTCATCTCCCGCGTCGACTTCAACGATCTAAAGAAACATCAAGTTCGACTCGTACACCAATCGGTGAAAGATTTCGTCCAAGGAAACTCCATTTCAAAACATCTACGCCCGCAATACACCATGGCGGGAGAGACTGGACACGTTTCAGTGATCCAATACCCTGAAAGACCAGCAGCATTCATCCTAAGCATCTGCATCAGATACCTTCTGTTGGATGAGATCGGATCCAAGGACCTGTTCTCCGAAGAGCAAGCGGCAATCGCAGAGCTACCTCAAGAATGCGACATATTTAGTGACAACGAAAAGCCGGTCAAATATGACCCTCATTGCACATGGGAGATGTGGGAAGAGAATATGATCCGCTTCGAGCCGAGTGAGAGAGGCTTTGGCGAATTCTTTGTCTACGCATCATGCTATTGGTTGAAGCATTTTGGCGCAGTTGAGGATGAACCACTCCCTAGCCTATCGGATGTGGAAAGATTGTGTCAAGTAGGATCAATTCGACTTCGCAACTGGATCCAACAAAACTGTCGCCCAGGCTGCACTGTCGCTCCCAGATTTGAGTTTGACTACAGGCTCTATGATCCTCTATGCATCACTTCACTCTACGGTTCGGTGCCAATGCTTCGTGATTTACTGAAAAGTTCGAGCTTCGCCAAGGATACCTATTTTCCAAAACCAGCTATGGAGGCAGTTTATCAAATCCTCAGATGGGGAGATATTTCTAGACTGCTGATACTGTTTTTAGACGATCAAGTCGGTCAGCAGCTACAGAATCTCCATTTTTTTCGAAGTATCATCAAAGTATGGCAGAATCCGCGCCAACAAGCCCAGGAGGTCGCTGTGGGCTGGAATTCTGACAAGGTCACCAACTGGGATGATTTATTCGCGCTCCTCGATGTCGTACTGGGGAGAATGGTTCAGGAACGATGGGGAAATGAACTCCTATGTGTGGCAGCCAGCGCGGGTTGCATGCCAGTCATCCAGGGTCTCATGGATAGCGCCCGACAAAATGAGGAGCTCCGAAATGAATTACTCCGTCGATCCCGGGTCGAGCCGCAATGGACAATATTTGAGCCGGTGCATCAATCTCTTGGTGAGGCTGTTCTGAGAAATCGCGTTGACGTGGTGGGGTACCTAGTCAAGGTGGATGGCATTGATACGCATCTTCGGTACCAAAACTCTCGCGGTGAAAATGTTTTGCATTTGGCATCGATGATCTGCAACCCTGAGATTTTCCAAATTCTTGCACCTCGTTTTCCGGAGGGAATAAACCAGAAAGATTGTCGAGGCGATACACCCTTACTCAGGGTAATTATGAATTTTTCAGCCTCAGGCAATCGGTTTGAATCAGCACGAATTCTTCTCTCGCAGAGCACACATTGGCAATTCGCTGAGAAGCATTACCGCAAGCTATTCCGAAACTTATTTAACGATTTCTAAGTTCTTGAAGGCATCATTCTGGGTATGCTTGAATTGATGGGGTCAGTTACGGCCCATCGAGTGCCTAAGTTCTCAGAAGAATCTATCTCTTTTGCCTGACGTTCCTCAACAAATGGAGCTTCAGTTGTGTGACGGCAGCCTAGGGAAACGGGAGGCCTGATTAATCAGGATGACCTAAGTGCTAGGAAATCAGCTATCTAAAGCACTGGCCGTTACCTTAGTTGTAAGTACCTATACCTGCCAAATATTTCTGGCCTTAACGTAGAGCCTAGCCTATTAATTGGCGATGAACAAGCTAGATCGAGGCAGTTTTACATGGGTTTGGAGGCCCATAGCGGAAGCGCGATTAATGTCATCCAGTTGTTCGATGTCTATGCGTAGAGCGAGGGGTCTGTGCCCCGAGAGTGAGAGACAGGTGATCCATACTGGTTGTTGTGTTGGAGAATCTCACCCTGTCTATCGCACACCCAGGCTAGTCACCCCTGGTCGCGCGACAGAAGATATTTGAGGATGGAAAGGCACCCCAGGCCACTACTGGCCGTACTCAAGCCACACGCCGGTCAGTTAGTAGTATGGTGGGTGACCACATGCGAATCCTGGCTGTTGTATGTTTTTGCTTTTCTTTACTGTTTTCATCGTCAGAAGCACAAAATGGCTAGGCTGTCTTGACTCGAAAGTTCATGACAGGAAAAATCCTCTCTACTCATGATCCTGAACCGGGTCAACAATTTGTACACCATATACCATTGTTTTGAGTCGCTGAATATGCTCTGACTGTTGACTTGTGACCAATGCAATATTCTCACTGTGACCTAGGTCTATCTTCTTAGATTTATTCGTGCTTTCATGTCAACGTGCCACTACCGACTATACAGTATATTTGATTTGGGCATGTGCCGGATACGAGAAGCAATCAAAGTACTTTCCAGTAGTATGACTACAAGGGGTGGAAAATAGGGCTTCTCATCCGCTCAGCCGTACTCAAGCCACAGAACACACTATAGTACGCGGTCACCTCTCAATGCACCCATGAGCCCGTAAATGGCGGAGTATTTGATCGCAGAGAGAGAGAGAGAGAGAGCATTGGTCCTAGACCCAGGTATATCCAGGATGGCTACAAATTTCCGACTATTAGTTCCCCCAAGTGCTCGAAACGTTCAATCTAACGCAGAATCAGCGGTGAAGGTTATAGCAGATAAGCGGCAAAGGAGATGGCGTGCGGCTCTTGGAGACCTGGCTGTGTACTATCATTTTAGATTTGGCATACGGTTGGTTGGTTGTCCCAAAGCCCAGGACACGAAATTCACCATTGTGGAAAGTAGTTCCGTGCTACCGAGGAAGTCACTGAATTCTTAACCTGTCAAGCCTAAGCTCACGCTCCTTCGATTGGCAGTTCTCAATCAAACTGAGCTGTCATTGCTCTTCTGATCAGACCGAATATCGCCAATGATCGCAACAGATGGTGGCGGACGCTAACGTCGTACGTTAAGTTTGAAATCCTCGACATCACTTCCGGTTACCAAGTCCCAGCATCTTCGACATGCGCCGTTGCCCTCGCTTGGGATTTACTTCGTGCATCACTTCGATCGAAGCCCAATTCTCAAGGACTTCCATCCTCTCCTCTGCGGAAGATATGTGCATCTCTTCGCGACCTTGTTCAAACCGGGACGCTTTCAGATATACATCCACTGATTTCCTCAAGGATTGATTAACCTCCTTGCGTAGACCGTGCAGAGGATAGCCAACAACCCCAAAAAGTCCTAGTTGCATTGTCAGTCACGACCGAGCGAAAGCAGACGAAAAGCCCATATGTTACCAACCTGCTAAAGGTTTAATTAACAGGCCAGCCAAGCCCTTAGCAAGACCACTAGAAAGATTCTTAGCCTCGCCGTGCTCGAAGCTATACAGAGGTTGAAGATATAGCCCAGTGACGCCGTCATAGAAGCCGTCTTTGAGTTCCTGAAACGATCTGTCAGACAACACTTGGGGTCGGATAGAGCTTGACTGGGAGATTCAAAAAACCTTTCCAGCGCCTTTCAAGCCAGTCAAAACGCCCGTGACTTGTGGACGCGGCTTTACCAGGTGATCATTGTATAACAATGGAGCGTTGTGGAAACTCTTACTCAGAGTCAGTGAGATATCGGCTGGTAATTTAATGAAGATATACAGAGCTTTTTTAGACGTGATGCTAAGAATAAATGCAGTCTTAGAGGCGATCTGATGCATTTTCAGCAACTTGTTATTGTCGTACGACGATTTCTGCTCTGTAAGCCGGAGATTTGTGGTTTGTCCATCGCTGTGCCGCGGACTTAACTTAGCCAGAATGTGTTTCACACGGTTCTCGTTGCCAAGATGGAAGGGCTTTTTGAGTTTGATACCGTGTAGCCTATCCATGATGCCTTTCTTCCCCTCGGCCGTATGGTGTCGTTGACATTGTACGTATGGGTCAAAGTGTTCGTAGGGTTCACCCAAAACACTGTGTACAGAAAGAAGACACGATAAGGTCGCCGCCGGGATGTCGGAAATACAAGCGGCGAGGCTGGTAAGAGTACCTAAAAGTATCTGGGATAATGCACTGACTGGGTCAGCGGGATTACGGTATGTGTCGTATCCTGTAGAATGATACCTTATAATGCCCCGACATTAGCAGGATCCATCGATCCGGGGCGAGAGAATCACTTACAGAAGAAGATCCTGTGGAGATATCTTCCTGTTTTCCAGAAGAACGGAAGCTGCAAAGGCACTCAGCTTGGCATTTGTATGCCTGACACGCCAGACTGCTGGACGTTTGGGACTCGTGTCACACTGCATCAGCTGAAGATTAAGGTGCCTATGAAAGCTTCGCACGCTGTCACGAAGTCCCGATTCTTTAGACATCTTGACCTGAATCTCCTGTGCTGCTTGCCGAATTTCTGGCTGAAGAGCGACCTGAATACGTTCCATTAACTTCTTCGAACTCAAGTCCCGGTAAGGAATTGGTGCGGGGCCCGCCCCGGCTTTAGCAACCACATTCCCCCAGAAATGCTGGTCACCAAAAAAAGGAACTATGACGGTTGGACAGCCATGGGCAAGTCCGGCAGCAGTGGTTCCCGCACCCCCGTGATGTATCACGCAAGAGACATGCTGGAAGAGCCAGTCATGGGGTATGCTTCCAATGACGAGGACATTCTCTGGGAGATCCCGATCCTCATCGCCTAGATCAGCCCAGCCCCTAGAGATTATAACGCGCTGGCCGATGCTTGCGACAGCGTCGAGAACAATCCTGAACAGTCGGGTTGGATTATCCACCACGATCGATCCGAATCCGACATATATTGGTTTACCTCCGGCGTTGAGAAAGTCGGTAATCTCCTGCGGGGGCTGGTAATCTGGCTCCTGTGGAGTGGAAATAAACCCACACACTTCGATATGGTCAGGCCAATCTAGTGGCTTCGGTAAGAGCCCCTGTGACCTGAAGCCAGTATACGTAAGCAAATATCATGATATAAATGATATCGATAGCTGGCTGCCTGGAAGCTCCTACCAGAAATAGGTATAAGGTATCTTCAACCTATGGGTAACGCTCGAGCCAGTGATTGTATCCAAAGGGTCCAGTGTCAGGCAGGTCTTTCTGAATCTGTTCACCAAATCGCCAAGACCTTCCCAAATAATCAAGTCCACGATAGCATAGGACACGTAGTTCGCGATCGACCGCCGACACTCCTGTGGATGAGTGATGGCCAAGGGATGTGGTAATAACTGCGTCGGTGACCAAGGCATCCTAACGAAGAGTAAGCACGTGGTGGGCCCGTTGTTATATATGCGCGCTGTGACAGTCACATGGTTTGAAAGATTGTTGTCAGTAGGGACTCACGTGAACATTAGATGGAGCGGAATTCCTAGCCTTTCGGCGCAATGGATATGAGCCAGGCTAGGAGGATTGGCGATGATTGCATCCGCCACGAAAGGTCGCCGTCGATAATCCGTCGCATCGCCCAAGACATCATCCATGATATGATGAAGATGCGTCCCATCCCCCGTCTCAAAACATGAGTGCCAACATCCGTCAATGATTTGCTTCATTTCGCGTCGCCGCTTCTGAACGGTGCCACGGCGAATGGTTTCAAGTTTCGGGATCAATCCAGAATTCTTCACCATGAACGCCATCAACTCGGTTGGATTTCCACCAATGTTGAAAAATTCGAGCTCCTCGGAGAGAACGAGATTTCTGAAAGTCAGATGAGTGGCAAATCGAACACGATGTCCAACCGCTTTCAACTGTTTCCCCAGCGCGATAAATGGCTGGATGTCGCCGCGAGATCCAACAACTTGGATGACGATGTTGAGACGCAATGGGAGATCATCCGCTGCGGGTTGGTGAGGAGTTGGGCTGGGAGGAACTGTGCATTGGAGCTGAGTGAATAATCTGGCTATCCCCTGATCTTGCTCGCTGACATGTATATCCACTCGCCCATCCCCTCCAGTTTCCAATATCAGTAAGGGTCTTGCCCTATGTTCTTTTTCATCCCGACACTTTCACATACTTTGTAAGCTTGTTGTCCCATCCAGTCTCCTTTGCTTGAAGCTTTTTCGTGACACATCACGACATGGGGGTTGCGCAAGCTCCACCTCGTCACCAACACGGCTGTTGAAGGTACTCATTGGCGTGTATGGCCGAACGAGTTGAAGAGAATCAAAGGGCTAGCAGAGCGTATAAGATGGCATGATCGGCGTGTCGTGAAAAACCCCGCTTGCTAGCGAAGATTGAGAACGCGCTCGACGGGCGGCCTACTGATGGGTTATCTTTATTCAGTATGCCACACCTCCACACTGTCTTGACGGAGCTCAAAGAATAGGATGGATGTTGAAGTCCAACAGATAAACTAATCAGCCCACGCAGATGGAAACGTGTGATGCAGGGTCTAGACCGCTCACGCTGTATCAAGCCCTCCCGAGTACTGGTTGCAGGCGCTCATTGGCCCTTGGATTGTTAAACTTTGCCACTCGACGCTTGTGACGCGACCAGAGCTCTGGAGAAGCAAGAGTATGGATGATGTCAAGACTCATTGAATCAGCCCACGTCAAGATTCATGGGGACTGAAAGTCGGGGCGACTGACTTGTCGGCCACTCGAGGCTTGTGACGGAAATCGAGCTTTTAAGAAGCACTTTCCCCCCAACACAACACAACAGCGGATCTCGGAGTCTTTAGTGTTTTCCCAAACTGAATTATCCCAAATACGATCCGGATATCGCTAACGACAGACGGGGAGTTGAAATGCCGCTGAGCATCATCATCGTGGGCGGGGTAGCTGGTGGAATGTCAGCTGCAACCCGAGCCCGTCGCTTGGATGAGAATGCTTCGATTACCGTTCTGGAGCGAGGCTCTTTTGTGAGCTACGCAAATTGTGGTGTCCCTTACGCTTTGGGAGGAGTCATCGACTCCGACAAAAACTTGGTACTTCAAACAGAAGCAAGTCTAGAGGCGCGATTCAACATCGACATCCGTCTGCTGTCAGAGCTTGTGGAAGTCGACCCACAAACGCGTAGAGTCAACATACACGATCTACAGAGCGACAATTTCTACAAGATGTCCTACGATAAGCTGATCCTGGCCCAAGGAGCGCAATCGGTTATCCCTGCCATCCCTGGCATGGGCTTGGCTCAGATTCTCACGTTGCAAACGATACCAGACTTACAGAAGATCCGGGAATTCATCTCAAAAACTAGCTGCAAGCGTGCAGCTATCATCGGGGGAGGATTTATCGGTCTTGAAGCCGCGGAAAACATACGCAAACTGGGCCTAGACGTGTGCATGGTCGAAAGTTCCAGTCACGTATTTCCCCCGTTTGATGACGACTTCGCAAACATTATACACAGAGAACTGGAAAGTCACCAAGTTCATCTATTTACCAATCAAAAAGTGACGGAGATACTCGAAGACAGATCCTCCGTCAAGATTCAGCTTTCTGGAGGCGAAACCGTATCTGCAGACGTCGTCATCGTGGCAATCGGTGTACGTGCACGATTCCAAATAGCGGAAAGTGCTGGCCTTCGTGTTGGAAGAAGTGGAGTCACCGTGAATATTTTCATGCAAACATCCGATCCCGATATATATGCTGTCGGAGACATGGTTGAGGTCGAAAATCGAATTTCTCATCAAGCCACGTCGTTAGCACTGGGGGGTCCAGCTAACAGACAAGGCCGTATTGCTGCTGATCACATCTTTGGGATTCCGACACCGTATAGAGGGAACGTTGGCACGTGTGTGTGCCAAGTATTCAATCTCACGGCCGCAACTACGGGATTCTCAGTCCAGCGCTTAGAGAATCTTGGTTTCCGTCCACTTTGGGTGACAGTCCACCCACCTGATCATGCCAGCTACTACCCTTCTGCGAGCCCGATCACACTCCGGGTTGCTTTCGAACCTGGGACCGGCCGTCTTCTTGGAGCTCAAGCCGTTGGAGAAACAGGTGTCGATAAGCGCATTGACGTTATTTCGATCGCACTGCAGGCTAATATGTCCATTTTTGACTTGGAACATGTCGAATTGAGTTATGCGCCACCGTATGGTTCGGCAAAGGATCCCATCAATATGGCAGGATTTGTCGGGAGCAACCTCCTCCGCGGATTAGTCGAAATCGTGCACCCCAAGGCGGCCTCGCATCTAACCGCTAGTTGGCAGGTCATTGACGTCCGATCTCCTGATGAATTCTCCCGGGGACATGTTCCATGTGCTCGCAATATTCCTTTGGACCAAGTGCGGCAGAATATCCAACATTTACGGAAAGAATGCCCTGTTCTCGTTTATTGCTGGGTCGGGTATCGGGGCTATATTGCCTACAGAATACTGCGACAAGCCGGCTTCAAAGTCGCAAATTTGGACGGAGGCTTCAAGTCGATTGTGCAAGGCGGCTTTGCAGATTTGATAAGTCCGGCCATTCCAGAAGCCCAAGTTGTCAAGTGTCGAGATTGATTAATCGAAATGAGCATCTTTTTCAAGAATGTATCACTCGTTGATACACTCGTCCCTCCGATCTAATAGGACGTCGTCACATAGATAAAAGGAGGTACCTAGTATCTACTCCTTCTGTTTCGGTCCCTTAACTGACATCGACGTTGATTAGCGGAACCAGCTTAGACGAGTCAGTATCGGAGACCTAAAGCGCGAGAGCGACGGAATTAAGGTCGTCCAGTCGTTCGCTGCTTCTATGTCAGGCCAAGGGGCCAGTACGCCAGAAGTGAGTGACGAGCGAGACTTGCGTTTTCTTGCAAAGGATTCTCATTCTTCTCAAATTACACCCTCGTTAGGCACCCCTTATCGCGCGACCGACGACATGAAGGGCCAGAAAGGCACCCCAGGCTACTATTAGCCGTACTTCAAGCCCCACGTCGGCCAGTTAGTAGATGGCTATCCTGCGTAAACACCACCGAGCAGATACGTCTTGATGACTCTCGAAACTTTGCTCTCCGGATGATTTGTTCATTTTCGTCAGGAACTAGCGTCTGGCCATTGCTGGGAAACGGAGCTCGCAGCCCGACGGCTAGAAAGACGAGCTACAGATTGATGTCCATTCTGAAACGCCCAGGACAAGGCTGTCTGGCCAACCTTTATCACCCACTGATGGATTGGCCTCAACTCCTGCCAGGAGCTTTTGAACTACCGCCCCGTGACCATGTTTTGCAGCCCATCATAAGGGAGTCCGGTTAAAATCATCCTGGGGATCCGGATCGATCCCATGTTTTGCAACCAGCAGTTGCATCACAGCCGTGTGACCATACATTGTAGCAAAGCACAAGGGAGTTTGTCCATCTTTGAACCTCGAAGCTGGATCAACTCGATCACTTGCAAGGAGCAACTCTGCCCCAACATCCCTTCCCTCAGCAGATGCAAGAGACAGGGGAGTCTGTCCGTATTTGTCAGGAAGATCTGGGTCAACACGATCCTTCTCGAGCAGTAAAGTGACTACTGCGTCATAGCCCCTTTCTGCAGCCCATGCCAAATGCGTTCTGTCTCGATAGGCACTCCTATTAGGGTTGCTTTCTAGGTTTGCGAGAAGATGCTTCACTGCAACGGCATGTCCTTCTGCTGCCGCTAATGACAATGGAGTTTGACCGATTCCAGCATCGCTGAAACTGCAACCATCTCAACTGGAAGCCCGCATATGATTCCAACTGTGTAATCCGCATGGGAGAGCGATGTCATCTTCTCATTCTCGTCCACCAGAATCACGCACTTTTGCTGTTTAGATGGCGGTGACGGATCGACCCAGTTCTTCTCGGGTATCCCTGCTCTTTTTCGCCAGCTTGAGAGACATCTAGCAAAGCTGATTATGGTTCTACGGATGATTTTTCTTGTCTCACTTGAATGCGCTGTCTTTTTATCTTGATTGCCCGATGAAACTGGGCCACAGTATGGGTCTGTCATCCGTATCCAGAGGATGAAGTTGTTAGCTTGAGCAAGAGGTTCTCCCCTACAAAGTCACATTCACTAACATGTGGAAAGAGTCGGATTTAATAACAATACCCTAGAAGCAGTTATGTAAATTCAAGGCAGGCGCTGCTGGATCAACAACGTCAATCCTATTTCCCGAAGTAAATGGCGGTCCAGTCATCAAAAAAATGGGCTAGATCAGAGGTGAATTTGGTATAACAATATGATGGTCAACGAGGGTAATCAAAAGGAGGGGCAGTCACTTTCTTTTCTTTTCTCCAGCCTAAAGACATGCACGTGACTCTATAACCCGTGCATCTATACTCTTCACATTCAATAGGTGTCCGGATGTGGATCAGTAGACCGTGTTCGTGTCGAGTCAGTAAGCGCATCAAGGCGGCAACGGAGTCAGCCTCGCCGTTGATCTCATTGATTTGGATCTGTGACTCGGTGGAATGCGACTTCTAGGAAAGCGCAGTTTCAGCCTGATCAAGCTGAGCCATTGGCACGCTAGCTGAGTCCGAGCTGGAGAAGATCAGAGCGGCTATCGCACCGGAGAGGGGGAGAATCACTCGCTCTCATGATCTCATCATCTACATAGTACATACTACATTCTAGCCAGGGTAACGGCTGAGCCAGCATACTACTGACCCTGTCTATAGCGCAGTCACTCGATCTAATTCAGGACTAGCCCGGGCGGCACCTCACCCAGTATTTGCCGCACATAGCAATACGCCGGCCATGTAGTATAAGAGTGGATGATCGAGGATATGCATTCCCACTGTTGTAAATTGTACAGTACTTGGTCCTTATCTCTACTGCCCCTTCTCGGAGTTGAACCCTCTTGGTTACATAGTAGCCGGGTAGGGCTATGATTGCAGTTTGGAAATCTCATTAGGGCTAGTCAAAAAATCCAGCTTTAGTCTCGCTCACATTACAAGTCACAACATATGGTGAAGTCGAAGTATCCAAGGGGTATCCGATCAATTTCATCTAATGACGTTGGATAGCTCTCGAGTAGAGCACGTACATGATTTTTTTCTCCGCTGAAACTGGTACATACGACCATAGGGTGTGGAGAACAGGGCTTCCCGTCCGCTCAGCCGTACTTAAGCCACACGCCGGCCAGTTAGTAGTATGGTGGGTGACCACATGCGAATCCTGGCTGTTGTATGTTTTTGATTTTTATCCTTGTTCTCGGCCGTACTCTGTCCGGTGTACACCTGTACAGTGGTGTCGAATCTGTCGATCGCGTCGGAGACTTCTCCAACGGGCTTATCGCGTTGGGGTAACACCGCATCTTCCCCGCCAAAGCCGCGGGGCCGAGAAAAGCTGCTGCGTGAGGGGAAACGCCCGTGAGATAAGAAGCGGAGAGAAAGACAGCGCCCTTGCCTGAAGGTAACGATACAGACGATTGACGGCATCTTTTGTCGCTCCACGATAAGTCAATTCAAGTTCACCTACCGGCATTGGGATCAAATCTCTTTCCTGTGGTCACCTTATGTGTCGCTCAGGTCATTTCCATCACGATGAAAGGGTCGACTCTGCTAGGATGGGCTTCAATGCCTGCAGCTCTCGCCCTGGGCATTCCTCCTACTCAAGTGGTGCTCCCCGGCAAGATTACCAAGGGTCTCAAGACGCTCACTTCCTTTGCAAGCAAAGACGAGATCTGTCCACAGGCACCCAAGGTTGCAGTGCCCGCGGATGGCTTGCATGAATCAGTGGCCTTTCTCAAGGATGAGCATTTCCGAGCTCGTCAGGCCCAGCGATTATCGAGGGCGGTCCAGGTGCCGACCACCGTGGGGGATTTTGCGACTGACCCCTACGATAAATCCTTTGAGCCAATTGTCGAGTTTCAGTCGCTGCTGAAGAAGATGTTTCCTCGGGTGTGAGTTATTGTTGGCTGATCCGGTCCTTCACACGTGGTATTCACAGCAGAGCAACAAGGAACAGAACACATTGACTGACTGACCACTGATGCGGTGCCTGTTTCCAGTCACACTAAAGCCAAAGTAGAACACATCAATCGTTTGGGCTTGGTGTTTACTTTGCAAGGGAGCGACCCCAGTCGCAAACCAATCTTACTCATGGCGCACCAGGACGTCGTGCCCATTGATGATCCGTCTGACTGGACGCACCCGCCTTTTTCTGGCCACTTCGACGGCGAGTGGATCTGGGGTCGAGGCTCGAGCGATTGTAAGAACACCTTGATCGGTCTGATGTCCAGTGTGGAAGATCTGTTATCCCAGGAATGGCACCCGAGTCGCACGATCGTGCTAGCCTTTGGCTTCGACGAGGAATCGCACGGGTTCCTGGGAGCCGGAAATATTTCGACCGTTCTCGAGGACCGGTACGGTCGGGACAGCTTCGAGTTTATCCTCGATGAAGGCGGCACCGGATTGAGAAACATCGGCAACGATACCAGTATCCTCTATGCTTCGCCTGCTGTTGGTGAGAAGGGGAGCCTTGACCTTGTGCTTGATCTTGCGGTACCGGGTGGTCACAGCAGTGTTCCCCCGACGCACACGGGCATCGGTATCATGGCCGAGATCATCTACGAGCTAGAGCGCCAAGAGCTCTTCTCTCCACGTCTGGATCCATCTCATCCTTCATACGGGATGCTGGGATGTCAGGCCCGGTATTCACCTGACCACGTCGAGCCCTGGCTGTCCGAGAAATTGGTCCATGGAGACCCCGAATCCCTGGCCGAGGCGCTGGCCGACTCCCGGGGTCCTGCCGTTCGATATACTCTTCAGACCTCTCAAGCCGCCGACCTGATCACTGGTGGTGTCAAGACCAATGCTCTGCCGGAAAAGATCTCAGCGGTCGTCAACTATCGCGTGGCTCTTCACATGACCGCCGACCAGCTCCGTGAACGCGCCGTCCGCATCATTGAGCCCATCGCCAAAGCTCACAACATCACTCTGCATGTCGACTTTGCCGGCTCGGCTAATCCCACGGGCATGTTTGACGGCACGGGTGACCGCACTCTCGTGCTCTCGCCCTTGATGGAGCCTCTCGATCCTGCCCCGATTTCCCCCACCGATCCCCTGACTTCTCAGACCTGGGCACGATTCTCGGGAGTGATTCGCAGCGTGTTTGAATCCCATTCGAATCCGTTGACCTCGAAGAGCAGTGCTGAATCCGAGACCATCCCCAAGGTCGTGGTCACCGGCGACATCATGACTGGCAATACCGACACGCGGTTCTACTGGTCATTGACGGAGAACATTTATCGCTGGGCGCCGTCTCGCGAGGACGGTTCTTACAATATCCACACCGTCGATGAGCGAGTCCACCTGGACGCTCACTTGGAAGGAGTTATGGTATATTATGGTATGTTTGTTTCTCCACTTGCCCGTCTTTGTTTGTTGCCTAGATATGTTGGGAAAGAGGCCGTCAAGAGCTGGACTGTCTGGCTAACCTTGTACTACACCTTGTAGATCTTATCCGATCCTTTGACCAATGGTCAGATTGAAATCGAGAATGGAATGGCATCTAAGGTTGTGGCGAGCATGGTGGAAAAGGATGTTCAACCTCGAAACTGGCTGCTCCCGGTGAATTTGTGATTTGTCTTGACGGTTCAAATGATATCGCAGCTGTGGGACTGGAGCGTCGCGATGCCGGAAAAAGTGGGACTAGTCGTACCTAGCGACGAAAAGCAGCACCAGATCCTAATCATCCTATTGAGCCTATAGAACATTGAAAGAACTTGATGTCCGGCCCGACTTTTATCGCTCGATGGTTGCGTGTGTTACCATCTTACCTGAACCGTACTGAGCCAGGACCCAGTACGATATGACTAGTCCTTTTTATTTTCCTCAGGGACCATGATCAGCTAGGACCTATCACCTCGCATGATTCCCAATTCATGTTTTCCACTCGAGACTCTGATCATCTCCATCACTGATGAGTACCACGTTGATCTCGCAAACTATGGGGAGGCTAGCAGACTGCTGGAGTTCGGTCGGGGCGAACTGATGAGAATGTGACCCACCCGGAGGTTCTGATTCTCCCTTCCGAATTTGAAGAATGCAGTCTCACACCGCCAGATACTTTCCACTCCTCTACTGTCAACAATTAACATCTCGAGGAGAAGAGCTTGCCGAATGGTACTCGAGGACGGTCGATCCTCTTGATCGAGTGATGGTCATAGATCGAATTTGCGATGCAAGTCGCCTTGCTCACCTTTAGCCGGACCACTTCATCAGTAACTGTCACTGTCAGACCTATCGTCGCCAGTCGCCACTAGGTAGGGGGGAAATGCTGAGCACTGAGCAGCATCATTTCATGAATGATTAGCGACAAAGCCAGGAACCGGGAAGTATCCGCATTAGTGTTTCAAAGCGAGTCCCAGAACGGATCTGACATGCGTTTTTCCTGCTTCACAGTCACTATTAGTAGCAGCACTATTTCTTGAATGGTCAGGAACCCTGAGGCTCCGTCGGCCCAAATTTCGGCCTAAAAGGGGAAGAAATGGGGAGCATGGCGGAACATACGGATCGTCTTTCAGGGTCGCCTTATTTGCTTCTCATCTTCTTTCCCCATCATCCAATTGTCCCGTTGGCTCGGGTTCGGAGATGGGGGCATAAATGCGGATCCCTGAAGGGAGCGTGCGACTGGACACACCAACGAAATGAAGCAGCCAAGCAAACGGGACTGTCAGCAATCATCCGCTAGTCGGAAGTAGGAAGATTTACTACTCCTTGGCCTTCTGTATGGACTCGATGGAGGACGGAAAAGTCCATCCGCACAGGTTCATCAGGGTTGCAATGACTCTTGAAAGGATGAACAAGTGAAACATGTGGATCCGTTTCTCTTTGCCCTCCCCATATTATCTCCCAAATTAGCGAAACAACGACAAGTGACGTTCGGAAATCTATCAACTCTCTCACTCGTCTCTCTTTGTCCTTGCCTCCCCCTTATAAGGCATACTGATCCTGGCCCTCCGTCATTCTTTCAAAAAGGAAACCCTTCCCCAGCTTGCTCTTGCACTTGGGATATACCACTTAATCTTCTCCACCGAATCACTTCATTCCAATACCCATCAATATGCAAATCTCTCAAGTCCTGACAACCCTGGCGCTGGCCATGCCAGCCCTCGTGAGCGCCTCCGCACTCTATCCCAGCATGGGCTGCTACTCCGAGGTGCCCGACCTCAAGAACGACACCACCAACGTCTTCAACTCCTACGGACTCTGTGCGGACCAATGTCGCCAAGGTCACTACAAGTTCGCCGTTCTGAGCAAAGGCGACCACTGTGGCTGCAGCAATGCCGTGCCTCCTCCTGCCAACAAGGTCGCCGACGATCAATGCAAGACCGCGTGCCCTGGCTACCCCGAAGATATTTGTAAGTCTATACCTCCACTTGTCCCATGCCTGTCTCATCTCATATTGTGACTTGCAATTTTTGTTTTCTCTTCCAATATTGCTTTGTTTTGCCTCTGCAATCTCGTCTCCATGGCATAGCGGCCTCCCTCCAAAAGGAAAACAAAAACGAAACAAGCTAATCCGTATTCTCCAGGTGGCGGCAATACCACCTACTCCGTTCTGAACGTGCACGATCAATCCAACTTCGTCAGCTCCATGACCGTCAAGGCCTCAGCCACCACCACCGCCGGAGGCATCGTCGTCGCCGCATCCACCCCAGCCTCCACCGCGACCGCCACCAACGCCGAGACCACTGCCATGAGCTCGGCAAGCGCGAGCGCCAGTGCCTCGGCCACGCCGAGTTTCAATGCGGCGAGCTCCATGCGCGAGGGTTCTTCGCTAGCGGGCGTGCTCTTTGCTGGCTTGGCTTTGTTGCTGTAAAGGTCGAGAAAAGCTTACATGATGGCAAGATGTATACCCCAACCGGGAACAACTCACTAAAGCTGAGCTTTTGATTGTTGTTTTGTTTGCGAAGCATGGACTGGCTGGGCTATCTGTATGAAATCATGTGCGTGAATCAATGGATGTGTCTGCTTGCGGATCTCTGATTACCTTCGATCGGGAATCGGGGGGGAAAGGGGAAAGAGAAAGAAGAAGAGAGGCATGAATGAGCCACTGAATTTCTTGTCTCGGCTTAAGCAGCAGAGGGGAATTGCAATGGTCATTGGGCTTCAAACACTGGGTGTTGGCCCAGTCTGGCATGACCTTTCCTGTACGCACACTTGATAATAGAATGTACGAGAGGACAATACCTGTGAATCAGTAACACGACTACTCGATGAGTCGACGTCCCTTTATTGGGGATCCCATGATAGCGAAAAAATTCGAACTCGACAAATCTAATCCGAGTCTGTCCTTGCCGTCGGGCCCAGGGAATGCAGCCTTCCTCTCCAAGCCAGGCCAAGTAAGCTATGTATGGGCCACTGCAGGGCTTCGGTGTAGTCCGACGGGAGCCGATGACTTTCATGACCAAGTTCCAAGCTTTGAATTACTCAATGTCTGGGACTTCAAAAGATATGGTGGAAAGCTAGCGTTGACGTGAAACAATGTACATTTTGCCAGGGTTGATGAAATGAACAATAGGGCGATCCAGGCAGAGGATAGGCTTGGAAAAGTAAGGCGGGCGGCCAGATCAACCAAAAAAAAAAAAAAAAATCATGAGTCTAGGGAAGGGGGGTATTTCATCGAGCAAAAAGCAGAAAAAAACGACTCAAGCCGCACGATGATCGACACAACGGAATCAAAAACAAGACAGTCACGACTTTAGGGTTCGAAGCGAAAGACCTCCGACTAGCTTCATTCCCCTTCAACCCGTAACGCCCTCAAAACCGGGTGGTAGTGGAAGGCCATTCCTAGAGAACATCGATCAACGTTTAGTGCCAGCCCCTCAAAACAGATCTTGCATGCAACTCGTACCTTTTATATTTGAGCTTCAAGGTGCGCGCACGATCTTTCATATTGATCTGAGTACGCCTTTCAAGTTTCGGCCCGCCGTCACACGGAGGGCAGATCTGATCTTGCCGCTCAATCGTCGCCCATTTAGTACCATATCTCGCTATCAGCATGAGAAGTCGATCGTCTTCCTCTTGCGACCATCTCCGTCCACCTACAAAGGGAGCAATTGGCCTGGATGACGAGGACCCTCCAGAGACAGAATTCTCGGCTCGCCAACGCGACTCCTGTCGGGGTTGTTGAGGAGAGGGATTCTCTTCACTGACATCCCGTGATCGTTGTGATTGCTGAGTTGCCATCGTCGGCGCCTCAATCAGCTCAATCGATTCCCCCTGGGGCTCCACATTGGTTCGCTGTCGTTTGTCGCTGTGTTGAACTCGTGCTGGCATTTGGGCTCTGCGTGCAAGGACATCATGAGTTCGGGTATCCCGATCGAAAAACCGGTCGTCATCGTCTCCTGTAGAATCGTCGTCAGAGTCTCCCCGTCCCCGCTTACGCGAGACCGCTTGACTCGCAGGCAGAATCTGGGTGGCTGGTTGTTTCGAAGGCTCGCGATGCCGTGCCCCACGATGAGGCTCGTCGGAATCACCAGGCGAAAAATAAATCTTCGATGCGGTGGGCTGAGGATCCAACAATGAACGACCTTGCCGTACCTGCCTTTCCCGAGCGATTGTGGGAGATGCAAAGAATGGACGAGGACGATGGCTGATCCTTTTGATGCGCTCCGAGCCGCGAGGACTAGCAGACATATCCGCTTCATGGGGCTGAGTGACTTCAAAGTCAAACTCGCTCCGCTGTAGTGAGTGGTCTTCTCTCGAGGAGGAGGCCGAAACAGGCCTTTGAGACAAATCAGGCTGGGGAGAAGCTGACTCTGGCTCTTGCCCTTGCTCTGGCTCCGGAGTCCCAGCAATTTCGTCTCTATCAGCAGTGATGCCTAAGCCTCCAGGTGATGCCGGCAGCACAGAGCGTTCTGTTTCTTCAAGCCGAGACGACCGTGCCTGCAACAAGCCTGTTTCTCCATGCCGTCCCGACGAGAATGCCTCTGTAAGAAAAGAGAGCTCTGCGAGTCCCGCGCGATTTCGCCATATGCTACAGAGATGAATGAGTAAAGGAGATATAAGAGTTCGGTATGATTATTTACTCACTTTTTAGTCGATTTGCGTCTGCGAGGGTCATTCGTTCTCGAAACTACCGGCTTTGGGTTCATCATCTGCGATGCAGGTGGACGCAACGGGGTTTCCCGAAAAGTGTTCTGGGTGGTGGCATTGCTGCTGACAAGACCTTTTTCGCCGATCTCACGAGGTCGAGCACGCTCTGAAGGAGTGTCGTTGAGTGTGGCAGAGGGAGAGCCAAAAGCTGAGTCGTCAAGCACTGAACGGCTCGGTGTGTCCACCGCGTTTGAATTTGCACGACGCTTGATCGCCTTTATGATCAGACCATGCACCTCGTCGATATTCGGATAAGAAGCAACGGCAATTTTGAATTCCTGCTCACGTCGCTGGACAAAGCGTACCACGCGCAAGCAAAACAAAGACCACTTGAAGGATGTCTTCAGCTCGTTCAAATCAAAACCCTCGTCGGTGTCGCGAAGAAGAAGTTCCTCCACGCGTAGGCCGACTTTTTCTTGTAAATCCTCTGGCAGAGAACCATTCCCATCCCCAAATGCCTCAGGGAAATTGAAGCCACGGAGGTCATCCTCAACGAGTGCTGTAGATGAAGCTCGAGAGGAGGCTGGGACACGATAGAAGATCTCGTTCAAGACGGAACGCGCGTCGAAATTCTTCTCATCTTTCCGACGTTCTATTTCTGCAATCAGATGCTGCGTGCGAATCTCCACCGCCAAATCAATAGTGATCTGTCGCTCTTCACTGCTCTCACTTGAAAATTTTTGCCTGATCTGTAAAAGTGGGCTCATGAACGGTAGTGGAAAGTGCTCGTTGAGGTTTGCAATCAACCGTGCCTGGCTCTTCGAACTCACTTCAACAGACAGAATGGACAACAGTAGCCAAGCACAATTTGCCCGGTAAATGTACGGTGCAGCCTCCCAAGGTCCAGAAGTACCTTCTACAGTGACAGATGGAATCAGTTGCGAGATACTTGCGACATCGATAAAGCTCTCTTTGGTGAAGACTTTCATGCTGTCGGCTAGTTTCCGGTGAACACGTTTGAATCGCTCGTGGTCCTCATGGATTGGCTGCCCAACGCGCTCAGCAGCCTTGCAGATGTGTCCTGCCTTTGACGAGTTGACGTTGAAGAACTCCAGCAAGCGATTTGATGCTTGTTGAAGATCGGGCAGCTCGTCGGCCAGCTCCATGGCATCGATCCGTGCACCTGCAGAGCGCGCTGAATCGGGGCCATTGTCCTGATCTTGTGCTAGGAAAGTGGTACCAGAGAAGTTGGTATGGCCCTCATCGCGAGCTGGTGTGTCTGGCACGATGGAAGCGCTCAACTGCGATGCCACAGCCTGGGGAGTCCTTACAGGAGACCTTTCGACAACCGGAGAGAGATCTGTTCCCGTCAGATATCCACTTGACAAGAATAGCAATGAAAAGACTTAAAAAAAAACAAATAATTCAAGGGAGCCAATGCTCGACAAGATCCAAGATAGACAGAGCTCAGGGCCACAAGCGATAGTGTGACAGTCGGCGGGAACGTGGGGTCATCCACAGCCATGACCACTCAGACGGGAGGGACCTTGCCCGTTGTGGAGGTAAACAATGTGGCTATTGTTCGCGTCATATCAAAGCAGCTAGAGCTTGACGGAATGGACAGTTTTCTTGATATTGCAACTCACTTTTGAATTGGGCTCGGCTTGGAGGGGCCCTTCGCTCATTTTTTAGGAGAGATGATTGCTTGATATTGCTGATATCTTCAAGTTCTCGACTTTGACTGCGCGTCACTCGCCGGGAAGGGTTTGTCAGTGACATGTGGGCGCTGGGCGCTGGGCGGTGCGCTGCTGGAGTCCCGGGCGCGTTTCTGGTATCCGACCCCAGCTCAACCGTTCTTCTACGTGTGGTGGGTTGAATTTGGGCCTCAGGGTATCCAGATGATGTGAAAATTCGGATGAGTGTGGACTTCTGACTCAGGGTAAGCTTAGATGTAGAGTGCCTGGGTGGTAAATTCAAACCGTCACATAGATAGAGGTGAGGGGGAACTCTGCCCCAAGAGTCTCTTGATCTTTAGGGGTTTGTTCGTAGGTCGGCCGAGGAATTTTAGTTGTTCCGTTCCGGCAAGCTCTAAACGGAAGGTGTTGATGCCTGAAAGTCTTCTTGCCTGTAAATAAGGCAGAAAGACCTAAAACCCCCAACCCCCAGGGCACTGATAGTCAGCATATTCAGAAGATCTGTGAAAGCACTCGAGCTCAAAATCGTCCAGTATGTGGAAATGTGTGTTTTATAGCTCATTAGCCAGTAGGAAGGCGTTTGAAAGTCATCAGTGTCTCAGTTGTCGCGTTATAAAAAAAATGATGTAAACCCCTAAAACCCCCAGACCTGAGGTCATGTGATTTTGGCATCCGCCTGAACGTGGTTAGCGCACCAGGCGGCTGTTCAGGTGTCACAGCTGCTCCAAATGCACGTGACGGCTGAAACGGACGGGTGCTACATAGTCGAGACTCGAGACTCGAGCCCGAGACGTAGTGTAATGAGACTCGGCAACCTATGGTCCGGTCGAAGCATAAGTTGAATTGTACAGGTGCATATGTATCGGCGGTCGGTAATCTGACAGTCCTCTGTTCCACTCTTGATCGGTTCACATGGCTGGTGACTACTTCGAAAGGTCTTAATGTATGGTCAAGCATGTTCTCATTTGATGTTCTCGTCGATACAACGGAATCTCCATCATTCCTTTTTCTTCGCCAAGAGTTCGATACACCAGAGCCTCAACAAGGGCACTGCTGGCCAAATGCGACTATATTAATACATGGCTTCAATGAGGTAAATGATACCAAACACAAGGAAAGCGGTCGCACCGCCCAGGGTAACTGTAGTTTCCATATTAGATCATGTGCATAATGGCGAAAAAAGCTGGCGATGACAGAAAAACTTACCAACTCGCAGACTGACACGGCCGGCAATTGCTCGACCACCTATCACTGCTGCGGCGGTACAAATTCCGTGGCCGGTAATAGCGCCAACAGTCACCCACCAGTAGTCCTGCCCAGCAGCCATTGCGATGGTGGCAATCTGACTGCGATCACCCCACTCACCGAGGAAGGTCATGACGAATGTCTGTACCCAGGCAGGGCTCAACAAGAGGGAAAATAGGTTACCCACTCCATTCATCATATCGTTGAGACGACGACCTGGGGTCGGCGAGGAGCCGCGCGAAGAAGAGGAGGAGATACTCTCGGGAGGAGAAGGCAGGCGATTAGAGGAGCCGCGCGACTTGGCGCGGGCTCCAGCTCGACCAGCTTCAAGCGAGTGGGGAGTGACCGAGGAGCGGCGGCGACCCATACGACGTTGCTCTTGTTCCTTCTCCTCCAGCTCCATTTCAACCTCGCGCATTTCCTCACCAACACCCTCATCTGGAGACATCTCACGACCCTCCTTGAGCATCTTTGCGCCAAAGATCAGGAACAATACGGCAGCCATCAGTTTTGTGACCGACTTAGGAATCAAGGTAGGAACAGCGTGACCAAGAATTGCCGACAACACAGTCATAACGAACAGGGCACAGAAAGCGGCGGAGAAAACGACCAAGCGAGGATGTCTCATCGCCATGAGAGCGGCGACAAGGAAGGTTTTGTCGCCAATCTCAGACACAATGATCATCGTGAACGAGAACAGCAGAGAATGCAAGCCATCGCTCTCGCCAACCGCTTTTTCGCCTGTTGTGAGGCCTGGAGATTTGGAGCTGGGATATGATCCCGTGCCAGTTGAGCCCTGCTGAACTGCGAGTGGATCCTGTTTGACCTGAGAAGGAGACTTGGGATGCGGAATATCATGCGGTTTGCTGGGAAGGTCGGCAGGTTTCTGGATCACTGATTAGCTGTGTGCAATGATTGTTGCAAGCTAGCCAACAGCATGGCGGATCACTTCATACCTCCAGCATTCCGAGTGCGCTGGCATCATCCGATGTGCGCCCTCCATTACCGACGCTGGCCTCGCTGTCGTCGGACTGCTTCTGCTTCTCACTGTGAGGCCTCGGGGGCGCCTCTTTGGGGCTGCCGGGGACCTTCTCGGACGTGCCCTGGTTTACCTTCTCCTTTTCCGACACTCCTCCTTCCGTACCTCTCGTGCCCTCTTTCGGACCCGTGCGGCTTGGGTCGTCCATAACCCCACCTTTCGCCTCATCGCTGCCTTTCGCCTTGCGATCGCGATCCGTGGCAGTGTCTACCCAAGGACCAGCGTGCGGCTTTCCATCTTTGCCATCGACTGGGGCGTCCGGCGACCCTTTGGCAGCAGTGTTATACACAGCGGGCTCTGCGTCGACATAAACCGCATTCGAATCGGAAGAGGCACCCGCTTCACGAGCATTAAGTTGGCGTGCCAAGTTGACGTCGGTCGCGGCAATTGTCAACGCTGGAAGAAGCACCAAGGCTAACGACGGCGGGATTAGGAATTTCATCTTGTGTAGTCGCAATGTATTCGACTAAATGTGGTGTGGGAGAAAAAAAACAATTGGATATGTATTGCGAATCAAGACTTCGCAGCAGGCTGTTGGCGTAATCGGAATAGATGAGGTCGGATTTAAGGGCGGGAAGGCCACGAGTGTCGAAGGTGGGACGACTAAAGTAACGAGAGGCCGCGACGGAGTAGGAAGTGTGAGAGGGAATGAGCGAGTGGACCGATGTGAGGGAATGCGCTGAACTCCTCCGACTGATATATGGCCTTTGCCAATTTGAAGGCACAATAGTTTACAATCAGTGCCGTTGGAATGTCAAAAAAGTGTAGCGCTCCCATTACTGTTCCTTACCCAGGGGGGACCGATTCACGTGATCCAGACTCCACCGGAAGCGGCCTTCTGGTAAGAAGGCTGGTCTCAAGCGCTTCCATCGGGAAGATCTTGGCGCAACGTTGATCAATCTGTCCGGTGGAAGCTAATCTAGTGCGACAGATTTGCGCTCAAATGTCCAGAAGTTCTCAAGGCGAATATCTCTAATGCTTCCACTCTCTATTGGAATCAATGGATCACGCACTGAAGGACTTGTACTTGTAGTGTCCAACACTGTCCACTATGAATTATTGCTACACGGCCATGAAATATCCGTTATCTCAAGCCCGCCTCAATTTCGCTACTGAAAAGCCATACGGAGCCTTACGGAGAAGTCTCGGAATTTGCTTGAACATTACGAGTCGGATCTGATGACCGAAAGACAACACCTACCACATCGTGTACTGTCAGTATATGTGCATCTAACTACTAATTACCTACTATACCTTACCTTTACGAGTGCTCCAAGACTTGACTGTCGGACACTTTGACGCGAAATAGCGGAAGGTTAAACTCAGTGCCAGTTACAGCTTACTACTGCAGTGCCCGTCCCATACTCATCTGGGCACTGCCTGCCCCGAACGGCAGCTGACATGTCATCAAGCCCTGCCTAAATGGGCAGCGGAGTGGAACAGAAGGTATCCATCTGTAGCCATCACCTGTCGCTCCGTAAATCTCTTCACTTTGTCCTCGTTATCACTGTCTTGAGGTTGCAACTGCTAGTTCGAAACATCTCGTGGCCCTATGTTCAAGTTTCACGATGCCACCAGCACAGGACTATCCACTTTCTCAAGACTCGGAGCTTCCTGGTGGGGAAAATGGCACTTGTCCACGAGCAAATTTTTCATTCAAGCGCTCAGCAATTTATACCGGATACCACCGAGATATCAACCTCCTCTGGTTCATCGCCATCTCCTAAGCGTCGCCGGATCGACTGGCCAAAGACTATCGAGCTCGTCAGTCATAACATCGGGCAGGTTCACGAGAGCCCATGCAACGTTCCTGCACATGCCGTTGCTGTGGTTAAACGCGAGGCTGCTCTGTGTGATACCTCACAAGGAAACCTAACGGAGATGGCATTCTACGATGCAATCGTCGTCAGTTTAGTGGAGCCAGATTGGGCCGACATCCTTGTCAACCTTCATTGACGGGCTGTACGGCAGGCAGCCATGTGGGACATCTTCAAAGAGCTGGAACGCCGCAAGCTCGTCACTCGCAGGGCTCTATCTGTCGTTATTAACTTTGTGTTCCTCAACCATTGCTCACCCTGAAGTAGATACCAAGCTTTGTGACAGGTACCCCTGTTACTAGTTAGTAGTATAGCTGAAGCACAAGCAGGCCTGACTAGACTCTGCATATTCAATATTGAGTGATCAAAGCCAAAAGACATGGATTCTTCTAAGATGCAGACTACTCGAGGATGAATTACCATCCGCGGGGGCCGGGGATCCCGTATATGCTTGATGGAGTATCACGTGCGTCCTGACGCTATGTTCCGCGTCAATGCCCCCTACAAAAAACCGCCATCGTCCTCAATGGGCACGGGCAGTCCGTCCGAGACTAGACATATGAAGAAGAATCTCGACATATAAGCCATCTTAAATAACGTCAAGTAAGAAGTCAAGCCAAGCAATGTTGATGCCGAGTAAATGATATTAACCTTTAGGTAAATCGAATCAATCCTTCTGCGAACTCATCTTCGATTGACTGTAAAATATCCTCCTATACCTCTATGCTTGCTCGCATGGCGGTACTATGAGCGTTGTGGTGGTTTGCATCGAGGAATTCGTGCACATTCAGAACAGCTGGAACTCGCACTCCCGTTGAGATGGTAATAAGCTGGGAGTCGGGTTGGGATCACGATGAGATCCGCGAGGGCTGCAGCACGCTACGGGATCTTGTCTTCGCGTAGAGCCTGATGAATGGTCCCGACGGCGCGCTTTGTTCCTATCCTCAGCTTCTGGTATATCTAGTCTATACTATTGGTCTGAGTTTAACTGTGTTGGACGGCGTCCTCTTGCAAGAGTCTGTGATGATCTACAGCCATAGTAGTAAGTGCAGCCGAAGAACGTGAGAGAGGAATGAGGAGTGAAATTGCGGGGGGGGGGGGGGGGGAAATCTACCTAAGCTATGGTGTGCGGTGAGCGGCAGAATCATACGCCAATAGTCATACAACCAAAAAGGCTTGACACACGCAGAGGACAGCCTGAATGAAAGACTTTTCTAATGGGAAGAGATTGCCTGGAAGGGTAGAGTGAGAGGATTCTTAGCCCCTTCGCGGTCAACCCCTCTGAGAATCAAAAGACCTTCATTGATTGCAAAGCAGGAAAGTCTGGATAAAGATTTCCCTTTGGAAGTGCGGTTATTAGTCGAGGGTTCGTTGGGTACTAAGTTCCAAAGTGTTGTACGGCAGTCTCTAGCCCGCCCGCAAACCACTGTATATTTGGAGGATCGATCGTGCAGCACCTCCCCCGTTTAAGCGAGCTTCAAAGAGCCCCTCAGCTGCAATCGGCTGCATTCTGAAGCAACCTCTCAAGCCGCTATGATGCCAAGCCTTGCGTTTGCGGGCACCTTGAGGCCTGCGGGGCCACCCACGCGGCGTCGTGGCGTGCTGCTATTAAGCAGACTCATTGATCAGGTTTCAAGGTAAGATACGTCTGCTCAGGTGATGTGAATTCCCGCGGGGTGCAGTCATTCCAGCTGACTCGTTGCGCTGCGGATTGCCGTCATCTTGCATTTCCATTATCACCGGCGACGGGTAATATGTCACAGTAAGTTTACTTCAGGTTGCAGGATCACTATTTGTGACGAGGGCAGCCACATGAACGTGGATTCAAGGGCTTTCGTGAGCGGGGTTGATTAGTCGCTGGAGTTGCACATTGAATGCACAACTGCACTGGCACATGCATGGTTTCGTCATCCCGGGGAAAGCGCGCGCTGGCCATGCTGTATTGCTTTTTTTTAAGTTTGCTTGGACGTGCAGCCGCAGCTGGCGGAAGGGCCACCTCTGCCAGCCGGGCAATCAGATTGATATACAGCAAATTCGTTTAACAGAGATGGCGTCGGTGGTGGTAGTAGTACTAGTTGTAGTAGACTAGTTATAGTAGACTAGTTATAGTAGACTAGTAGTAGTGGCATTTGGCCTTCGATCAAATATTATCATTATCTCATGACACTCTCCGGCCGCGTGACTGCTCACGTTGGAAGGGTGTCTTGAACTTGCAGGTAGCGGGCAGTGGGCACTACATTCGTCTCGCTGTGATCATGCGCGGTCCTCCTGAGACGGATGGGCTTGTCTACAACAGTACTAAACTCGCCGAGTCGTCGAAAGGAAGTACATGGTCCATCACTTCTGAAACCGAGTCGCAAGCTAGATAAAATATTTAGCAATTTGTTGCATGTACCTCCTGGCGCCTCGGTGAAGATAGATAGCTTGCTCTAGAGGAAGGAATTATGAGTGTGGCTTGTCTCGACTCTCGACTGCTTACAATTAGAGGTGTAACATTCCAATTCCGCTCCAAGTAGTGCCCCTCTCGACGGACAAATCAATGTTGCATGACATGATGATAAGGAATGGAGCTTGGAGAATTGAAGGAATGCATTCTTTCAAACTGCCCATTACTTGCCCATCGACATCTGAGCTTGACGCCATTTTGCGATTCTTCTTGCGCGGAAGGGAGGAAGATTAGGCCGAAACGTGCGCTGCTCATCGGACCCCGAGGGAGTGGATCCAGTGGAGCAGAGTGATCAGGAGGATGCGCCCGACGGAGACCGCGGTGACTGATACATGCCTTGGCTTAGCTTGGGTGGTGCAGGACGGGGTAGTGTGTACATGTCGTACCATGATGACCAAAGAGCGCTGGAGGGTTCAGGTTCCCAAAAAGGGGCTCAGCTAAAGACCACAGCGGGACATGGCCAACGATAATAACAATAATGATGTGATGGGAATGGAACTGAGGCAGTATTGGAGTGCACTCTCGGGGCCGAACTGACTTGAATGAGACCGTCTTCGCTGCTTCAGTGGCTTGGCCTTCAGCCCTTTATCGTTGGACTCGTGCTGATGATCAGAGACATCTCTGCAAGGATAGTGTTTGGGAGAAAAGGAACGCCGGAGGAGCACTAAACAAAGCTCCAATATCCGTGCGCAGGAGGCAGGCCAAGATCCTCTTGTCATGGGGGTAACCAGTCAATGAATTTCCACATCGAGGCGCCGTTGTTCTTAGTCTCAAAGACATCCGTCGAATGGTTGCAGGGGAAGCGTCGGATGACTGGAGGATGATCTACACGATTCACCGCCTATTGGATCTCGTCCCCCCGCACGCACATCATCCACTTCCTCCTCCACCGATAGCGAGATAAGGAGACTCGGAAATATACAAAGATCCTCTCTCCCTCCGGAGAACACGCCCATGGATTCCATGGGTGATGCAGCACCAGGTGGATAGATTTAAACTGGTGGTCCCGTGTCCCTCTTTTTGAGAAGTAAGTCTCCATCTGCACTCTTGGCCATACCACGCCTTGAAACACTCCCAACCAACGATTGGGGCATTGGCAAGCCACCGCCCAAAAGAGAAAGAAGAAAAATCCCATTCCCGTTGTCATGACCGAAGCTCCCTGGCTCATCCTCTCGACCTGCTGTCTGGCTTAAATTGGACCTGCCTCCTGCGAGTCGCTGCATTTTTCCTGTCTACCCTTCCTCGCTTGATCTTTCCTCCTCTTTCTGGGAATCAAGCTATGCCTGGATCTGGGCTCGCTCGTGCAAGGTCACTTGGTTTCTCTCGCACGCGCTGATTCCGGACCCTGCAGCCCCTTGCCTGTTCAGCTTCAGCACAAGCCTTTTCAAGCGAAGCTCTCCGGAAGCCGAAAGGAATTATCACGGAGCACTCGCGCCGGTCCATCGTTCCCTTGCGGAGGTGGTCGAATCGGTCGAGACCGCGCAACATTCTTGGAGAGTCATTTAGCAGACAGAGAGTACAACGGGAATCGGGATTTAGGTGACTTGCAGCCCTCAGCGAACTTGGCAGTTTTGGCCGTTTTCGCAGTTTTCCTTTCACCTTTACACTACTGTCGAGACTGGAAAGATTTGTGTGTGGAACAACATGGGACTAATCTCATTTTTGTCGCAGCTGTGCGCGTACCTGCTCATATACATACGTCACAGAGATCCATTCTGGAAAACGTCGGATATGGACTCGGTAGAGGAGCCGCCGTCACCAACAATGTCTCAGGAGAAGCGCCAATCGTCAACTCCGCGTTGGAAACGTCTTTGGACCGTGAGACCGGCCGCGGCCACGGGGTCCGAGGGTGAATCGTATCGACCGAAATCGACTCTGGGGATTCTCAGTGACAGGGAGACGGACGAAGTACCCGGTGAGCAACGCCTGCCTCGACGCTCTTCGCAACGTCGACCTTGGCGCAGGGATCCGTGCTGACTGTGATTCTTGTCGTTACTCTAGGCACCGTCTTGCTATTGTCAGCGGACCGGAATGAGCCGCTGGGAATGAGACATCAACCACAGAGGACGTCAACATCGTCACTCCATTCTTCAGCGCCACCTTCTCGCTCATCGTCACGATCTGCCGTGCCTCAGAAGAAACGGACGGCGGATGGGCAGATCGTGCTGGAACCACAGCCTGATGACTCGGCCAACGATCCGCTCAATTGGCCCATGTGGCAACGAGATGCGGCTCTGCTGTCTCTAGGATTCTATTGTCTAATGGGAGGTGGCATGACTACCATTTTAGCTGCAGGGTTCTCTGATGTCGCCAGTACTTACGAGGTCACCAAGCAGAAGGTGGCATATACGACTGGCCTCTACATGCTGGGGCTGGGCATTGGCTCGGTGATCATGTCGCCAACGGCTATCTTATTTGGCAAACGTCCTGTGTATTTGTTGGGCGCAACTTTGTTCATTATCTCTTGTATCTGGTGTGCAGTGTCCCCCAACTACCCCAGCCTGGTGCTGGCGCGCATTTTCCAAGGCATTGCCGTCAGTCCAGTGGAGTGCCTTCCATCCGCCACCATTGCGGAGATCTATTTCCTACACGAGCGTGCTTACCGAGTTGGGGTCTATACTCTGTTACTTCTCGGTGGAAAGAACCTCGTTCCCTTGGCCAGTGCGGCGGTCATCGGCAGCCTAGGCTGGCGATGGGTGTTCTGGATTGTCGCAATCATCGTGGGCGCCTGCTTCTTCTTACTTTTCTTTTTCGTTCCAGAGACCTTCTGGGATCGCACACCCCGGCCGCGAAGACATCACCGACCGAGCCACATGAGCCGCAGTGTGTCCGACTTTGTGAGTAATGGATTTCGGGGTCGGCATCCGCACGCAGAGGTTCCACAAGAGCCCGTGGAAAGCAAAGACAACGTTGTGCCAGAATTGCCAACAACCCCAAGAACCGAAAAACATGCGCATTTCAATTTCGCGGACGATTCACCGAAGGAAACAGCGACGGGTGCAGCAGAAGGTGATGCTGCCGTAGCCGAGCAACCCGAGCAAGCCGTTCGCCGCAACGACGACGGCCAAAATCGCAATGAGCCTACGTCGAGTGGCGCAGGTGAGCCAAGTCACTTGACTGTACCACCAATGGCAGTCGTGCCGCCGGCAAATCCCCACGATCTGGAGTCGGGCTTTCGCGCAGCAGTGTCGCCGACCAGGAGCGCCCGAAGCGAATCGCACTCACCAGGGATGCAACTCCCGGCGCCTTTGCAATACACAAACCGACTTCGCGAACGGCCCAAGATTCCGTTTTCTCAGCAGCTCCGGGTATGGAATGGCCGGATTGCCCATGACAAATGGTGGAAAGTGGCTCTGCGCCCATTCATTCTCTTTGCTTACCCGGCTGTTCTCTGGTCGTCAGTTGTGTATTCACTTTCTGTGGGCTGGTTGATTGTTCTTTCAGAGTGCGTCGCAGCGATCTACGAATCCTCCGAGTACTATGGATTTACTGCGCTCCAGACTGGTCTGATCTATATTTCTCCATTTGTGGGTGGTCTTCTGGGTACCGCCGTTGCAGGTAAAGTGTCAGATATCGTGGTGCGATACATGACTCGCCGTAACGGCGGCATCTACGAACCGGAATTCCGACTGGTGATGGCACTTCCTATCGCTATCTCCACGACCATCGGTCTGATGGGCTTTGGCTGGAGTGCGCAACTGATGAATTCGTGGATCGTTCCTACCATTTTCTTCGGTGTCATCTCCTTCGGGTGCTGTCTTGGTAGTACTACTGCCATTACTTTCTGTGTGGACAGTTACCGTTCATACGCAGGAGAGGCTCTCGTGACCCTGAACTTCAGTAAGAGTACGTATACGACGCCGCGCGCAAGATTTGTCGTGGGTATCTTTGCTGACCTCCTGAATAGACGTACTTCACGGTCTTATTTTCTCGCTGTTCATTGTAAGCTGGTTGGAGTCGGACGGCTCGCGAACTGTGTTCCTGGCTATTGGCGGTATCCAGCTGTTCTTCCTCTCGATGACGATTCCAATGTACATTTACGGCAAGCGGGCACGCATGTGGACGGTGCGCAAGCGGCTCTTGGAACGCTTCTGATTGAGGTGGCTTTTGATGCCACCGTTTGTCTTCTCACTTGGATCCCGCCGTCGCGGTGTCGAAGGACATATAGAGATTCGAGGTTATGATTGATGATGATTAGACGCTGTGTTCTGAGCGCTTTTGGGTTTTCTAGATGACAATTATTTATGAACATTAAGGCATCTTATGCTATCTTATGCTACACTCCCGTAAAACTCTCGTCGGTGTCTCACGAGCCGATACATATTGCTTGCTCTATCAACAGAAGGCCGCGTACAGTATACACTGTTCACCCTCCCCTGGGCAAGTCCTGTCGAACGTACTAGGTATCTATGACTTAATTTTAATTTAAAATGGTTTCATAGCAGAGCCCTCTGCTTCTATCCCACTCGTCACTCGAAGCTCATCGAAGCTCATCGCTACTTCTCCGCACTCTGCAAAGTATATTTCAAGCACCACTCAATCACCACCCGCCACCAATGCAATCGATTATCCGGTTGAACAACAACATGACCCTCGTCCGGAAAACTCAGAAACCGGCTCTCCACCCCGATGGCCAGCAAGATCTGAAACGCAGCGATCCCCTCGGTGACGGGGACACGATAGTCTTTCTCGTTAGCGATGACTAGTTCTGGGGTGGCCCATTTTTCGATGTGGTTTATCGGATTGTGTTTGTCGTAGCCTTCGCGGCGTTTGTACATTGGGCCGCCGAGGGTGTCTTCGAACCAGAGCACGTCCATTCCCTTGATATTTAGAGATCGGTGAGCTTGCGATACAGACGGGGAAGGAGCCACCGATGCGTTTGGAATAAAGCTGGAGGACTCACATAGAATGAGGTCAGATTGAGAGGCCCGCATTCGTTCACAAGTGCTTTGAATCGGCGTCCCAGCGACTGGCCCTGAATCCAATTAATCATATACCCACCAAAGCTGGCACCAATTGCAACCGCCGAATCAGTGTCGACAAATATCAGATGATTTTGAATGTACTCGAACCCCTTAACGTGATCGATGTAGGTTTTACCACCCCAGTCATCTTTGACCCTTTCCACGAATTCGGGTCCAAACCCTGTCGAGCCTGATGCATTGGGAGCCACGACGATAAAGCCCTGTTCTGCGAAGAGCGCAAAGTTCCAGTTCCGGAAGTAGCCTGTTGCGTACTCGTTGTTCAAAGCGACATTGGGGCCGCCGTGTATGAAATACAGGAGTGAGTATTTTTTGTTAGGATCGAACTTGCTGGGCTTGACGAGCCAAGCGTGGATTTGTCGATCGTCGGCGCCCGGCCATACGATGGACTGGAAGGTTGTTTTTTGGAGCTGGAGCTCGGTTTCTTCTTGTGTACCCTCTTTTATCACGGAAAGATCAAGTGTTCTGGTCTCGAGTATTGCCCAGCGACGTGAGAGATTGATCTCACTGCCAGTGATGAAGACGAAAGAGCCGGGGCCCGATAAGACATACACGGTGCTTACCGACCAGCCGTCGGTCAAAGGTTCTGCTATCAGCTCCTGTGCTGCAGATAAAGAAGCACGGAAGAGTCGGACCCTTGCACAGTCCTCGGCTGTGAAAAAGATCGACTTCTCGTCGATGGCTAGTTGGATATGCAATGGAAAAAGAATCTTTGGCCCAACTGTGGTTTCGCAACGTAGTTCATGAGCAGTGATTTCAGCATTGTCGTCGAGATTGTCGCAAATAATGAGAAAGCTTCTGTCGTCTTCTGCAAAAGTCCTCCTCTTCTGGAGAAATATGAGACGTCGGCCGTCTTCAGATAACCGTGGGCAAGTGGAAGCGCCATAGAACCCACGCACATGGAACTTGCGACGTGTAGAGGCTTCGTGACGAAGCAAGCCAGCCATGGGAACATAGTTGATGACGGTAAGCATTGTCTCCGCCTGGTTGGGCACATGAGCCCCTGTTACAATGGCGATTCCTCGGTCATTCAAGTGCAGTCCACCGAAGGATTTGTACACTCGATCGGTGTCCGTCAGTATATTCCAAGGGTCCGTCATGACAGGTGGCTCTGATGCGAGGTCTACTACTGCGCAAAATACGGATAGTCTTTCCGAGGTCACCCAAGCTTCATTTGCGCGCACAGGCATGGTAGTATATTCACGACCTGTTGACCGAGATGTTGGAACGTCTCTGGCGCAGTAGATACGTCCATCTGCAGTGACCGTGGCTGAAAAGGCCAAGACAAGTTTCGATACTTGAATGGCGACGCATGCTAGTCCGGTCACTCGTGCTGGTAGGGATTTGAGTAGTCGAAAGTTGTCTGATGAGCTTTCGTCGCCCCCGCGCAAAATAAGAACATTAGTCTTGTTCTCATCGCTCGATTCGAAGAGGACGATATTGCTTGATCCCTTCGCCCATAGCGCAGTCAAAATTTGAGAGCCCTCTCGAAGGATCTGCACGGTATCGTCTTCGATTTCAAGCAAGCAAAGCTTCACGCTAGTTTGAGAGGTATCGACATGAAATTTGCGCTCGATGTAAAGTAGTCGCCTTCCCAGAGCATCTGGCCATGGGCCTTGAAACTCCGGGATACCAAGGATGGCTCTGGTCAGGTATGCATTAGCGCCCAAGTCAATAACAGCATTTCAACAGATTCAATATGCAGTGGGCTGGTTGTACACACTCGGGAGTAACGCGGGACTGCATGACGCCGATTCGATCTCGATTCGATGCGGAGAGTTTGGCCGCTCTTTGAGACACGATGAACAGTTGAAGGTAGTTATCCGGTGTCAAGACAAGAAGGTCGCTTGGTAGTATTGAGAGCCTAATCCACCCGTAAACACCAACTCAATTGTGTGCAGATCACTAGTCCTGCCCAAGCTCCTTGCTCAGATCTTATTATGAATGGAATTTGAACATGGGCCATCACCAACTTTTAGTACCGGTCGGGTTTCACTGGCGGGCGTGTTGGGTTCTGCCTCTCAACACTCGATACCCGAGAGAGCATTCATGAAGCATCAAGCAGGCGTTTCCCAGACCAATCTGGGCTTCCCGTGCGGTGGGTTTGCGGCTGCTTGGGGAGTCTCTCCTGCGATGGTGATAGGCCTGAAATCCTTTGCCTCGGGGGCCTAAAGCTTGTGGGAGGGTCTGTGTCGGAAGCGTAGCCACCGTGGCATCGTGCATTGTGCAACTTGGCTCCGAGATCCGACCCCGGAAGGTCCGATCGAAATCATATGGTAAGCCTCATGAATCATGCATGGCCTTTGGATCTTTGCCAGCGGTGTTGACTGGCAGAGTGGCTTGCGATCGCTCGCGTTCCTGGATGTACAGATTGCAAGGAACGGGTTCGAAGCATTGTCTCATTGTAAGGGAGCAGATAGCCTCGGTCGTTGGTCCCCAAAATGCAGTATTGTACTGAGTATTACGACGTCCAGCTTGGATGAAGGCTGGCGATGATGGTTGCCTAAGAAGGATGGGTGAATCTGTGAAGACCTGAGAACTCTGTCATCATCATCATCTGTCTAATGTATTTGCCAACGAGGGGGTCGCGATTGTGTCCGGCGTGTCCGGCGGCAGCGCGGAGCTGGCGGGTCCCCCGCGTCAGATGGATTGGCCCCCACGAAAAGTCCCTCCTGTGACTTTCTGTCAGCAAGCAGTCTATCCACTCCCTCCACTCCGAGTACCACTAGTACCTCGGACTGGATGCATCGTCCAAACATGTTGGGCAAGAAAACAGGATGACCGAGAGAGTCCGACGAAATGGGCAGCTGTCTGCGTGTGAGCCATGTCGCAAGTCCAAACTCCGTTGCGATCATCACCGTCCGGTATGTGGTAGATGTGCTCGGCGACGTTTGACGGAGCAACAATGCCTATACCATCCAGCTCCGATGGCGAAACCACCCACTCCGCAATCTTTGCGAGAAACGATCCATGTCCAGGAGACTTCGGTCTCGACCAGGCCGAGTCCAGGTCCTTACGAACTGGTCAATGTGAACAGCAACTTGATGTGTTTTGTAGACCCAAACGTCTCTCGTCCGAATAGATCTTGCACTTCCTTGACCAGGACCGGTGTAGCTCTCGGCGAGCCGACTCTGCCTGACCAAGACAGGATCTGTCAAGGGGCAAAGACCTTGTCGGCGATCATACAACTGAGCTCCGAGATAGGCGAAACACTGGATTCGTTCTTCGCTTCTGATCAGGACCTATGCCTTCATAACCCCTTGATCAAGATGGCTTGGGATGCAACGAATCGAAGCATCCGGGACATGGAGGGTACCATGTCCTCTGCAGCGTTGGAAGATAAGTCTCGAATGATCTTTGAGCAAACATCTTCACGACTAGTATTTCCCCCTGATCCGGCGGATCTACCAAGCGAGTTATCAAAACAGTCTCTGCGCTGGGACCTGTTGGGAATCCATTGTGCTCAATTCGGGATTTTTCTGGGCGGAGAAAAAGACAAACTCGGCAATATAAGCGCCCATCAGCCGTGGAAGACAGACCGTCGGACTCTGATGTGCAGAGCATTTGAAGCTTGTCTTCAATGCGAATCATTCTGTGACAGCGTTGGCGCAATCAATGACTTGACGCTATGGTTCCGCTCACTTACAGTTCTCTTTGCCACTTGGTGCTTTGGAGACGATTCATACCACGTGGTACGTCTGTTGGGCAGCATGTCTTCCGTCTTCTTCGCCCTAGGTTTCCACAAGGGAGCCAACGCAGATTCCTCGACACCCTACTACATGGTCGAAACTCGTAAACGAGCTATCGCCTGGGCCCATGACCATGATAAAGTCTGGGCTACCTTCACATCACGGTTAGAGACCTAGGTCTACCCTATCGTGTGTATGGACATTGCTGACGAAAAACCTACCCTCATCCAGACCTGCTCATATCAGCCGCCACTTCTGCACGTTGGAGCTGCCGCTTGAGCTCCCGGACTCTGTGATCATGGGACCGCGTGATGTCTTTCTCCAAGCTCGGGAGCAGCTAGACACAGACGGATGGAACAAAGACGGGATCTTTTATCCTGTGTCACGCCAACGTGTTCTACTCCTACTGTCTGTCCCTCGCGAAGAAGCTCTAGAGCTCAAGATTGGACCCACTACACACGATCTCGAAGCCAGGGCAGAGTAAGCACGATCCGGCTGTACAACTTGATTAGTGACTAACTCGAGTTGCAGGCGCACCTTGAAAGGTTTGCAGTGCACCTGGAGGTCAATACCCTCCCACGTGAAGTATACCGATGTTCGCGAGACTACAAGCGACCTGCAACGGATCATGTGCTTGCGGTATCTTTGGCTAGAGTATCTTTTCACGCAATTTGTGCTCTACACAATCCTTGCAAATTATAGTCAAGACAAAAGAGAGCAGCTGATGATCATCGCTCATGAGATAGTCATCACTGTGCTCCTTCCTGCTCGAACAAGAGACGCACTGCACAGCTATAGAGCTGATATGGAATGGGCCGTGAGTCGTACACCAATTTCCAAATATTTCCCCACTTGACCGCAGCTGATCGGCAGTGCAGCTGGTATTCTACGGCATGCCCTGCGCCAGTGTACTGGTGCTAGAATTACTGCGCCAAAACCAACAAGTCACCAATTCGTACAACATCAACCGAAGCAAGGTCATTCAAGATATCAGTGTCTTGATCACGTGCTGTGATTCCTGGACCGAACCAGGCCAGAGCAATTATCAAACGTGCCGCCAAGCCCAGGCCATTTTCTCCAAAAGCCTTGACTCTATACTGAACCGAAGCCAGTCTGTTCACAGAGTCCTCGCCGAGGAGTCGAATACGCATGATGCAGTGGAGTATCATGATTCTTCGGGATTTACGAGCCTTGACTCGGGCCAGGATGCCGAGTGGACGGCTTGGCTTGACTCCCTGGGCCTACAGGGGGATCTATGGCAGTTACCAAGTGTTTCTACGCCCGAGCTTTTTTCTTGATGGGCAGAACATGAGTATGAATCAAGATCAAGACAACATAACACTCGGAAGGTCAAAGAGAAACATCAATATTTTTTTTTATTCGGAATACTAGATACTTCCAATGACAGTTTTTTCCCCTCCAACACTTTCAAATGACACCGCTGACGTTTAACGCTGAAACAATGAACACGGCGCGCCCCAACAATGACCCCGTACTGTCCAACTCCAAATTTCTTTTGCTTTCCGTGTATCCATTTTACTCCGGGCCGCGTGCATTCTGAGGGTGATCGATTGATCTCTGACTCTCCATCATTGAGTTGATACGTCGTTCTTGTACAAAAGCCGGATGGTGTTGATACATGTCCCCTGGTAAAGAAAAAGACATGTAAGCCCTGAGTTCCATGCATTCATTTTGATGCAAGAGAAGAAACGAAATGAAAAAACGGGGCTGCGATACATACCCTTGAGGTAAGACCAGACAGCTGACTTGATCCTAGATCTCTTTGATTTTGTGGACTGCTGAGCCGACACCGAAGTGTTTGGAGACATTGGATTTTCAACATATCGTGGAAGACGCTCTTTATCGAGTTTCTCGGGTGCCGAGTCAAAGACCTCAAGCGATGTGCTGTGTCTGGTGGATGACTTTGAGACAGACATGACAGAAGATTATCACAACGACAAAAAGTGTTACGAGCAGTGATCGATACAGATATTGTCTCTTTGCGTGAGAAGAACGATTTGGTACTTGCAACACACTTCAACTAAAGAACGACATGAGCATGAACAGGCGAAACTGCCCGCTTCTATATTATTTTGATCGCTCCATACATAGCGCAGTTATTTTCCAGATATGTCATCCCCGACTAAAGCGAAAGTTTCACGGCGTTGGGATCGGACCTCATACCTTCGGAGCTCGGAGCGGGGCATATCAGCATGGCCGGAGCGATATGCGTCGCAGTGATACGGAACCATGTTTATCCGAATATACCAGCATGGTGAGATCGGATGCCTCAGGCATTAGCAGGAATTCAAGTCCGTTACGGCTCCACCTCCGGTTTCAGAAATTCAGCCCTACATCTCCGACTGAATGCCGGCATCCCGATCTTCCAGCCTTGTCCGACCGCTGGCCCTACGAGACATCAATCATGGCGTCGATCGCAATGCAGAGGGCAATTTTGCTAAGCAATTCTTGTTGGAGCATAATTCGTCCAGTCCCCGTCCATATCGTTTCTCGTACGGATAGGTCTTTCCATGATCAAGAGTCCTTTATTTAACTCCGGTTTCAGTGGTTGTGGAAGAAGGGGTAAACTGTTGACTATGAGTGTGCAGTGTGCGGTTTGCACATATGTGTAATTGCCAAGGCGTTTAGCCAGAAAGTCCCACTTGATGTCAAACTCCAGGATTCTTCGCGCCGGTTGATACTCGCCAGTGTATAGTGTGGAGTGAATAGTACTGAGTCTACTGACAGCACTGAGCGTACAGCAGATGCCTTCATCCGAAGGCCTCAGACCTAGACCCTTGTGTAAAATTGATTCGTTATGCAGTGGCATATGGCGCCTGCAATATCCGCTCATCCAGTGTGTAGAGTTCGAGGGGTCGAGACCGCACTCATCTTCGGCCTAATCTATACGTCTTCCCATAAGAAAAGCACTCTAACTGTTCGTGTGGAAGGGGTGCAGTACCGTAGCATAACTCCATTGACTCACCTTCAATTTCATCGTTCGCCCGAAATCTGCCAAGGGTAAGACAGCTTGACGTTGCTGTGGGACAACAGATGTCCCTTATTCCTGGATCAACGCCCACAGATGCACACCCGCTTAATTACTCTATCTGATCCGCCTTCGTCGCTGGTCTTCGGTATCTGATGCTTGACACTGCACGGGCTACGTGGGATAACTTCCTTTCACTTGGCCACCAACGAGCCATCGCGAATGACAGCGCGCGAGGTGGATGTCGATCTAGCCACTGAAAATGTCATGTCTCACACCGTCACGAAGAACGCCGATTCGACAAGTCTGTCCAGCGACGACTATGGAACCAACGAAATGTACGGCCAATGTTATAGCTAAAGTAAGCTGCCTTGGTGTCAATAGAAGGATCATTGCTTTTCGAGTACTGATTCTACCAACAACATACAGGCAATTTTGCCTAGGTCTTTTGGATTGCAGCCTTAATGAAAATCGTTTCCGATGTGGCCACAGTTGTATTCTGGTTCTTAAGCAAGTATTGCCGACGTCATTATCATGGACGTCAGGACACTGCCACCGAGAAGGCCGTGAGTGGGAAGAACAAAAAGTTTGAACTTGAAGAAATATTCCAACTGCTGTGGATTTTTCGGGCTATGCTGGCCTTTTCGTTGTTCGAAACAATTACCTCGATGACATTTGCACCGAACGCGACGGAGCTTGCTGAACAACGATTCAAGGTGAAACCTATCACCGCTGGTTGGATCATCTTAGCGTCGAAATATGGAGGTACATTTGATCCCAGTTCTCAAAAATTTGAGAAACATGTCTTACCAAATCTCCTAGGGAGTTTTTTCTTTTGATAACCTGCTTGGGCGTCTTTCTTGACATTGTTGGACATCGTGCCTCAGTCTGCAAGTGTTACATCGGCATCCGGAGAGCTAAATTCGAATATCCAGCAGACTGATGTGTGTCTCCAGTATTCGGTGTCGGCCTGACGTTGTTGCTTAGCATGGCGCTCGCCGACCTTGTTTCAAGTAGGACCGGCTCGCCTGTATCTTTGGATGTTTACTCTGTCGTCTTCAACTTGGGCTATACTGCAACTATGGACGGTACCTGCACCAACCTCTGGCACCAGTCTGTTTATAGTTCGGCCTTTTCGCTCAAGGTGACTATGAACCATGCGTGAGTCAATGTTCGGTCGATGGCAACCAGGACTTGACCGTACTGACTGACTATCGCCGCATCATGAGTATCATTGTCCGAATCATCACTAGTGCGTTGCAGGATGCAGACAACAATTCCTACCTACAGATCATGCAGGTCTATCTTGTCCTTTCCGTCTTCACAGCCTTTGTCGGCATCGTGATCCTCTTGAGCACCTTCATGACCAAGCAGTTGGCGATTCTGCAGTGGGCCCAGAAGAAGCGCCTGACATCGGGCGCTGAGACCAGTCATGTGCTCAAAGACAACAGTCTCATCGACCATGATAAGCGCGCACGCTATATTTACATCGTTTGCTTCGCGGCTTTCGTCCTGTTGATCGCGTACATTGGGGGTGCGGTGACTGGACACACAGTTGAACAGCGGGAGTCTCATTAACGCAGGAAAATAGGGATATGTGCAGTATATAAGTTGCAAATATCATAATTAATGAGATCTGATTATTTGCATTGTTAAACTTCCACATTAAGCACGCGAACAAGGCCAGTCGACAGACCAATGGACATTCGATGCACACCTCGTCGCTGATAGCCCGTGGAGAGACGCCACTACAAACTTAGCTGTGCTTAGACAAAGTGGTTGACATTGATGTCAACGATAGCCAGCATCTATGAGGATACGTGTCAGGGATGTTCCAGTCGAGGTTTGCTGCATCTGCATGGCAGGCGGATCCTCGAATCGGTAGTGGCGCTGCCCCGGCTTGCGGAATGCCATGGCTTGACGAGTGGCATACGCCACCAATGCCACTCTGCGAATTAGCAGAGGACTGGCACGCCACACCTCATGACAGTGTACTGTACTTGATGGCATTGGCATTCACGCCTGGTGATCTGATGTTCAACTACTGATGAATTCGCCATCGTATTGCAGGGGGCGTGAGCAATTCGAGACTTGACCTCCCCGTGTCTCTTCCCTGTGATCATCGGCAGTCAGTGGTTTTGCGAGATTGGATTAAGCCTACTAAGTAGTCAAGGTGAGTCCGAATAAACTACCGCCAAATGGGCAATATCAAGGCTATTCCAGACAATACATAGTTCCGAGCCACGATCGGACTCCCACCCATCGGAAGTTTGACCCGTGAAGATACATCTGTGCTTTATACGATAGTAGTTAGGACATTCATACGAATTGGAATGTTAGTATTGGCGTCCTCACAACGACCTTAGAAGACCGACAACGTAGTACTGTAGTCTCAAATCTGTACTGTCGTGAAAGTGCCTTGCGCTGATCACGCCCCCTGCGTGGTTGCCTGAGGCCGTAATCGCTCACCTGATTCGTGGCTCTCTGCTCAGTATCCGATATACTTCAACTCCACAGATGCTCAAACTACCAGTCTTAGTCGTCATTTCTTTGCCACCGACACTTTACGTCCACGATCCGCGCTTCGATATGACACTGATCTTATGATTGGAAGTCTCTTCGATGACGCTGTGCCTGTGATAGATGGACAGCGATTGGAAATAAAGCTGACTCAAAGGTCGCGAGACCTCTGAATGCTTGTGTCCACTGTCCACTGTCCACGCTTTATTGTTTTAGTCCTCTTGAGTTTTCTGTCCCGCGTTACCGAGAGAATAACCCTCAACGCTCATTGCCTGCCAGATTCTGATTTGATATCCACATCTCCATTTCTGGACCAGTGGCTAGCCCCGCTTCCAAGGCAAAGAGTCCTTGACTTGAGGAAGCGGTGGAGAACTTGGGATGCATCTCTGCATATGGGATCGACTCAGATCTGGCAGGAAGACCCCGTCCCTTCTGGTCTGCCCATCGGTCAGTGGGGAGTCTTCATTCGCACAAGCTGCGCCTATCAGCCCACTTGTTTAAAAGGGGCTAATGCGAAGACGAATGTGCCACTCATGAGTCGATTTTGATGCACTGGTGACCGTCAGCCACGGTCGCTCCCGTTCCTTCTCTCCTCCGACCCCACCTGCAACGCCTCCTGGTCACATTCGAACCCTCGTCCGACACTTTTTCTGATGTTTGATGGTGGTCTCGCGGTTCAAAAATCGATCACTTGATGCTGACACAGTTCAACTCTGCGCCTCAGGCAATTCCGATCATAACTCGCCCTCCGCTTTGCGCTAAATTTTGGTTGATGAGCGGATGAGTACACTGCTGCACATCAGATCTCCAGGCCTCCTCTCTCCTCGAATATCGTGTCTGAGTCCGAGCTTGAAGAGGCTCGCCCACCGCTTGAATACTGGTCCACTCCAGCCGGCACCAAGTTTGTCAGCAACGAGACTTTCACCAGCTGAGGACCACCACTTGCTAGACTCTCTCAGTCGCTTTCGGCGGGCCCCTCATCCACAAATTCACCCGCCCGCATATTCGAATTGTCGCGCGCAATATACACACTAGCCTGAGAGGCGCTAAGACAGCTACGCAAGCTCGGGGGATTCTGCCCAGTCTTCATTCCTGTGTTCTATATCGGAGCCCCAGAGCTGGAGGATGCAATGGGGCTGGCGAGACAACATGGAATCTTCTAGGATGCAGCAGAGCCTCGAGCATAGTGCGGATCGCAATGTGAGGGAACTTTACCGTTACTACCAGCCCGCTGGCGCGACAACTTTGATACCTTCATGGCTACGTCTGGGTGAAGACGTACCATCTGCCAGCTCCACAGGCCACACCAGCACCCCATCTATCGGCGATGGTTCGTCGCGTGGTGGTGGTAGTGCCGCTTCGACGCCATCAACAACAATAGGCCCGGAAGCGCTTGTGCTCGGCGCGACCAACAACACCTTGACTTCATTCGCGCAGCTGGCGGCCCTCCGATTGAATGTGGAAAGGGCCTGTATCGCGGTGCTGGTTCGGGATCGCCAATACATCTTAGCAGAAGCGACCCAGTCCGTCAGTCTGAACGACAAAAACGTTTCTGATGAGAAGGAGTTCACGTGGGCTGAATCAGCCAGCGCGCACAAAGCATGGAGTATATGCCAGGTCCGTACCGAGATTATACTGGTCGCTGGGAATAGCCCAATGAAGATTCGCTAGCTCTATTTGAATTCAGCGATCTGCGTGGCGAACACTTTCTGACACAAGATGCTTCATCGACAGGACACTGCTGCTTTACCTCCATCCGACCGCGAGTATTCAAATTACGAAGTTCTGGAGGTCACTGATATGGCAGAACACGATCGCTACAGTGACCTCTCCTTCGTCGCAAAAGATCCTCACTTCCGCTTCTTCGCCGGCACCCCTTTGACGACAGACAATCGTATCAATTTGGGATGTTTATTTGTATTGGATCCCCAGCCTCGGACATACCTCACCCCATTGGAGAAGGAAACACTTGGGTCGCTTTCGGTGCTCGTGATGGACTATCTGAAAGTCTGCAGGCAGGCGTCAGAAGGTCGACGAGCTGCGCGCCTTTCCAGGGGCCTTAGCTTCTTCGTTGAAGGGAGTTCTAGCTTTGTCGACAGCGTTGATCCCTCACGCGCCGACAGTTGTCCTCCCCACTCTGTCACCCCGGCTTCTACGAACAATCGTGTGAGCATGTCCGGTGGATCTCGTGGCAGTCACAACTCCGATCGGCCATCGCAGGATGTCTCGCACAGTCCGCCAAATGACCGGTCACTGAGCAGCGATGCACGATCCCTGAATTCAGATGCCTCAGGCGTCTCCTACTCCAAGGACAACGCGGCTACATCCGGTACCGGAAGCTCACTCCCGGAGTGGCTTACAAGCAGTAGTCGAAACCGCCTACCCCCCGATGATTCTCACGGAAATTCGTGGTGCTTTCGTCGCGCAGCCAACTTGCTTCGCGAAAGTCTCGACCTCGACAATGATGGCGGAGTAATATTCTACGAAGCCACTAACAACGCTTTCATCGACGGGGATGGCGGGAGCGCTGCCAGTGGTGCAAGCGATTGCTCCGGTAGCGATGCAGGGGGTCCAGCGACAATTCTTTCCATGTCAACGAACGAAGACCCGTTTGCCCCGCGGGCGGGTTCTGATGTGACGTCCCCTGCGGCCAATTTGGATCGCTCGTTTCTGGGCATGCTTCTGCGGCGCTACCCGCGAGGTAAGCTGTGGTCGTTCCATCGTGATGGCATTATATCTGCATCCGATGACGATGATCTGACAGCGCTGAACGGAAGCAATACACCGAATTCACGCTCACCACCCGGTGCGCCCCCCGCGGACATATCCAAACCGCTAGGTAAGAGAAAACGGGCAGCTGAGAACTCATGGCTCAACCAGTATTTCCCACGTGCGACCCAGATTCTCTTTATTCCCCTCTGGAATGCAGTCAGCTCCCAGTGGTTCGCCGGATGCTTTTGTTATACCACTGTCGAGTCTCAAGTCTTTTCTTCTTCTGTCGAACTAAGTTCCGCTTTTGGATTTGGCTCGTCCGTGATGGCGGAGTACAGTCGGGTCGAGTCACTAATTGCGGATCGACAAAAGGGTGACTTCATCGGCAGTATCTCGTGGGTCCATTTTGCTCCCTTTCTGATGACACATATTTCGTGCTGACAATTCGGTTCAGCCACGAGCTACGCAGTCCTCTTCATGGCATTCTGGCAGCAGCCGAGTTCTTGAATGGGACGAATCTGAACGAATTTCAGGACTCGTTGCTTGAAACAGTCAATGCCTGCGGAAGAACTCTTCTCGACACAATGAATCAAGTGCTTGATTTCAGCAAGGTTGTCTCCCTCGAGCGAACCTGGCGTTCGCTAAAGCGAAGAAAGGAGTCGCCTCTTGACTTCAAGGGGACTGACAAATTGGCGACGCATCTGGACTCGTATGTGGATACAGATATCAGCATCTTGGTCGAAGAGGTGGTAGAAGGGATCTGCCTGGGCCACGCGTACGGCTCAGGCTCCCCTGCTTCTGCAGACCTTCCGGTGCTCCTTTCCCACAATCACGCCAGACATGCAGGCCCCCGCAATAATGTTGTCGTGTCCCTTGACATTGCCCACAAAGATTGGATCTACCGGACACAGCCCGGGGCTTTGCGCCGGATCATCATGAATGTCTTTGGAAATGCGATGAAATACACCGAAGAAGGCCAGGTTACTCTCACGTTGGAGTCAGTAAGCCACTCCGAGGGCCGAACGCGCCGGCAAGGGTTGGAAGACATGGTGAACTTGACTGTTTCGGACACTGGAAGAGGCATATCTGAAGAGTTCCTGCGTGGCAAACTCTATACGCCCTTTGCACAAGAAGATTCACTCGCTGTCGGTACGGGATTGGGTCTCTCCATTGTAAAAAGTCTTGTCAAAGCACTGAATGGTCACATTCGAATACGCAGTCGTGTAGGAGAAGGTACTGTTGTCCGGGTCACCTTACCGTTGGCGAGACCAGTGGGCGAAGAGAGCCCTCCCGTCGACTCCCATAACTACAACGCTCAACAACGCGACATCCGAACTCAAACTTTGATGCTCCGCGAGGGTTACCAAGGGCGGCGCGCAGCTATATGGGGACTGCATCCCGATGGCTTGGCACATGACGAGACATGGAGCGGCATTGCCAAATATCTAATGGAGTGGTTCGCCATCGAGGTTGTTGCCTGGCCCTGCTCGTTACCTCTTGATATCCTGCTCATTCGGGAGTCTGACCTGGATGAACTCCGAAATGTGCAACTTTCCACAACACTTCCTTCACTTCTTGTACTTTGCTCTAAGCCGGTGGATTACAGCAAATCTCAGTCCGACTGGCTCCCGTTGGCATCTTCTGTTGATATCCTTCGACGTCCCTGTGGGCCTCACAAACTAGCCCGATGCGTCCTCAAGTGCTTACAGAATTGTCGATCAGCGGTTGTGACCCCGTCGTCTGTTCTGAAGGATCCCATGGAATCGATGGATCTTGCGATACGACCACTTCCTCTTTCGCCTATGCCTTCCGCGCCTGCCACCCCATTTCCAATCGAAGACTCCTTCTCGTCACTTGAGGCCCAGAAGACTTTCGGCAATGGTCCAGCATGCGATGCGTCACCGCCTCGTGACGGCCCCTCTGTCATCTCAGCGCCACCAGAACTTGTTGCTGCGGCTCCCCTACCAAAACCTTTTGTTGAGGGGACCATTGAACTCAAGCGACCAACGCAGGTCCTCGTGGTGGATGACAATCGCATCAACCTCAATCTCATGGTAACATTCATGAAAAAACGCCATCTGTCTGAGCTGGTCTCGGCAGAGAATGGTAAACTAGCCGTGGAGGCTGTGGAGCAAATGTCCAATGGCTTTGACATCATCTTCATGGATATGTCGATGCCTGTGATGAATGGGTTTGAGGCGACTCGGGCCATCCGCGCGCTGGAAAGAGAAAGTGACGGCCGTAAACCGGCCATTATCATCGCGTTGACAGGGCTCAGCAGCTCACGGGACGAGTCAGAGGCTCTCAGCTCGGGCGTTGACTTTTTCCTCACCAAACCAGTCTCATTCCGAGAAGTTTCACGCCTCATGGATGAATGGGAGAAGGACGGTCTTGCGAGCGAAAAGAAAAGGCAAGGGTGAACGCCCCTAAAACCGGCACGAGTGAGATATATATCTCGGCACTTTGCTCACAGCAACGTCTCTCCGCAAGAATATGCCCACATCTACTCTCTTTAACAAACATCAGACCAAACCCACTTGAAGAATGCACGAAGAACGGCAACTGGCGTTGCACGTTTTTGTACACAGGACGGTTGATTATGAACTACCTTTCAAGAACTTGGTCATCATTCCTGATCGCTCTCCCAAATCCTTCGCAACTGGGTCACGCTACGAACGTCATGCAGGCCGCGAGGAACTCTCCAATCATCTCAACTCCCTCACTTCACTATCCACCACGTTCATCCCATCAACTACAATAACATGCAAACCGACACCACCACCACATCATCATCATCACCAACAACAAAATTTTCGACTTCTTTCTTCTCAGCACATGATACACGATTAGGCGCAGTTGCATGGAGGTCATCAGCTTGGTATATGAAAAGCTTTCCGACCGGCGTTATTTTTGATTCCCCCCATCTCTCACCCATTCTCTTTCGTTGATTGAACATATTTGTTGTGATAAGGCGCTTGTACGTTACGGTCTTGTTGTTCCTCAAGTTCATCCAGTTGGATATTATACTCATAATTCTTGGGCGACAACGCGGTTTCGACTACACTGCGGAGTGGTCCATGTGTACACGATTTCATGGACTTTATCTTATACCTCATGATATGTATTATGAACGTTTGACTTTCTTTCTACCAACATTGTGCACGTTATTGGGTCAAGTGCAAGAGTAGAAATATCTTCTGTTGAGAACTGGACGACCACCAAATTATAATACCTCTGTTTTAAGTGTATCTCAAATGTGAACGTCCAGGCTATCATCACCCGCTGCCTATATAGTAGTGTTTACCCCAGCTGCTTCGGCCGTTGAGGTGGCTTGATATCCTTAGTTATGACCCAAATTAGATTGGAACTTCCGTCATGAGCACGATCCGCCCCCATGCACTTTCAGCAGATTGATTGATAAAGGGGCAATCTGGCTGAATAAAAGCCCCCTCTCAGGCAAGCAGTTGATTCATCAACCATGTGGGATTCCAAACTGGATCGTGCTTACTTGCGCATGCCTTGGATGCAGTCATCCGGCTTTCATTCCTTCTGGGTAGTTCACCCGGTTCTGATTGTCATCCATGCTCGCGTATGTAAGTAAGATTATGTTCACACTCCACATCTAATCTGACTATGATGATCCTACCTCGATCCGCTCAAGTCTCACAGTGCGGGGTCTCCGCTGACGGTGCAATTGTTATCCATGGTGATGATTTCCACGGGTAGAAGAAACAGACGGACTTTCCCGCTTCAGAAGGATACTCGAGTTCAACATGATTCGATCTCCTGCCGGTACTTGAACGGGTGTAGGTCTTGGAAGGCCAGAGCATGTCTAGTCTGATATTATCAAACGGATGTAAACCATCACTCCGTTAACTCCCCGCTCGTGCAGCGCGACTAGGACCGATGAGGAAATTGGCCGAGTTTAGTGTGACTGCTAAGTACTGATTAGTTGTTAGTGTCGAGCTCCAGCGTTGTGCTCTTCGATTGATAGGCGATTAGTGGAGTGAGACGTGAGTTGTTATTGAATGTTTCTACTGATCCTGATGCTTACCCCTCATTCAGGCCTTGTGAGGGGAAGGATTTGGGGCTGACGTGAAGAATGACTCGCGAGATGTAGTTGATAGACCGGAACAGAACGTGGCATCTTTTTGTGTAAATTCTTGCTTCTTCTCCTTCCATCGTTCTTTCTCTATTTCTCTATTTCTCTCTCTCTCTCTCTCTCTTATATCTCGATTCCCCGTTCCTTGGTTTTGAATCCTAGTGGAATTCATCATCCATCGGGACCCTCATTGCATCATGACTATCACTCAACAGCCCAGGATCAAGTCTTTCGAGACTCGGCTCTTCATTAACGGAGAGGTGAGTGTTTGAATTGTGTGTTTGTTCCTTCGAAAAGAAATCGTGGTCTCACATGAGTATCCAGTTCAAAGATGCGTCTGATGGCGGAAAGTTCGACCTCGCCTCGCCCGCCACAGGAGAGAAGTTTGCCCAAGGTGAGTCTTCCATCTTCTTTCACAAGCAATTGAAAATTCCGGTATCAAGCCAGGACCAAACTCTGATTCCCTCATTCTCCCCTCCAGTCGCCGAAGCCAGCGTAGACGATGCGAACGCGGCCGTGGCAGCAGCCAAAGCTGCCTTTCCAGCCTGGTCTGCCCTGTCCCCCGCTACGAGGGGCTCGTATTTGAAGAAGCTGGCTGGTCTGATCCTTGAATCGCACGCCGAGCTGGCTGAACTTGAGGCCATGTCGATGGGTCGCCCCGTCTCCCACTACGTCGAATCCTATGCCTCTGCACAGTCTTTGAACCATTTTGCCGAACTCGGCTGTCAAGTCCTCGGCACAACGAGCTTGAACACCCCTGGCTTTGTCAACATGACCTTGCGACAGCCGTACGGCGTTGTCGGTGCAATAATTCCGTGGAATGTGCCGGTGTACTTTCTGATCAGCAAGTCCGCCCCGGCTTTGATGGCAGGAAACACGGTGGTGGTGAAAAGTAGTGAAAAGGCCCCATTGACGGTGAGTTAGGGGAAACCTCTTGGAGAATAGATGATCAGGGAGGCGCAATCATTGTTCGTGTTAGATGCAGTGGTACTAACTATCCTTTCGAATCTTATCAGTCCGCCAAAGTTGCCACTCTCGTTCAAAAGGCTGGCTTCCCCCCTGGAGTGTTCAATATCATCTCTGGTCATGGTCACATCTCCGGAAATGTTTTGTCGCACCACATGGATGTCCGAGCCATCAGTTTCACTGGATCAGGACGAACCGGCCGTCTCATCCAAGAAGCATCCGCCAAGTCCAACTTGAAGAATGTGATCCTTGAACTTGGCGGAAAGTCACCAGCGATCATCTTTCCCGACGCCAATCTCGAAAAAGCAGTTGAAGATACCAAGCGTGGCATCCAGTTCAACAGTGGCCAGGTCTGCATGGCCAATTCGCGTATCTACGTCCATGATTCCATTGCTTCTGAGTTCATTGAGATGTTCAAGAAGACTTTCTCCCAGGTCAAGAGCGGTGATCCGCTACTTCCAGAGACCAACCATGGTCCCCAAGCCGACGCAATCCAGTACAAGCAAGTGCAGTCGTACATCGAAGAAGGCAAAAAGGTTGGTAAGATGATTTTGGGATCAGAGCCATCTGAGCATAGCAATGGGTATTTCATTCAACCTACGGTCTTTGTCGAGACTCCAGAAGATTCAAAAGTGATGAAGGAAGAAATCTTCGGTCCCGTCGTGAACATCAACACCTTCACAGACGAGGATGACGTTGTCGCGAGGGCGAACGACACCGAGTATGGACTCTACGCCTCAGTGTATACCAAGGATGTGAACCGTGCCTTGCGTATGGCCAAAAAATTGGAATCTGGAATGGTTGGAGTCAATTGCACCAGTCCGACCAGCGCACAAGATATGCCATTCGGAGGTTACAAGGCCAGCGGTACAGGACGAGAAGGGTGGACCGTAAGCATTGAGAATTATCTTGAGGTGAAAAGCGTGTTCATCAAGATCGATGACGAATAAAGATGCAACTCCGGTTCTTGGCCCGAGGCACAGTGTATCAAATTTCAATTCTCATTCGAAGCAATGGCCTTGTCCTTTCAAAGTCTCTCGTATGGCTGAATCCGAGTTTTCGTCCTTGATCTGCCGGCATGTACGCCTCGAGCCCCCATAATGGTCGCTACTGGAGGTAGCTAGCTGCAGGAAGGTCGCCGCCAGGCTACATTTCGTAGTCTGGCATTTGTCCCAATGAGTAAAGCCGATTGGCGTTCCGGAAGAGAATGTCGGCCGCTAACTCCTTGGCTTGTGGAATGCTCAAGTCGCCGCATGCAACGTAATCGACGAGAACCTGTGTGTATGACTGATCAGTTGAGTGCCCGATCTAAATTTGTGGATTGTGCATACCCGCTCCAAGGCCTGTCGAAGTTGCTTGTTGGCTAACCAGAATGATTCTGGATGATGATTTCCGTGCGTGCTCCAGAGCAACCGACTATTTGGCATTGTCTCAAAGACCTCCCGAAGAACTCGCTCTTGACCATCCCGACTGACAGCAGGAAATATCCCACCAAGGTCGAGATGCACAGCGCGATGGCGATTGGCGACTAGGCATGCCTCTTTTGTATATGGATACCCTGCATTGAGTAGCACAACCTTGGAGAGATACCTTTGAAGCAGAGGCTCCAATAAGACTGGATTGGCGCTGACGGGTCGCGTCTCGAAGTCAGCCACACGCGACGGGTCGTCAGCAAGCGCAGTTGAAAACTGCAGGGGCTTGGTCTTGCTCGAGCTTCTCCCAGACGAATTAAGCTTCATGATCTGGACGACCATCCAGTCCAGAATTGGCTTTTCTGTGACGCAATAACCACAGCTCCTGTTTCCCAAGTCCAGAATACGGTGAAGCGCCGCGGTCATTGTGTCATCGTCTGGTGAGTATGGATCAACATCAAGACCACTACGATGACAAATATCGGTCTGGAAAGCCACGACAGCTGCGTCATTCATGAAATCATTGATTGCGTCAATGAACCTGGTGCGGAATTGGTTCAACACACTCGTGTTCGCTTGACGCTGCTCATTCATGAGCTTTTGCAGCACTTCCTCTGCCACCGTCTCGATACAGACAATTTTCTTTGACTCCGATGTAGTGAATTGCTTTGGCCAATCTTGCAGAACGACCTCCCCGGGGACCAAGTCAACGTCCGTAAGAAGGAGCATGTGCGTGCCCTGTAGACAACGCTGGACAAATTCATCGTAGTTGTCCGTCAAGCAGCGCGAGCGAGCGGTGTGCACATCGTCCCATGTGTCGCAAGGTTCGCCGTACAGCTCCTGGAGCTGATGGAGCGCACGCTGCGTTGCCAGGGTGGCAACCTTCGAGGACTTGCCCATCATCATATCAGCTTGTTCCTCGCTCAACTCTTCTGTCAAGTTTAGGTTCGGGACGCGGTACGCATGCTGGTCGATCAATGGATGTTTCTGAACCAGCATGCGCAGCTCCTCGATGGTGTCCATGATTGGGTGGTGCGCTTAGCAAAGGTCAGTTTTGTGGTGCGCTGGATGTCTCAAAATCTTCCCAGATGACCCACAACCACGCAAACCGCCCCCGGGACGGGAAGGTCTCTCTCTCTCTCTCTCTCTCTGCAAAAGCTTGATGTGGTGGAGGCGGGAAATTGGAGACAGCACAACTGTAGCTCCGCAATGAAGATTTGGAAGACACGCACATGAGAGAGATGATGCAGAAGATACGGAGAGGGTTGAGCATCATTGAGTTTGTGGATCAGGTGATTGCATATCATGTGCTCCACGCCGGCCCTTCGGGCATTACCTACCACCTACCTACACTCTATCGATAGGGTTTAGGATATATCGATCAGATGCATGAAAGAGTTTTTGACTCAGGTCTTCATTCATGAGATGGCCAATTAGACTGGCCACATCTGTCGACAATCAGTCAAGTAAAGTGAAGGTTGTCTGAAAATGCTTGCATATCAGGTAGGGTCTAGTTGATGCCGAAATAAGCAGAATGCATACATTTGAAATCTGCAACGATAGATTCGTATGCCAATTACTCCAAACTTCCAAATTGTAGTCCGAGATCAAGGGGTATCGATAAAACTGACAATAATAAAGTTCATGAACAGGGTTACACAGCGGTGGAAAGAGTGATATGGAATGAAAGAAAATGGTAGTGTCCTGCCGAGAGGAGAACAGTTTGTCAGCTGGAATTGATGGCTGGCAGGAGACTGATCAGCTTCGAAATCGCCGTGGTTACCACCAGCGTTTCTCATTCTCGAGCGTCTGTTCTCGCTGTTGATTGCTCCACGCGCGGAGTTGTCGCTCTTCGCCCAGAAGGCGAACTCGACTTCGACCCCGATCGGGGAAGCGCTCGCAAGTACAGCACCTCAGTGCAAACTCGATCATTCCCAGAACAACGTATGCAATGGGAATGAGAACAACAATGACAAGCGCGACGCATTCAGGTCCATGCTTGTCAAAAAAATCGAGCAGGTCGATGGACTCAAAGGATGTTTCGGTATCTGTCAAGGGGATTCCGGAGGGGTGACGAGAAGTCTGTGTTGACGGTGTCACTCGCGACCCATCCTCGTGATCGTGTGACGAGGGTCTGAAGATCGTCCCATAATGATCGCGAAAGGCGCGGTCGCGATCGTTGTCAATGCGGGCTCCATGTTCGAGCGATGGTGAAGTGTGGGTGGGCTCATTGGCTATCGAAGACGGTTGAGTACGCAGCGACTGGATGTATTCGAGAATATGTGGTTTCTCTGCATGGATCTGCTTGGATGGAGATCGCTGACCGGCGACATTGTGCCCGTTCGAAAGAGCAGTCGGATTGCGGCTCGAAAACGCATCTTGAAAGGGCAGCGCGGCACTGATACTGACGTAGACGAAGCCCGCCACGAGCGTGCTGGAGAGGACCTTCATTCTGATGTTTGGTTGATCTTCGTCAATGTACCCGCTTCCACCGCAGAAGCTGGGGTCGAGTGTCACGGATGCGAAGAACGCTGCGGTTGAGATTGGAGAGCTCACACTGATGCAGCGTTCGTGGAGGATGGTTCACTGCACGGACGACGAAGATGAGGAGGCATGGTCAAAATATCAGGAGCTCCGTCTTTCCGTTCGCAAAAATGCACCAGGCCTCTCCGAGCTGAATATCCTCCGCGGAAGCGGCTTAGGATGCTTCATCGCCAGCAATGCGCCCATGTGGTATGCTTCGTGGGTCCTGATTGGTCTCCTCGGGTTCCAGAAGACGCATTAAGCAAAGGACATGTACCGAGATATGCACGAGCGACGAAGGGGTCATATGGAGGTCATTGGAGAATCATCTGTCCTCATGCGTCAGTTAAGGAAAAAAGTGCACTAGACATGAACAGAGTCTCGCATTCAAGATGGTCAACATGAAATTAGAGAGCAGTCCGGACAGACTGAGTCCAATGTCTACCAGTCTCATGGACCGAGACGGTCGCGAGACACGGCGGATCAAAAGGGACGACGAAAGTGGAGTCCGGAGATCATCTCTTGGCTATGTGGAGTGTGGAGTCCGTGGACGTGTCCGTTTTGTCTCTGCGAACAAAAAGACCCTGAGAGACCAACCGTTCGAGTGAGAGGGAATCGGCCGGGTTTAAATAAGGTGGGCTTATGGAATCTAAAGGACTTGCCAGATTATTGAGACTCAAAGCCGTCTTGACTCCCCATTAACAGACATGACAGGGCTCGCTTGATCAGACTTCCATGTCGAGGACCTCAATCGGAAGTGGGCGAAAAGTTAGGCATTCGATCGCTGTTTTCGACGACGCATCAATCGCCAGTTGACCACCTTAGCCCCGCCAAACGCGACGGTCGCTATCCTACACCACGACTGTAAGAGGGGACCGAGACGTCAAACAATGGCGGGAAATAGATGCCATGCGATATATGCGTAGTCACAGTGTCACTGTGCAGACTGTGTTGTGTGTACCGTGTACGTTTTGTAATTGCCACTTGCTCTTCACCGTAGAAAGTCCATCCCCGACCCATTGGGTAATCGACGCTACGAAGACCCTTCGCATTTGACTCGGGTATGGAATTGGAAAGATCATCGAATTGGCAGAAATGTATCGAGACTTGGTATCATAATAAAAGATAATTTACAGTTTGAGACGGTGCCCCATCGTGAGAATGAAAAGTGAGGGGGTTCCCAGGAGAAGAGAGAAAAAACACATCGCGATAGGGTCGCTTTTTAAACAGGACACAGACGACCGTTCTGATCAGGTAGACCATCCACGCTCTTGACTTGCCAGTTCTCACTGCCGACACCAGTGGGAGCGTAGAAGAGTCCGTAGGGATCGTAACGCTGCTTCAGCTGGTACAGACGGTCATAGTTGGAGCCATAGAAGGCCTGCTGGAAGTTGGGCTCCAAGATGAGCGCCTCGGACATGTAAGCACCCGACTCCGGGCAAGTCTTACGCCAGGGACCCAAGACGTCGTTGTTGAATTCTTCCATCTTGGTCAAAATCTCTGCGTCGGTGGCAGTGGCATCCCATGAGGTGGAAGTGATAGCGTGCATGAGAGCGTTGCGGAAAGCCGGATTGGCAGCGTCGGAGGGGTATCCCGCAGGCAGCTCAGCCTTCATGTTGAAAGCAAGGAGAGCGTGTCCAGAGGTCAGAGTGGATCGAAGGGTGTCAAAGGTCGTGTTGAACAAGGTCTCGTTCTCAAAGTTGGCACGAGGGAACAGACGGGAGCCGGTCAGCAAGGTAGTGCTGCCGACAACCTCGAGAGGGAAACCTGCATCCCAAGCACCGTAGAAGTTATCGTAGTACTTGGAGTCGGCGGAGATCTCAATGCCCAAGGCCTTGAGGTCATCAAACCACGGCTTCACAAGGGCGTTGAACTGGTCCACGGTGTGGTTGACAGCAAAGAAGGGGTTCATCAGGAAGGTGAACTTGTCAGCTCCCGTGGGCAGAACCCAGAAGTACGCATAAGTACCAGCATCCGCGTGAGCGGGGAAGCGCGTCATGTACGAGCGAACACCCTCGAAGAAAGCGTCCACGGAGACAGTGGGACCAGTGGCGAAGCTGAACTTGGACAGAGTGACGCCAACCTTAGGGTGGACGCGAGAAATCACGGAAGTGACGATACCAAAGGTACCTAAAGGTTAACCAAAAAAGTGTCAGCCGACAATATCCTCAAAGGAAAGGAGGGTGGAGCATCAAGACTGACCACCACCACCACCACGGAGAGCCCAGAACAGGTCAGGATCGCTCTGCTCCGTGACCGTCACGAAGCGACCGTTGGCAAGGACGACCTCCATGGCCAGGACCTGATCAGCAGCCAGGCCATAGATACTGGACATGGGAGAGTGACCGCCACCGAGGAAATAACCACCAGCAACACCAACAGTCTGTTTGACAAGAGAAAGAAGATCAGTCCCGACGGGCCTCCAACAAAGTCTGCACAGAAGTATTACGAACCTTGCCCTCACCACCAACGGCGGTAAAGCCGAACTTGTTGGCCATAGCATAGATTTCTGAAGCCTGCACACCGGCGCCCATCTTGACTGCAGGGCCAGAGTAGCTGGAACTGCTGTAGTTGGGAATGTAGTCGAGTTCCTTCATGTTGTGAGTCCAGATGCCGAGAGCACCGGCACCAGTAGACTTGCCATTGAAGTCATGACCAGTGTTCTTGACAACAAGACGAAGATTGGAGATACGAGCAAAGTTCACAGCTAGTTGAATCTGAGCCACATTGCTCACATTGACAGCGTAGCTAGAATAACCACCAAGGGTACATTCGCCGGTGCCGTTGACATTAGGAAGACACGATCGGCCCTCGAAGAGAGGCCACATCACCGAGGCCGAGTCGGCAGCACTAGAGAAAACCTGTAAGCAGGGGACCTAACATAACTAAATAATCAGACATGCCAAAAGTGCAGGATTCTTACTGGAGGTTGGAGTTGGTCCAGTTCTTGGTGACAAAATCGCACTCGTTGGCGTCATACTCGGACCAGGAAGGGTAGCAAGAAGCAGCCAGAGGCACAGTCTTGATCAAGGCGCCGCCCAGGACAAAGTCAAAGAGAGACCACACGAATTCGGCCGGCCAAAAGAAGTCCCCGGGGAGGGACTTGCATCCAAGTTGACTGCGAGTGACAAGGGTGGAGTTGTCACTGGTGCCAAAATCGAAATATTTGGACTGGTTCTTGTCCAGCGAGGCCAATGCTTGGTCGGTCAGCTGAAGAGTCTCACTGGGAAAATATGGGACACCAGCATCGGAGGTCGTCGGCACTTCATCTGCCAGTAGGCCATTGACAGAACCGGCAAGCGTGAAGGCTCCCAGCAGGGATCCTGTCAGAAGGTTTCGCAATGCCATTGTGAAACACCAAAGTCTGGTTCAGGAGAGGACAGAGATCTGTTGCTGCAACGTCAAATTGGGGGGCCGGAGATCAACACAGACGGTGAGCGTCTCCGAAACTTTTCGAATCGAGTATCAAGCTGAACTCGATGAAAAGGTCGATGGTGGTGCAAAGGCCAAAAACTGACGCGGAAAATGTCGCCTTCTTAAAGACGATTCTTCAGTCTCCCACTTTGTCCCAAGTACATTGCATGATCCGCTTATCAACACTTCAGTCACCATCAAGGGGCACCTACACAGAAGCACTAATGGAACTCGTGGGCCACGCACGATCCAAGGAGACGGGTGGCGGGATGTCGGCAATTCTCCACGGATTATGGCCCCGGAGAAGCCATGCAGATTGGTTCGGAGATGGACTATTGGACCCAAAGCAAATTGTCTCTCTCGGAGTTACTCGAGCGAAGCCCTGACTTGTCTCCGCTGCTGCTCGGCCTCACTCCACATCAGACCGCCCGCTTGTGGACATCTTCTTATTCCTTGACAACGACCGGAGCCAATCGTCCTTCACCTGCGGCGCGCCCACTTGCCTGATATGGTCTTTGCCGCGGATGGCCCGATCCTTCATCTCGTGGTGACAACCGTGGTTGAGCGCAAAGGTTCGAGTCTAGAGACACAGCCGAGTTATTGCTGATAGGCTTCAAGATTGTCTCGGATGGCTGTATGGCGACGGCGGGTCATTCGCCTTCTAGCGCAAGGCTTCATCGACTGCAGGCCAGTCAAAACTGCCGCGAGGCGTCCCTTGGCAACTTTTCCGATGGGTTTCCTCGCGTTGAATCGAGCATCAATGGTGGGAAATATTTCCCGCATCCGAGTCTGTTTCCATGTCTGGTGAAGCACGGGCACATGGTTCTCGACGCAAGATATTTGGATACAACGTGCTATGCATTTACACCATTATGCCTCCATAGTGCATAGCCCAAACACATTAGACGTGGATCGAAGCCGGACCGTCACATATTTCACCAGCCGAGGTTTGGCGATCAGAGATCATCCTAAAAATGAGGTCGGTCCACGACTCTACGGAATCCAGGACGGATTCACAACTGATACACAAGTCCGTGACTTGTGCCAGAGCCTTCCGCCTGTTGTCCTGCGGGATGCAGTAACACAACAGTATCTCAGCTCTGGAATCGCCTTCCCCGTTACTCTTCAAACTTTGAGACATGAAGACCGAGCGGTGGTCGGGTCTCAAGGCGGCACGATGACTTTTCATTTTGGCTCGGAGAAACGAGCACGTATGGATATTGCCACAGGCCATCCTCTACGGTTGGATTCCGCCTGCAGCAATCTCTTGTGGCAGTTGGTGCTTCAAACCCGGAAGAACGCATCACCTCACATGCGGAAGAGAGGAGTGCGAGTGAAGTCGTATCTCACGGCCCGGTGACTCCGTACCATCGATCGCACGTGGCGGATCTGGCGCCAGTCGCTCTGTGCTTTGCTTCTGGAACTTCGACTGCATACTGTAAATAGTTCGATTCAGGTCCCACTCGAGCGCTACCCAAACTTCTCCCTCCCCCTCCTCGTGGGCAAAGAGAGGAGAATAGGGACAAGGTCTGGATCAAGCTCAACGCGGTCAGCGATGTTGCGCCGCTAGCGCGAATTTTGTTCGAGTTTTGCTGGGTATGCGACCTTCCTTTTTGCCTCTTCCTGTTTCCTTCTCGGTGAGAGCTCCGACCTCCTCCCCGAGAAGTGGGTTCGGTAAACATTCACCCGCTGGCAGCCTGGCCCCATTTGTTGTCTGTCCCGAGTCCTGACAGCACGTCAGTAAGGCCCTGATTATTGGCAGTTTGGCACAGTACCGGTCCTCCCAGTTCTGCTTCAGTGCTTTGTCCGACACTAAGATGACAAGTGACTAGCTTGGAGTTACCCCACTCCACTCGCTGTTCAACCGAATCGGCCGGATTGACAGATCGTGAAACGCTCAGACCGGAATCAGAGGCTTCCGATCGTCTGGATCAGGGACCCTTTTTTGCGAGGCCAATGGGGTCTATACTTTCGCTCTCGAATAATACGACAGCGAAATGCATTATGCGACTGGGCACAATGGACACTGGACAGGGCCCCATCAATTGATTTTCATTGAAAAAGATCGTGCAGCACGCTCTCCAGTCTGGACAATGATCAACAATGGACCGAGTCCGGCCGACCATGCCAAGGCACGATCTGCAGATGTTCAACCTGAAGAAAATTGAAGTACAGCACTGAGCAGTGAGCACAATATGCGCCATGCAGGCTGTGAAGAACACTGTTTTGCCTGCCAATGACAGGCTATCTGGTTGCGCATTCCCCACTATATTGCCCAATGTGGCTGCCAGCCAGGATCTCCAACGGTCCAGCAGGCTGCCAGCAGCCACGAAGACTTCCATACCGTCCATACTCCATAGTCCATACTCCATACCCTCTTTTCTTTCTCTCGTCTACCCACAAACGCGTTTGCATTGCTCAGGTGTGGATGTGGAATCCGGCTCAGGGTTAATTGCCGCTCGGCTCTGTGGCTGCCACTGATGGGGAGATATGGACGCCTCATTCACTAGTACCTGATAACCTGATCCTTCGCACGGCAATTCCAATTCAGAACCCTAATTGTGCTAGTTGTAAAGTGTACTTAGTACTACTATTCACTGTTGTTTCATGGAGTCCTGATGCGGTAATCGCCCTGAACGGAGGAAGATCCGGTTCCAGAAACCTCATTCCAAAGCTAAGCACACTCTCCACCTTGAATCAAGCGCAGTAGCAAATTATAAGAGCCAGACCGAGTCCTTCTGTCGATTACTCTGACATACATCGACTAGTGACCATGGATCCGAGATCGTGATGTGCTGATCTCTACTCTATACGGACAGCTCTGAATTGGAAGTTGGGAAAGGTGTCTCAGATACAATCGAGCAGCCGTTCTCACCTTGTCAATTCCTGGACCGTGCCTGCATCCAGTCCTTTTACATCCGTGGCCCATGCAAAGAGGAAGGCGGTCGTCGTTTGACAAGACGCAGCTCGACCGCTGAGGACTTCTTCCGCAAAGACAACCTACGTACAATAAATAGCCTAAGCGAACATCCGAACGATGCACCTGCAAGTTGCAACTTCTTCCCACGCGGAATCGCACGTTGTGTTCCTCATTTCTGACATGACTACTAGTATAACTAGTATAACAATAGTCTCCGCTTCTCGCTTCCATAGAGCTCGCTGATTCGTGTTCATGCAGAGTTCGGTGTAATTTCCCAGCTCGGAAATACCACTTGTGGATCCATCGCTTCGCTGGAACGCCAAGTCAGCCCCCGAAGCTAAATTGGTGTCTCGGTTGCACGCTATGGTCCCAAGTCCAGGCGAGTCGACGACCCATGTAGGGGTTTTCCGTGTAGTTCTTACATGAAGAGAAAGAAAAAGGGTTCTCGGGGGAGATTTTGACCTTATCCATGTATACAACGTTGTGCAGGATTACAAGACAGAAAGGGTAATTAGTGGAATGAGGAATCACTGTAAGTTTAATGGACCATGAGGAGTTGTTTTCTTTTCGCCTCCTCTCGTCTGTCGAAGGAACACCTGGGGCCCACACATACTTTGGAAGCCAAACCCAGTCTGTTCCAGATGCGAGCCCGCATGTGCCCGAGAAACTCTACAGCAGCAGTAGTAGTAGTAGTAGTGTGGTGCTGTGGTTAGTGGTAGACTGGTAGCAGGAGTGGTAGATTACCTGTCCATAAGCATGGCCTGCGGTCATCTGTCTTTTACATCTTTCGCAGGTTGCCTAGTCGGAAGCACATCGTTCCCCAGACCATGGCGGCGAACACTCGTTTGCAGAACATTGCTCTGGGGATCTTGATTCTCTTCACGGCTCTTGGCGGAATCGCAGTGATTCTTCGACTCTGGAGTCGGAAGATCAAAAGATCTGCGCCGAGCGCTGGTATGTATCTCCAGAGACTCCATTGATCGGCAACGGCATCGGCTGATAGATTGACCCAGATGATTATTTGATGGTGGTGGGATATGTATGCGCATTCAATCTGCTCTCTTCTGCTTCAGCGTTGAATTCACAAAGACCTTGCGCTTACAATCAGTCAGGTGCTATCTGTCATTCAAACAATCACATCATGGTATTGTGTGTGTTCCTTGACTCTTACAAGGGAAGCGACCATCGGCGATCCAGAAGACGACTGACTCGAAGAAATTCCAGACATCAAGGCCAATTTTGTCGGTTGGCACTATAAAGACATCCCACCGACGGAGTATGATCCCAAGACAGCGATGATTGTGAGTGGAATTGCCCTTACTCTTTGAAACAAATGGACCTTTGCCCAATTGCTCAGAATATGGCGAATTTGAACTGACTATTCTTCGCACAGTGGAACTATGTCGTCCAGCTCGTTTACAATCCCGCGTTGACATTTATCAAACTATCGATCTTGCTGTTTTTGCGTCGACTCGACAGCCATTCTCGAGTCGTTAGCATTCTCTTCTGGTTCGCTACGACCGTCGTCGTCGGTCTTTTCGTCGCCGTCCTCTTCGTCGATATTTTCCAGTGCCAGCCGGTTGCCTACGTCTATGATAGCTCGATCGAGGGCAAATGTATTGCTCAGGGTGTCTTTTACGTATCGACGGCCGCGTTGAACTTGTTCACCGATGTTATCGTGATGGCCATTCCGATCATCATCACCTGGAAACTTCAGATGCCAGTCCGACAAAAGTTGGCTGTGTGCTTGATTCTGTGTCTCGGTGGAATGTAAGTGTTTCTTCTCGTTTCTCTCACCCGAAATTTTGCGCGCCACGGTGGACTATTGCTGGATCAAGGAAACACTGGTTGCGCGTCTCGAGAGTTTCCTACTAATTCTGTCCTTCTGTATCATAGCGCGACAGCAATTGGAGTCTGGCGTCTCGTCATACTCACCCAAGGCTTCATTCTCCATATGCCCAACCCTGATCCCACATACAACATCAGCTTCGTCTCCTCCGCCATCGAGTGCAATACCGCTGTTCTCACCGCATGTGCGCCCTCAATGAAGGCCATTGCCCGCAGATACGTCCCTCGTCTCCTGGGTACTTCCCGTCGCGATACGTCTGGTTACGGTGCCGGAACCAGTGGTTCGCGCAGCCGCTTCCCGGGCTCCAACCTGTTTTCCGGAAACAAGTCCCAGCTGCGCTCCCACGCAGACGACGAATATGAAATGGCTGATCCAAACAACGGAGTCTCGGTCAGTGGTGGCAAAAGGAACAGCAGTGCCTTTGACATGCGCAAGTACCGTCGAAATGGAGATAGCGTTAGTCTGAGCAGTGGGAGTCTGGAGGGGGCCACGGGGATTGTCAAGACTATGGATGTTTCAGTCCAGTACACTGGTGGCGAAGGTCCAAGGGATGACGGGCGGTCCAGAGACAACAAGCATTCGAGTGTTGATAGTCTTGTTTAGGCCTGTTGCCTCAGAACACAGCATCCTATCAGGGTGCTGGCGGGGAGGGGAGGGATGAAGGGGGGGGGGGGGGGTGGGAAAACACAAGACCTGAGTTTTTCCCGAGCGCTCGTGGAGAATGACGAACTCCTTGCCTTGTCGACACTCGGACGCAGATGCCGAAATCAAAATTAATTTAATATACGCCGAGTCCTTGGCTTGCATTGCTGATGGCGGGATACTTCTATCTTGTAATTAAACCGCCGCTAGACTATAGTAATCCGATACGTGCGGTCCTGGGCATCGCTGTTTCTGGTACAGTCGTCTACATCAACCTCCTGAGCAAGACGATGCTCGTGATCCTCCCAAGACTGATCCAGTCGAGAGTCGGTCCTACCTAGGCTAGAGTTCGATACGCTTGCTCAAAAGAAGAGCGGTTCATGAACTCCTCTTTCACGCAAGGGTCAAAGTCCTCAGAATCCCGCACAAGGGCAACATCACAGACATCCTGCAAGCCTACCTGCATACAACCGAGAGTCGTTCGTCTCGTCTTGTCTCTTGCAGTCTCTTGCATTCGCTGCCCGACGCATGCAGCCCCCAAGGCTTAAGTCTTGCGTCTTTGCACATTGAGTAGGGCCCTCGAGCCCAGGTATGAACACACGGATCTCTACAGCTCTCGACGGATCGCTATCAGGGAGCGGAAGGACGTTGTGAGAGAAGTTTCTCTATACAGGGTCTCCAGGGGTGCCGAAGTGGCAGATTCAACGCCACTTCGACCGCACTATAGCAGGATTTGGCGGCGAGCAAAGTCCCTAAGGCTCCCGTCTCTTTCGAGGGCTGACATCGCTCGCTCTCTCTTTCTCTCACTCTCACTCACACACTCTCTCTCATGGAGCTCGTTCACTATTGACCGCGTCATCTGGGGTCCCAGACATCGTCGGCTGCCCTTGTGTACTTGGGGACAGGCTACTGTCGAGCGTGGCTCCCTCCCCATCCCTATGTGGGAAGCCCAAAAGACTGTTGCGGATTCAGCAATGCCTTCCTGCTACGAGAAAATCGGAGACACATCGACAGGGGTATTTACTTGAACGGTTATAATTGTGCGTCAGAATATTTCAGGCGTCAGTCGAATGACCAGGCTGAATTCCCCGCTAGCTCAAAGTTGAACTCCTTGGAAACCCGTGAACGGTTCCAGAAGGCAAACTGTTTAGCTGCGAATTGTCCAGAAGAATTCGCCGCAGCAACGTGCTTTCATCCTCAGAGCCAGCCCATCTGCCCTGCCACTCGCGAGAATAAGACTCCATAATGTTCAGTACTCCCGCCACGCAGATTTGCACCCTTTCCGACTGGATAATGGATACCTGTACTACGCGCCTCTGGAGCTCTTCTAGGAAATTCTCTCTCTCTGCTCTATCCTTCACTGTAGCCTGCCTAGCTGTAAGTAGGATATATGACCTGATGGACACGTTAAAATCATCGAGATCGCTTTCTTTCTCGGTCAGACGAAGTGTTTGTGTTTGCTCGACCGCGATAGCAGCTAGATACTGTACCTCCTTTTCGCTTTCAATTTCTTCCTCTTATCCCCTCAACGCGGCCATTGTACCGATCCCCCCGTCTGGCCATCCAACGAAGAGATCAATTTAGGGTTTATTGAAGTCTTGTCCTGAAACTGGGACGAGATACTGACTCTCTAGCTAATAATACTTCTATACTCCTATTCTGACTAACACACCAAAGGTAAAAGGACCAGGTACTCGTTAAATTTGGTTGAGCTGATATCGTGATAGGGGCTTGGAATTTGGTTAGACCTTTCGGTAGGCCTTATGAAGACTCGTTAACGTAGCTTCTAGGGTAGTCAAAGCGAGTTTTGTTATAGTCGTAGATGGTAGAACTAGCTGTATTTTCTATTTATACATGATAGTGTAGGCCTATCGCGGAATCCTCATGATCTAAGTAGATCCTACGAAGGAATGACGAGGTCTAAATGGCGGGTAGGAGAAATCAGGAAGGTTCTGAAGGTCTGGTAGGCGGTAGAATCGCGCTGTTCTAGGCCGGGACAGGAAGGATACAAAGTATTAGGAACGCCAGGCGGAGGCGTGTAGAAGATCAGAATATTCTTGGTAGATCGTAGGAAAATCCGAGAATGACGGTAAGTTATCCTCGAGTAGTAGATCGCACCGATAGAAAGCCGCCGTCAGTTATGCCAGGCAGGTAGAACACGTCTAGAGAGCTAGTACCGCAAGCGTATGGGTAGAAGTATTTAGTAGAGTATCGCCGAAACCAGTCTCGAACTCTCGACAAATTTATTGACATACCGATTGAATCGTAAATCATCCCCTCCGAATGAGAAGCCATGGCAATGAAGCTTGTCTGCGGCCTTGTTAAGCGAGAAATCGTTGTTTAGCGCGTCACCTGCATAAATGAACACGATTCACAACACATCTTCGTGGGAGACTATTGCTAAAATCCCGCTTTCAGCATCTGCACGAGATTGGTCCGCAATCTCCGTACTGAATCATGGGGATAGACGGAGGACAGCGAACAGAAGGGACAGAATCTTTTGCAGGAGTGAATATTCGAAGCTGAATTATATTCTCAAGCAACGCATACGCCGCGCGACGACTTTAATTTTATCTTTGGCTATAGTGGAGCATGGTGCTTTAAGCAATGCGCACCTTGTCACATGCTACTTAGGCTATTAAGGATTACGTATGTACCACACGCCACCCGTGACATAGCGGACGGGGTACACGAGACGTAACCCACGAGCTTCACAGCACCTGAGCACACGACATTCAGGCTCAATAAAGGCGGCGTAGTAGGCCTTACTCCAGAACGGAGGCCAATGGCCACTATTTTCCGTCGTACTTGGGACCTGGTGCAATGCCCACGACATATTTGAGTTCTGAAAACCGACGGCAATATTATTATCGTCACCGTACACATGTGACCTGTCCAAGCTTCAGAGAGTTCTTGAGATGGAAAACACGAATTCTTCAAGATGCCCTGCACTAATTGACGTTTGAGCAACTGCCACAGAAGAACTCGGACAATGAGATCCGAAGCTTTCAGTTTTCCTCATCCTCTGGACCTTTGCCAGGAAATCCAGATTTTTCATTGAAGGAAGACTGGATCATCGTGGGATCTCGGGGCTACGGAGATCCAAGAATTGTTGAGCAGGACTCTAAGACGGTCGAATCTGTCAAACACTTGCTTTGATTACTGGGCGCCTGTATTCATTTTGATAGTGTCGGAAGATTCTCCCGTGGATTTCCACTTGCGGCCATAGTGACCTTCTTGCTGAAGGAACGGAGACCCACGAGTGATTTTAATTTCGATACCAGTCAATCTCTATCCCGTAAACTTCCTCTGGTGATTATCGTCGGCGCTTGGGGATTTGAAATGCTAATTTCTCCCATAGTCACAGTGATTCTCAATTTAGATCCGCGGTGCTCTTCAGCGGGTTCCAATGAGAGCATCCTCACCTGCGGTCACTATACAGTCCCGGCACAGAGACGCCGTCCTTACATGTCATAGGAAGGTTTGACGCTCGGATCCTGCCAGCTCAGACCTTTGAGCTTACATCGTCGTGTATCGGATCCATACGATTCCACATCTTCGGCTCACACTACATTCCACACACAAAGACGTTGACTGGAACCGTCAAGGCATTCGTGAGGGCCCACCTTTTTGGCAACGGCACAGAATCTGAGGAAGACTGGGAGGAATTGGATGATCCCCCTGAGATTTACAGGATAGTTCTCGTAGAATAGATCAGTTTGGTGCATTGAGCTTGCCATGGACTGTTGGGGATGGGTCCGGCCTTGCCAGCGCTTAGGTCATATATAAAGCTGTTTGTTGAGACAATCGTCTTGACGGGAAATGTATTGCTATCGATGAATAATAAGGATGGTGCAGCATTGCGAGTCGGGCTCCCAATTTGAGTTAGGTCCATGAACAGACATCTAGAAAGGTTCAGGCCGGAATAATTACTTTGAGCTGTGTCGCTTGGTGACTGAAAATCACGGTTGTCGCTGCGAGATACAAGAAGAGACTCGATGGCAGCTGTGGTTGATTTATGCTATGGCTTGCAGGAAATTAGCCAATGGTAGCAATGATCAGGTGGAGAAATGCAGGTTCCCCCCATGGACTCCAACGACTTACTCCAACAACTTACTCCAACTTTTTTGTGCCTCGGGATAGCTCAGCTTCCCCTCATCGAAATCCCCGCTTCCATTGAGATACTTGATTGTCTTCAATTCTCCTCGCATCCTGGGCGTCGCATTGATCCAGACGATACCATCTCTACAAAATGGTGCAGCAATACGAGCTACCCTTCAAGGTTCGTACTCACACACTGCCTTGAATGCTCTTCTGTGCAAGGCCCTACATGCGATGGCGGTGGCGATCGGGCGGATGACCGATGCCGTTAGCAGTGGGCGAACTTGCCAATCACAGACTAACACGCCGGACGTATTCCTAGCTCAAAGATCCCTCTCTCCTTCATTTCGATTCTTTTATCGGAAACAAATGGGTGACAGCAAAGAGCGGAAATCGCTTCGAGGTGGTTGACCCAGGCACCGACAAGACATGGGCGAGCTGCCCCAATAACAGCGCCGAAGATGTCGACGCCGCAGTCAATACTGCACATGCGGCCTTTGAGGACTTCCGCAAAGTAAACCCTCGTCAACGGGCCAAATGGCTACTCAAGTGGCACGACTTGGTGACGGATGCCAAGGATGACCTGGCGCAGATTGTCACGCATGAGACTGGAAAGCCCCTCGCCGAGTCACATGGAGAATTGGATTACTCTCTCGGATTTCTCTGGTGGTTTGCTGGGGAGGCAGAGCGCATCCAGGGATCCATCTCTGTTCCAGCAGCACCCAATCGTCGCCTGTTTACTATCAAGCAGCCGATCGGCGTGGCGGCTGCGTTAGTACCCTGGAACTTTCCTATAGCGATGGTGCTGCGAAAGGTTGGCGCAGCCATGGCAGCTGGATGTACCATGATTGTCAAGCCCAGTCCCGAGACACCTATCTCGGCACTTGTGCTAGCTGAGCTGGCGCAGCGTGCAGGGATCCCAGCTGGCGTGTTGAACATCCTGACGACGGATTTGGAAAACACCCCGTCTCTAAGCGAAGCTCTGTGCAAGCACCCGCTCGTCAAGAAAGTGACCTTTACCGGGTCAACCCGAGTCGGCAAACTTGTAGCTGCTCATTGTGCCCAGGGCTTGAAGAAATTGACCCTTGAACTGGGAGGCAATTGTCCATTTATTGTCTTCGACGATGCCAATCTTGATCAAGCGCTAGATCAGCTCATGGTCCTGAAATGGCGTCACGCAGGTCAGGCTTGCATCACGGCGAACCGTATCTACGTACAATCCGGTGTCTACGATCGCTTCGCCTCCATGCTGAAGGAACGCACCAGTGCCCTGAAAGTGGGCCATGGCGCTGCCGAGGGGACAACCATGGGACCTCTCACTACCCCACGCAGTATTGACAAAGCCGTTGCCCAAGTGGAAGATGCCCGCAAGCACGGCGCAGAGATTTTGCTGGGCGGCAACCGGTTGGCTTCACAAAAGGGATATTTCTTCGAACCGACCATTCTCACGGGAATGACAGACAAGATGCAGATCTCTCACGAGGAGTCTTTTGCCCCAATTGCTGCCTTGTATCGGTTTGAGAGCGAAGACGAAGCGGTGAAATTGGCAAATGCGACCAGCATGGGACTGGCAAGCTATGCATTCACCAAGAATATTGACCGAATGTGGCGTCTTCTGGAGAATCTCGAGGCTGGAATGATCGGTATGAACACCGGTAAGTGTTTGGGAATCCCCTTCCTCTTTGATCCGAAATTCAAGCATGCTGACAATTCATGTGAAGGAAACCAATCTGCTGCAGAATCTCCCTTTGGTGGCATCAAGGAGTCAGGCTATGGCAAGGAGAGTGGTAAAGATGTTGCTGTCAATGAGTATTTGGTGACGAAAACAGGAACGCTCACAATTGAGGGCCAATATTGACGACTTGAGACATACGATTGGATCAGAAGCAGTACAGTTGATTTTGATCAAGACCCTATCTATAAGCTAAAACGCTTGAGTACTGGATGAGAAGAATACTTTACTGCTTACAGGAATTGGAACCAATTCTCTCTTTGTATGGGAGTTATTGTTTACCTCCGCAGGCCATATGGTCCACCGTATTGGAACTCAATTTCAATTTTCGTGCTGTGAATTCATTTCTGAGCCACTAATGGCAGCTCTCTGTGAACCGAGAGGGCTACATTGGGAGTCCGATCTCCGTACCTGAAACATCAATTGTACTAATCGAGCGCATTGTGATTGATTGTGATATACTCCATGGAATCTGTACGAGAGTGAACCGGGGTTTCGATCTAAATGCGATTTTGGCGACGCGAAGGAAAAGCTAGAATTCAAGTGAAACTGCTCTATGCATTACCAAGGATTCAAAGTGAAATCGAGATGCGTTATCGGGAGAGGGAGCCAAAATCCTCCTTCCACCTCAAGAGATACCTCGTCCAGCGCTCATAGCTGGCACAGTAGCCACATTCAAGGGTTTGGGATACATCCGTCAGGGAGGCAATGCTCCTCATTTCACCAATCCTGATTCATCTCGATATGGTCTTCCAACTTCTGCAAGTCTATGCTGCTGCCACACCGTCCTGCATGGCTTTGAGATGCTCGAACTTGTAGGTATCTTCGCCCAGCGACCATGCCATCACTCCGCCGAGGTTCTTGGCCTTGACGATATCAGCAAACTTGCGAGTGATTAGTTCTGGGGTATCCCAAGTCCAGAAGAGATTGGTGGTCTCGTCCCAGTAGTACTGGCCGCCAGCCTTCTCATCGGTCATGCCGTCCTTGACCGCTCGGCGCCAGGAATCAGTGATAGAAATACCCTTGCAAGTACCGTAATCGGACTGGCAGCCAGCCATGCAGAAGTCATCACCGGTGCCGCTTGGAGAAGATTAGCGATAGTCAGACACGATTGTTTGATTCGATCCCTTCAGAATGAGGATGGACTCACCAGTTGCCATATTGACTGCAGCATGATCCATTGGGACACTTGGAGCCCTCAGAATATCCACACTTGCCATTGGAAGAAGCTTTCAGATTGGAAGGGGGAGCAGCCATGTTTCCCTTCTCGAAAGTGAAAGCACCGCTCTTACCGTTGTCACTACCATCATCATTCTCCAGCTTGACGACGTGGCAACCGATAGGGTGCTCTTTGCAGTCAGAGTTGGGGTCGGTGGTGAACCACTTTGCGTAATAGGCGAAACCGAGATTGAGCTTCTCTGGGGGAGCACCGATGTCAAGATACGCCTGAATGGTTTTCAAAGAGCCCTCGACGTCAGTTTGATGAGCGGTGACATTGTCACGACGGTTCATCAGATCGTAAGTCATGACATTGACCATGTCCACGGATTTGAAGATCTCCGGTCCTTGCTGTTTGGTGAAGGCGATGAAGTCCTGAAGACGACCAGGGGTAGCGATTGACAGAATCTTGTCACCGATAGCCTCGCGGATGGCCGCTAGAAACTTGGGGTAGGTCTCGATCTCGCCAACTTTGGCGGAGTTGGGAACTTGCTTGTAGTCCTGGCCATTACCACCAGGGTATTCCCAATCAATGTCTGAAATCCGTGTTAGTCACCGAAGATCTCTTGTCTGGGCAGTAAACGGTTCATACCAACGCCATCGAACTTGTTCGCATCCAGCATCGCGGCCACGTTCTTTGCAAAGCGCTTGCGCGAGGCGTCATCCTTCGCTCCGTCCGAGAAACCAGCAGTATCTCCCCAGCCCCCAATGGCAATCATGAGTTTGGTGTTCGGGCCAAAACGCTTCCGCATTGTGTCCACAGACTCAAATGGCGTGAATGAGGGCGTGGAATCGGAGTTGAAGATGCTGGTAGGAGCAAATGCCATGATCGCATGGTCAATACCACCTGTCTGATCACTCCCTGGGAGATCGACGGTATGATATCTGAGACTAACGTTAGTGAATCAACAATACTGCGACTGGGCCATCACGTACTGATCAATATACATGCCGAAGCGCAGCGCAGCTGCACCTTGAGCGGCCAACAGACCGCAAGCCAAAGCCTTCCACATCATGAATGACCGAAGAGCAAGCAAAGACTACAGTGCCAGACTACAGGATGAAGAGATAATCCAGGCCCCAGATTGTCCAGAGAAGTCAAAAAGGAGCGGTAGAAGACGTGGCACCGATGCAAAAATTGTGAGAGGTAATGAACAATCTTCTGCCTATGAGCAGATCAGCTCATCGACGTTCTTAAAGTGTTGAGCGCCCGAAGTATGAGTGAGAAGAAAGCACGTCCTCGGATCGACAAGCTTTCCAGGTTTCGGCTGCTTTTGCTGATCAGAAGACCCGCATCCTTCACAATAAACAGTGCGACTCAGTCGGATCGCCTGCGATGTTGGAAAGTAATGCGTGGAGTGCATGCGCCATATCGCATCCCTGTATTGATGTGGATCCCATACCACAGGGCAGGCCACAGATGTGGGAGCTCGGAAGAAGAGAGCATGGGGAAAACACATCCAAAGGAGAGGGTTGCCTGGCCGTCTGGAATGCATAGCACCCTCAAGCTTGAAGTTGTAGAGTGCCTCATTATCTGCCGTCAGTGACCAGCTACATATTCAATTGTCAGAGTTCCAGAGCAAGCACTGACACCAGCAGGAGCCATAAATTAGACTTCGCGTCAAGAAGGGATCATTGACCATGTTGTCATGTCACTCCAGGCGCCACGCCATTCCAGAGCCAACAACATTCCTGCGCCGTTGAGGAATCTTGTCCCACCAGGAATTGCCCCCATCATGCTTCGGGGGCAACCGTCAGTGACAGGGCTCGGCCAGTACCACTCACCCTGAGGCCGGTCGAACTATCAAGAACATACAGTAGTAGGAGAATCTGTTTGAACGGGAGGACCTTTACACCAAGATTTATCTCAGTAGAAAACCACAGCAACACGAAAAAAGAGGCAGTTCGGAAAGATGAAAGCTTCTACAGACTTGACAATGCAGAACTGATGGGGGTATCGAACCCGAGCTAATAACGTCGGGTGGTATAACAATACAAATGGCATCGAGATGATGAAGGAGAGGCCTAGATCGACCGCCAGAGACTCAGTTCCAATGTCGTCGGATAATGGGCCGTGCGGGATCCCAGGGTCCAATGACCACATTCTTGTATTTTTGCAGACTGATGAGCCACCAGCTGCAGCCACCCATGGCGAAGGCAGTCAAGAAGCTACCAAGGAAAGACCCAACAACTGCGGAGCCCCAGCCTCCACCTAGCGTCGTGCCGACAGCCCCTCCAGCAATCATGACCAGAGCAAGTGTCAGCAGGACATGACCCGTCCAAGACTTCTGTCGCAGTTGACGTCGAAAAATGGGGAAAAGGCCAAAGACTTCCATGGAAAAGAGCATCAGACTGAACACGTGAGTGGTGGAAGGCAGGCGGGACGCCAGCACGGTAGACGCCATGACCGCAGCATTGGTTGAAAGGGAAGCTGGGAATTTCGTTGTGTCACCGGCACCTTCGCCGCTTCCATAGTCGAACGAAAAGATATTCATAATCAAAAGCCAACAGCTCAACGCCCAGATCGAGTCACTAGCGGTTGACTTAGTCAGCGATTTCAGAATAGGGCTTAGTCCCAGCAGCGAAAAATATATCAAAAATGCCGATTTGACCGTTGACAGACGCTGGCGATTGCGTGATGAGAAGAGTGAAGCCCGCTCTATCACCGGCACATCCGCGTGAGGCACCCCACTGCTGGGTGAGAGAAAGGACGCCGCAGAATGCGTAGCTGGGTCTGCGATCCCATAGAAAGCCCCGGGCTCGTCAGAAGTCAAATGAGACACGTCTTCCTTGTGATGTGCAGTCGGGGACATAGACAGGCCAAGTCCGTGAATGGTATCCGCTTTCAGAACGGTAGACTGGTGGTCAGGGCCGGATGGATGTGGCGCACTTGTCACCGAGCTCGAGCTAGACTCGTCATCTCCACCTCTGACACCGACTAGATTCCGTGCAAGCTCGGTCTGCTCTTCCCAGATCCAATTGTCCCATAGGATCCAACCCATGGCTGTGCCCACACTGCCCCAACAAACAATTGAGACCGGGCTCACCCGGTCCTGAACAATGCCCACAAAACAGCAGATGAAAATGACGACTGAACAAACATGCTGGACGATGACAGTCGAATCGGCGACAAGCGGCCAGAAATCATAGGGTCTCACCCGTGGGTTTCTTTGAAGATGATCCAAGAATGTCTCGGTGTCGGTGTAGTTGTCCGGATCTATACAACAAGGTTAGACCTTAAATTGTCACAGGTGCTGCGCATCTCCTGTAAGTTTCTTCTGATGAGTTCCATACAAGACTGTTTGACCCAAAGCAGCTTTTTCCATACACCCTTTCGTCTTCGACGCGAGCCAGCGGGACCAATCTTCCTCACGTCCTTGCGAGTGACATCGTGGCCAAGATTTCTGCGCGGCGGCAGCAATGTCGCGACACCTGAGTCGGCTGCCCTCAGGGAGCGCAGACCGTCTTCATAATTGAGAGGTACAGATCGTACCCTGGACAGAGAATGGGCGAAATAGGCATCTTCCGGCGCAAGACGATCGGGATCAGGGATGCGATCCGGTCCGGGAGGATTGGTGTCCGATGCTCGATTAGGGTGTGTGTCAACAGGAACAGGAGGTGGAACTGGGGAGGTGGGCGAGGTTGGGGAAATCATCGAGCTTTGGGGGCCAACATGAACGCACCATGGTGGTTGAGAGGTCGATGGAAGGCCGCTTACGATTTGGAGGCGTTTGGCCATGCAGATCGTGCCCTCCCACGTGTCCGTGGCAGTAGGTCATGTGACTGGTCTGGCCAGGACTGCCGACATGCGTAGTACACTATTACAAGCACAAAGTATGGTCAAAGTCCAACTTCTCGAATATCAAATTCAGTAGATTCATTTCAAGAGTTCCTCAGATGTGCCTGGTGAGATTCAGCACGAGAGGTATCGAAATTACTGTGAGCGTTATCTACTTTGACGGAATCTTCAAGGTTGGCTAATCAACCGATTTCAATGAATCTCATCGATACTTCACGCAGGCCTCAGGAGGATTCCTTTTTTTTGCTAATTTAAATGGATGGTAACATATTTTTTGGCATTACCGCGAAAGGTGATTTGCGCAGTTCTCAAGAAAATCGACTCACGTCAGGTGAAATAAAACAAGTCGAAAATGACATGGCTATCAGCGATGTGGTGGACGTTGAAAAGTTCCGTTTGGCTTACTGAATGGGTGATAGTATTACCCATCCAGAGAACAAGTACGCTCGTGAACCGAGAGCAATATGCCAGCCGAAAATCCACAGAAACCAGTATCCTGCTTCCGGACGAGCCATGCTCCACGATGTGGCTCGGGACCTGCTGGCTGGAGCTCACATTCTCTGGACTACATCGCAGGCCGGGTCGGAATGATTGGGGCTGGTCCTTGATATGCGCACCGAGTACTTGATCATTTCGCAAGTGTCGGATGGGTTTTGTACAATGATCGCGACCGGGGCTCATCTGGATTGTTATCGAGGAAGCCCCGACACATCTGGTGAGGTGACATTTGCCGTTTGATTCCGACTCTGAATGTCAAAGAAGTATACAACGTTCTGGCATATGAAGCAGAACGCATGGATTAAATTGCCGGAGAAGGTGTGGGATAGTTGTCAAACAGAAGTCTCATTCCAGTGCCGAGTTGTCTCGCTGAAGATGATAGATATCGACAAAAAGATTTAGAAAGCTGGCTGTAAAAAGCTTGCTATGTCATGCATTCATTACTGTCACAGGGTATCGTTTGCTGCTTGATAAACGGAGCGCAAGAGAAAGGAATGGTCGAGAATTTTCCCTATGGATCAGGAAAAGCTTGGTGATGGTTGAGAATTGCTGGGTTCTGAATTCAGGGCAATATTTCGCACAGCTTGTGGAGCTGCTATCTCATCAACACTGTTTCTGCGACCCCAATTCTGAGGTTGTCGACGAATGAAAGCGCCAACTGCGCCTAGGTAGCCTTCATGACGCAAAAAGTAGGCCTGTTTCTCGCCCTTGGACCAAAAGCGAATGGCGTATGAGAGGGTGTTCATAGTCTGCCGGTGACCACGAATGAAAGAACCTCCAAAATAGATGTGCTTCACTTGGTGTTTCTCTGATTGCAAATAGGCGATTTGACCGATATTGTTACTGATCCAATCGATTAGTGCGAGCTTCCCTGCGATGATTGCGAATTTTCTTACCTGATGGCGTACAGAAGGCTGCGGCTCATGTCCTCGTGTCGGAAGTTGATGCCCCCGTTGCTGCGCTCGAATTCTTCGTCGTGAATCAACCCCTCGCCGTCCTCGGCGCCTCGCTCGGCTGCGTTTTTCAATCGGAAGACTTTGCCAAAGGTGCTTGCGATCGCTGTGCTTTTGAGCCCGATCTTGGTGTAATCCATGCCATAGATGTCGCCCACGAGCATGTCGACTCCCGCATTGTCTCCGCGATCAGCCATAGCCAGCATATCGTCAAACGTTCGCGCGCCGGTCAGCAATGACATGAGCCCCCAGAAGGTACCACCTCCAAGGTGAGTACCTCCCACACGCTCGAATTGCCGCGGACCAGAGACCTTGATCATGGAGACCCCAGAGCCTATGTTCACCAAGAGATAAGGGTATACGTCCGGTCGCGCTTCGGCAAATTGCATCGGTTCAGACTCGTTCTCGGTGTACACAAAAACTTCATTCGGTATCTCGGTGATGAAGAAGTCCAGGCCTGTGAGCACAATAAGAAGCCCCAAAATTAGCTGTCCGGTGCTTTCCCAGGGGCACGCCCACTGCCGCTTGTCCAAGCACCTACCAATGATGAGACATTCCATTTCCTCCTCTCGCAAGATGTTGACGTCCAGCGCCTTTTTCAACTTGTCATAAAACTTGAAAGCACCGCCTCCTGTGGCCACGACACACAATTCGTCTGGAGAAGAGCCATTGCGCTGCTGTTGTTCCTCCTTTAATTGACGGATGAAATTGATGCAAATGTCGATCCGATGTGTTTCGAAATTGATGAAATTTAGACGACCACCCTGGTCAGCCGAGTCCAATTCTCGTGTGAAATACACCAGCTTTGCTAGCGACCCCCCGATCTGGGTAAGAGGATTGTAGACAGTCAGCGATGCTCCTGCGCGTGCTACTCAAGCTCAATTGCCTCTCCGTCGGCGGGATTTGCGGGGATGGACGGAGATGCGGGGCATCAGGCTTGAGAGAAGAAAAAAAAAACTCTCAGGCCGCTTGGGGGCAAGGGACTCACATCGACAGCAATATGGCTCACCACGCCGGTATGATGTGGCAGACGAATATCTTTATTTTCGTAGTGCACACCCTCCGCTTCGACGGGGCTCCGTGACCGAAGCTCATCGTCGATGATAAAGGCGCCGGTCACATTGATCTTGACTGCGCCTGGATTGGAGATGGCCTCCTCGAGGCGTGGGCCCTTTCGACGATGATCCGTTCCCGTCGCTGTGTCTGGGGGAGGCATGGCGATTGATAATGCAACAATGCAAAAAAAGCGAGAGGCCTATGGTTGTAACAATGTGTAGGAGGGATGAACGCAAAGCTCCTGGCGGTTGACCGAGCCCGTGCCCACGCTTACTGCGTATATTTCCTTCTACCCGTTTCCGCTGCCCCAGCGGGTTCGGGGTTCCACTTGTGCCTCTGGGAGATCGCAAGGGGAAGACCCTCCCCGCAGTCTCAGTCCAAACCGGCGCAAACTTGGAGACCGAGGGCCAGTTGTGCTTCCGAGGTTCACAGAACGACACTCAGGCCACTGTGTGACCCAGCACGAAAGCTTTCCGGGCCGACCGAAGTTGGCCGCAAGAAGCCGACAGATCTCTCTCCAGACTTACCGAGGGGTCCGAGACTCCGGCACACTCACAGTCACACGACTGTGCCAAGGCCGCCAAAGATCTGGAAACTCTCATTCTGCCGATGGAAGACGTACCGCTTCTTGATCGGCCTCCTGGCACGTGAGCAGCTCAGGACGAGTCCAGAGCTCAGCTCCATCGCAAACGTTGAAGCTTCACACGCGTGATTGAAGCTTCATGTCTCAGGCTACGAGTCTCCACTTGAATGTCCCTGTGTGGCTTCAGTCTTGAAGGCTGAGATGGAAGGCAAAGCAGCAACCCGCTGGTTCTGCCTTGGCTAGGCACATATTTCTCGCTCGATCAATGCCTGAGCAAACATTGCGTCCGTCACAGACCTGAATGTCTTCCACGACTTTCTTCCGCCACCAAATTGAACGCTGCCGAGTATTGCGTAGCTCAGATTCCAGATATTCAGGACAGCGATCTTCGGATTCAGAGAAGGCCATTATAATCACATTAGATTTAGCTCTGTACGGATGACACTTGCTTACCTATTCCATACCCACTCTACAGGCTGACTGATGCAACTGATGGGATCTTTATGAGTGTAGGAATCTATGGAAACCTCATACCTTTCCACCTTGAGTCATTCAAAGTTCTCAAGCAGGGAAGCGCAGATGCGGGGGTGGGATGCAGATGCCGACTTTCCGCGCGCCAGGATGGGATGAGGTTTCCATTCCGGCTCAAAAGATAAATTTCTGTAGACTAGGTGGTAGGTAGTAGGTACTCACAAGAGAAAGCCTGTGAGTTGAGCTGTAATGGATATGATGCAGGTGGAATACTTTGGTGATGTACTCACCTAGGTAGCCGTTCCCGCAGAACACATATAAATATCTTCAGATGAGCGCAAGTTACACAGAGTTCACCACCTACCTAGGTACCTACCTACCTACGCTGAGTTGAGACAATCAATGCGGCATCTTCACCACCTCGTCCAATTTCAACATGATGGAAAATAAGACCGATATACCAGATATCTTATCACTTCTATTGACTGCGAGACTGATCTTAGATTCCTCTTGAAGTTCGTCTCGGAGATAACTGCAAAATGACGAGAAGCGGCGGCGAGAGCTATTCCACTGATCTACCGGGTAGGTACCCTTATCATCTAGATTTTCTTTTCTGCGACCAATGTAGATGGGAATACAGAAAAGGAGACACTGCAACCATAAAGCTCATGAATGTATGACTCTAATTAGCTCATAGTTCCAGATGAGAAGTAGGGAATCTTGGGAGGCGCTACGTACTTGAGAATATCAGGTCATATATTTCTTGATTCTTGGGCCAATTACCGAAGGTACTCATAACCAGTATCAACAAGACAATGATCTCGCAGAAGATGATAGACATATATGTGACTCTCTACAATCAACATCTGACAAGTTCTCTCGAGACAAAACCCAGACCTTCCGAAGCTGGAACACCACGCGTCAGAATGGACAGAGCTAGCATGCTCGGCTAGATACTACCATGTACAGCTGCAATGTTGTGTACACAGGATGCGTGAACTCGGATCCCCTGAATATCAAGATACTAAGGTTGGGAACACATTTGAGGTATTACCAAAATGGAAAAAAATAAAAGAAAGGTGTGCACGCAGAACAGATCATGTACCAAGTGGTCATGAGCGGCACTATGTGGTGTACCTGCCATGGGAAGTGCCAAGTTCTCGAATACAGGCCCTGTGATGATCCAGACCGATTTTAGTGTGTCAAACACTCTGTGTGTGGGCAGTTGTTCAAGGTCCAGGGCAGCGGAGTCACCCACAAGCCCTGCGTGTAAGCTGATCGGAGCGGCGGAAACATGTCTATGGAAGGGTCCGAAGATTAGCGTACTGCTAATCCGAACGCAAACATCAGACCTATCTGGATACCACGTGGCAGAAGATCCCGGAATAGCCCGGAGATCGAGTATCACAAACACCCCACTGGGCCGACGGCCATGCCGAGTATTGATGCTTGTCCCGACTGTCCCATCGGCATGCCGACCTTTTGGCGAGGATACCCTGTTGTAATTTCAACTATTAAGCGAAGAACAAGCTATGGTAAGTATTGGGAAATATCCCTGTATGAAGTAAGTCTTGTCATGGAAGTAGGTAACACCAAAACCGTAGCTGATGGACAAAAGCATCGCCTCCAAGTGGGCAAGCTTGGATGAGGCCAGTAGATGATTCCGGAGAGCCACCATATACGCTGAGACATGCACCGCCATGCCTGTACACAACGCTGACATCAAAGGCCTGGGCAACTATCAAACGGAAGCAAACGACCTCAGACCCCCGCTATAAAAGGAGTCTTTCCCCCCGGCCGACTCGATCTTTCTTCCCTTTTTTTTTCTTTCTTCAAACCTTTTTCTCAACCTTTTCAAAAGCACAACCATCAAGATAACAAGGATTCAACACTCACAGCTTCCGCTTTTGCGATTACTCTTACTCATCATCTTACTGCTCCTACTCCGACTTCTACTCCGACTCTCGCTACTTCTTTTCCGACTCTTGCAACCACTTTTGGAGCCTTGGCTACTCCTCTTCCAAATCTTGCGAGACCTCTTGGTATTCTGACATAACTTCCAACCCCTAACAGTCTTGCGGCTCATTTCCGACACCACACTTCCTATTCCAAGAACAGATCCCTAACTCCAACAGTCTACCTCTAACTCGTCAACATGACATCCTCCGGAGACAACAGCCGTTCTTTCGCCGCCCAGGATGCGGAAAACCGCCCTGAGGAGGTCACTAATCAGAGCACTCGAGAGATTCAAGAGCAGGGCGAATGCAGTGACAAACGGGTCGCCTGGCTTACTCACTGCGAACCTGAGGAAACCAGCCCCCGCCGTAGAGGCATCAAGTGGGGTGGTCTCGCCGCCCGTTACGAGTGGAAGGACGAGTATGGTGATGTTGGTCCCCGCAACGATGAACTGGAGCAAGAGCTCTTCAAGAACTCCAACGTTCCCCGACCTGGTAACCATGCCAATGAGTAAGTATTGATAAACCCCCCCATGCATCAGCCATTTGCCCCGCTCTTAACCTTGCCTACAGATTGCAGCTTTCAGACGATAATGCCGCTTACTTCGTCTCTGTCGAAGGCGACATTGAGCTTAATCCAATTACAAAGTTTGATGGGGCTGGGCTCCATCCAGTCATGATGGAAAACATCGCCCATTGTGGGTATGAATGGCCTACTGCCATTCAGGCCTACTGTATTCCAGCTCTTCATGAGAAGTTGGATGTCATTGCCGTTGCTCAGACTGGTATGCCTCTGACATACATTAAGACTTTGACGAAGTGATTCTAATTTCTTGGTTCACCAGGCTCCGGCAAGACCGCCGCTTTTCTCATTCCCATTATCTCCCAATTGATGGGCAAGGCCAAGCAAATTGCTGCCCCTCGGCCCAATGCGGGTGATCCCAAAGGCAAAGGCACGGCCCGTGCCGAGCCCTTGGTAGTCATCATTTGTCCCACTCGCGAACTGGCCAACCAGACCTTTGATGAGGCCCGACGGCTGTGTTACCGTTCAATGCTCCGTCCATGTGTCGCCTACGGCGGGGCCCCTAAGCAACTACAGCAAAACGAACTTCAAAAGGGTTGCGATGTCCTCGTTGGTACCCCAGGCCGTATTCTCGATTTCCTGAATCGGCCTGGTGTGCTCGCCTTTAACCGCGTTCGGTATGTTCATGGAAATGAGTATAGCAAGGTCAAGACTAATTCAGCTTCAAAAGATATGCTGTCATTGACGAAGCAGATGAGCTTCTTCAGCCTGTTTGGGAGAAGTCGTTCCACGCGCTCATCGCCGAGTTGGGTATGTATATCTGTATATGTGGTCCTCGAGATAACCCTCACTCATACTAACCTTCCTTGTGTTTGTCCCACTAGGTTCCGGTTTCGGCGAACCCCCCCGCTTCCTAATGTTCTCCGCTACGTTCAACCAGAAATGCCAACAACTTGCTCGCCAGTACTTGAGCCCTAAATGCGTTCGTCTCGAGATTACACGTCCCGGCACTGCCGTTCGCCACATCCGCCAAGAGGTAAGTCCGGCCTACCCAGGATACTACGAGCTCCATGAGAAGAAACCGCTTATTGACCCACGCGCGCCCCACACGCAGATCATGTGGGTCAACGACGGGTTGAAATTGCAGGCACTCGTCGAACTGATCTTCAGCTTGCCAAAGGCACGCACCTTGATCTTCGCAAATACCAAGCTTGACGTGGATCAGATTGACGATTATTTGTACAACCATGGGCTTCCATCGACATCTATCCATGCGGATCGTACGCAACGTGAACGTGAGGATGCACTGTAAGTCTCTGATTCCTTTGTCCCTTCGTACATAATATCGTGCGTGCTTCTATTTTTTTCCCGCTTGCCCTATGCCCCCCGATTTCCACTACGAGGTTCCGGAACGATCTTATTGTTTGCTTTGCCTTCTTCTTCGTTGCTTGTTGCCTAATACCGGAACGATCTTATGTTTGCCTTCCCTCGTCCGTTGTTTCTCATCTTGTGGTCCCGGAACGATCTCATGGATCCGAAATAATCTGTTGTTTGCTATGTTTTATCGTTTGCCGCGTCTAGGCTCCGTGCCGCCTGGACGTTTGCTTGTTACATTCGCCTTCTAGCGTGATCTGGCGTTACGCGGTCATTGTCGGAGTCTCCACTGACTCTTATAAATAGTCGGGCTTTTCGCTCTGCTCACTCTCCCATCCTCGTCACCACGGGCCTGTCTGCCCGTGGACTCGATGTTGTTAACGTGCTTCACGTTATCAACTTCAGCCTTCCTCGTGCGCGTTGCGGTGGGATTACAGAGTACATCCACCGCATTGGTGAGTCATTCCTGTGAAGCATTCAAGACTATGGCTGCCAGCAAATGTTTAGAGAGCCAGACTGACATGCGTTCCTCTTCATCTATTCAGGCCGGACTGCCCGCATCGGCAATCAGGGTGTTGCAACATCCTTCTTCAACAATGCGGACCGTGCCCTTGCCCCCGCACTCACCCGACTCCTCAACGGGTGCGATCAAAAGGTTCCAGATTTTCTGGAACAGTATCTCGGCTCGTCATGGCATGACGAGAACAACATCAAAAACCCGGCGGCCGACGAAGGCCATTACACTCAATCGGGTTGGAACAACGAGGCCGGCACGGCCAGCAACAATTCCTGGGGCCCCGCATCCGACGCGGGCGACAACAACGATCCCTGGAAGCTCGCAGCCGACGCGAGCAAGAACGACAGCGGCTCATCCCGCGACAATGAGCATGGCCACAGCGACAACGAGGCCAGCTGGAGCAGGGATGACGATGAGGTCGGCTACAGCGACAAAGAAGCCGGCTGGAGCAAGGACGACGTCGATTGGTAGGCGTCAGGGGACGGTCGCGGCCGCGACCTTCCACAACTACAGTAGACCGTGGATGGTCTGCTAATACCTTCCAAGTTCTGGAGTTCTCAGTTTAGTTTGGGAATAGTTCAGCGAAAAAAAAAATTCACTTCAAAAAGAAACGGCGCTGTAGTGATCTAGCTCTTTTGATTCTTTTGACCTTGCAGGGGCTTTGTCTTCGGTTTACTTCATTTAAGGAGTACAGCCTCTCTACTCGGTGAGAGAACCTCACATTCGCAACTCTCACGCGGCAATGTCTTTGGTTTGCAAACCGAGTCACATTTCATGCACAGGAAAGAGATGACCAGTCAATCATGGTTCAATTAGCTTGCAGGTCTGATTACTGTTCCGATTCACGCACGCCGTCCTTACGGGTCGACTTCGAACGAAATCGACAGGTTTTCACAAACTCCCATCTTCCAACGGTGGCTCTCATTATTATGTCGCTGACCTTTTTTTGAAAGCTTGATATCGCAATTTTAATCCTGACCCATCACAGTGGCATCAGTGTCGTTGAGGCAGCGAGGATTAAGTGATGTGACATTTCGCCCAATGGAGTAAGAGCGTCGTGATTCGGAAAGACGGTACAGCGGTACACTCCTTCCTGATCGCTCGCAGCATCACGGCCACAACTTCGGCGAGGATTCATCGCCTGAACTGTGTTTATACACCCTGGTCACAAAGCCCCGTTTCTCGCGACCCCGAGACGCGTTCACTCGTTGACTGACCCGCTATACGTTCTTTCATCACGCCGAAACCATGCGGTCTTGCCTCTCGCTCAAGTTTTTACTGCCTCTTTTCTGGCTATCAATTTCGCTCACTGCCATCAGCCGTTCGACCCTTGGTCGACCCGGGAAAAGTCCGTGGGAGCATCCACACTGGCTTGAAACTCGCCAAGCACGATCACTAACATCGAACACCTCGCGGTCAGGCCAGCCTCTGGTCATTGATACTTTCCAAGATTTTGATCAAAATGATCTGGGATTCTGGCACGGAACGGGTGAGGACCTGGAGACGGAGCACGAGCCAGGAGTCATGCGTTTGTTTCCATCAGATCCGGATCAGAATTTCCATACGCAGCTCAATTCGCAGGGCTGCTTCAGCTTGAGTCCTTGGGCAAATCAGTTCCTGCATGTTGTGTTTGAAGGGAATCGGGAATTTACGGTCTCCCTGAATGAGCACAACGCAGAGTGCAATGCGGCTCGATTACCGTTCCCTGGCACAGCCGACAGCGTGCAGTCTTCTCGATACCTTCTGGAGACAGCTCAGCCCGAGGGAAAGGGCGTCGGTACCAGTGACGCAAAGAGAGGGAGTTCAAGTACACAGCCAATGCCTGAACCTGGACCCCAAATTGATGACATCTCCCAAGTTCATGATACTAAGCACCAAGCCAACGGCGCTCTTCAAACAGGTCGACTAGAATTGTACATTCCATTGAGCCATTTCCATGTCAATCTTGACAGGCTGATCTCGGTCTCTCTCAACGGTTTCTATACAGACGAGCCGATCGCACTTCATCGCATCGAGATTGTGCCCACTGTTCCTGCCCCGTCAGACGAGAACGACAACTTCACTCTGCCTAAGAAGCTTCCCACAGGAACTTTGGTCTTGCGTTGCAAGCGTCCGAACTCATTCGCTTTTGGGATTGATGATGGTCAGCCGCAATTCGCGCAGGAGGTCATGCAGATCCTGGATGACGAAAAAGTGCGAGCGACCTTCTTCGTGGTTGCGTCGGGGCTTAGAGATGAGACTACAAATTTCACGGCATTCTATCGCGAGATGTTGAGCAAGGGACACCAAGTTGCTTTGCACTCCAACACACATCCGAAGTAAGACTTGTGCATTATCTTCTGTTTTCCGCTGCGGGCGATACTGACCGTCTCAAGGCTCGAGGAGCTGCAGGACTTGGACGAAATCGACGACGAAATCATCCAGTCCATCGAGACCTTGCGCAACGAGCTGCAGGTAGCATGTAAGACGCCTGTGTACCAATATCTATGGAAATACTACCAAGCGAAGGGATGTACTGACTGCATCGTTTGACAGCGAAATACTTTAGACCCCCGTTTGGCACAGTTGGAGCACGACTACGTCAGGAGCTTGCCAAATACATAGACAATCCGACCATTGTGAACTGGAGCGTCGATGTCGAAGACTGGCTGTGGGCCAATTCGGACACGCCAGAGCGGCAACTCGATGCGTTCTACCGTGGTGTCGCCCGCGGAGGCAACCTTGCGGTGATGCACTACCTGCACCCATCGACTGTGACGTATCTCCGGCCATTCATTCATTATGTCAAAAGCCAGGGACTCCAAATCATGCGAGTTGACCAGTGTTTAGAGGACCCAACGAGTCCGCCAGTGTGAAAGACTTGGAAGGGCACGGGGTTGGGAGAGGAGCTCAGACAAAGACCGAGAGACGCAGGTCGTTTGTGCTTATAGGCGGTACGGTGCTTCGGTGTTCTTTATTCTTAGAACTGTACACTTTGTATACAGTAGCCCGAGTACGAAGTATATAATTTAGTCCCGTCACAATTAGATGGCTATTGTTCTTCCACGTTAACAATGAGGCTGAGTCCTGTTTTGCACTTTTAAACTGAAAGTTGCAGTAGTAGGTAGTAGGTACCACGCATGAAATGTTTGCTGAGCCTGCCCATCGCTCACGTTCAGGGAAATAGATTCCATCGACCACACTGTAGATACGGAATGAGGGAGCTATCACTTCTTGGATGAAAGACTGAGAATAGTCCCCTGCACCCACAGCCGAGGTAATTCCCTCTTGAGTTCTGATTGACAACAAACAATCGGATAAATGACAAATTGAATCGGCCAACCCAATACAAAAAGACAGACGGGCAAAATAGATACTAGATAGTAGACATCAGTCCACAATCTCATCGGAGTCACACGACTAAAGTGAAGCCCTGCCCGGCCTCCAATCCCCCCATATTGTCTAAGCATTTTGTCAGACCCGAGAAACGACAGGCGAGGTACTCTATATGCACCCGGTTCGGCCTTCCCGCTGGAGCTGGAGGGCATCTCAATAGTGCGGAGTCTTGTACACACGCGTCTCGTCAATCAATCGATGAGTTGGAGTCAGAGTCAGGCCAGTTGAGGATTTGGAGAAGAAAGGCGCCGGGGGGGGGGTGCGGTTCTTGGAAGTCACACTAGGTGGGAGGTGGTGGTCAGATGCATGGCAGATAGTGATACAAATACTTGAGAGGGAAGGAGTAGGTACTCGTAGGTTGGAAGAGGGATGGTAGGCCGGACGTCTCTAGTCTTCGACTTCTCACAGCGGCCGGAGAGAGTCTGGAGGACGGACAGTTTTATTCTCGTGTGCCGCCATGGTTACGCGTAGCTGAGGTATTCAGAGATCAGATGGGTTGAACGGACGATGGGTACAGGTCGGTAGGTGGTGTAGTCGTAGTAGTGCCGCTGAGCGTTGTGTCAACTTGCGCGAACTACTTTTTCGCCTACTTGGAAACATAGATCAGTGCTATATGAACCTGGACTTTGGTATTTCAATAGCACTAGACCTTTCAAGGGCCTGGATACATACGCATAAATGTACAACTGTGCCAGGAAAAGTCTCACACGTCTATTATGATCCACCCCATTCCACACTTTTGCAAAAGCCACTTTTTTCCATCTTATCGCGAATGCGATCGACTAACCAACCCGAGACGGCATTGAGAGTGCGCCGTACCGAGACGAGGCGTTCGGTTAGTGAAACAGCTTTGATCACGGAAAGAGAATTGTGTACAGTCTTTGAGACGGTTGCATATTTGGCGACATTCTTCGAAGGTGGTGGCGGGGGCTTGTTCGTCGGTGGACAGATTGTCCCACCCGGTGCGGGCGGGTTTCATGACCATTTCGGGGTAGAGGAGATCGCGGAAGACGTCGCTGTGGAGCAGGATGCGTTTATTTTTCTGAACGATGGAGAAAGAAGGGAGTGTGTCAGAGTCAGTTCTGGAAAAGGGAGGGACTAAAAGAGATCGACCTACATCGTGCCAGCGCTTTTGCTCGTAAGCCCAAAGATCTTGTATTTGGCGAGCGTTGAGGTGGTGAAATGCGGCGGCGATGAAACACCATGGTTGCCGATAGAGATCGACATTGAATTCATCCAGCTCTCCGAGGTTGGAATTTTGTAAAATTGGCCACGAAAAGTGGAGGTTGACGCCCGCGTCAGCCAACACTTTGCCCAGGACACAATCACCGGCCCAGTGTCCGTCTGTATAGTGATGCAATTCCGTCCGACGGGCGGTGTACTCTTCCGCCGCCAATTTCAGCGCCGGATGCGAGATCATGAAGCCCGATCCACCGTGCGCGAAAATCACATCGGCAATCTGTGTTTCGGTGCCAAGATACCATGGCTTTCGGTGGTCGAAGTGCTTGAGCCATCGCAGCAGCGTCGGCCAGGAGATGTACGTGTCGGCTTCCATGAAGACGTACCACTTGGCCTTGGGCCGGTAGCGCAGGGACTCGATGATCATGGGCAGGAACTTCCACTTGTCCAACTTCCACCCGGGATTGTTCGGTTTGCCCACGGCCGAGTTCGCCTCGTCCGCAAAGTCATCCTGGGCAAGTCCCTGGCGCCCGAGCTTCTTGATGCGATTGTAGAGGTCAAAATCGGGGACTTGCTTCATGACGTCCGGGTCCATGCCTTGCAGCACATCGTAGATCTTGACGCCCTCGATCTCTTCCTCAAAGTCGGAGTAGATGATGTAGTTCGGGACGCAGCGCAACGTGGTTTTGAAATGGACAGGAACTTTATCCTTCGCTTCCGTCACACCGGTTTTCATGACGACCAGAATATCGTCCATACCCTCCATGGGGGGACAGAACGACGCTCCGTCGTCGGCATCGCTGGGGCTGGGGTTCGAGTTCGAGTTGGAATCGGACGGGCGCCGATGGTCTATTGATTGAGACTGAGGTTCGAATGTGAAGCCGGAGTCTAAGGCGAAGAAGTGGTATAGACCGAGCAGAGCGAGGGCGGCAGCCAGAGCGATCAAGCGGCGGCTGAATCGGCGACGGGCTACCATCGTTGAAGAGGTCCGGAGATGCAAGCTGTCAATCGCCCGATGGCCGCGATGAAAGCATCGTTACCCGGGACGAGGGAAGCAGATAGGGAAGCGGATTTGGAGAAAGCAGGAAAGGGAGCGAAGCAGGGAACCTTTCAACCACGGAAAACAATAGATCCAAACACGCGATCCCGAAGTGGAAGGGAGAAGAGGATACGTCTACTGCTCCGTTCTGGAGCTCGGGCGACTTGAGCGAGGGGTGTTTTGGGGTGGGGAGGGCCAAAGAAAGGGTCGAACTAGAGTGTGGAAGCCGGAATGCGGGTGTCCAGAGGGCCGATCGACGCAAGGCCGCGTCTTCGGGCGGATTTTCTGTTGGGTCTGCTGGGTCGTGCGACGGTTCTGCGACGGGCTGGAGTTCATGGGATCGCTCCAGTTTTCAAATGCTGCGTCGGCGGATGACAGCCAGCTCGTCGGGACTTGCACCGTTTGGATCCAGTTCTGGTCCGACGTGATCCACCCGTCCGGGCGGCTGGGGCTGAATTAGGTCCTCATGCTTGGAATTTCCATTGGAGGTCGAATGCGAAGCTCGGGTCGTCTGCGGACTGCAGACGAGGGCATCACTGCATACTTGCATAGTGCATGCTCATGGTGCTTGGCGGGGAATGTGACATGTGACACCGGTACAACGAGACCCAAGGCTGTTTCAGCTTCCTCGAAGAGTCGAAACCGACCTTCCCTACGATCCGCTCAGGTTTGCCCACGACAAGGGCTCCTGCACGACAGCGATGCGGGCGGCTGCTCCCTGGTAGGAAATTTCCTTCTCCTGGGCTGCAGCGGGCAACATGTTCGTCGGGAATGCCGGATCATTAACCTGACCAGGGTGTTGTACGTGATAGAGATCTCACGTCGAATTGATAAATCCTTGCTGTTTCGGTCTGAAGGGGGCAAGCAGTGCATCAAAGCTTCTTCATTGGAAAATCCTGTTGTTCTCCGTCTGCCAGTCAAACACGACGATCGATGATATGGTCTCCAAGGGGACTGGGTTGTGGCGGTGCACATCCCTCATCCGCCCCTTCGGTCTACCATCCACTTGAGGGGATCGGGGATCTTGACGTGTACTCGCCCCCTGAATGTTGACAACCCCTGAGTCGGAGGTGGAATTTCACTTTCAGCATGGCTATCAATTGACGAAGATAGGTGGTGGCAGATCCACTAGTTCGATCTACAGTCCGAGGGGCATGGCGACACACTGATATACGTGTTGATCTGGTCTACGTGAGACAAATCGTGGAAGTGACTACGAGGCAATCGTATCCATCTGATCGTGGATGTTACCACAAGGGTGACATGATGACACACTTAATTCCACGTACGAGAGGTACCTAGGTATGGCATAGAAAAGTTGGAAAGCTTCCTCGACTGCTTGCGTGACTTCCCTTTGGTGTTCCCCTCCCCCGATTTGAACGGGGACGCTGATGATCGACTCTCAGCCACGTGATGCTTCCGTGTGTTTGTGAATCATATTCCCATGCAGCTTCACCAACTCAGGAATGATGATGCTTTCAATCTCGATTCCATCGCCCGAAGTCTCCGAAGACGGGTTTTCGGATCCGGGCCCAGACCCGTCTCGACCCTTTTTAATCTCGGCAAGGCCAACCTGGTCCTCCACGCCCGATATACTCTTACTGCGCCGAGCCTTGGGGACACGGATCCATCGCTCGTGTGGGGGGTCCGGGGTGATGAAGACGACCTCCCACTTCCGCGTGGAGAGCAGATTACCAATCACCAGATGATGGGAATATCGCTGAAGCGCGGTCTTGGCCTTGTAGACCAACAATGACGGATCGGTCTCCAACTTGAACGACACGACCATACTGCCTTCGGGGGCCCAGCCATCCACCAGTCGATGGAGGAATTTCGGGACCGGATCAAGGTTGATGACCAGCTTCTTGCCTGCCTTGGGCGGTTCGGGCGCATTTTCGCCGGTATATATATCGTTTGACCCAATTGCCTCGTCATTGGAGAAGTTGGCGGGGATCTCGGAGGATTGGATCTTATGCTCGGCCATGCGACTGCGCGGGATGAAAAAGTCACTCACTGCCGCGGCCAGGTAAAACAGGGCATTGGAGCCGAGCGGTCGCATCAGCTTGGCCAATGATCGCAACTCAAACATGTATTCCGAGACGGTGGTGAAAGGCAGCAAGAGGAGGAGGTTATTTTGTTTCGCATAGCGGTATTTGCGCAACACGTCGCGCATCTGGTCCTGGTATTCGCTGCGTACGACGATCCGGCCGTGGTCAGGGTTTTCCGAATCCGAAGCGGGAGGGGCTTCGTCCATAAAATCGAGGAAGCAATTCGTGGAGTGGCTGTAGTGCCTTGAGTATGGGAGCAGACTGTATTGTCGGTGCAGGAAGATGACGGCGTATCCCTGCTCGAGGAAGTATTCGGCAGAGGTTGCACCTCGAGTGCCAGCGGAGAAGTTGTCAATAAATCGAACGGTCTGCGCTTCGAGAGGCACCGTGGTCCCACCGGAGGTAACGAGCACAACGCGCCGGTTCGCTTCTACATGGCGCTCGACGAAAGCTCGTGCCAGAGCTTCGTGTTTCGGTAGCGCCTTGGGAGGGGGGTATTCGTTGAAGTATGCGGACTCGGCCTCGGCAGGCTCCATGTCTCCAATGGAAGGCGACATGATGTGTTTGGCAGTCGTGCAAAAAAAGTGAACGGTGGTTACACGTCAGAAGGACGCGTTGGCGACGGCGGATCGGGAACTAAATCCCAGCGTCTTGAGCTCGGGGTGCGGAATACAGCACTTGACTGCCGAGGCTGCCGTTTCCGGTGGACGGGGGATGCGAATCGGAGCGGGGAGTAGCTCAACGACGGGGGGGGGGGGGTAATGTGATTTGCCTTGCCCGTGAAAGTGCCCAATACAAACCGGTACTATTCGCAGCTCGTCTTCATCATTTCGGCACGAGCTTCGTTCAATATCCGAGTATCGCTTTCCTCGAAATACCTCAGAGCTTGAAGCTCACATTGAGTACCCCGCCAACTGATAAGTAGGGGCAAAAGTCCCGTTTAGTCCTAGCGCTGCCGCTGGACCGAGTCAACCAACGCTAAAATACGGTTCAAGGCATGCAAAAAAGACAAGGGCAAGCAGCGAATGCATGACGCGTGTATCTCTGCCAGTGCCCACTGCCCACTGCCCAGTGTGAATGCTCACGGACAGCTCAGCTCAGCTCACCTGCAGGAGAGACCCTTGAGCAGTGCTTCAACGCTTGCACCGTCCCTTTTGGTGGGCAATGCAGATGCCGAGGCGATTGCGACCACAATGTTGTAATCACTGGGTTGAGATCACGTGGTGAGTTCTCACTCTGGAGGATTAGGTATCTGCTGTCCTGCTGGGCGTATTTGCCAACCATGCAAATGAGCTAGCTCTATACCCTTCGAAATGCTGGAAAGGGTATCGTTATTGAGGGCACGGTAATCAATCCACATTCGCCACTTCCCGTTCGCCTTCTTGACGAAAAACACGGGCAAGTTGGGGCTCGCAGAGGATCGAATCAGGCCCTTCCGGAGAAAATGGTCGACCTGCTCCGTCTGCTCCTTCATCTTTTCACTTGAAAGAGGATAGGAATTGAGATTGACTGGCTTTGCATCATTGGTTTCGATATCGTGGAGGCAGAAATCATCCCCGCTGTTCTGCATGCAGCAAGAACGGACACGTCGTCAAAGACTGCTGGTCCAAAAGAAAGTCGAAGGGCAATCGGCCAAAAAACGCCAACGGCTCGACGAACTAGAGGCGCTCGTCAGCTGTCCCAAGGCAGCCTCCGATACAACCTAACTACCGGACGAGGACCTCCTCGATTCGTTCCAATTGAAGGGTATCGGACGCGATGGAAGCCTCCATGTTTTCGGAGAATCTCTGACGTTCTACCGATTGGATGCTTCATCCCCGGCATCTTAGCTGCCCTCCAATGCTTTTGGAGAAATTGCAATGAAGAGTATGCTTCTCGAAAAGATCCACACGATCAAGAAATATGAAGGCTCTATCAATGACGATGCCACGGAGAAGTTAATTCCTGACTGCGATCGTTTCTTCCTACAATGGCTGGGCAGATGTAGGTAGCGGACTCGATGTCTTTCCGTACTTCGGGCCACCACGCTCGAGGGCGTATGGCATTCCACGAGAAAACATTCAGAAATCCCAGAGAGGGTACTCGCGCTGCATAACCCTGACTGCATTTGCATTTCTTAGCTAGCATACAGTGGCGGCGAGGGAGGCCCCCCCCATATAAACAAGTCTCCGGATTGTCTTCAGCAGAAGTCAAAAGTCGGACTAATAACTTCAACTCTTCATTATCATTATGTCAAATGAATAGACGCGACGGCTGTGGGTAGCCATGATTTATTGTAGGTAGCGGCTTCGCAAAGCTTGACTGATGGTGCTCATTCGGCTCGCCATGCCTCCATGCTGCATATTGCTCATGAGCGCTTCCTCGAGGGCAGACTGTGTGACACTGGCATCTACTCATGCCGTCAGCCGAGGGTTCAATGTGCGAGCGGGGGGAAAAAAAGAAGAAAAAAAAGAACCATCAAGACACATACCGTCTAGATCACTGAAGCTGCTTCCCATGCTAGGGGTACCATCGCTGGCTTCGCGGCCGGATGCTGCGGATTTCCGAGGGCTTTGACGCGGAGGCTCTCCAACACGATGGGGGCTCAATGCACTGGGAAGTTGCCCGAGCCCCTGGCGGTCACTGGTCGATAAGCTTGCCGGGGTGCCGGAGCTGATCGAGCTGTTGAATGATTCGGTGCTTGGTTTGGGCTTTCGATCAGTCCGCTCGCCCTTGCTCGGTCTGTATGGAAGCGGCTTTTCGTTGTCCCGAATCGTCGTGCTAAGTTTCTCGTCCGATTGACCTCGCATGGACGAGGTCTTGTCTCTCGCCATAGGAAGAAACGCTGGAACATCATCTTCGTCCTCATCCTCGGCATCAGATAGACCCGCACGTTGCATGGAGAATTTCCCAAATTTTTTGAACCGTGGCAGTCCCCGGCTGGACTCCACATCTGACTCAGAATCGGGGTCGGTCGAGCTCGAGCTTGGTTCTTGTTCTGCAAGAGGTGGTGACCGCACGTGCGACGAGGACGACGGCGGTTCCCGCCGCGCCCCAGATGGGCGACGCACAAAGTTTTCCCATCGCCGCTCAGTGCCTTGGACAGGTTCATGGCGTGAAGAGTCACGCGAGTGACGAAACTGATTCAGAGTTGCTGTGGATGTAGAGCTCGCACGGCGGTCTTCAGAGGCTGTTGGGAGGTTAGGATCGAGGATTGTCAGGTCGCTATGAGCATAAAGCAAGCCGTACCTTCGTGGGGGGAGTCCCTCTGTTGATATATTTGTCGCTGCGGTCCTCGAGGGCCTATCGTGGATTGAGCATCATGTATCGCTTGACAAAGCTTAGAAGAAGGCCTACCTCCCACCCCTGGCAATTGTCGTTGCGCCTGCACTGTTAGCGCCGCACTCCCAGACACAGAATCTGGCACGGGCGACGGCGTGCTCGGCTGAACGGGGGGCACCTTGCGCATTTGAGCTCGGACTTGCGAAAGCTGTCGGTCATAGAGCCAAGCGGCCTGTTGAAGAAGAAATTGCAGAGTCACATCGAAGTGCTCCGCTCTGCATGGGGGAAGTCAAGTTAGTGAGACCATATGTTGCCGCGAGATCGATAGTAGGGGGCATGTCTCATTACAGTGCTTTCCCTGTGTGTCTATTAGTTTGGAGAATGATGATGCTGGAGTTGAGATTGGGAAGTGCCAGGAGATTCTTACAGTCAATGTCCTTTCCCTTCGATGGGCGGGACAAGACATCCCATAATGCTTGGTCCTTTGTTGCATCCCACTCCACCTGGACATAACGCTCAGTTTGATATCACAAGACAGTATGGAAAGGGCCACTACTAGGCCTTACTGGAGGTGGGTCTATAAAATCCCCGCGGGGGAATGGTAATCGAATAAAAACTGTAAAGTTGGCGTTGCTGGACTCCATCTTCGCTGTTTCTTATCACACTGCTGCCCGGCTTGTCTGTCGGTCGCAATATGATGAAAAGGTAGGCAGCTCTGGTCCGCTTCGCCCTGGGAAATGATGTGTCCGTACTGCTAAGCAAAGATCGATGCTGAGTGGCTCCTCTGTCGAGAGACCCTAGACTGTGTACAACAAGCAAGAGAACAATACAACATCAACGAGTCGGTGGTGAGGCTGGATGACGACGACGGAGGAGTAGTGTGATTGGTAGTTGCAGTCATATGATCCTCGTGGCTAGTAGGAGTGGAGACTGTGGCTCACCACTCCACCGGCCTCTCTTAACTCCGTCGCAGAATCATTTAGATTGCAACTGTGGTGATCCATGATCACAAAGACGATGATACCGGACGAGGGCACTCCGGTAGACAGACAGAGAAGGTTTTCAGGAAAATCAGTAGAGCAGTAGTGGGTATCTGGGCTTAGGCCGTATGTGAAGAGCACGAGAACAACAACGCTTGCACACTCCGATCGAGATTATCACCTAAGCCCGAGATGCTGTCGGGCCTTGAGGTGTGCATACTGCATAGTGTGCAGTACGCAGTGCATACTACAAACCATCTACACATGTACTCGATGACCACAATAAGATGAGTGGTCTAGGCAGTTCCACCACCTTGGAGCGACATTGACAGGTGCGTAATACCTAGACAGACTGAACTTCTATTATGAAATCCCCCGGTCCAAGCTGAATCAAAGAGCCAATATCGTCGCAGCGAGGCAGACAGGCCTCGCTCTTCTATGATGATTTGGACTATCCTCGTAAGACTATGCTACATAGCAGGCTGGAGTCGTCAATTGGAAAGTTCCGTCTTGAATCTGATTTTGTATCTTCCCCTGCGAGGCTGCGACTGCGTATTGTACACCATTGAATCCTAGTCGGGCGGGCAAATGTATTCAATTGGAAACTCCGGCGATCGATCATCTGCACCGGACGAGGGCGGGGGTGCTGCGTCCAACGAACCTCGGCTCCATCCACGATCACCCACCGCAAGATCGCACCCAATGCTTGAAATGATGTGAGCGAACCTTCTACTAGGTACCAACAGGTACAATCATGACTCGATGAGTGTTGGTAGCGGAGGTGCTGTTTTGGGAAGGCGTGGGTTTACGTATAGCAATCCCAATGGAATCCAGTACTGGAGTCAGCAGTTCAAACTGTAAAGGTTCCTCCTACCTTAGTACTAGAAGGTTAACTAGGCTTCGGAATACTCCACCTCAAGCCATCCTCCGCCAGATGCTATAGCGCTCTCCAGACTGGATTTTGATTTCCCTCATCCGCTTTTGTTCTTCCCCACAATCACGCTCCGATTTTCCTCACAGCCATGTCGTCGGTGTTGACGTATGGCTATCTCAAAGTCCTGGCGACTCTGCTTCGAGCGGTGGTCTCTTTCTTAGAGTTTGTTACCAGACGGCCGACGCCCCGACCGACCGACATTCGATACATCGCATCGCGTGATCCGGGCAGAACGATCAAAATCCATGTGTATCGGTCTCGTCAAGCGACCGCGGGACCCAGTCCGGTGCTGATCAACTTTCACGGCAGCGGATTCCTACTTCCACAGCATGGATACGACGAGGAGTTCTGTCAAACCATCTGCCAGAAGACGCATCACACCGTGCTGGACGTGCAATACCGCCTGGCACCCGAACATCCCTTCCCGGCGGCGCTGAATGACGTCGAGGACACGATCCGGTACGTGCTCGGACGCGACGCGGAGTTTGATCGGTCGCGCATCTCTCTCTCGGGCTTCAGCGCCGGGGGCAACCTAGCGCTGGCTGCCTCGGCAGTCCTCGTCCCGCCCAACACCGTCCGGGCAGTGTTGGCGTACTATCCCGTGGTGGACATGGCCACCGATGCGGCCAGCAAGGTGGCCCCGGAGTCCAAGACACCGGTCATTCCTGTGCCCGTCTCCCGTTTCTTCAATCGATGCTACATACCTGCCGGGTTCGACAAACGTGACCCTCGCATCTCCCCCCAGTACGCCGATCCGGATCGGTTTCCCACCCGCATGCTCATGATCACGGCGGCAGCAGACTCGCTGGCCTGCGAAGCGGAAGCGCTCGCGCAGAAAGTCGAGGCATTGCCGGGTCGACATGTGGTGTGGGAGCGCATGGTGGGGTGTACCCATGCCTGGGATAAACGCACCAAAGCAGGAACGCCGGAGCGCGAGGCTCGCGATCGGGCCTACGCCCTGGCCGTGGACATGTTGAACGGGAGATAAAGGGGAAGGAGGAAGGGTTCACCCTCGTGGCGTGGACCGTGACTGATTTTGATGATGAGATGATGCGAGTTCATGGAAGATATGACCCTCTTTCATCCATTTTGTACTCTCGGGCTGTTGTACAACCTACGGTCGGACACAAACCATAATGATGTAGTTGATAGTCATCTATTAGCCTGGACTGTGGACAACTTGATTCTTCCCTGTGCAACCTTCTGGAAGGCTTGGCGGGAGTCGTCTGGTATCTGTAGGCGGACGGCTCTGCTTGAGTGTTCATGGGTCTTGGGGATCCATGGCAAATACCCAACCCTGTGGTAGAACCTCCCGAATTTGGGACTGTAGCGTCCCTGGACCGTTTCACGCTGGGGACGTCCACCCATGGCTCGTCGGGGGCCAAGACGGTGTTCCAACGTCCTGGGGAGGTTGGGTTCCTCGGCCTTGGGTCTGCTGAAGAGTCTCCCGAGAATCCGACGGGGAAGAAAGGACTCGCTCAGCACCGACCGGAGTCTCCATGGTCCATACTCCATGAGTCCATACTCCATGAGTCCATACTCCATGAGTCCATACTCCATGAGTCCATACTCCATGAGTCCATACTCCATGAGTCCATACTCCATGAGTCCATACTCCACGAGTCCATAGACTCCATACGACCTCCCGTCGGAGTGGGGGTTCGCGACAGGGGAGAACAACAAAACGAACACACAACCTTTGCAAAACTAGGACCGAGAGGCCGCTTGGCTTGAAGATGGAAAACAAAGACTTTACTTTTTCATCACAATGACCCCTGCAGTGGCCACATGCTCTCGCCTGCTTGGGCGCAATCTCTTTTTCTCCAAGTTTCGTGTCTCGCAGTGACAGGATCAACCCTCTGTCAGACTCAGCGCCGTAGTGAACAACGACGGCAGAGAGACTCAAGAGCCGCCTTTCTCATCGATTCCCCAAGCTCCTGCGGGCCGGTCAAGTCGGCTCCTTCGGCCACGAGCAGCCGCCTATCATCGGCGTGGCAGAGATGCTGAAGCGAGGATGACTGGTGAACGTCGTCGCGGTGATCCACCTGCAGAGCCTTGAGACATGGGCGGATTGCTTCAGGACGGCCGCGTGGGGCCCTCCGGTTTCAGTCAACCCGTCAAACGTAAAAAAACCACATGGCAAATGTCGGGATGGGCCCCATGAAGACAAGGGAAAATGGGGACGAAAAGGAACCACCAAAAAAAATGACCCGAATTTTAAAAAAAGAAAAACGCAGAAGAAAACAAGGAGGACCCAGTGGATCACTGCATTTGGCATCACAGTCCAAGTTGACCAAACTCCCTCCTCCCCCCCCCCCCAGTCAGACGACTGACAAGTTAGTTTACCATCCTCTCAGGTAGAGTGTGGTGTTGCGCTCGTGGGCCTTCCTTTGTCACTGTACCGTCATCGTTCTACGAAGGGGGGCTGTTCCTGACGAAGGAAGACGTGGGACTCAACATCCTCGTTGAGACTGCAGTCAGAGCTGATCCGCGTCGTTCGTGACCCATCGATCAGGCTGAAGAAGCTTGTGTGCCTTTGACCAACCGTCATCAACCGGCGTGATCGCCCCTCATCCCACTTGCTTCTCCTGACGATTCTGGAATTCCTTCTCGCTCAGTCGGACCTTACGTCGGTTCTGCTGTCTTTCCCGCCGACTCCATTCAGAGCGTTTGTCTTTCTTTCTGTCCTCAACGGCGCGGCCCTCAAGAGACCAGCTTTTTCTCACCACCGCCAGTCTCCATCCACCCCTGACTGAAGCCGATCAGCGGATGCGGTCATAGTACATCCAACCCCTCGGTCACCGTTCCCTGTGGTGCCGTGGACGGGTCCGTTCCTGGTCGCAAACTCCCTCCCCCCCCCCCCCCCCCCCCCCCCTCTCTTCGCCGCAGAGACGCAGTTTGCTCGTGCTCCCGGGCTCCTAGCAGCTGTTTTTCGCGGGGCTTGATGCGCGCCCGCTGGGTAGGCGCCGACTCGACAATACCGTCTTCGCAAACGGAGCGATGAATCCCACACAAGTTGCCAATGTGGGGGTCGCCCCTCCTGCATTTGACAAGGATCAATACCGGGGAGAAGTCCTTGGTCTCTCCGGCGAAGCAGAGGAAGCGCGGGCACAACAGCTCCTGGATGATGCGCGGGCTTTGGGTCTCAAAGTTCCCGAAATCGAGGTCTCCGCTCCGCTGGCAGCATCAATGGCCTCGGGACTAGTGGATTTATCTTCGCCTGTGCTCTCATCGGGGTCCTCGGCGACAGATCAAAATTCCATTGGCGATGGTTCCATCACTCCGTCGCTGGACCCGTTGAGTTCAGCGCGGCTCAATGAGGTGGTGTCGTCCCTGTCCGACGTGACAATTGCGTCGGAACAGGTCAAGGCGGGAAGCACCAGATCGCTGGCGTCACTGTCCACACGACCCACGTCCTATTGCTCGAGCGAGAGTCGCGCAGTTCTGGAGAATGCCGGCAGCAGCAGCGGCACCTTTTCACCGTCCCATCGCCATTCGATACTCAGTTTCGCCTCGGTGGATAAGAAAGAGAAGCGCCGCCATAGCCTGAAAAATGCCATCGGACGGATATACTTTCGCAAGAAACGAACCCCGTCCTCCGTCATACTGCCGCCCGATGCGCACATTGTGGTCTCCAAGGGCGAAGGTGGAGTGGTGGATCATGTTTTCATCGAGACACGGCCAGGACGGTCCTCCACAAGTCCCGACGGCGACTCAGGCTCGAGCAGCACGGTCGACTCTCTGCCGCGGCTGGAAATCCCCATATATGATCGAGAGTCTGTGCAGCGCAGTGCGGAGGAGCCACGATTGGCGGAGATGTTGGAGCGACATCAACTCGAAAGAGACCGTCACGTCGCCTTCCAGGAGACGGCCCTGAGGATATTGCGCCAAAGGCATCAGGCCGCCATCTCCACGCGACAGAGTGAGAATGAGCGTTTAGAGGAGGAAATGCGCGAAAAGGTAAGAATGCCTCTCCGCCAGCAGGGTGCCCAGTCTTTGCCGGGGCACTCGTCTGATCCTCCCACCGCTGTCCTGGTGCTTTGACTGACCGCGGAAACTGTAACAGAATCTCGAACACGCCGCTCGTATGGAAGAACGTCAACTGGTCGTCGAAATGGAGCAACAACGTGACTTTCACCGCGCAAAGCAAAATTCACGTACACGCATCAAGCACATGGAGGGGTACTTTCGAAATGCCAGCCCACCGCCCTCTTCTTCGCCTGCGACGCAGCATTCTTCTGAATCCTTTTCCGGGTCCGAGTCAACCACTCCACCCACGCGTCGCTTCACCCGACAGCAGAAGGAACAACTAGAGCGGCAGTACCGCGATCACGAGATGATGGATGCGCTCCACGAAGCTCGAATCAAGGTACTCCGAGAACGCCAGGAACTCAGACTTCAAGAAGCCATGGCACGGATGGAGCGTGAGCTTCACCAGATGTGTGCCGAAAATTCCAAATCCATCACTGCCATGCAGGCGGACCACCGTTGCGAGGAATCGAGTCTCATCCAAGCACTGGATTCCCAGAAAATCGCGCTACGGCACCGCTGGAATCTCGAAGAGGCCATTTTGCGCAAACAACTGGAAATAGAAAACGGGCATATATACGGACCCTTACCGCCGATCTCCTTCAGCAGGACTAATACCAACGCCATCGATCCGGCTTCTAATTCCAAGGGTACCCCTGCCCCTGCAACCCACCACGACAGTCAGCCGACCCAGGAAGACGCAACTTAACCTACGGCTGACGTTTGACGTCTGTCCATTGCACTCGCCTCCCACACAAGCGACGTGACCATTGATCTCCTCCCGTTTATTAATACTTGCATTTACAACATACTCGCATCATCGGTTCAGTTCGCCATGTCTGATATCTTGGTTTGCCTTTACATTTGTGCTTTTGCAGCATCACCCTCCAGCGCCCTCCATCTTTGATACCATTGATGTCTACCATATGAATTCCTTTTGTAATTATTTCCATTCCCCCGTCTTTCCTTCTACCCCATGTACATTGCCTAATCTCATGCCGTTGTAATTGATAAAGATGCTTATCTCTGAGCCGCCCGCTCGTGGGAGTCGTTTGGGTTTTGTTGGTTTCTGCATAGCCTTTTTGTTAAATATACTTGCATCAAGACTCGTTCGAAGAAATGAGAAGTTCGCGCATGAAACATTGGCATTGGGTATCATTGTCGCCACTAAATTCATACATGAGGTGGTTCAAGCGAGAAATAGGAGATCCGGGTTGGCATCAAGTGGCGCCAATACGGTCCCTCAACCGCTCAAGAAGACTTTCAACACGACCACCGCCGCCAGTCATTGCATCTTCCATGATTTTGTCCCTGCCGTCATCCCCAATGACAACTGCCCGTTCCACAATCCCCGAATTAGACAGCTTCAACCGCCCGACTCGGCCGTCTTCCCATTCCAGTCGAAGATATCGAGCCTCCATCGAAGTGGGTTCCAACGCAACGATCCCACCCCTAGCCTCGGGTGTCAGTCGATCCACCGGATCAATCAACAGAGCTTCACACAGGCCCAGCTTTTCGCGCAACAACTGCACCGTGTCCTCGCGCAAATGCCACGCCGCCAGCTCACGCCGGAGCTCCCGCACAAATCCACGAAGATCTTGATTTCGCGCACCCTTTTGTACCCCGGCCCCATCCACCCTGTTTCCACCCTCGACCCTCGATCCCGTCGACGGTAAATAAACATTCTCCAGACGAGGCAAATCGATGAACGAGGGTATGGTATGCCGATGAACTCGGAGTCGTTTCTCGCGCTCCGGCCTCAACAGAACATAGTATGGTTTGGCGAAGCGACCGCCTCGCGTGCACACGTCGATCCGGACCCCGAGGAGGTTCCCGGGGGTCGCGCTGGGCGAGGGATCTTTGAACGGGAACGCGGTCGTGCCAAATGCGATGCGATGGTGATTCGAGTCGGCGTGTTTTCCGGCGGCCTCGGCAAGGGGAGAGACGTCTTCTTGGAGTGAGGTGGGTGTTTGCGAGGGCCTGCGCATGAGCTTCTGGATAGAGTCGGAGGATAGGAGACTTGATGCGAGATAGCGCTTTCGGCGTTGGAGGGCCCGAACTGTGGAAGATGTCAGGCACGAACAATCATCGCACTCGATTCGGGGCGCAGAACTTACTCTCTGCGCGTATCGTCTGGAGGTCCGCATCGAGCTCTTGCTCGTGCGGGTCTGGAGATGCTGTCGCACCACGCGCCTGAAATGGCATTTTCGATACTGAAGTATGAATGGACCAGTCGTGTGAGATAAAAGATCTGGATAATTTACCGGATTGAAAATGCTGCGCTGTCGATGCACCGAGCGACCTGGTTCACAATCTGGTTTGCGGGGACTACTGCGTTGTCTCCGAGTCCTATACGGATGCGCTTTTGTTTACATTCAACATCACGTGATCTTGCATCATCCGACTGTTATCGAAATCCTTATCTTCCATACATTGAGTGCTGTCTGATATCTGTACCTCGAGCCTCCTAATACATTGAGACTCTTGTGGATCTTGAAAGTCCGGCTATGCAGGGTTCTGGGTCAAATTGGCTGGACGTGTATGATTGTCACAGAGAATCATGAAAGAGGACATGAAATCAGAATGATTGCAGGCAGACTGGAAGGGTACGAGACAAATGCATGTGGGCCCGATGAGGCTCTGTCTGGGGCTAGAGTCGGAGTAGCGTCTTGCTTGGAAATCATTCCGACCAGCTTTCTCAGTCTCTGACACAATGTAGGGATTGTTGGATATGATTTTTGAGAAGATACTCTCATCTCATAGTTTTTGACCATTCTATAGAATAGATATGAAAGTATCCTGACTCATAGCATCTCTGCTGGCATCGAAATCGTTACAACGCGTACCCACGTGTTCCTCCGATTCGAGATTGGCGCCCAGTCGCCGTGCTGTGCCCAAAGTCATTGCTTGATCAATGGTCTAATAGTCTGTATCTTCTTGGTAAGAATTTCGCTCAATATGAAAACTTGAAATACGTGTTGTCCTGAAAGACTGTCCTATCAAGATGGCTCGGATTGTTCAGCTCTGGGGGTACACACATGCCGCCTCCAATCACCGCCGCATGTCCGAATACCCGCTAAGGCCAGCTTGCCTCTCCGCGACTGAGGGAGACCCGCGATTTCCCAGATTCGAATTGTCATCCGATCGTGTGGCTCAGCGACTCTTGCCTCTCTTTCCTGTCCAGCATGTCTTTGCGTTAAGAGACTTGTTCACCCCCTCATTGCTCTTACCTCGCCACATGCATTGTGCACGCTCTTTCAACCTGTTTTCTATTTGACATCTGACACCCGTGCTATCAAGGCAAATCCGCATTATCCAGCAACAAACCGCCGACGCTCCCCTGTCCGACAATTTGTACGGAGCACTCGCCATTCGAACTCACCCTGTGAATTCTGTGTGTCATAGCATTCATTATCACTCATCGCCGAGCTAAAATTTCATCTGTCTTCCAAATTGTGTGGAACTTCTGAATTTCGAGGCTCTCCCTTCTCTCGTCCACAGCCGCCAGCCCTGGCTTCCCTCTCGGATACCCTTCAATGACACGCAAGAACGCCACCCTTTCCAAACGCCGCTCCAAGCCGAACCTCTCTGTGACGACTGGCCGAAACGGCCATGTGAATGGGGACGGAACCGGCAAGATGAACAACAACATTGAAATGCGCAAGCGGGAGACGTCCTCTGAGTCGACCTCTGACCAAACCTACCGCACAGTGCGAAGTCCCAACTTTTCCCTCGACGACGAACCTGCCCTGGTACCGCCGACACCCATTCTCGCAAACACAAGCTTCCAAGAGCTTCCCCAAAATGATAAAAGAAACTTTCTCCTTCTATGCGTCTTATATTTTCTACAAGGCGTACCGATGGGTTTAGCTACCGGATCGGTTCCCTTCCTGCTGAAGCCTTATCTATCCTACGGACAGATTGGCGTCTTTTCTCTCGCCTCATACCCATACTCTCTCAAGCTCTTTTGGAGTCCGATTGTGGATGCCGTCTGGAGTCAGCGGTTCGGTCGTCGTAAGAGCTGGATCACTCCTGTCCAGGTGATCGCAGGCTTGGCCATGATCTACTTGGGCAGTCATATTGAGGAGATGATGGAGAAAGCGGGAGCAAATGGTGGTGCGGGTGTGTGGAACTTTACGTACTGGTGGTTCCTGTTAGTCTTCTTCTGTGCCACGCAGGATATCGCAGTTGATGGCTGGGCAATCACATTGATGTCCCCACCCAATATCTCGTACGCGTCGACAGCACAGACCGTGGGTCTGACAGCTGGGCATTTCCTTTCCTATACGGTGTTCTTGGCCTTCAACTCCAAGGATTTTGCCAATCGTTGGTTCCGCACGGTACCTACAGAGGGTGGGCTCATGTCGCTTGGAGGGTACTTGACTTTCTGGGGATGGACCTACCTGATCGTGACGGTGTGTCTGGCTTTCTTGAAGAAGGAGGACCGTACAAAAGACCGCGATGGCATCTTGGATGTATACAAGAGTATGTGGAGTGTGCTCAAACTGAAGCATATCCAGACTATCATCATGATCCACCTCATCGCCAAGATCGGCTTTCAAGCCAATGATGGTGTGACCAGCCTGAAGCTGCTCGATAAGGGCTTTGGTCAGGATAATATGGCTTTGGTCGTTCTGATTGACTTTCCCTTCGAGATCATGCTGGGCTACTATGCGGGCAAGTGGTCCACTGAGTATACTCCCATGCGTTTATGGGGTTGGGCCTTTGTCGGCCGATTGGCGGCCGCGGTCATGGCCCAGTTCACGGTGATGATTTACCCTAGCGGTGCCGAAGTGCCGACTTGGTATCTCCTCACCGTCATCTTCGAGCATGTGGTCTCGACATTCATGAACACGGTCATGTTTGTGGCTATTTCGGCCTTCCACGCCCGCATCGCTGACCCAGCCATTGGTGGAACTTATATGACTCTCCTGGCGACGTAAGTTACTCCCTGCTCGGTGTCCCTTGTGCGACCGAGATACCTAGCCAGCCTTACACTTGCCCTATGGAGGCTAACTGTTTTTTTTTTATAGTGTCTGCAATCTGGGTGGTACCTTCCCCCGCTATTTCATCCTCAAGCTTGTGGATTTCTTCACCGAGGCCACCTGTATTCCATCCACAGTGGTCCCGCCTGCGGACAAGCTCAAGGGCACTCTCGTGACCCAAGCCTTCTCTTGCGCGCTTGAGCCCGAAAAGAACCGATGCATCAACGGCGGTGGCGTGTGCCAGGTTGATCGCGACGGCTACTATATGACCAACATCATCTGTGTGCTCATTGGCACGGTAACTTTCTTCATGTTCATCAAGCCTGCGGCCACCAGGCTCCAGAGTCTGCCGCTGCGGGCCTGGCGATTGAATAGCGGCCCGGTTGCACGCAACTGACGATAGTCTCTGGGGGCAAAAGACTTGAGCGCCCACTCTTGATGGTCTTCGTCTGTGGCGTTGACATTTCCTAATTGGCAAAGGGTGAATCTTGATTGTAGTATAGCGATAGAATGGATTTGATTCAATAGTATTGCGTTCTTTTGTCTACCACATGGGTTCCTCGAGGGCATACTTCTTTCGCCCTGTGTAGCGATCCTTCTGGGTTTGATCTCTTCTTGTTGTTACTGGATGTTTGGAAAGAGTGTACTATAGAGGATGAATAAGTCCTGGTGAGCTCGCATGGTTTCAGTTACTTTCAACCTCGTGATGACTCGTGTCAGCCAAGGTACCTTGACAGATTTGGCGAAGTCGACAAATTCCTCGGACTGGTCATGCATTGATAAAGCTCCGAGAGCCCGGACGTGACGGATTAGGAAACATCATAAGATGTTCCGGTAAGCTAATATGAGCACCAACAGAAGCCTTTTCCATTGTTGGATCGGAGAATCTCCACACGTGGATCAGAAGGTAAATACCCCGTACCTTGGCATATTGGTTGCATCCCACGGACTTCCTCCTACTGCACCTTTCTCCAGGTTCCCCCCTCACACCGACCGGGGTCGAGAACACATGAGCACGGAGCACCTGCTTACTGTATCCCTTAAAGTAGCAAATTGTCCAACGAATCCAAGTCCTCTCTGAGTGTCGCTGGAGACGGAAAAGGGAATACGAGAAGGCTTTGGACAGCCCCTGGTCCGGCGATTCCACCTGAGGGGTCTGGACCACGCCTCTGCACGTGAACTTGCAGCTGTTTCGCTGGACCCTCCAGGGCTGCACAGCTGGACTGCTGGACTGCTGGACTGCTGGACTGCTGGACTGCTGGACTGCTGGACTGCTGGACTGGATAAGACGAGGCGAGGGTCCGTTCAGGATCGGCAGTGGCGTGCGATGGAAGCGGGACCGTTACTCTGATCGGTTTGTGCTTCTCCAGGGCCCTCGGAGGTCTCGAATTTTCCCAGTAGTGTTGTGCATGAAGATGCTGGGTGGAAGCTCGATTCTGGATCGCTTGAGGACGGCCTGACTTCTGACACGCTGCATTAGTGGGCGTGATGTGATTGTCGACGTGTCGAAAGACTCCACGAGTCCGGGGCTCAGCTGGACCGTTGCCGATTTTTGTTTCTTCGTCTTCTCTGACCGATGGAGTAAGATAAAACCCTCAACTGTTTCCGTGGGTCTGTTTGCTTTCTCTTCTTTTTTTTATTTTTGTGTGCTTTGCCTTGCTTTGCTCTTCGACGCTCCTCTGAGAGGTCTTTTGTATAGAAGTCGGGCGCCTTTGGGACTCGATCACGCCGTTTCACGTACGTTTTGCATTCGCCGCGGCAACGGCACATCACGACAGGATGCATCTCGGCGCTACTTTGGTTGGCGTCTTTGCTATGGCTGCGATGGCGAGTCCGTTTGTCCCGCCCAAGGTCCTCAAATATACCAGTGTAAGTACATGGAAGAGAAGCGAAGCGAGGTGCAGGCTGAATCGAGTCTCACGTGCTGTGTCCGAGTTGATGATTCAAACATTCATATGAAACGGTCAATCTCGATGAGGCTCTGACTAACTCACTACGCTTCCTTGTACAACTATTAGTGGGATCTCGCGTTCCTCAGCGCTGCACTTCCCGTCTGCAACCCCAACGTCACCGATTACAGCATAATTATCACCCACCGCAGGGTCAAAGGCAACCTTGACTGCCAACCCCTTCCGAGTGACTTGAATTCGACAAATGTCAAGAGTATCTCGTGGAAAAGTCCGAATGAGAATGATGCCCACGATCTCTGCATGTTCAGCACCGATGATTGCTCCGGAGGGGAGGCGGCCTTGTTGGATTCCATCACCGATGGCTGGGCGATCTGTTATCCGTACAACGGCTTCCGGTCATGGTCGGTAGTCTCACATGGGGCGTCTTGCGTTTGACTTTCGTGCAGAGCCGAGACGAGTCTCGGGTTCTAGTTCGAGGATGGTTTCCCTCCCGTTCAAGATTCTGCAAATCTGTACAGCTTACAACACGCAAACACCGGATGTGAAACAGGCTGTTGCCCGGCCCCCTCAACGCCGTGATACGGCTGCTTGTACATAGGAAGGGACTATAGTCCGTTGATTGCTTGGTTCATACTGCTCTGCTACTTGACACTGAGAGGTTCCGCAGATCGGATCATCCCCCGAGTACCTTACCCGTATCGTGCCATAGTCATATCCCTCAATCTCCTCGTTCGGATGTCTGTCATTGCAACAGCTCTCGCACCGCCTGGTCCAGAATCAATCGCGCATATCCCGCATGTAATCGCATCACCCAGGCCGGAATCACTTTTTGGTTCTCCCCCTCGACAGCAAAAATCTCATAGTCATGGGCGCCCGCAAATCGTACATCCACGCACAGACCTCGCCCCGGAACCTCATAAGGATCCGACACGCCCATCTCATGCCGTCCCCCGGACATCAAGCGCCAGGGATATCCCCAGCGAGCGATCATCTCAAAAAAGACCCGTGGTGGCTCTGCCATCCCCCACGCAATCAATAACCCACGACTGTCTGCATCTGCGCCCGGGATGCGTTGCGTATACGCCACTCCATTCAGCAGTGTCTGCGTCGTGCCGTCACGACCGTCACGAAATCCATTCTGGCCTGTATCTCCAGGGTGGAACTTCCCCTTCGTTAATAGACCCAGTACAGAGGCTTCCACCCGGAGGATGCGGCTGTTCAGCACTGTCCGAGCCCATGCCTCTTCGAGTGCGATTTGGTCCGTTTGATGAGTACCGGACCGAGTGCGTTTTTGCAACGCCGTCAGTGGAATCTGCGCTGCGAAAATGTCGGTATAGGCACAGCGTTGGGTGTCCGGGTGCTGCGGAGCTTGGAGAGCAGCACTGGCGTACTTGGAGGCTGAAAGGTTGGGGTATTTGGCTTCTAGGTGTGACAGGCCAATGTGGATGCCATAGGCCGAAGCTGCGCCGAGGGGTACTGTCAAGTAGAGGAGGCGTGTACTGGTCCGTCCTGCCATGGTGTTGTTCTTGGCCAGAAATGATAGTAGGAAGTACAGTCCCTGCTCAGGAAGATTGGCATTGGATTGAAGAAATTGGCAGCGACACCGGTGGAGATGTGTAGTTCTTCTCCGAGTTCAAGTCGAAACTGCCTGGTGAAACTGCTTAGTTACCTGCCCGCACCCTGTGACTCTTCGCAGTAATCATACGATCGGGCAGTGGCCAGGGGGGGTCCTCAATAAGGTACAGGGGGCCCAATTCGGGCGAAGACCTTCCGCGCTCAATCGCAACATAATCTCCCACGACAACCGACGTACGGAATAAGCATGGCTGTCATGGCTTCAATCCTGAGTCTGCAATTGACCGCACAAGCTCGGCGTCAACTCTGTTCGGGACTGTCTAGTCTCTAGACTCTCTCCTACCACGCCAAGTCTCACCACTGACGTATGCCAATCCTCATCGGTGGGTTTTTGGTAGATATGCCCAGGCTTGTGTCCAACTCCCCGTCATCTCGAAACACCGAGATCTATGTCCTGGAAGATTGAGACTGTCAGAGCCCTCAGATCACTGCCAACGCACTGGGGGTGACGATTCTTTTCACACTTGGGTTAGTGCGCGCAAGCATTCTTGGCATTCTCTCGTCATCCACCTTGGGGTTTAAACTTCTGCTTCAACTTGCCTTCTAACCCCAATCCGTCCCTTTTTGCGGGGTTGCAGTAGACCCTCGGATCAACTCCGAAGGCCAACAGCTTGGAGTCTCCGCATCCACTCCCGAGAAAGGGTTCGCCCAGCTTCCTTGGGGCCCGAGTGGGGGGGTTGCCGATGCTATGAAGAGGATGAACTCGTTTGCAGGGTCAACTTTCCATATATCACTGAGATCGGCGAGGGACGTTCTGCACTCAATGAACAAGATCGGCAGATCAATTGCCTTGTCAGGTCGGATCCGAGCAGGGAACAGAGTGAACAGACTCGTATTGCCCCCACGGCTGCTCCAAGAAGACAGTCTTCTCCCCCCCCCCCCCCCCCGGCACCCCCACGTGTGCTGGAAGGACTACAAATATGAGATGAAGCCGCTGCGGCATACTCGCGAGAAAAGGCCGGGGAAATTGTCCATCGCAGATCAAACATCTGCGTCCACGGTACGTTGCCTTTGGAGGATATCTTTTCCATGGTACGTGCTTTGGAACTAATCTGTTCAATGCAGAAGAGAATCAACGTCAATTGGGTGATCATGACTGCCACATCTGTCCTCGTCGCTGCCCTCGCCCTTCTGGGTTCATCAGGCGCAGAGGCCAGCAATCTTCCGGCGCAAGCGCAGTTGATCAATCAAAAGGCATTCAACGTGCTCAACAACACCCAACCACCTGCTGTGTTCAATGCAGACAATGTATGGGAGTCGCACTCCACTTGATGCCCCATCGTGACTCCAAATCTAACATGAGCTGGTCCCAGATCTTTGTCCCTCCCGGACTCACTGAACAGGCTCTAACCAATCGACCCTTCCACGTCTACGATGAAGAATTCATGAAGATTATTGGAAGTCATCCGACATTGACACGAATCGCGCATTCGCCCAAGAACCCTTTATATCACGAAGCTGTGGTTTGGTACGCAACCCTTCAATCCTCTGCACAAGCTCCGCTGCTAGCTGACGCGCTGTGCTCCTTCCAGGTCGAAAAAAACGGATGAGGTCTTCTTTGTGCAGAATGCGGGCGCCAAAACCTCCGGCACAGGGTTGAACAAGTCGGCCATAATCGAGAAGATTAGTCTTTCCGAGGCGGCGAGGTACTACAATCAGAGTGATGCCGCTGGTCGGGTCAATGTGGTTACTGTCCCTTCATCGCCGATGGTGATTAACCCTAATGGTATGTGTCTGAGAGGCTCATTCGGGGCTACATTTGGCTGCGAGCTCATTGACTAATGACCACTCGATAGGCGCAACCAACTACCGCGGAGAAATCGTCTTTACCGGGGAAGGCCAGGGTAACAGCTCACCCCCTGCCTTGTGGGTCATGAACCCTCAAAGTCCTTACAACACGACTGGTGAGTATAGGATGGCTCTACAATCCGCACAGATACCTTGGATCCACCCACGCCACTAAACATTCGAGTAGTCCTCCTGAACAACTTCTTCGGACGCCAGTTCAACTCCCTGAACGATGTTGCTATTCATCCCAAAAATAAAGATGTCTATTTCACCGACACCATCTATGGCTATGTTCAGGATTTCCGCCCATCCCCGGGTCTGCGGGACCAGGTATACCGATTGAATCCCAGCACTGGTGCCGTTACTGTGGTGGCGGACAACTTTGGTCACCCCAATGGTATGGCCTTGTTCGTCGAATATTTGGTTACGAGTGGAAAGCACTGACTTGTACCAGGTCTCACCTTCTCACCCGACGGTAAGCATGCCTATGTGACCGACACGGGCATCAATTACGGGTTCTATGGAATGAACTTCACTCAGCCTGCTTCCATGTAAGTTCGCATCCAGGTATACGCCGACTCTCAAGGGATCCTCTAACCGGACCAACCCCCCGTGGATCCAGCTACCGCTTCGATGTGAAAGAGGACGGTACTTTGGAAAATCGCAAGACTTTTGCATTCGTGAGCCCTGGTGCTCCTGACGGTACGTATATGTGACTTTTACTTATTATGCCCATTGTGCCAAATCACGGTCGTTCATGTCCTTGCTCGTTGAGAAACGACGCCTGCCGATCAATTCTAACCCATCGGTCAGGTATTCACTGTGATTCCAAGGGCAACGTCTACGCCGGCTGTGGAGATGGAGTGCAAGTGTGGAATCCATCCGCTAAACTCATTGGCAAGATCTTCCTTGGCTCGACGACCGCGAATTTCCAGTTCGTTGGACATGGCCGTATGGTGATTTGCGCGGAGACGGATCTGTATTACGCCACCGTGGCCGCTGATGGGAATTATGTAGAGAGCGAGATGTGAAGGGTTTCCAGAAAGAAACGTGACGGCAGATGGGATGATTGATTTTACCAAGTTGAAGGGCATTTTTCAAAGGAATCGTGAAGTCTCACCCTTTCGGGCGTTAGGGTAATATGCTTCAAGGTGTCTGGCCATCCACTTTGGTCAGAGGAAAGACAGAAGATAATCGATACTGTTTTGGAAGAGTGATGTGGGATGCCAGGAAATTAAGAGTTCGAATATTGAGTCGAGGTTGCATCTAATCACGACGTGAATCGAATGCAGCACCAGAAGGCTTTATTAGCATTGGAAGGTTGCGAAGCCCGGATGATTACGATAGCTGATAGCGACTCGAGTTTCTTTTTTTTTTTCTTATCGCCTGCAACCCCCCCCGCCACCCTCATCGGCACAATTTCCCAGCATATCCTCTATCAGGCTCCGACCAAACCCCAAGTTGTCACCCATAAGAGGCACCGAGAGATCGTCACCTGCGGATTGAGACAAGATTCAAGTGCGACCATCCAAGAAGAATGCCCGCTTCGTCTCACACCGATTCCAGCGCCACCCTATCTGCGCCACCTTCTCCCGCGACAACCATGAGCGCCGCACACAGCGACAACGACACCGACTACGCAGTCGACAATTCTCTCGACGACATCTTTGGCTCGTCGCCACCCCGCGAGACCCAGCGCCAATCTGATCCCAACGCAACTGATTCGAAAACAACGACCGAACCGTCCGATCTGCCCTCTCTCCGTCGGCAACACGTCACCGCGGGGTACCGCGATGGTGTCTCGACCGCCAAGGGCGAGCATGTCCAGCGTGGATTCGACGCCGGATTTCCCGTCGGAGCCCAGCTGGGAATGCGAGCAGGCACCATCTTGGGAATCTTGGAGGGAATTCTACGGGGATTGGAGGATCGGTCTTCCTCGGGCGTGATTAAGAAGCCGGCCGGTCGCGCTGCAGCATCGCGATCGAACGAGGCATGTGCGACCGAGGCCAAGGCCCAGGATTTGCAAACTCGAAAGCGAGATGAGGTGCTCAAGTTATACCGGGAAGCTGTGAAGGCTCTGAGCGTGCAGTCGGTCTTTGCTGCATCTGCTACGTCTGCGGATCAGGCGTCGACATCGGCAACAGGACATGCGGAAAATGCAGAAGTTCAATTGGGCAGGAAGGGCGATACGGTGGTCACCAGATGGGAAGAGAAAATGACAGTCTATCAATGGGAGAAGAATATGGAGGCGCTTGAAATGAAGGAAAGCTCGGAAAAGACCACTTCCTCGGATCAGGTTCTTGCTAGTGACCGAAGCTGAAGGCTGTGACTGTCTATCCGCTACAGCGTGCTCGAGTCTGGCATTGGCATTGTCTTTTGTTTTTGCTTTTACCTCGGGCAAGATCACCATCTCGGACCATACAACGCCCAGCTCTCCTCTTTTGATCCTTCTTTTGGAGGGGGCTCGAATTGTGCTGGGTTTCGCTGGTTCATCTCAGACAATGAATCACCGACACTATCACTACGAGCCCACTTGTCCAGCACTGCACTGCGCTGCGCTGCTGTATGCAGCGGGCGAGCGGGCCATGTTTTCTTTTGCCAATCCCGCTGTCCGTCCCGCTGTGCCTGCACGGTCACCCTTCGGCCACGCCGAATCCCAGCGACCGTGTTCGATTTGACGCACCGACTGCAAGGGACAGATGCAGCAACTGCAGTACAGAGGATAAAAGGACCGGCGGAAGAAAGGATCCGGCTGCTCCTTTGCTGCAGTTTTGAAGGTTGGAAATCTGGTCTGCCCCGTTGCCGAGACACATGGTGGAGCACGAACCCTCCTTTGTTGTGCAGGGGAGAAAGTAAATGATGTCGTTTCTGAAGAAGGCAAGAGAGCTGAATGATTTGCCAATTCTTGACAAAAGTCCAGAGGCAAAAAAGAACGACTCTGGAAAGGCAATCGGTTACTGCCGTGCAATGGGCTTGGCGCCAATTCAGTTGATACATCATCTGGATCTTCTTCTTCTTCTTCTTCTCCTTCGGTGGCGGGCTTCGATTCTCTCTGCATATGCGAATGGGTTTGCGGGTCGGCATGTTTATCTTCCATCGGCAGCTTGGATGGTCTCGACGTTATTTTTAGCTTCAAGGCACACCACCCCCCGGTTACTGCTAGCCACTTTGGAAGATAATATACCCCGCGAATGAGATCAGATGTGGCGATTGAAAGAGGCCGAAAATTTTCATGTTTGCGCAGCTTCATACATACGTGTAGATCAATCTGAAATTGAAAGGAATTTGTACCTCGGAGTCTTGGAGAAGTCTTGGATTCCACAGCCACACTTAAGGCGGACCTTGCGAACAGAGGTTGAGGACTTTCACGCCGAGGACATGGTAAACATGGTACATTGATCATCAAACATAATCTATCATCAATTACTGATTTAGCGAAAATATGATATTGCGACAGGAGCGTCTTCTCATCGATCTTTCCAATGCATAGATTCGGTGCTGGTAGCTGAGGCTTAGTCTCCCTGGGATTCTCCCTGGGCGTCATCCATACCGATGAACTCAATAATCATTCCGTCGATTCATAGGCCCCTGATCGACAAATTTTCTTACACTCATGTCAGATTCCGAGTCATGTCCGAGAGAACTGGTATACATTGAACAGAGCTTTGTTATCAGAGGCTAACAGATCCGTAGTTCATACTTCGATCGGATTCAGGCCAAGACGAAGCTTTGCACAGACTCAGCTGACAGTTTCAGAGACCAGCAACTACAACATTGCAGTAGGGTATGATGAGCTCAATCAAGAATTGCGATGAGTGACCAGTACCTAGTGTAGAAAGCACGATTTCTACAAAGGGCCAGAATCAAATCTCCTATACAGAGCTGTGCCTTCGGACAGACAGTCGTGATGTATACTTCTACGATCCACCTGCATGAGACCGTAACATTCCTTCCTCCACAAACAATACTGTACAACATGTACTGTAGAAAAGTCAAGGTCACTATTTCAATATAAATAGTTAGACATACATAAAAACGCAGTACTTTAGTCTGTCGTAAAGCCAAAAAGTAACCGTGTGGCGCGGCTCTGGACCTCCCCCTCGGGATCTTTTTGAGAAATGCAAGGGGGATGAATCCGTCCATGAGTGGGTCGGGGCTGGAACTGGAGCTCGACTGAGGCTGAGAAGGGGATGAGACGGCTTGAAAATACAGAATTGAAAAGGGAGATATGCAGACAGTGCGATTGCGATCTGGAGGGGGGAGTATGAGTAGGTGGAGCCTTTGTTGACAGTTGTGTTGCTATGCTATTGGGGCATGTGCGTGATATCTGTGGTTTCGCATTTTTGGTGGAGAGATAGTTTAGGTAGCTAAACCACATCACGTTTGGGGTTGGAGTTGGGCTTGGTACATGACTGAGCAACTTGGCTGTCGATCGAAAAGTAAAGGATCTGAGTCGGTGGTACATCGTCCACTGTCTCTGTTCCTCTGAGTGAAGTGGCCGAGAAACGAAAGTACTCGAACTACTTGGGACTCTTCGAATATGATGCTCACGGACATGACCTTTTCAGGTGGGTATAGCGACTTCATCCAAAGGGCCCACTGTGAAATCCACCAGTCCATACAAAAGGATACTCTAATGTTTCAAATTCCATGCAAGGCCAATTTACAAAAGTTCGATTCCAAGAGGGGAAAATGTAATACAAAGATTCTATAGGCCAGAATATAAGCCTCTGCAGTGAGACTAGAGAATCCTAGACTGAATGCATTGCGACGCGTAGTCCAACTTTCATCTTCAGGCAAAACCTTAACTCAAAGGCATTCCTTTGTACCGTAAGATGATGGTTACAAACTTTCAATACTCTCCTCCTACGATGCTCGGGGCTAACTCACTTGGGTGAAACGGGTTCAGATCCCCAGGCAATGCGGATCAGGAACACTTTCACAATGTGGCCGTGGTTTGGTATTCAGTCGGCTGAGTGACATACTACATGCTTAATAGATGAGGCCTGCCCGCGTGTCAAAGGTACTTAATCGAAACTTGTACGCTCTCGTCCTGAAGAGAACGGCAACTGCCCGATCTTGGGTAGAACGGCACACACAATACATTCTACTCGGTAGCTCTTTGGAGGGAGAAAGTCAAAATTCTCTGCAGCCTGAAGGGCTAGCTATGCAAGGTGCTTCGTCTTTGGATGCAGTGCCCGCGCATCCGAGGCGGGAGCTGCAAGTAGGTGGGGAGTCGGGACGGTACCCGAGTAGATCGGCAGCAATTGGGAGGCCCTAGGGTAGGGTAAGTCGAGGCGATAGTGCCACTGGATCGAGGATTGACAATAGCTTTATTGTTTTCATTATCTTGCGATTAGTGGCCTGCACTGCTGTGCTTGGTAGCGATCTTTACAGAAGTTGGGATCCGGTATATAGAAGAGGCTAAGCGGAGCAGCGAAGGAAGGAGTAGAGAAGGGACGTTAATAGAACCGGAAGATCGGAAGATTTACAGGATGGGGATTCTCCGCACTGGCAATATGTCAAGAGCTTAAAAGAGTGTCTTTTCTCCGGACGAGGGATGTGAGAGCACTGCAGAGCTCGAGGATGCTCTCAACATAGCGGTTCTTTCTCACCTGACTACAAGACCGGACGATTGCTGTAAAGTGAGGCGAATAGCTATCGGTAGGGAGCGGTCGGAAAAATACTGATTGTCGACGAAAGAAGACGTTGTCCCTAAGCGGGTAGGGTTGTAGTGGTAAACGCTGGAAAAGGTAGGTAGCTTCAGCACTGGAAAGAGGGGGGCGGGTTGGCTTTAGCAACGATGGAACTAGGATTCCGAAGAATCAAGGAGCGAGGCATTCTACCGGCCCATCGTCCTGGCAGCGGTACACGTTCAGTCGTTATTGAGAATGGAAAGCCATTGCTACTGAGCAAGGGATAGTTTCATTGGCTAGTAAGTGTTGAACTGATGGGTCATCATGCGTAAAGATATTGGAATGAAGGATCAGAGTGATAAAGCTTTTGGGAGACACTCAGGGACAACTCTATGTAAGACGAAAATGATAGGGAGTTAATCGTACAAGAGATAGTAGACTCGATGGAGCAGGGTGCGTGTGTAATTAAATTAATATAGTAGTCAAACAAAGGAAATGGTTAAGCAGGACTGAGCACAGCCAAGGTATGCGTAGCCGAAGAGGCACAGGGGAGCATGGTTTGCTCGCGGGAGGGCAAAAGAATGATGCGAAGATTGATCGCAAATGCAAAGTACCGATGAATGTGACAAGGCAATGGCAATCATGTGGACGTCTGCAGAGGATGAGGCATTGTAGTTTCCAACAGTGCAGGGTACATGCCGAGAAGGCTTCGGACTGCGGCTCATCAATACGCAAGATCAACAACGATGCGAAGGGAGTACATTCAAGGAAATCATCCGTGGGAGGGTGCATCAGTCGTCGGAAGTGTATGCGGAAGTCATAAGCAAGCCTCTCGCTTTGGTGAGGCTGGGGAATACAACAAATAGGAGAAGTCGGTCAAGTCCAAACATTGCGCATGATAGCGTGGGCGAGTGCAGGCATAATTATCGTTATGTAGACGCAGAGGGGCCACTCGGAGATGGGGAGATATGATGAGCTGCACGATCGTTGTGACAGGAGGCAGACCTCTATCTCGGAAAATGAGAAAGATTTGTGCCCAACGGCAATCACATCGCCGAAAGCAGCAGGGGGTATCAAATCAAGGAGTCGGAGTGGGCGTTTTGGGGGCTGTTTTGTGGCAGCTGAGAGAGCGGAGAGAGTCAATCATTCGCTTGAAGAACGGCCGGTTATCCATGGGCTCTTCAAAGGGAAGTGGTGCATGCTGCTCATAGCACATCGAGGTCAGCTTGTCAGATTCCTCGTGAATACATCCAGAGGAATCTGACTGCTGCCGTCGCCGCGACTGGGCCTGAACGGCTGCAGCAGTGGAGCGGTCCATATCGGACTCACGAAGTTGACCATGGCTGTTGTTTCGCGAACGGGGGTTCAGAAGGGATGTAGAAGATGGCGCCACGAGACGTAACGTCTGTAGCGGATGAGGAGGACGGAAGCCGTCACGGCTGGTACTGGGTCGATGGAGACTACCACCGGGCGACGGTTCCGGCACCAGAGGACCAAGGATATCATCTGTCACGCAAGGAAATTTCTCCAGCGCCGCGTCATCCAGACTGGGTCGTTGGCCCAGACGGGGGTGAGATTTGGCAGCACGAAGCTTCGCACGACTGCGAACTTTGCGCAGGGTGTCGATTGGTTTCCGGGACAGGGACTTGTGCCCGATTGAGTCATTATCCGAGTCGGACTCCCAGACCGAGTGCTCACAAAACGCATCTGCAGTAGTAGAGGTGGACGGTCTTTCCGTGGAAGTTGCTGTCCACTGCCTGGAAATGGGCGGGGAGCTGGCCGAGGGACTAGGAATAGGGCTAGGACAGTCATTCGCAGGAATAAAGAGGGCTTGCTCAAAGTGTGTTGCATGGGGCTCCATGGTGACGGGGTTGATGAGGGAGGGAGGCGAGATCATGGACGGATCCAATGGAGTACGTGTTCCAGGGCTCGGTTGCTTCTTGCGTGAGCCATGAGAGCTTGGGCGACGACCCAAGTTGGATAATGATGGAGGGGGAGCCTTCCTCCGATGAGATGATGAGGACATGCTTGGAGACTCGTATTTCATGGCCAGAGTGAAAGAACTGGGGGAGGGTTCTACAAGAGGCGTCTCTGGGCGAGTGTAGTTCCTAGGAATGGCAGGCACGGGAGGCGCAAGAGGAAGTTGCTGTGGTGGTGTTGACGCAGGCAAGTAAAAGGCACGACAGGGCGCAGGCTGTGCACGGTGTGCGTGTTGGTATAGCTTCTCCGTTGCCTTGAGAACGGCTTCGGGGCACGGGGCGGAGGAGTAGGCCGACGAGAAGGAGCTGCTGGGTGTCAAGTCGGGGGTAGCAGTATCGGTGTTGACTGAGCTAAACGATTCTTGACTGCTGTGAAGCACTCGGGGTGTATCCTCGGTGGATGAGGTGTAGCGATGAAAGCGTCGGTTGTTCTCGAATTCCAGTTGGGCGATAGTGGAGCGATCTGGGCGGTTGTTCTGACCAGCCGACTTGCGGGGGTTGAAGGAGTCAATGGTTTGAGGGAGTGTTATACAATCTTCGTGTTCGTATTCAGTCAAGATGTCATCACAGACTGAATGGTCAACACTGTTCCAAGATGGGGTGGCCTCGAGAGACTGTTCCAAGTAAAACGGATCGCGAACAGCCTCCTCTAGCACCCGAGATCCTTCTTTGGGGAGATATGTCGATCCTCGTGTCAGTGGTGAGGGCGAAGGAAGGCAGATAGTCGTTTCCGACCGATTCCAATCGGCGTATAGTGCGTCCAATTCGCCTGGACTGTATTGATCTCCGCAATCCATGGGCTCTGAGGTACTGGCACAGGGTATGACGTGCCGGTAGTAAGCTCGATTGTGTTGAGGGTGGACGATCACCACAGCTTCAGAGCCCACTGTCAAGAGATGACTGACCAGATTTTGGCCAGGTGAGGGGATGCGATTCACACTTGGAATGAATTGATGAAGTGGAAGGGGAGGATTGGATTATGATCCCAGGGCGATGGGGATAGGTTTATAGATCTTACCTCCCAATTAGGCTTGGCAGACAAGAGTGGCCAGTGGCTTGAGTCTGCCTCTTTCGGATTCTTACTGTTGTGATGAATTAACTCAAATATATTTTTTCTGTTTATTTTTTGTGTCTCATTTGGCACGGAATCGGGAATTATGTGTGGTTGTTTTCCCCCCCGAATTTTGACATTTTCCTTTGCAAAGCTGTCTCCTTTGGGGTTTCCTCCATTTCCAATTCTCCTTCCTCCATGCGACTCCATTTTCCAGCACCGCTAGTGGTCCGGAAATCTTCGATGCATACCAATGCCGCCCAACCACAAAAGCACCTCTTCCGTCAAGCACAGACGCAACATGATCGATCCGACCTTACATGACGTCCCCTTGGGCCGTGTAGGGATGTCGATTCGCAGTAAGGTCCGGTCGCTGATGTGAACCGGTCGAGGCAAGGGAAGAGGAACATTGAGGCGAGCAGACCGAGGCCAGAATGACCGAACGGGCAGACAAACAGATGAGGACTGGCGGAACTCTGGCGAGTTACAATTTCCAGTTCAATCACGGTATCTTCTGAAGAATAGGCAACCCTGGGGAGATATTAACTAAAACGCTCTGGTAGAGTAGCCATTCAGGGACTAGGGTGTGCGGTGCTGTGCGCAAACAAGATCGTCCTAGCCGGGGCCCATCCATACATTCTGTCGCATCAGAGACCCTCAATTTGAGATCGCATTCATTTGAATCGGATGGGACTTGGATTTCAGTCGCGTGCCTTTGTTCGCTGAGGTCATGATCGAGCCCAGGCGTCAACCACACGAGTCACGTAGGAAGACCTTCTTTGTCTTCCTCCTCCTGCCAGTACATACCCGGTCTGACTGGTGAAAATCGTTCCAGCACACAATGCAGAATGGCAATTTCGACTCAATGACGATCTTGTCACTACACTACGCTACATGGAGTTGTATGACAGCCTACTGAGTACCGTCTCAGGACAAAGTACTGTACTTCCAGCGCTGTGTAGTGTGTAATGCCCTTCCACTTGGAGCTCGTCCAGTCCCACGTCCCGGGAATGGGGATCGGAATCGACGCTGGCAGGCCAAGCCTGCAGCATATCCCGCCCAAGAACCCTTGAGGCGGGTGCCACAGCTCCATCCATCATCCAAACACTCACTGCAAACCAAAGATCCCATGCAGACAGACGAGGTTGGGAGCCGCGAGAATGTGAGATGTCAGCCTGGGATGCCCACCGAGCGGGTGGCCGACCAGCCCCGGGAACGCTCTTCCGCTGCAGCCACAAGAGCCCTGCGCATCGAGGGATCCCCACCGATCGACCGTGTCTTTGTTCAGAGGGGCCAGACCCTCGGCCTCCGCAAGCCTCTTGCATCGTCTCGTATTGGCACCTCGAAAGTGATCGACTCCGGCTTCTCGACAGCGACCCGATGCGCGGAGTCTCCACTATGACTGGGCCTCGCCATAGTGATGATGATGATGAATATGATGCTGAGTCCGCCATATCCAGGCAGAACTCCTTTTACAGAGCAAGGGTACACTGGCACAGTAACGGTGCAACCGTGAGTTTCTTGGACTGCTTGCAACGTCCAATGCCCCCCGGGCGCGGCAGTTAGTCTTCCATGGAGCGGGCGCACCGTTCCAGCGCATTCCAACGCAACTTCATTCCTGGGAACCGCGCAACGGCGTGGGACTGGCAAGAGTCTGAGAGCTTTGGAATCGTGAATACCCCGGGATTCAAGCTTCTGATAAGGACCCATCCGTCAAATGGTTGGGCTGACGGTCAATCCTACCATCGTCATCAACAATGTCCTCTGCCAAGGTTATTTCACGTTTGTTGCCCTTTGCACATTACTATCAACATGTCAACGCACCCTTTGATCTATTTAGACCGGTCGCGTTTGACGTGGCTCGAGCTAGTGTAGTACCTCGGTGGTGAACCTTCTTTTTCCCCTTCGAACCCAGTTGAACCATCTTCTCGTGGAGTATACACCTCCACTGAACAATTCGTTCTTTCCATGACCCGCGGCGAATTGTGCAGTCGATCCGAAAATGAGCGATCCATCTTTTGTCGCCTGCAATGCAATGTGCTTCTGGTACGGACTCTTCCGTCGCCATGCGTCGAGTTCGATCGTACATCCCTCCGGGCGTCCGTGCTGAACCTAAGAAAGGTGATGGTTTCTTAACTTCATTCTTCCTCGGCTCACAAAATCCGCTGTTTCATCTGCTTGTCGTTTCAAAATGCATATTCACTGCGGGAATCGGTCATTCAGACTGGCTGCTCCGAAGGCCCCTCCCTACTTCAGGCAATCACTGATGCTTATCTCGGCAAACGTGTATCTTCTTCCCCTACTAGATGAATCACATTTGCGGCTCGCGCATATGAAACTCACGCGATCGTTGGCATTCTTATTGGTACATCTCATCTTCCCGCGCGCCTGTAGACCATTGACTGTGGCAAATTCGTTGTATGACAGGACTTTCAAGACTTCGGAAGCCGTGCGAAGAGCAATCCCGTTGGTCCGAGTCGAAAAGGGACAAGTACACTTCCAGAGATCCCATTGACTGTGTGGACAGAACTAGGTTTCTCGTCTATATGATATCACTATGCTCTTGTCAGCCTTTTCTGCGCTGGAAATACACCTCGCTGGCTATTGCCTCCGATCATCTTGAGAATTGATTACCTTTTTGATCTTGGTGTTCTAAGCGACGAGTCCAGTCTGCTTCAATATATCAACAACTACAGACCTGAAATGATCGAGCCTTGTGACGTGATGAATTAGCGAATTCCACGTCAATCTCCTGCAGGTCATGAGTAGGTATTCATGTGTCTGATGGGACCTAGAGCCAAAGCCCCTGCTGGATCAGTATCTCTGGAAGTCTACAGATCATCATGAATGTAGATTATGTCCCAATGAGCGGACAATACAATCAAGGGCAGCACGGAGGTACTTGCTACTTACCTACAGGAAATACAACAAGTACCTACCTTGGACTTCTAAATCATGACTTGCACCATTTGAGAGCGCCATTGTGATTGCATGATCGAATTGAGCTATTCACATTCCAATCCAAACCTTGACGTGCATTACATCAATTCTTCACATACTACAGCTGTACCTCGGTACCTTGAGGGGGCACCGCTGCAGCGGGACAAGATCTCCGGGAGCAGGGCAGACGCCAGACCTGCCCAACTTGTCCGCGGCTGTGACTACCTTACTTCGAACTGTATGATCTCTGCAAAGTTCTGAACACGCACAAAGATCTAGATCCTTCTCCTCGATGACGTGCCCAGTCCCACACGTCTCGAATGAGTAGCGTGTTTTGATATCTCTTCTTCCTAGCCAAGTTCTCCGCCGTCAAGCTACGATTCACTACTACCCCCTGTATACCTAGCACGAGCATTATGTATGCAAGTCAACTTGACATGCGCTCGAGTGTTCATGTACAATGGTGGTGGACTACTAGTTGTTTCCAGGGCCAACACCCGTCCGGCGCATCGCCCTCGCTTTTCTCCTCGTCCTGCTCACCTTCTTACTCTGCCCGAGTAGGTAAGAAGTAAGTCTTTGATTGCATTGTGCTTGAAGCGAGGCATGGAACGCATGTCCATCTACAATAGACCTGACGGACGCCGAGTGATGAATTGGGTAAATCTCCACTTCTAGATCAATGGTGCAGCTCCTATCACTTGCGAAAGCATCGACTAAGCATCGTAACATATAGGTGGTAGCTCCCGTCTGTATGATTATACGAGATTAGCCGAGACCTTCAGCTTCCATCTCAGCTCTAACTAGTAAATGAGACTGCCCGTCCAATCCTAACGTGGAAGACCCCTACATCAATGTAGACCACAGTGAAATATCAACTTCCAATCCAGTAGTATGGATCACCGTGCGATTGAGCCCGGTGAGCGACCATACCTAGAACTCAGACAGGACCCAATCTTACTCCCCAAATTAGCATGTCTCAACGTCTTCCGTGACGTTTGAATGCAATTCCAGAAAGTAGTGCACACAATACGTGAATTGTGCCCGTGATGTCATGGCACACCAGCGCAATAATCAAGAAACCCTACACTGCCACAAGGAATCCCATATCAGGACTCCAAATAATCAAACATCCACCCGAGGCACCTGAAACACCAGCAATCAAGAACCCCATTCAAGCTCCAACTCCGACGGATAGCGCCTCCCCGCTCCCGATCTCACGATAGTCCTGCAGCCGGGCTCCAATGGATCTTCCTACCGCTCCCGCCACTCTCGCTGCAAGGCATGCGTGAAACCGACTCTTATAATACCTCATGTTCTCATGGTTACCGTGCGCAAGGTACACCCGCTCGTGGAGCTTCCTCAGGTAGTTACAGTATTCAATTTGGCCGCTGCCCGGCCCCTTCCCCCTAACCTCCGGCTCCCAGCGAGGGCTGTACTTAGATCGTCCTTTTGATTAGAGCTGCTGGCCCGATTGAGACTTGCTGAGTAGGTAATGATGAATATTAAAGGGGAAAAGAGAACAAGGAGAGCGGACGGGACATTTGTTGCATCCGCGGTGCATCGGGGAGGGCTCTTGACCCGTTCCGAGTCTCGTCTGCTTTTGGTAGTATGTTGATATACCGATTCAGGATGAAGAGTAGGAGTCTATTCGGACTCTGAGCTAGGCTCAGCTGGGCAGAAAGATACTTTCCGTGCTTAGTTCCCGGGTCTCTTAGATCTTCTGTCTTACAGCAGCAGGAGAACTCTACATCTTGATCAAATGACACGAGTCACCGTTTGAGCTCTCAAGTCTGTATTGTAGTGGATGAGTGTTCCAGAATGGCGTTTTTGGGTGGATGAGATTTTGGCATTCAACAGCCTGGTCGGCGTGGATGGGAGCGGGCGGAGTCAGGTTGGAATTAGGCGTAGTGTCGCTGTCATCCTTCATTCTATCTCCAATCTCAGCTTACCATCCATGGAACTTGACTGAGTATAAGCCCTCGTACCTTAAGCATCGCGTGGGTCTCTTTATACTCTAGTGCTCTAGGGCGAAGGCTAGCTCATCTCAGTCACAGAGATCTTCTAAGGTTCCTGTTCATGCGGACGATACAAGGAGCCCTCCACCGGTAATGAGTTCACGCTGTCACGATTACACTGAAATGGATGGAGGCGAGCAATCTAGAAATAATCAGGCTTGTGTGATTTTACAGGTCAATAACAGCTTGCGAGCAAAAATGAGTCTGTAATCCTCGGAAATGAACTGCACGTTCCACACGCTGCAGGGGTTCAGGTATCCCATCATGTCGACGGTAGGCTGTATCATAAGCAACCTTATTGTGTACTTCCGAGAAGCAAGTGCCCGACATGAGTAGCTAGGTATGTTCCATTAGGATGAGGAAGAGTGCTTCATCTCTTCATTTGAGAAAAAGTCGTTAGGTAATGAGTGAGTAAGTTGATGTACCTAGCTGCTGATCTCATGAATCTCATGAATCTCATGAATCTCATGTGTTCACTTTACAGCCCAATGGGTCCTTGGACAGAGTCTCGAGCAGATGTATATTTGTAAGTAGAGTCCCACTCATTCCTTGCCCCAGTAACAACTTCTCATTAGCAACTTACATGCACAAAATTGCTGAATGTTGAATAACCGAAGCACTTCCCTGTCGCAAATGCCATGATCTATCAACAACTTTGTTCCATCAGTCTGTAGCTCTGGAATCTGTTCCCCCCTGGTGCTGTCTGCTGAGGTCATGTGCCGCCGAGTCCAACAGCGCATCGGTGATGTTCTCGCGGAAGATAACCTCCCCACCTCAGTGAGGCTCAGATCTATCGCGATTCCGCCTGTGCAGATCTCTCTTTCCTACAGATTCATTACGACTTATTTTCCTCCCGTGTGTTGCTGACTACAATATTGTGGTCGCCTCCGATTATCTTTTTCTTCAATGCTGTACCTAGGTTCTCATCACTCGGGCGAGTTGTGGCAGTGGTCCAGTTCGGTACCTGGCCTGGTCCTGTGCCATGGATCGAGCTGGAACGGTGGAGGCAGAATGCTCCTACGCGCCTTGGAACGAACCGACTGTTCCAGTGGTCTGTCAGTTCGTTTCCAGTGGAACGACAGCAGGTCCGATCTCATGGCATTTGGGTCGGAATTCAGGGGTTCAACATAATCAGATGAATGGAGAGCGTTCTGTGATACAATAACTTCTCGCCGGCCCAGAGATCAGGACTCCACGGTCGCTTGGGCTCGTCTCTCGTCGAGACGTACGACTACTGAGTACTGGCCAGACCAGAGAGATAAGATGGGATTCAAGGTCAGCTTGTCAAGTATCTCCCCTCTCCACAGCTCCCCATTTACGTCAGGGTCCCATTTCTTAGCCGAGAGAGTGGGCAGGAGGTCACTGAGGAGCTAGCGCCTGTCTGCCAGCGCATCGCTGACTTTCGTTAGGCTCGGTTACGATGGTCTAGACATCCACCTTCTCGTGGGTTACCCGCTGCAATCTGTTGGAGGGACTGGAAGCGAAAGCCACAATTCAGTTGCAAGACCCCAGGCACACATGACGAGCGAACTCATCGAGGGCCTCAAGTCTGGTCAAGAGAGTTCATCATCACCAGCGTAGACCTCAAATTCCCAAAGTGATGGTATGCCAACCCCGAGAGGCACCCCGGGCACTTCCAATTGCACGATCTCATTGTGGTCGGCTTGACGCCCAACCGTGGCACTGCCAACGGAGTCCGAGATATGTACTTTCCAATGGCCCGAGCGATGGCTCAACCCAAATTTGGTTGAACAGGTCAAGTCGTGGAGTGAGATCATTTCAACGGTTCCTAAAATCGCTGCAGCATATAGTGAGAATCTGTCCAAATCTCTACCAGTAATCGATTTCTCTCTATCCTGTTCCCCCAGTTTCGTCGAGTCGGCAGTTGCTCAAGTTACTAGCATCTCTGCCCGGGCGATCCACGAACCTGCTTGGGCCCTCAATCTGGTCACAGAGGGAACTGTCCAGTGTATCCTTGCAGCTTCTGTCTGCTCCTCGAGAAGTGGTTGCACTAATGCTATTGGTGTCCAATTGCTTCTCCTGCTGAGTGGCTCGGTGATCCCCATCGATCGTTTCCTGATCTTCCGCCGTGCGACCAGGTGCGCTGCACATGCATGCTTCTATTGACGGACCGTAGTTGATCTGGAAGGAACCCTTACTGAGCAACTAGACTACCTACTCACAGACACAAGTCTCTGTGAACGTCAAGCCTAACCAATAAAGCCTTAGTGCAAGCTCTGTTCTCTCGCTGGTTGTGGTATTAGCAACGCGACGACAAGAGGAACATTCCTGGAAGACACTGCGAAGACTGAGCATTCCGACGGCCTCCACCGCGGAATCTTCTCCGACCCATCATTTTCCGCCTGAGAAGACCTTCTCAATCACCTGAAACCTCACTTCAGATATCAATTGCGCTTCCCTCACTCCCATATTGCCAACGGGCCTGGTTGTCTTTCGGCAAGACTGCGGGTGTGCTGGATGGTGCGCACAGCAGGTTTAGACGTGCTGCAGCTCGCACGGCGACCTCCCAGCCATCTTTATTACCCAGCCACCGCGACCGCACACCGAGCAGTCTTTTCCTCCGACGTCTGGCTCAGTCGTGAATTTTGTTCAATTTAGCACAAGACTACTCTATCCACACCACTCTGCTGGTTCACTGAACCTTCAATTCTTCATTCGGGGCGGATCTTGGAGTTCCGTCGCCATCGCGGACAGCCTCACCGGCCGGCTTCGTCATCGCAACCTGACGACAGGCAGAGCTTCGAGCTGCCATTACCACAAACCACAAGCCCTTGAGCACCAGCAAATTCGTGGTTTCTGAGCTCTGTACAGCTTTCACATTGTCAAACCCACATTATTCCTATCCTCCACCCACCTTGGAGGTGTCTCACCACACTGATTCAGCATCTCACGAAGTCCACGACCGTCACGACCCATCCACGTTAACGACCTTTGCGCCACGCCACCCACCGCCCGGCCTCCTCTCTCATACCTCACCTTTGATTGACAATCGCCCACCTTCAGCTTCCAATCCGCGTCATTCTCTACGTCGTGTGCGCCGCTCCCCTGACGTTCGCCAGTTACCGCATCGGCGCACCGTCTCTCACGATATCAGGTCCAACCGGGACTCACAAGCACAAGCTCAGGGATCGACTCCGATTGCTGCGAACCCGGACTGGAAAGTTCCATTTGGACAGGTGCCACCCGCACTCTCCGAACCTCAAACATACGCACAGGGCTCGACGATCGACGACCCTTACCAGCTCCTTACATCTTCCTACTGGCCACGCCGAACAGTAGGCGTCTCGTCTCGGACTGCCTCGGCCATTCTCTTCGCTCTCGAAGAAGGGATTCGTCGTCCAATTCCATTCACCACGGACTGGGAGGAAGTGAATGCTTCCATGTCCGATATGGTAGGTGTTGCAGGTTCCGCTGCGCCAATGGGCAATACTCGGATTGCCAATGGGGGGCCTCGAGCTCCCCCGGCGGGTTCAGCCTCCGCCCAAGCACCCCCGACGCAACCACCAAGCGGCATGCGTACGCCAACCGATATCATGAGACAGCGTCGGGATCGAGAGGCACGCCGAAAAGCGGAGCAAGAAGCTCGTGAAAAGGAGCAAGAGGAGCTGGAGCGGCAGCAAATGGAGCACGAACAGAAATTACAGCAACACCAGCAGAAGCTGGCCCAGGCTGAACAGGGTGCTGCCCAGGCTCTAGCTCCAGCTCCAGCTCCCGTGGATCCAGCATCACAGCGTCGTGGACAAGCTCGACAAGCCCAGCGAGGTCCACCGCCTCAACAAGCGTCAGACAACGTACCACTGTCTGCATCGGGGCCTGCTCAAGGTCATCGACCCACAACAAGTGCCGGGCCCATGGCGTCTCGTCAAGAGTACTCAACTTCTGCAGCGCCCCTTGGTCCGTCTGCAACTGGATCAGATATGCCAGCAAACCCTCCACGCCAGGGCCCCGGCATCCAGCATGGTCGCTCGCAGAGTGCAGCGGCGGCTGCAGGACCACAGCCTGGATCAACGGGCTTTGCCAAGTCGGGGCCTGCTCCGGGTGTCCCTTCTCAGGACGGTGCATCTCAGACACTTCAGCAGCCACGACGCGCAGGATTTCCGCATGCGTTTGAGAGATGGGAGACACTTTCTTCGCACTGGGAAGGTCTGACAAGCTACTGGATTCGGAAGCTGGAGCAGCAGAACGAGGACCTGGAGCGAGATCCCCTCAATCAGCAGCTCGCCCGCCAAATCACAGACCTCTCTGCAGCTGGCGCGAATCTCTTCCACGCCGTCGTGGAGCTGCAGCGACTTCGGGCCTCGTCGGAACGCAAATTTCAACGCTGGTTCTTCGATACTCGCGCAGAGCAAGAACGGTCCAAGGAGATCCAGGCGGAACTGGAGCGCCAGCTCAAAGCTGAGCGTCAAGGTCGGGAAGATGCCTTTGCTGCCGCACAAATCGCGGAGCAGGACAAGGCCAAGGCGGAAGAGCTCCTGCGCGAGATGCGACGTGAGCTTCAGATCTCCAAGGAAGAAGCGCGACGGGCGTGGGAAGAACTTGGCCGCCGCGAGCAGGAAGAGCGAGATCGAACCAATTCCCTTCGGAATGGCGAGCCCACCCTCGTTGGCGGCGTTCAAGTCGTTCCCATGGTGCAAGGGGTACCCAGCCGACACCCATCTCGGCCGCCCACAACTGATGGAGCTTATACTAGCGGTCCACCCACAACCTCCGTGGCCACCGACAACCGGGGAAAGATGACCGACCCCAGCATGGGCCTCACGTATTACGACGAAAACACTCCGGTGTCGCCGACCGGATCCGATCCCTTCGTCGAACCCAGAAAGACCGATCCTCCCGTCTCAAAGGCGCAGTATCCTACACACAACCAGGTGTACGCTCAGGAGCCTGCCACGACACCGTACGTCACACCGGCGACCGAGCCAGACACTCACTCGTACATTGGCAGTAGCGACGCCGAAGAAGAGTACCCTGAATATGCACGCGGCAACTCTCAGCAGTATCACCCGTATCCGGCCGGTCCACGCTCCGAGGAAAGCGACGAGTACGAGCACGGTGCTGTCGAGCATCACCCTTACACTATTGACGGCTCTTACCCAGCATCCACTAGCTCAGCACCTGTGCATGTACCGTATCCTCCCACCTCAGCCGAATACAGCGGCACGGGATGGGGTGTTGGTACTGGTTGGGAATCGGTCACACCGCGTCACCGTCACCCGACACGCCTGAGTGACGTTCTGGAAGAAGATGAGCCCAGTCGCACGAGCCCCAGTCGCGCGAGTCAAGCCAGCCGAAGCATGCATTGATGGTGATGTTTCTTTGCAGCTGTGTTTCAAACAGTCAGAGTGCTCCAAGCCGAACCTTCGTGATCCTGCGTGCAGGGTGTTGTCGCTCTTAGCAGATCGTCATCTTGCCAAATCTTGTTTCCCCCATTCCCTGTCTGTTCGAAATCCGTATGAAGTGTGAGCGCATATTCTCTATCTCTTTGCGGCCTGTGCTTTGTGCGCATTCATGGTCTTGACTATTCCTTTTTTTTTTTCTATACGCGTGTAAATGTGTCCACTGTCCAATGTGTCGAGTCGGCTGAATACCCAGATGTTCCTCATCCCCGTCATGCCTACGTCCTTTATCTCCGAGTGGTTTCGGCTCGTTTTCTCGCCTTTCCTTGCTTTTTTTTTTTAAAATCCCTTTCTGTTCTCTCTATAGTTTGCGTGTTCTCATCTGCTCATCACTTCTCATTCCATGTGACGGCGATAATTCTTAATTAATTATTGCGAACATTCAAAATCCTTCCCTTCCGTTCGGTGTGGGGTGAAGGAGCATGCTAAATATGTAGACGGACGATGCCTCCCATTCTGCGAGCTTACCTCTGTATTTGCTGCTTTCTTCCAAGGGTCCAGAGGGCGAGAACTCAGATTTACGCTAGTAAGATCCTCATTCCCATCCCCAGTGGAGTTGTACTGTTGTAGTATATCTCACCAAACCGACGGTTACCGAACGGGACAGCCTCCACAGCCCCGGTGGACATGGATATCCGCATCCTTCCTCCTTTATGTAGTCCAGATCCATTCACTGACACGATCTCGAGATGTCGAGCTATGAACATCCAGTGGTCTTGGAAAGGATTCTCGACAATTTCGGAATCAGGTGTTTGAGAGTGGCAGCGCTTCCAATACATTCGTGAAGTTCCATGAGACGAGCCCCTGCCCCAGACCAAGGTCCGCGATTCTTTCAAATCTCCTCCATTTATTCAAAGTCAGTTGGCTTCGTAGGTGGAGTCGGGGGTCACGGTCGAACTCGAATGGATACAGATTACCTCACCTCATCGTGCTATATAAAGTCCACGCTGGGTTGTGGAGGGAAGATATGAAGGAGGATGGAACGAGGAGAAACCTGACTTGACATGTCAGTTAGATTAGATCCATTCATTAGATTGTGTAGATTTACAATTTCTGCATTCCAGACGCACGATCCGTAGATTCATATCCAATGTTAAATGGCCCGAGATGCAAAATGAATGTCAAATAATAGACATAAGAGCCAGAAATTTCTTCACGGAACGAGATACCAGAGGCGCAGTAAAGTTATCGGTCCCACCAAGCTATTGCTTCTTTGTCAAACCTCGAATCCATCCCTGGACTTGAGTCCACTGCGATCCACCTTACCCTTGGCCGTCTCATCCCCAGAGACACGCCGGGATACACCACTCTCTTTCGTGGTTTGATGATCAAGAGTCATCGCTTTCAATTCGCATTCCATGGCTTCCGTCAATGCTTTCAGTAACCACTCAACCTCACTTTCTCTTCCGAGTAGGGGGCTTTTCTTGTCGAGCCAGCTCCAATTTCGGTATTTCTCCAGCCGTTTTGCGTGCTCTTTTGCCTGGGCTGTGTTTCCGGACACGTTGTTGCAGGGCTTGTTTTGTCCCGAGATCAAGGCCAGATAGTATTCCCATTCCAGATAGTCAAATTCTTTGGAAAGGTTTCTGGTCGTCAGGTCAATGAGTTTGCGAATCTCGCGGAACAGCAGGTAGTGGTAGTGATGGATGTTTTCGGCGGCCAAGTCACCACGCCGGTGGGCAGATTCTTCTTTTCTGTGTTCTTCGGCTTCGGCGGTGCCCTGACGAGTACGGGCGATCCCGCGCTCACTGTCTTCGTCCGTGTCGCCGAGGAACACTCGGGGGTCGTTTTCTTCGCCTGTAGTCTCTTGCAGCCATTTCTCGGTCCAGGAGATGCGCACGAGATCTTTGACTCGCGCGAGCAACGATCGGTCACCGGGCAGAATGGTGATTTCACCAAGGAAGAGCGTGGCGTCCTTGACGATGCGGATGAGGGTGTCGCCGATGCTGGAGATAAGAATGGTGATTGCCGGAACGGCCAGGAGAGACCAGAAAACGAAGAACGCTTTGCCCAGACTTGTAGTTGGATAGATATCTCCAAACCCAATCGTCAGTAGTGTCACGTATGCGAAGTATAAAGCCTCAAAGTATGTCCATCCGAGATTGATCTCCGAGCGCCAGAATACCAGAGCGCCAAGGAGCCACAACGCCATCCAGACAACCAACGAAGTGATGAGCGAGACCCATTTATGTTGGACAGTGGCCACTTGGCGGATGCGCCGCATGGTAATGAATTCCCGCTTCTGTCGTTCGCGAGCACTCATCTCAGTCATGTCATCGGGATCGGCGTGCAGATTCGGCACTAATCGAGACTGTGTGTCCTTGTCGTAGGCTTGTTTCAACAAAATCTTTCGAGTGTGCGCGGTGATAAGGTTCGCAACCTTTTCTCGTCCATGCTCCAGCATCAACGTCCGGATTGATGAGATGATCAGACCGAGGATGATAATGCCGCCAACGGCGTAAGGGAACAGGAGCCCTCGACCCAAATGAGTAGCCGGGGCAAAATTGCCAATACCAACTGTAAGTAAGGTGAAATCGCCCCAGTACACAGCGTCCATGAACTTCCAGCCTTCAACTCTGGCATAGACAGCCGAGCCGCCGAGGAGATAAATGAAGAATATGATCGTTTGCAGCATCAGTGTCCGCTGACTGGTGGTGAGCTTGTACTCTCGGCTATACTGACCCTTGTGAGCTCCCCATGCTGTGACTAACATCATAGTCGCGATGATGAAGTAGAGCCCAGCAGCAAAAGTTCCGTAGAAGTACGTCTGCGTGTAGGTGCGCCCCGCATTCTCGGGTCTATACATCAAGACACCTAATGCAATCAGATCTCCAAGCAGAAGCAGAGACGATATATACCACCCAACGATGATAACCGGCTGGGCGATCCCAAATCGAATCCGTTTGGCCATATTCAGGGACAGGGCCAAGTTTGCAATGAGCGCAAACCCCAGCGAGACGGCGTTGATCGAAGTTACCCTGAGAGTCACATTAATTTTAGCAAAAGTGATCTCTCGCTCCAAACTGCGAGCTCGACGCCGACGGCTTACCAGTGTGGATCTGGAACATCTCGCTCTCCACCTCCGGGCAATAATTCCATGCGCCAAGGTTGCGACAACGAGCAAATACTGAAAGCACTAGACATTGGCCCAAATGTGCCCTAGCAAATATCAGCGATACTGACCATTTTTCAGAGCAGACCACAGCGAAAGCTCAAGGACGTACCGCGATCAACGGATAAGCGGTACTGGCGAGCCACCATCTTGCCGCATGTGGATGACTGGCATCGATCTCACGACTGTTATCCTTTTCGTCCGGCGAGGAGTTGTGATCGAGAGCATGAGCTTCGTCTGCGATCGCATCGTCGAGACCAGGATCATTCATACTGCTCAACTAGTTTGCATCAACTGGCCATGAAGCGGGAAGTTCTTGCGATCTGTGGTTGAAAGCAAATTGGACGTGACAAGCCGTACGCGCAAAGACAGACACATCTTTAGAAAGTCAAGAACATAAGCAGTAGCAGCAGCAGCAACAACAGAAACAAAAGCAGTAGCCCCGCTCAAATTGATTCGTGGAGGCCGTGCGCCCATTCAGCAAGGTAATTCTCAACGCCATACCTCGAAATAAACAAGCTTTCCGTCAACGGCGCTGACACGCGGTCAGCGGCCAGACTCATGACATCATATCATGTGATGTGGATTCACAAGCCACAATCACGCCTGGTGGACCGGGACTGGGAATTGTGGAGAAGGGCCTCGAAGTCCTATTGAATAAGAATTAGGTTGGGCCAAAAGTGGATAGATATGATCAATTGAGCCCTTCAATTCACAGAGTGGCAGTGATCTGATCGGTCTAAGGCTGTATGTTACAGGCACCGACTAGCTTGAAAAGGGTACCATGTATGGCTCGAACATGGAAGCCCCAAATTCAACAGCAACGATCACAGAGAGGAGGAAATGACTGAAATGGGAACTGGGTAGCGAGAAGGTATTATGTACATGACCCGCGCCTAGTATTTTCGGTAGTCTGTACATATTGACAATTGCAGCACGCGACAACAAAAAAGACAGGAGAGCATGTGTCCGCTAAGCTCTGAGTCAAAATACACCCAGGCTCGCGCGGCGGTGACACTGGGCTTGAAGGGGTATGCATCGTGGAGTTGAGAAGCACATTTAAAGTACGACCACTGACAAAGAGACCGTTGAATCGAGACCTCGGGGCGCCAGAAAACTCCATTCTCAAGGGAGGCAGGTGTCACCATGGCTGTGAATGAGATCAAGTACTTTCTTTGATCACAGGAGAAGCATTGTTGATCCGAATCCAATGGTTAAGAATAAGAAGAGGGTATCGCGAAAAGAAAAGCGAGATGTATGAAAAGGGTCATGTGAGGGGAAGCCCCGGTCATGAATCTATAAGAATTGTAAGGACTCTAATGAGCCATGTTCAACGAAGTGGGGCAAACTCACAGTAACCACCTCCGGGTGTCAGAGAAGATGGTAATGGTGACGGAGGCTGTGGTGAAGGACGACGGGCAAAACGGGGATCGACGTCTTCATAATAGTTGGTAGAGCCTCGAGAGGCATGTTGCACAGGCGACTGCGACGGCCGAGGTGACATGCTCGGATGATGGTCCTGCGTGCTCCAGCCTGCTCGAGGTGGCTCGTAGGATCTTGAGGGAACGTCAAGTCAGTCAAGCTTTCGAGGAGACAGTCCCGCACTACGTGATAGAACTTGTAGAACTTACTCGGTGGAGCCATAGACGCTCGATGGACTCTCCAGCGGAGCGTGAGCGCCATCAACAGAAAGCGCATGAGGCGAAGGATCATTGGCCAAAGAGGGATCGGAGCCGTAAGGGCCAGGGCGGCGCGATTGCGGTTGCATTTCAATGGCACGACCCATCGTGTCTGGCGACACCGCCATGCCAATGGTCCCGGGCGAGGGCGCCCGCCTCGGACCCGTCGATTCCAACCCGGGGTAAGATTGGGGTTGGAACTGGTCATTTGCTGGCCGCCCGTAGGAGTCGTAACTGCGGTTGGGGCCTACCGAGTAGCCAGGAGCTCCACGAGGTCCTCCGCGTCCGGGTATCATGCCGCCGCGACCGCGCGGCGGCATTGGCCCTCCCATATGGCCCCCTCGGCTACCGGGAGGACCTCTAGGCGGCCCCCCATAGGAACCACCGCGGCCATATGCTCCCCTGGGAGGATATCCACCGCGACCTCGCGGAGCCAACCCAGGGGGGCCCCGCCGCCACGTCGGGATCCCATACTGCCGTCCGAATACTGCGATCGCAAGCGAGGATCGGACGGATTGCGCATCATTTGGGGATTTCCGTACGGTCCAGATGGATGCATACCGGGCGGCTCTTGCGGACGGTAGGGGGAATTCCGGCGATCGAGAAATTGACTCGCAGGAGGCGGCACGTCCTGCGGGCCGGGGCCGTTCGAATACTCATTCAACGGAGTGCGATCATCATCACTGGTTCGTGTCTCTGTGCGAAATGAGGCAAAAGTCGGGCCCGAATCCGGAGTCGGAGAGGTCGAGGTGATGGGTTCCTTGCTCTCCGTCTCCAAGGGAGTCGCCGCCACGGCCGCGGCAGCTGCGTTCTGACGGTTGTAGTAGTTTTCACCGCTCATTTCGGCATTTTCGGCGATGCGTCGCTTGCGCGCCTTTCGACTCACGAGCGTGCGACGCATAGCACAGGTCACGACTCCGCAGGACACCAGGATGATGGTCGAAGCCAGGACGATCCATCCTCCCCATCGCAAGTGCGGCACGAAGAGAAGAATATCGACCAGGAAAGCGAGCAAAGTGACCAGCAGGGTCGGTAACAGCAGGATCAAGAGCGCTAGCAGATAGCGCGGTGAGTGGGAGGGTCCATGGAAGTGCGCCGCTCCTGCGAGACACAGACAGACGAGGGTAAGAAAGGCCGCGACCGGGTGAACAATCAGAATAGATGAGAGGGACTTTCGAGTGCTCGAGGGCAGATTGAAGTCGCTACCAGTGCTGTCGATGTTGTCTACAACGAATTGAGAAGGTGGTCAGTGGTTGCATTCACCAGATTGCAGGGCGAAACGACGTCGCGAGTCCCACTTACGGCCCGTATATCCCACATGGATGTTGGAACACTGATTCCCCTGACAATATCCAAAGACCCCGTAGTCGACATTCTTAAATGTAGCGAGAGGAATGCCTTTGATGATGGGAGTCGATAGGCATGACAAGAGCAAGAGGGCGAATGCGACGAAAAGCAAGATGGTGAGGGGGGTCGCGGGTTTGAGCAACATGACTGCGTCGATCGATGGGTCCCGTGATGCTCGACTGTGGCGACTCCTCAGCCGAACTGAATGAGGAGTCTAGGAGCGAGAGACTGCAGACGAAGAGACGCGTGCGGTTGCTGTTGACGAAGCAAGAGCAGTAGTTTTATTGCCGCATGGGGGATTCCAGTGGTGAGGTCAGCCGGGACTCCTTCGGGGGGTGATTATGAGCGAGGGCGTGTGGGAGGAAGCGCCGTTGTGAAGAGGGGACGTCGAGGAGATTGGGGAGGGGGGAGGAGTTGGTACTTGGCAGCCAGCCTGGGGTGTGGGAACTGAAGGGTGAGGGGAAAGCGAAGAGAAGCCAAGTCTAGTGAAGAAATTAGGCCCAGAAGGACCAAGTAAAGCTGTGCTTCTTGGCGAGTTCGAGAAGAAGGATGAGAATGAGAATGCGAGCGCCTCTCTGAGCGGACCGCCATCGAGAACCGATTCGGGGGGTCTGATTTCTCGATGGAGCCATGCAGCCGGCGCCCGCTGCGGAGGCGAGAGAAGTCGAAGGCAACCGTGGAACTTTGAAACCTTTTCGACGGAGGCACGTGCGGCGATGCATCGTAGTCTGCAACTCTGTGCACTGCGTGTGCAGTACTACTGAGTGTGCTCTCATCTATACTCCATACTTCCATAGCCCGCCGGTCGGCTGTGGGTTCGAAACGGGTGGCCGTGCGCACGTCTTCTCATGGCACCTTGAAGAGGTTTGGCCAGTATTTTGTGGTCTACAGATGTGATACCTGTACGACTCCTAGATCCATTATGAGTACTAGTAAAATAGTAGAGCGTAGACATGCTGGAGGTAAGGTATTGGTGACTTCGTCCCAATGTCGATGGCAGACACGGGAGCCTGTACCTAGTACCTCGTATCTGTTGGTGTTGTTGTACAGAATACTAGTAGTACTGACTCCTGAGTATAGTATAGATCACTATAGATGTCTCTCACACCGACATATACTAAAACTGTTGGTCTCAATTGTAGAAGGTTATATTTAGATGACAGTTGATGCGCCACAAATGGAACCTTAGCCACTGAGCAAGTTCTATCTCAGTATGACCACGAGGTAGTGAAGTGCTAGCGATCAAAGACAAAGGATTCATGGCTTTTGAGGTTCTTGGAAGGTACTACTAGGTAGGTAGGCTGGATGGCTGACCTCTCCAGCTACTACTAACTGTCCAGACAGCAGTGGACAACGAGAGTCTAGTAGTGCTGCAAAGCATCTAAGTGCATGTTACTAGTACTTCTCCATCAGTCTGGGTATTCTCTACTAACTATAGGTACAGTCAGTACCAGACTAGGTACCACCAACTCCGAGTAGTATGTACTCTCTGGCATTCTGCAAAGGTGCTTTAGGCAGTTGGAGATACATCCACACTTACACACTGTCTGCCCAGTCAATAGGGTAAGAGATATTGCATTGAAACCCCCCATCGTTCAGAATCAACAGACAAACACACTCCAGACCTGACCTCAACCCCAATAGAGTCGGTCCCCACGTTCCCATGCCCCTGCTCGTCCTGCCGTTGCCAGAGGTACGTACTGTGTAGTCTGCTCCGTCAAAAATGGCTGCTCTCCGATAAACTCTCTCCGACGAGTGAAGCCAAGCCTCCTCCTGTGCGGCTCGACCAGTGGTGGAAAGTGGGCTGGAGAGAGAAAGGGAAACAACGGACGCACTTGCCATGTTTTCAGGGTTTCGAGGGGAGAACAGGTCCAAGATGTTGTCTGTGGCTCTCTGGAGATGCCCCCGTTGTGGACTCGTGGAGAGCTTCAGGCAGGGCACGGGCGGGCTCATTTCCACAACGGGGCACGTTTGCCTGTTGGAGAGCTGAAGCTTATCGCTGTGCGTGGCTGTTCAGGCGCGGACTGCCGTTGTCGACAATTGATAACGCGGGAAGAAGCCTTGCGTTGTCACCATCATTGCTTCAAGGTAGATTATTAGTCCCACCGTTCCTGACAATCTTGACCACTTTCACTGCTCATCCCGACGAGCCAGACGAGCTCCGTAGAAGCTCCGTACCAATCTGAAGCGGAGATCTAGAGAATCCTTAGCGGATGACCCGCACTAGCCTCCACCAACTCGTACGTTAGTTAGGCTCTGTGCATTTGAGAAATTGGAGATCACCTTCCACTGCCAGTCCGTCCTTTCCAGATTTTGCAATTGAGTCTGGTCTTGACACCTTCTTCGTAGTTTGTGTCATACTGATGCCACTGGATGATCTGACCCATTGCAGGTACAAATGAACAGAGAGAACGGAGCGTATGTGAAACGGCATCTCCAGAAACAACCCTGGAAGGATCCAAGGGTCCTGACTCCCTTGAGTACCTCAACGCGTGTGGGGTTCATGGGGACGCTAAGCTTCGATTTGACTTGGAATGCAGACTTCCGACACAGTGGCCAACCCCCAAAGCAAGTTTGTGTGGCTTTGACTTTCCCGCGCAATCTCCGGTGCCTTTCAAGTCAGCCCGTATTGTGGAGTGTGGACTATTGAAGGTTCCAGAGGCTAGTGGTTCCCTCGGACGGGGCCTGTGCCTTTTTGATAGCCAAAGACAAAAAGATAAGACGTCTTTCAGCTACAATAGCGCGTTGCTCGAGACAATTTGGTCCACTTACTGCAATCGCCATCGACAGTCCACGGCATTTGATTCCGCCATTGACCCATCGCACTTTCATGCGCGTTGAGAGCGACCGGCAGACTTCGGAGCCGAAGTCATGCTGATGCTGGAGATGAAACGACTGTCTGGTTTGGCCTTTGTCCCCTATTGACGGCCAGGTCACGACAACCGGGGTTCGATCGATGGTGAGTGTGACCATATCCAGTGGAATAGCCGAATCAATCAGCCGAACATTTCGTGATGGCTGTCTGCCTGATGAAAACATCCACGATCACTGCAATGCGAAACTCATTAAATCCAAGCGAGTCATGAATTATCGACCGGTGCCGGAGCTCTTTGAGGAGATCATTGAATGTGGAGACTAACCTCGTGGCCATTTTGAGATTGAGATCATGCTCACGACGCCCGACAGTCAAGTCGATGAATTGCCCGACGGGCTCCTTTGACAATTGCATACCTGCTAAATCACCTCAATATCCTAGTACGATATTCTCGAGGACCACTGCCTAAGAGGGCTGGCTCATGACTCGAAAAGCACCAAGCGCTAGAATCACCCACTCAACGTTCTTCTCAATTCTCCCAAGTCACCTGCAGCAGGACTCAAGTTGATCAGAGGTACCGTAGAGTGCAGACAGTAGCATTGAAAAGCCAATCCCCTTCAGCTCCAAGTCTGAAAATGGGTCAAGGGAGCGACCCATGCGACTTGCTTCTGGATTGGGTGAAGTTGAATCCTTCGTACGGTTGGAGTCTTCGGGGAAACGTCCGGCGGCGTGGATTGATAAAACCAGTTAAATATGCGACTCTTCTCCGACCTGTAGCTGTTGCAAAATGATTTCTTGAGCCTGTAGGACTGCGTTGAATCACCGAGGATAAAACTTCTCCCCCTTATGAGATGTTTCAAGCACTTCGTAGTGGCTTTCTCGCAGTCAACAGACTCAACACTGTTCACTGGGTCACTGGACCCTCGAAGAAGACAGCAATGAGATTCACATGATACCTCACTGAATTCCAGGTGAGTCAAGCCGAGCTTTGATCAAGTTCTTAAAGCATGACCAGGCTCTGAAGAATCGCATGTCTTAGCCCTCGCCTGGTTGAAACGCAGGAACCAGATGTGGCTGCCATGCTACCATTTCAGACTGGTATAGTACCGTCCTGGCCGCGACCAAACACTTTGTGGAAGAAACAACGATAAGCGGATCGACACTCTTTGACCGTATCTGTGCCAAAGGGAGGATCTTCGCGCTTCTGTTTTTCAGTTGATCAAGATTCTATTAATGTCTTAACGCCTCGTGTTTTCGGAGTTCAGTCAAAACACGCCCTGCCCGCAGCGAGAGACGACCGCCCAGCCCCAGTTCAGCCAGCAAGGGGGAACAGGAACGTCGTATTGTCTGACTGAGTAGCGAAGACATGTCTGTGCTAGCTTGGATGTCCCTGGCCACTGTTCGTATCAAGTGTTCTCCTTGATTACAATCGTCGAAAGTGACCAGTCTACTTCTGCTACCACGACCCAGCACTGTCTAGCAGCACCGAGTAGTAGTATATCGGGTCTTGGTAGATCAATGACGGGCGATGAGTGAGTCTTTCAGACACTGGATGGCAGGATAGAATTGCGCACAGAATATTCAAGAGCGATCCCCAAGTGCACATGACAAATGCAGCACCTGAATATGCAATCCAGTCAAGGTGATGTATATTGTGTTGTATTTGACTTCGAGGGCCCATTGAGATCGGAATGTGGATGGGCGGGTTCGGGCCGTCACACGCCTCGGCCAACTCAATCAGCTTCTATAACAACGTCAGACCGACTACTGAAGCCCCCCACCTCGTCCAGTTTTCATGCGATGAACGAGGTCTCACTGACTTTGGGAAAATTGAACTACCAGCGACGCTATGTCTCAATTCTCCTTATTGGCCTGTGGGCTGAAGCCTCACCGGTTGGGTGGCTGGGGGAGGCTGGGAGACGGCCTACCACCATGATGCTATCTATCCAAACAAAAGCCTAATGGGCTCCGGACCCATGTCCGCACAGGAATTCAATTGCATACGAGCATCAGTGCTTCTCTTGGTCTTGCTTCTGGAGCAGCATAGCTCGAGATTCGTGAAGCTCTCTCTATTTACTTTCCCCCACCACCATGGCAGATCACTTGCTTCCGCGAAATTTCAGCCTCCGAAATGTCAACAGTAAGTAACCAACCTCACAAGAATCTTATAAGCAGTACACGGCTCGAACTTGGAGCGTATCAACTTGAAATCTCATGTCTGAAATCTCATGTCTGACTTTGCTTTGAATTGACTCTGCAGCAGCTAGCCGACCTCAACTTTCCCAATCCGAATCTCGTCAATCCATTTCTGCATCCGACGACTATTATTCCTTCTCGGACCGGTCACGGTCAAGTAGTCCGGACAGTCGTGTCACAGCCATGCGATTCGACACCGCAGACTCTCATCAATCCTTCCAAGCGTCGTCTCCTACTGTGCCCAGTGCTGAGCACCTCCAAGCCCAGGAGATGTTTTACTCCGCTCAAGACCAGCAATATCACCACCATCACCAAGAACAACAGCCACAACAGCAACCTCAACGGGCTGTTCAACAACAACTACCTGCCTCTACCCCACCAGGTACAAGCAGTATGGTTCATTTTGGGGACGACAGGGTCGCCCGTATTAGTCCTAGGTCGGATGGCACAGTCAGGCGGATTGCAGCAGACTATGGCGGCCCAGCACCGACCCCAGGGCTGGATGACTCGCCTTATGTTCGCTTTGCCATTGATCAATTGACCCGGGATAGAGCTGCAGGCGTCCCTCAAAGACACGACTCTACCTCAACAAATCAGGACTTTCACACCGATCGGCTGGTGTGGGATCAAGGGCTGGGACAGTTCACTCGTGCTCGCACCCCCATCCGGTATACAGCGACGCCGCCAAAACCTGGAAATCTTACATCGCCATCTCCTCAAGCTTTACCTCAAAGACCCGACTCGGTCGATCCTGAATCGTTCATCGCCGTCGACCCACCTGAAGAAAGTCTGCAATATCCACCACTGAGATATCTGCCTTCAATCCTTCAGCCATGGGCTCTCCTCGGCCTGATCATTTGCTGTCTACTTATGATCGCCGGGGTGGTGTTCTGCAATATCTGGTCCTCTCGACATGAAGGTCTCTGGGACTATCACGGTCAAGGGGGCGGCAGATACTTTGCAATGCAGTTTCTTCCCCAGATCTTGGCTGTTCCAATTATTGTATGGAACTTCGTGGTGCAGGCAGCAGTGTATCGGATCTCCCCCTTTGCAATTATGGCATCATCACGACCTCGAGGGTCAGTCTTACAAGGTCTTTCCGTGATTCCCAAGAATTTCATTCTGCCAGACTTGTCTCACTTTCGATCTGGCGAGGTTCTTTTTGGAGTCTCACTGTTGTCAATCTGGCTTTCCAATTTCTTCGCCATGCCCATTCTCAGCTGCTTGTTTCAAGCCAAGTACTATATCGTGGATGGACAAGGTGTATGGAGGTGGACTTCTGTTGATGCAGTGGGCTGGACTATCGTCGGAATGTACGGATTCCTGGTTATCGGTTTGCTTCTGCTCGTTCTGCGATTCATTCGATCATGCACTGGACTAATGTGGGATCCGGTTTGCTTGGCCGATCTCATTTCAATCATTCAACGGTCGAATGTGCTTCGCGACTACGAACATTCCGAAACCGTTCCATCTGTGAAACAATCACTAGACCCTCGCATTGTTCGACTCGGCTACTGGAAGCTGTCGACGAAATCTAGGTCGGACATTTTCTACGGCATTGGCGAAGTCGACGCTCCAGTCCGAACACCCTCACTTCATCAGACTGAGAAAAGCCGTGACTTGCAACCCCAGGGGATGACTAGAGTCAGATTTGACCTCGAGCACGGGGGCGCCTTTGCCGATGACCCCTTTGATCATCATCTGTATTCATCGTTCGTCCGATTTCGTTGGACTCCGTGGTTCCTCCGCAAGACCTCTGTTCTTGCATGGGTCATCCTCCTGTTTGCTCTCTTTGTGGCTTTTGTGGCTGTCAGCTTTGTGAACAATGCCATCAGGGAAGGGTTCTCTCCAAAGCTTCCCACTCTGCCTTCATCGACTGCGTTCTCCGCCTCCAATTTCCTGTACAGTTTCATCCCAGGCCTGATTGGAAACATACTCTTTCTTGCTTTGCAGCCTATCGACATGTACTTTCGTGCTGTGCAACCCTTCATTGAACTCTTCAATGGCGCGTCGGCGGAACAAAGTCTTCTTCTCGCCTACCCTTACTCTCTACCTCTTCAAGTCTCACTACAAGCCGTATTCCATCGGCACTTCCGCGTGGCTTGGCTGTCGCTCATGAGCTTGGCATCTGCCGCTATTCCAGTTCTCGCGGGTGGTGTCTTCATCGCGCTCTGGTATCCGGACTCGCAAGATATCCGAATCTCCTCTCTCATGCCGGCCTTTTACGTCTTGATCGTATTTTGTGCCTTGTATGCCATCACCTTTCTCACTATCTGGCCCACCCGTCGCCAGTATCTTCCGCATGACATTTCCACACTCGCGGATCTTATCAGCTTCCTCTACCAATCCCCCCTTCTCGCCGACAAGCTCCTCCGTGAGCCTCGCAGCAAGACCGACCTTGTCACCCGTCTCATTATTGCGCCGCCCTCGGAGCGCACGTTCCCAATGTATGGCTTCGGCGTTTACGTTGGACGAGATGGCAAAGAACACCTCGGCATTGATCGATTCCACCGACCTGGCCGTTCCGACATGATGCTTTATGACCGAAACGAAACAGACTTATGATATATCCGAACGTGATGGGATACGCCCTTGAGATGGCCTCCGCCTTGGTCTATACAATGTCACGAATTTCTTTTCTCAGATGTTTTCTTTTTGGGGTTCTCATGCGCAGTGCAGCGTCTTTTTGATCTCTATGATTTGTGCACGTGTTCTGTCTGCAAATTTCGCGACATCGGACCTTTTCCTGCGGTTGTGCAACTAGATGTTTTCCTTCAGATCGATGTTTGGACCCTCCCGTTGGATTGTTGGTCTAAGTTGTTTGCCCCTATCTGACATAATGATTCTTTTTGATATGCGTGCACGTCCTCTCGGTTAATGAAATAGATGTAATGAGATCAGATATGATAAAAATGTCAATTCTCCCGGTGAACAGAGTTTGAAAACGCGTAGCCTTGTTCTCATGAGCAGCAGATCAGAGTTGTCCTAGATTGGCAGGGATTGAGGACGCAGCACTTTGGCTTCGAAATATGAGCATGCAGACCGCAGCTTCTCACTTGATGAGCTTCCGAATGGTGAAGTAGCTTCTGGTCATGGTCAAGTAGGTGAGACCTAGGTGCTCCTCGCACGTAGTGAGGTTGAGCATCCATAGGTGGCACGTAGTTGATTGATAAAGCACCGAGCCACGTGACCTCGATCGACAGGTCCCGGCGCCGAGTCTCCGCAGTTTTGTGGCCCCATCAAGACGTCTCCGCTGAACGATCTTAACTCTTGACTCTTTCGCGTGAAACCACCTGCAGAAATTCCGGCAATTCGTTCTGTTTGATAATTTATCGCTTCCAGAGACCTTGAAATCTCCTCTTAGTCCATTGTTTCTCACTGCCTGCAAATATCAAGACATTATCCATCTTCCTCAGTCTCAAAAGACTGTCCAGTCATCTCTATCTCAACGATGGTTTCCTTATTTGGCTGGGGCTCCAGCTCCAGCTCCAACTCCAGCTCACAATCGGATGAACCCTCCCTTCAGCGTCAAGGAACCTCACATCAGACCCATAATGGAAGTGTCTCATCGTCGTCATCATCACCACCAGCATCATTGAGCTCCGAATCATCCTCAACTTCTATCTCCACCTCCACCTCCACCATGTCCACCACCATCTCATCACTCGCGACACGACCACAAACCCCCAGCACCGCCGACAACACCAACCTCAAGCTCTTCTTCGGCGGCATGGCCTTCTTCGCCTTATCCGTCTTCGTCACTCGCCGCGCTAGTCTCAGGAAACGCCTCGCCTGCGTTCCCCCATACTACTCCAGCTCGATATACCACCAGCCCAACGTGAACGGGGCCATGGAGGCATTTGAGGCGCTGAACTTGGCAACGCTCAACGTGATCTCATTTGGTATGATGGCGACGGGCGGAGTCATGTATGCTTTGAATATCAACGGAGTGGAGGATATGAGGCGAATCATGCGAGGCACTTTGGACGATGTTGCGGCGGGCAAGACGGACGATGAGTTGGAGAAGGATGTGGCGGAGTGGGTGTCGAGTGTGCTTGGGGATCGATTTGAGAAGCAGTTGGAGAAGGAGAAGGCGAAGAAACGGACGGCGGGCCAGAGTGTGAAGGATGAGTGATCTGGGGAAGATCAAGGACTTCCACTATATGGGATTGTTAGCTTGCAGTTCAAAATGCATTGATCGCCCTGCATGCTATTGTAAATACTCTACTCATGTTCGTTCCTTTAACCATGTACATTACCTTCTCATACACATAGCCCAGCCTTTGGCTTGGCTTCCTCCCGTCCGTCATATACCTGTGTCCAGTGATCGCACCACCAAGATAATATAGATGAGACAAGAAATAGTTGTGGAATGGAAATAAAAATTTTATTACGTCCGTATGGGTTAAATAATTATCAGCGCGAGCATAGGGATATCGCTGTTGTACAGTATTGGCCTTTAATCGACAGACATCCACATCTGACCTACAACCAGGATCACTGATTCATCTGATCGTAACGTTGCCGAGCAGTCTCGCGAGTCTTTTCCAAAAATTCATCATACCGACCCCGTGTGTTGCGACCAGCTTCTTCCACAGCATCCCCGAGTTTACCACCTTGAGCGCCCAACCCGACACCCTGCGCGTACACCTCGGTTGCAATGGGAGCAGTGACACCGGTGCCTGATGCCCCCAGACCGGAACCGGCTGACCAGCCCATCTTGCTTAGCAGGGATGCGCCCTTGGACGTCGTCTGCGCGGGCTCTTCCTCTTGAGTGACGGCGAGTTTGGTGCGAGCACCACTGGTCTTCTTGCCGCGACCAAAGGCCTGACGACGCTCACGTGCACGGTCACGATATTCGGCGGGCTGCGGGATGATGCCGTGCTTGACGAGCTTTGCCATGCCACGGGATTTGGCCTCTTCGCTCATGAGATTCTCCCGATGTAGCTGGCTCAATCTTTCGTGTCGATTGACATTGGCTGAACTCTTGAACTGCCGCATACAAAGATAGCAACAGTTTCGGTTGAGGTCAGCAAACGACTGAGCGGGCGGAGCAATCGCTTCTGCAGACTCTGCAGCTTTCTCTGCATCGCCCTCCATCACTGGGTCAGATCCATCCTTCGCGATGCCATGAAGCTCGGCGTGCCGATTACTCCAGAATTGCAATTGAGATGGCATGGCAAGCTTTTTGGCGTTAGCTCCTGCAGCCGCATCGGCTTTTCGTTTCTTCGCTTTGTCAGACTCTCGAGGACCTTTGGCTTCGCTTTGGTCCCTCGACCCGACACCTCTTGCGCTCCTTGGTCGCTCTTGGTCATTGTTTTCTTCACCTGACGTAAGCACCAACTCACTGGCGTATCCCTCGTCATCCCAGTACATGAGTCTTGCGGATGGGTTCGCCAGTGGGCTGAATGTGAACTGCGCCGCACCAGGGTTCAAGTCCATGACTGGGACAAATACACCAGCGTGTATGTAGCTGACCAGGACAGGTTTAGACGATATGGTAAATTTTTCAAACGAATTCAAGCGTGCCATGGCGGCTTGCGCATCCTATGAGGCGGTCAGTCAATACACATCGGCCATCTTTAGGACACAGTATGCGATATTTCCAGATCATACCAGAACATTGGCAAACTCAGCGAAGCCGAAGCGCCAGCTTTCGTTCGTCTTCCGATCTCGAACTAGTAACACCCGGCGAATGGAGCCCTCACGAGCGCCAAGGTTGGAGTCGCCAGTTGTGGAGGCGACCTTGGCGCCTTTCTTCTGATTACCTGAGGCAGGAGCCTCATTGTTCCCGGCGGATGGGCGGTAAAGCTTGGAAACACCTTTTGCTAGAAGCTCCTCGGTGACCGAAGACTCTAATCCTCGCAAAAGGATGAACTGAGAAGGTTGATTGTCAGGCGCAGCATCATTGTCGCCATTGTTGACAAGTTTTGCCGGAGGAACACCCGGCGGACCCGCAGGAAGGATTTCTGGGCCTGACTGGTGAGTGCATTGTTATAAATCTTTCAGAGATAAGGGAACATACCTGGCCGAGGAGCATTGCACCTGAAACATTTTGGCCGAGTCGCAAAATTAACAACAGCGCACTGATATGAAATAAGCTTCGAACGACCTTTTCGGATGAAGAATGGCGAGTCTCACCATTCGACAAGTCCAGTCTGCCTCAGTCTTGACTCGAGTTCGGTCCTCTCGTTCCCGGCTGTACGCTATGCGAACCTTTGTGCTCCGGTCATTCTCTCCTGCCGAAGGGCCGTAAAGGTAAATGTATGGGTGATTCTGTTCGAGAAAAGCTCGTGCGTCATCGATGGAGGTAAATCGTAGGAAGCCCAGTTGTCGCGATAGTTCTGCAGAGTGGGCATGTCAGTACCGCTTCAAACGGCCGCAAGCAGCCGGCGAGCGCATCCCACTCGAAATAGTCTTGAACGTACTAGTCTGCCGGTCCCGAATGACCCGGATCTCCTCCAAGCCGCTAATTTGATAAGCGTTCTCAAGCTCCGCTCCGATCTACGTCAACGGGATCCCAGAGTCAACCATGGCTTTCCTTCGTTAAGGTGACCGTAGCCTAGAACTCACGTCGTCCTCCGTCATATCCACAGGAAAGCCCTCCATCATAATTTCTCGGCTTTCCGCGCCGAATCCAGAGTGTCCCCGGCGAGGGCTACGACTGCGACTGTAGCCTCCCCCGCGACTGTAATCCGGTGACCGATAGCCTTCACGATCCCAATCCCGATAGCCCTGTCTTCCTCGCCTTGGCGGTGACCGGTGACGGTATTCTTCTCGATCGCGATTTTCAAGATGCGCTCCGGAATCTGCGTCTCTGTTGTATTCGCGCCTGCGGCCCGTTGCTCGTTGAGCAGAAGTACGAGAAGGGTCTTGATGTCCCAGGAAATCAAAGCTCAGAATATTAGCCACAACTCAGATCAATGGACTTTGATTCAATCCGAAGGCGCAAGGCAAAACCTCAAGAACCATATTGACGTAGGGAGGAGCGTGTACCGCCAGGCGATCGTGAGCGTGAGCGTGAGTGATCATCGTACATGCGGCCATCTCGCTCATCTCGGGAGGCGTAAGGCCTCCCCGGAGGTCCAGAATACGGCCGGCCTTCGTCTGGGCGATGAGGTATCATAATGAGAGGCAGTTGAGCAGGAGATGCAGGTTGCAATGGTGGAAGCTTGAGCTGCTTCGTTCAGTTTATCTCCGATAGCAGCTGGCAGAACCTGACCGCCCTTGATAGGAGCCGTTATCAGTTTATCACCAATCTTGAATATAGTTCCGACTTCGAGTGTGACAATTATGCTTCTGTCGCGAATCGGAAGATTATTGGTAACGTATAATACTAGGGTTCGCTTCCGGGTTAGAGTCAGTCAACTTTATATTTCATTATTCTGCCCTCCCTATTTCTCCTCCAGACGAGTGTATTCAGCTTCATCAGTTTTGCCCGATTCTATGCATCATCCTCCTCTATGTTTGGCCCTTGGACCATGGGTCCGTGCATGTGACTGTGGCTCGTTAGAGCCACCGTTTGTTTGTGGTTATTTGAGGCGATCAAGGATCAAGCGTGAACTTGATGTTGAACAGGAAACCAAGAGCTTAATGACCGGTTGTATGAACGCGCTGTAGCAAAGACGCAATGGCATGATCACGCGACGGGGGAAGTCAAAGACTGAACAATAAGGATCATTAAGCAGAAACTGGAGGGCTAAATCAACGTGGAGTCCAATTCGATACGTTCGTGTTATGCAGCTTCAGGCAAGAGAGTTGGAGATCCTTTGAGTTGAGTAACACTGCTCTTTTGCCTTTGTGAAACTTCACCTCATCTCCAAAGGAAGTCGGGTCTTCGGCAGCACTGGGCTACAAGAACCTGTCCCGCCTTCGATCTACACGACGAGGAAGAGTTCCGTCCAAGACAATACCCACTTAGAGTAGGTTTGTACCCCGCGTTGAGAGATACATGTGCATAGCATACGCGCATACATGGATTGTTTGCGACGTGTCCAGCTCTGATAGACGTATAAGAAGGATGCTTGGCGAACATCCTCGATGTATTTCACGACGGACTTGATTCCCAAGCACATCTTCCGTATCCAACCTTCCCAATTTTCCACGCTCCGGCCTTGGTGAATCATCATGTCGCTGTCAACCAAGCCAATCCACCGTGCGTGGTGGAAAGAGAGTTCAGTGTACCAAATATGGCCCCGGTCTTATAAGGATTCCAACGATGATGGAATCGGCGACATACCAGGCATCATCTCCCAACTGGACTACATCCACAAGCTTGGAGTCGATATAGTGTGGCTATGTCCTTCTTACAAGTCTCCTCAGGTTGACATGGGCTATGACATTGCCGATTATTACAGCATTGCCGACGAGTACGGTACGGTCGCAGACGTCGAGGCATTGATCCGAGGCTGCCATCAGCGGGGGATGAAACTTCTTATGGACTTGGTCGTCAATCACACTAGTGATCAGCATGAGTGGTTCAAAAAATCCCGTAGCTCGAAGGACAATGAGTACCGCAATTGGTATATCTGGAAGCCAGCCAAATACGATGAAGCGGGCAACCGGCAACCTCCGAATAATTGGGTATCGCACTTCCAAGGTAAGCAAGCGCACGGAAGGTCCTCTCAACTTGATGGTTTCCGCGGGCAGGATGCGAGTTGAACACATGAGATAACAGCGATTCTAAAGGAAGCGCTTGGCAATACGACGAACTGACGGACGAGTACTATCTCCATCTCTTTGCGACCGAACAGCCGGATCTGAACTGGGAACATCCGCCAGTGCGTAAAGCAGTTCATGATATCATTCGATTCTGGCTCGAAAAGGGCTGCGACGGATACCGCATGGATGTGATCAACTTCATCAGCAAGGACCAGCGATATCCCGATGGCCCTATTCAGGACCCTCATAGTCCGTGGCAGTCTGGAGACAAATACTATGCGAACGGGCCTCGCTTGCACGAGTATTTGCAGGACATTGGTGAAATCCTGAAGGAGCATGATGCGTTTAGTGTGGGCGAAATGCCTTTCGTCACCGACGAGCAAGAGGTACTTCGTGCTGTTCAAGCTGGTCGCAACGAGCTCAACATGATCTTCAGCTTTGAGCACGTCAATGTCGACCACGGGAAATACGGCAAATTTGATCCTGGCTCCTGGGAGCTCACGGATCTGAAAAGCTTCTTTGAGCGATGGCAACCATTCATGTATGAAAATGATGGCTGGAACGCTCTCTACTGGGAGAATCACGACCAGCCAAGATCGATTGATCGCTATACTGAAGCCAGCGAGGAGCATGAGGGTGTTGCTGCAAAGATGCTAGCCGTGGCACTGGCATTGCAATCGGGCACACCTTTCATCTATCAAGGACAAGAACTCGGCATGCGCAATGTCCCTAAATCGTGGGGTATCGAAAAGTACCAAGACATTGATTGTCTCAATCATTGGAAACTGTGAGTCGATGAAATCTTGAAGCTCCCCTCTTCTCAAAACTCTCCGGGTATGACATTGACATTTGACCGTTCAATACGTAGCCTGCTCAAGGAGAAACCATCGGACACTGCGGCCCAAAAGATCGCTTTGCAAGAATATCAGAAAAAGTCTCGCGATAACGCTCGCACGCCAGTGCAGTGGTCTGATGCACCTAATGCCGGATTCACTGCACCGACTATCAAGCCCTGGATGTCGGTCAATGACAATTACCCTCGCATCAATGCCGCTGTCGAGATTGATGATTCGAACTCAGTTTATACTTTCTGGGCCTCTGTGCTTCGTCTTCGCAAAGAGTACAAGGATGTCTTTGTATACGGCTCCTGGACCGTCGTTGACGCACCGAGTCAAGATATATTCGCATTTACTCGACAGTTTGATGATCAAAAGGTTCTTGTCTTGTGCAATTGGACCGAGCGAAGCTTGACGTGGGACCCCCGAGACAATGGGATCACTGCCACCAAAGATATGTTGCTGAACAACTATGAGGCGCCTGCCGAGGCTTTGAAGCGTTTCAGCGGTCACACGTTCAATTTGCGGCCTTTCGAAGCTTCTGTGCTTTTGCTGTGATTTGATTATGGGACCAGTCAAGGATTGGACTTACTTGGGAAAAAAAAGTCCGTTTCGATGAAGTAAAAGCGGGTTGAGTCATTTGACAACAGCGACTCCATCGTGCTAGGCCTACATGTACAGAGATTGATCAAGTTTGATTTTAATGATTCAGTGCCCTTTACTTCATGATGACCGCACGATAGGGATGTATTATCAACGTACATCTTGTAAGCTTCAACCTGGTACAGCACCCCCAATTCCCGGTAACTCAACCCACGCGGAAAAGTATCCGCGGGTTCCCCGCAATAGATAACAGTCCAAGAAAATGGAGACATACGATGCCGCACTTGACATCACCGCGAAGCTGCCGACCCTCGTCCCAGCAGTGCATATATCTTCACGATGGAAGAGTCTCCTTTACCAGCACATCTGGACCCAACTACCTACCCACGCAGCCAGCACGATGCCACCCAAAATATCCACCTGACCTTGACCTACTCCCCGCTTGACCCTACCACCTACCTGGCGGAGACTTCCTCGGCCGCTGCCGGCGCAAACACCCTCTTCCTCGGCACCACAAGAGACACCTTTGAAGGTCGCTCTGTCTCACAATTGAGCTACACGACGTATCCACCACTTGCGTTGAAAACGCTCCAGACGATCGCGGAGGCGGCCGTTCATAAACACCGGCTCAAGGGGGTGAGCATTGCGCATCGCCTGGGAGTGGTGCCGATCAAAGAGGCATCAATTGCGATTGCTGTGAGTGCTGGACATCGCGCGGCGGCGTGGAGGGCGGGTGAAGAGATATTGGAGGCATGCAAGGAGAGGGCTGAGATTTGGAAGAGGGAGGAGTTTGTGGATGGTGGCATGGAGTGGAGGGCGAATGCGGATCGTGATGCGGAGGGGAATGCAGTGAACAAGGCTACTTCTTGAAGGGCCTCCCTCACCAGGAGGCCGAGGCATCTTCGTCTTGGCGACGATCGACAAGCTACGTGAGCGAGCCTCCTTTTTAGAGATTTCGCTAGTACGTGTGTGCGCGAATCGCGCGGACTCGCAACTTCTCGAAACTTGTGGTACCAGCCTCGGAATCGGCTCGATGACTGGGTTTTGTTGAGCAGGGTAATGCATGTTGTGACATTGATATAATACAGTTTTCGTACATAGCGCTCTGAATCCTTACTCAGTCTTCAACGGCTTGCCTTCCCTCTTCCAGTCATTGATGTGTTCGAGGATCACCTTGGAAGCAGACTCAGGAGTATCTTGTCGGCCAATGCATTCGACGAAATCATTGTCAGGATCTGTGTGAATGGAAATGGATTAGCAAAGAGATCAGATCATCCGCAGCGGAAGTTATCGAGGAGATCATACCCATCAAGTAGAAGTAGATGCTGTGGTCAACCAAGTAGTCCTCGCCGGGCTTCACGTCCTTGGGCGTGCTAAAGTACACGCGATATTGCCGGCAGACGTTCTTAACTTGCTCATAGGTACCAGTCAGGCCAACAATGCCCGGATGGAACTCCTTCAAGTATTCGCGGAGCACCTCAGGAGTGTCCCGGACCGGGTCGCAAGTAATGAAAACCGGCAGGAAGATGCTCTCATCCTTGGTGGCCTCCTTGACCTTTTCGATAATCTCAGCCATCTTGTCCAACTCGTCGGGGCAAATATCGGGGCAATGCGTGAAACCAAAGTAAACCTGTTTGATCATCGAATGTCAGCACATAGTCCCACGGCGAAATAGCATGTTTGCGGTCTCTGCCGGCAGAGAAAGAATCAATCTTACAAAGCTGTATTTGCCCTTCAGGTCCTCTTCAGTAAACTCCTTGCCGTCCAGGTCCTTCAGAACGAAGGGTCCGCCAACCTTCGGCCGGCCAACGCCCTTACTCATCTCAGCAATGCGCTTTCGCTCCAGGCGGGCTTTCTCCACGCGGAAATAGATCACCATGCCCGCGCCCGTGAGGACAAACAACAGCGCTGCCTTCCACGAGAAGGGACCAGTCGAGTTACGCTGGCGCAGCTGACCCATAGTCTTGGCGCGGGCGCGCAATGCCGTCGTGGAGAACTCATTGCGTGCAGCAAATGCGCCCTGGAGCTGCGACGTGCATCGGGGTCGTTGGGATTGCGTGTAGGCACGGCACTGCGGCTGACTGTTGGTGCGGAGGACGGAGAGCAGTCGTTTCGTCGGGGCAGTCTCGATAGCTGCGAAGCTGCGAGAAGCGCGGCCGAGAAATCCGGAGGCCATCTGTAGCGTGGGCGCCATCCTGAAACGGTGTGATGCCTTGAGCGAGTGGAGTGAGATGCTGCTGTCAATTGATGGGTGGCACGAGAATCTCCAAATCCACTCATCGGGACTAGTCCTTGGTGCCTGAGGCTACACGATGATTGAATGGTGGGTCTGACGACTGTGCCTAGTTCTACTTTATCCATTCCATAACCACGATCATCGCTTGCCTCTTGACTCTATAAAACTGCGATATTGCAAATTTCAACTACATAGGAAAAGAATAATGAATAATTGTCAGACAAGGTTGAACTTTGCGATTACTGCGGAGTATTAGACGGCTAATCAGAAGTAAAGATTAGAAACAGGAATACAGTTCAGCTTAACGAGGAAAAGCGCCGAACAGACCTTCGTCACGTAGTAATCATGACGATCTTGTTGATATACTTGTCTGCGTTATGCTTGATGAGGTTGTTTGCAATCCATTTTCCAGAGTCCTCACGCGAGATAAAGTATCCAATTGCCGCAGACTCCCGACCAGTCTGAGGATCCTCGATGCCAACCTGAATTTCCTTCTGCGTTTCACCATTGGTGAGAAGACTTCCATGAATTATCGTGAAGGTCTCTCCGCTCCCAATGAATCGATCCTCGGTGATCTTCTTGTCTTCGTGTGCCTCTTTTAGTAACCATTTGTAGATGGGATACAAGATCAGAGGATAGTCGCGCCCGTATCGCGAAATCCCAGTAGTACTGAAGAGCACGATGTGGGGGTGACCGGTGGCCCCTTTGCTTCTCAGCTGAGAGATTGCCTCTGTCAAAGCTGCAGCGCCATTGCGGCAACAATTTGGATCCTCAATTTTCATCGTTGGCATGACTGGTCGACTGCCGATGGTGGTGATGATCATGTCGACAAGATTGCCATCCAGGTTGCGGATACATTGGGTGACTGCGTTGATGTCATGTGCATCACCTTGAATGATCTTTAAATTCGGAGCAGACTCTTGTGTGAGAAGAGCTTCAAGCTTTGAAGGAGTTCTGCATAGGGCAGTGCATTGTATGCCTGATGCCAAGCTATGTTTGAGGGCGGATAAGCCGACTCCGCCGCTGGCCCCGAAGAAAGCGATTGTTTGCGGGAGAGAACTCATGATCAATGTCTGGTCGGTCATTTGAAATGGCAATGAAAGAAGAGAGTAGTAATGTGACTGACAGAGAATGTGGGAATATGATCTTTGTCTCTTGAAAGGACAAATGACAATAGCCTGGCATCTCGCAGCCTTTTATGTTCAACTCACTGTCGGACTGTCACAATGAAATTAGGACCAACATGATCCGAGATTTACGCGAGTTGGCTTCTTATCGAGCAAAATACTCATGGCCAACAGGTATTCATCGACTCGATACTCCTCAAGCTCTTCTCGCGTGATTCTCGGCCTTCAAGAGGGGCCGATTAAGGTTTGACGTATTCCGAGATGCTGACATGGGGGTAGTGCAGTCGAAGCAACATGGTCGGGCAGGGACAGCTTGCATTGCAATCAAATCTGATTCAGAAATTCACTTGCCTGAAATTATATGGCAATATGGAGCCCTTTCGGTTGGATGAACCTTTTCCAATCTTACTGTCTCTAGCTGCATTGAGTGGTCGAGTGTAGAAGAAGTAGTGTATAACTAATCGACAAAAGTTTCCTGTTAAGGCCTAGTGGCCACTAAGCCTAATCAAGCGAATGCTCTACTGAGTGGTGTCAACGACCTCCTCGTCTTACTGTCGAAAACCATGCTAACACCAGCTTCGTTGGGAAATGCTTCTGCGTATTCCTTCTGAATATGACCAAGAGTCACATTTGAAAAGACCGGATCGTATGAGAGAAGAAAAGCGCCAGCGTGCCGCTACTCAAATCCATGGCAAGCATACCGGTCGCGGGTGGTTCGCTCAAGAAGGCCGAGAAAAGCGCGAGCTCGCCTGTAGCGCCAACAGCTCACGCAGCAGCGGTCCAGGAAAATGAGCGCTCGGTCAAACTGCGCAGTTGCATCGTATGTCGGAGTCGCAAAGTACGGTGCGATAAGCAATCTCCATGTTCAAACTGTCGCCGAGCAAATATTGCCTGTACCGTGCCGTCGAAGGATCGGCCGCCTCGATGGGCTCGCCGTCTTGTGCAACCAGGATCAATAGATGTGATGGAAAGGATCCAATCACTAGAGGCGCTTGTTAAGAGACTGAGAAATCAGCTTGATGAGGCTCATGCTCAGATCAATAACTCCAACAGTGCTTCGCCCTCTGTGCATTCTTTGGACGGTCCAATCCTAGGCAGAGTCGGTTCGCCGCCGTCTCATTCGGAGAGTGCACCACTGCAGATTGGACGACTTGTGCTTGAGGATGCGAACCAAAGTCGCTATCTTGGGAGCGGATTCTGGGCCAGTATCACTGATGAGGTAGATCAAGCCTTGCATCTTGTCAAGACATTTTGTTGATGAAATTCTAGTTGAATGACTTGCGCACTGTCACCGAAGGTGTATCTTTCGATGAGGGCGAATCCTCAGACGATGATTTTGAGTCACCAACAAAACAACTTTCGACCGCGGAAAGCGAACGGCCGCCGGAGGATCGAAATGCGTTCGTCTTCCGCCGCACCTCAATACCACACAGCCCGGACCTTCGTGACTTGCATCCCCTTCCCTCACAGATTCCTTTTCTCATAAATGTTTTTTCCGAGAATGTCAACTTTCTTTTACAAACGGTGCATGAACCCACTCTCTCAAGAATGATCAGAGACTTACGTGGCAACCTCGCAAGTCTCGACCCTGCTACTGAGGCACTTATGTTTTCCATCTACTACGGTGCCGTGACTTCTATGGAAGAAGACGATGTGCTGGTCAATTTTGGCTCTTCGAAGGCCGAATTAAATATAAAGTATCGGCTAGGCCTTGAGAACGCCCTTGCCAAGGCTGATTTTCTCAGCGCGCCCAATCTCCTCCTTGTGCAGGCACTGGTCAACTTTCTTGCCCTTGCTCGTCGACATGACAGTCCTCGATATGTGTGGATGATGGTGGGACTTGCGATCAGAATGGCCATGTCTCTTGGCCTTCATCGCGACGGAACAAATTTCCCCGGGCTTTCTCCGTTTGAAATTGAGATGCGGCGACGAGTCTGGTGGGCATTATGCATGCTTGACGTGAGGGCGTCTGAAGATCAAGGCACCGAATTCACCATAGCCGTGGATAGTTTTGACACCAAGTTACCAGAAAATATCAACAACCAGGATATCCAACCAGACAGCCCGGAAACACCGGTGGAGCGTGACGGATTGACAGACATGTCTATCTTCCGTATCTTCATCAAGATGACTGAATTGATGAAACGAATGGTCGTCGGTGAATCGACAGCTCTCAGTTTTGAGACAAAAGACAACATGCTGCAGGAAATGTATCAAATTGTGGACGAAGGGTTCTTACGCCATTCAGCAAAGAGTGACATACAGCATTGGACCGTGGTGATTGTTTCACGATTGACAATTGCCAAAATGACTCTTTTCATCTACCTGCCGTCTCTCTTTTCCCGCTCGAGGGACAATTTGTCTGCGCTCGTTCGAACCAAGCTTCTCGTCGCGGCAATCGAAGTTGCGGAATACAACCACGCTCTGAACCATGAACAAGCTTGCCGACAATGGCGCTGGATCTTCCAAACCTACACTCATTGGCATGCGATTGTCTATATGCTGCTTGAGGCTTCACGCCGACCCTGGTGTCCTCTTGTCGAGCGCGCCTGGACTGCTCTGCACAGCATCTGGCTGATTCCACAGCAGTCAAATTTGCGCAAAAACATGCGGGTTTGGTTTCCTTTGCGCAGCTTGATGCAGCACACACAGCGGCATCGAGAAGCCGAGATTCAAAGGCTACGATCTGACCCGCTCGCGACCGAACGACTGGAACGAGAATACGAGGCTGCTCCGATTCCGTCAAGTGATGCTATTTTCTCGCAATCTTCAAGCAACTTCGTAGATCCGTCACTTGAACATTGGCGATACATTATGTACTCATCCGAAATTGACATTTCATACTCATCAGTCAATCCAGGATCAACGGCTGCAGACCATGTTGAAATCAAACCTCTGTCAGTTCCAACGGAAGAGTGGCCAAATCCAATTCATCTGGCTACACCCTACGCCCACCTCTCGCTTCCGGGCCATCCTGAACAGTCGCCGCTCAATACTGCTGATCCGTTCGACCTTAGGATCTTCGAAAGTCCTGCTACAGGCGCCCTAAGCGACAGTATTGACTTTGATGTGAACATTGACTGGCACTCATGGGTTCAGTCGGCTCAGGGGGTGGAATTAGACTCGCATCAGAAGCCGACTGAAGGATGATCTCAATTGGTTGACAACTTAAGAATCTTGTCATATTTTTTCCCTTCCACACACTTGTGCGAGTGCACACGATGATTCTCTCCTGATCAGAGGAGGCTCTCAAGGTCCATTTGGATCAATCCGGCGGTTATGTTGTAGCCTGAGGCTTCCATATTCGATGGGCGGCATTCATCTCGTCATCGGCACGCTAAAAGTGGATTAGTGGAGAAGACTTATCCACTAGTCTCTTTCTGGACTAGCTGCTTTACGAAAGGCTTACAATTGATTATCGAAGGCGGGTGAATGAACTGCGGCTCATGATGACTGGCGATCGATAATGCTTCCATAATCGCCTTGGGGCCTTCTACAGCGATCTAGAGACTCGACATGCTAGAGCTTAAATACTCTTATTTTCGCACGTTTGTGATCAATCTTCCATTTTCCAAACCACAATCTACACAAGCAGTTACCTACAAGTGCTCTACAACTCAAGCCACAAGAAGATCACATCAACAGAATATAATATGTCCGCTCCTCTTTCCCACGCCAAGATTGTCCTCCGTCGCTCCAGTGAGCGCGGATATGCAGAGCACGGCGGTTGGCTCAAGACATTCCACACCTTCAGTTTCGCCAACTACTATGACCACCGCTTCCAAAATTTCGGAAGTCTGCGCGTTTTGAACGAGGATCGCGTCGCAGCGCGTAATGGATTCGGCACACATCCTCACCGCGATGCGGAAATCTTCAGCTACATCCTGAACGGCGAGTTGACGCATCGCGATAGTATGATCAAAAAGGGCGCAGAGGGCTCGCAGGGAAAGCAATTCTATCGTATGAAGCGAGGAGATGTGCAATTCACGACCGGCGGTACTGGTAAGTACCTTTATCTCTCTTCCTTCTTTGAGTTTCTCTACTCTCTAGTGATGGAGTAACAAGCTAACTTTTGTTGATACTGAAAGGTATCGCTCACTCCGAACAGAATGAGTCAACCAAGCCCGTCCATTTCCTGCAGATCTGGGCTTTGCCATGGAAATACGGCCTCAAGCCCCAATATCACACCATGACATTCAGCGAGGAAGATAAGCGCAAGGCGTTCGTACCCATCCTCTCGCCACTCGCGGCTGGTCCCGAGGCCAAGCCCGCAGATGAAGAAGCGGCTATCCCGAAGATCGCGGGCACGATCCCCATCCATGCCGACTTTGTCATGGGCGCTGGTATCATTGCGCCGGAGACCTCCTTCACGTGGACTGTGGGCGCGGGCGATGCAGTCAGCTCCAAGAAGAAGCGCAATGTCTACATCCATTTGCCTATGACGAATCAGGGCAAAATGATTGTCAAGTTGAATGGGAGTGATAATGCTATTCTCCATGAGGGAGATGGTGCTTTTATCACCCAGGTTAATGCAGGAGATGCGCTCCGGGTGGAGAGTGTTGGTGAGGTTGAGGCGGAGGTGATTGTTTTGGATAGCGACTAAGCAGGTACTGAAGAAATATTGTATATAACATTTGAAGCAAAACAACGTATCCATTTCTTGTGTCTCATATCATGTGGATCCACTACTGTTTGGCAGGCAGTAGTCTGCTAAGGACTCCCGCCCCATGGCAGGGCCAATGCCCTTGTCAAGAAACAAACATCTGCGATTTGTGTAGACTCATAGCACGCCTGCTCCCAGGGGCGTCGTTTCCCCCATGAATTGCGAAGCTCCTCGCCGAGCTTCCCTCTTTTGTCCAAGAGCAACTTTATCCGCACAAGGTCGCTCGCCTTGCATGTGCATGCATCATATAGGAGTGACGTGGCCGTGTGATGTGCGAGATCGAAAGGCGTTCCGACATCAAGTAAGTATCTCACCACCTGCGAGTCGATCTGAGCAGCATGCCAGATAAGAGAATATCAGCCACCCCGTCATGATCTGTCTGCACCAACTTCACGCCACCGAATCGCCACATCCACGCGATCATGTTGCGTTGCCGCTTCAAGTGGTCTGTATTAGAAAAAGAGGAGTCACTAGGATAGCGCTGACTGATTACCACGAGAATAAGATCAAGTGGGACGTCCCCGAGCAGCACTCCTGATCAAGAAATACTTGAAGGCCAAGGGCGACAGTTATCAAAAGTCGACTGCAGAGTCCGTTGACTTTGACCAGCATTCCAATGATAGAGGGTTTGAAGAGGGCTGTAAGACTATATCTGGTTGTGAAATTGTGGCTTGAATGGACTGGTAAGCGTTTTCATTCGAGATTTTTGCAACGGTATAAAAAGAATGAAAAGATCAGCTGCACACTATGAATGCGTTTCACGCAAGTGCGCGTCGTCCAGCAGCCGTGGCAAGAGATAGGTAGCCATGGGTCCAAGTCTGACCATTTTCTTTTCGTCGACTGTACTCGTTAAGTCGATGCTACGTGTCAATAATATCTCTTGAACTCAAAGTGCTCCGGAGCACCTCTCCGTCCACGTGACATATCATATAACAAGCTTGATGAGAGGTCCTTCTTGAGTCGGCTCACAGCCCTTTCAAAGACAAAGTACTGGGTAAAGGGTATGCATTGCCTTCTCAAGACTTCGGAAGCTTCAGTGCTTCACCATGCGAACGAAGTCAGGAGCAATCGGCATGCCAGGACTTGTCCTCCAGGAATTGACCAGTAGCCGAGAACTCGGGGCTTGCTATTTCTGCGTCTCGCAAGATGTCTTCTTCTCGACGACTGCATCAGTCGTCATGCATACCTCTCCGGGATTGCTTCTTCCCCAGAATCAGTGATCCGATCACATAATTCGAGACCCACGTCTAAGGTGACCCACCATGGAGAAAAGCCTCACTACGCATGGCCAATGAATCCAACGGCTTGTTTCCCGACCGGTCGGGAAACGCCAGGGACAGCCGAGGAGGTGTGTTGGGAATGGGAATTCTTTTTCCACGTCTTCGTTTTCAGGTGATTAACGTGGAGGCAAAATCTAGAGCTATCTCCCCAAATCGAGATCATCTTGCGAAGTCGGTCATAGACTGGAAGCCTTGATCAGACCAAATCGTGCCTCGATCGCAAGTGTTCCAAGGTTGGCCCCTCAAACCGAGTACAATTCATCCCCATTAGTCTAACGATCTGCTCTTGCAAAAATTTGAGGTTGGCAGGCGTGATAAAGCTCAACTGCGCTCCGATTTTGACCTGCCTTGCACAAATCCAAGTCGAGTCAAAGGCCCGACATACCTATCGAACAGATTGAGTATAGAGAACAATCTTCCAGCTCTCACAGTTGAGACCTTCAAGTCCCACTCGGTGTAAGACTTCTATTTCATCAGCAAAGGAAGTGGTCGAGTCGCCAAATTTCAATATGCAATCGATCAAGAGCGTGGCCGTGATCGGGGCTGGTCCTGCGGGAGCAATTGCAGTGGATGCATTGATGCAAGAAAGGGCCTTTGAAAAGGTTCGAGTCTTTGAGCGACAGGAAAAGGCTGGAGGATGTTGGTACGACGAATTCGGCTTCTCGTTGTGTGTTCACGGTGTAAGTCATGCTGACAAAGTATCCTAGGGTCTCAAGAGATGATTCTCCCCCAAAGAGTCTGGACCTGAATGGATTAGCTGCGCGAACAGCAGATGCACCATTAAAGATTCCCGATCAAATGCCGTGCTGGACACCTCTGAGCTCACAAGATCGTTTCATGGACTCACCTGTTTACCCGGGTCTTGAAACAAATGTGGACGTGAGTGCCATGTGCTATTCGCAAGAGCCGATACCTGCCATTCGCTCCCAATGGTCGATTGAGCGACATGGAGAAGACACACCATTTCGACACCACTCGGTGATCAGACAGTACATTGAAGACCTGTTTACCCACAAAGTATACGATCGACTTGTAGAATATAACACCACTGTCGAACGTGCGATTAAGGAGCCACAGGACTCAAAATGGACTCTCACTCTTAGGCGCACGGGGATGCATAATGGCACACAGGCAGATTACTGGTGGACGGAAACCTTTGACGCAGTCGTTGTTGCCTCGGGCCATTATGCAGTGCCTTACATCCCTGCAATCCCCGGCTTGACGGAATTTGCACGCCAATACCCCGGCAGTGTTGAGCATACGAAACACTATCGTGGGCCGGGAAAGTACCGAGCCAAGGTGCGTAAATCATGCCAAAGGGAGTGAACGAGTCATATACTGACGGCATAGTAGAAAGTCATCACAGTCGGAGCCTCGGTATCCGCAGCAGATACGGCCGTCAGCCTAATTGACAGTGCTAAGAATCCCATTCACGCAGTAGTTCGGGGTCGCTACAATCCATACTTTGGAGATGAAGCCTTCAAGCACCCAAGGATCCGGCGTCGAGCCCCTATTTCTTGCGTCGAGAGCAAGACTCGCACCGTCTATTTCGAGGACGGCACTTTTGAGCCAGACGTGGATCATCTCATGTTTGGAACAGGTTTCACTTGGACACTGCCTTTTCTTCCACAAGTAGAGACGCGCAACAATCGGATCCCGAACTTGTATCAGCACGTGTTTTATCAATTGGATCCTACGCTGGCCTTCGTCGGAGCGGTAAGTACATTGCGTGCGCTGTCATCGCCCTTGTCGCACACTTGCTGATTGTAGGACTGGGAATAGGTTGGCGCAGGTCTCACATTCAAAGTCTTCGAGTGGCAGGCCGTCGCCGCAGCACGAGTCCTCGCAGGTCGTGCTACTCTTCCCCGGTGCGAGGAGCAGGCAAAATGGGAAATCGACCGGATTGCGCTCAAAGGAGATGGACCAGCTTTCACGGCGATCAATCCTGATTTTGAGACCTATTTTGAGGGACTCCGTCAGCTTGCTGGGAGGCCGAGTGCGGGTTCACCTGGTCGAGTATTGCCACCCTTTGATCGGAAATGGGTGGAGGTCTTCAGTGCAGGACATGTGCGACGTAAGGAAATGTGGAGGAAGTCCAATGCTGCTGCGGCATCAAAGTTATAAGCTCTGTCTGGACAAAACGGGTCCAGTTGGGATGGACATAGTATCTCTTCAGGCAGGCCGAGACGCCAAAAAAGCCTTCTACAGCCTCGAAAGTCAAGCCTAGGGTGGATTTCGAAGCTGTAGTCTGCGTGTAGTGATTCAAAGTGGGTTGTCAATAGTCTTTTGGTCTTTGCGATCTTCTTCAAATAGACGAGACAAAGGACATGGAACATGTCATTGTATTTGACATAGAGGAGGCGGCATGTTGCTCCAGAAAATTGTATGAACAGGAGTGAACTGGAATGCATGTGCACATTCCATCGATTGTGAGTGTGTATATATGTGCATACGTGTCGGCCCAGATCCTGATGAGTTCTCACGGCAGATCAGACTCTACCCTCTGCAAATGACGTAGAACCAAAACCCTAGATGGTGACACATCGGTCAGTGAGTCACAGAGATGGGGGTTGAGTCCAAGAGCGCACTCACCAAAGCAGAAAGTGATGGACCACGGGTCTAGAAGGCGTAACGCCCTGGCAGCGCCACTCTGGGCGACGATGCCGTCCAACACGACAGGCCAGCCGTGGTCATACTGTAGATAGCTGTAACCGAGCTGTGCTTGCTAAGTCGCCGAACAAAGTCCCGTCAGCAATGGTTCATCATCGACAACCTTTCTGTATCTTTACAGCCACCAGAGCAGCTGATTACACGTGCACTCACATCATCACGGAAGCCCACAGACGTATTCAAATAGTGATAGTAAAGGATATCCAAAGTCGAGGAGCTTCCCGACAAGACTCCCACCCCACCAGGCGCATAGACCAACCCATGATTCGAGGCATAAACGATCGTTCCACCTCCGTCGAGCAATGACTTGCCCGTACGATCTACGAACGGACCACGGACGTCTCGCGACCGGCCAACTCGGATACTGTATTCGTTGCCCCGGTCGGGAAATCCACGCTTGTCGAAATTGCAGCATCTGCCATGGCTAAACCAGACATAGTAGTACCCATCACGGGAGCTCATCCACGAGCCTTCTTGCGGACGAACCGCCTCGTGGGGAATGAAGGTGAGCTGCCTGGCGTCCGGTTTCTGCGGACTCTCAATTGAGAGCCAGTCGTCTGTGAGCGGGACTTGCCAGATATCGTGCCAGAAGCTGCCATAGTTCAGATATGCTTTGCCGGTCAGATTATCCTGAACAAATGACGCATCAATCGCGTTGGTCACAGTGAACGGCCAGATATCAGATCCATTTCCCACGCCCGTCCGAATCACAGCTCCATGATCGATCCACGATGATTCGTCTAGCGTTGTGCTCGTGGCTACGCCAATCGCGCTCTTTTGAGAGCCTGACGTGCTGAGGGTGTAATAGCAGTAGAATGTCCCGTTGCGTTCAACCGTTGTGGGTGCCCACGGTCTTGATCTGTTGCTATTTCCCTGGTGGATGATGCTTTCGCCTTCAAGCACAGTGCCAACCTGTGACCATGGTCCGCTCATATTGGCGGCTTTGAAGAATGGTATATATTGCCCACCTTTGAAGAGATAATAGTGGTCATCCCAGAAGATTATGTTTGGGTCGTGGACTTGTAGATTGCCGACATTGGGGAGAGGTATCGCCGTCGTTGTCTCGTAAACTTGAGAAAGTCTGGGTTGTCCGTCGGGTGTTCCCGATGGTAGCGACGGTTGGCTGGCCTCTACCAATCTCTTCAGTAGCACTCCTACCAGGAGACATTGCCAGTAGTGGACCATCACGAGGAGCAAACCAGCAGCTGATGGAGTCAACGGAGCCTTGTGCAAACCTGATGGGGGCTCTGTTGGTGCGATGAGGCGTAGGACTTCACAATGTTCCCACCAGGGATGGAGGGTTCACTCGGGAAAAGGAATGGCTGTCACAGCTTGCGGAGCCATTGTATAAAGAGACATATAGGGTTGGCTGGGTTGCACGGCTCAGTATTGTTCGCTACCCCGTCAGGACATTTCGAGGGCTGAGGTGAAAAGTCGCGGTACCGGGCAAGATCAGGGCGATAGTAAGATAATCTCGACACAACACATGTCCGTCCTGCTCAAATCAAGCAGTTCCAAAGCTGAAGTCTCGATTGAGAAAGACAGAGTGAGAGTATGCGAAGCAGCAGAAAAGGCAAGTGCCCATACAGTCAATGGATAATAAATGCAAGAAATGCAAGAAAAACAGGGTGGTTGAGATTTGAACAAGCAAAAGAGCCCTGACGACGGGAGTCACAAGGTGAATCTTGATGAGGAGCCTTCAGCGACCAACTTGAACAAGGAAGCCAAGACAGTTAAGCGACAATCCTCTTCTCAGTGATGATCATGATTATTATGGGGCACCATATCAAATGGACAGCCAAAACCTCCTTCCCCGACGACCCACGCTGAAGAGGGGCCCATCCGGCGCAATTTCAAGTCTGGCCACCCTTGAATGCTAACTCAATTCCACCCCTGAGCCGTCTGACGTGAGGTTCAGTCTGCCGATCAGTCGTCCATTGGTTCACGGAGCTCACAACGTGAGCGTAATCTTTACTGTGAGTGACTCGGGAGTCTCGGGGGTCCAGTGTGGACTGTGGAGTTTTTGCAGCCGGAGACCAGAGGACAATCATGGCAATGCACCTCAGTTCCACAGTAAATCGGAAAAAATGGGGACCAGCGACACATCGAAAATCCTGGTGCCTGTTGCGCCTTCTTTTTTTCTCTGAGTGGAGCCCCTGAGGCCGTTTCACCTGTCCAGTTGGAACAGGATACCAAGGCCCCCGAAATAGATCGCTTTCTCCTCGACCGCCACGCCGCTCACAAGTTGGAAGTTCGGGCAGAGGATGGGCTAATGGGGGAAGATTCACTTATTCGACCACTGAGTATGGGCAACTGGATTACCATAGAAGGTGCAGCCGGGCTTCCTGTCGCAGTAGAGTAAAGGTAAAAGTGAGGATAGTCCGCCTATCACAGATCCTCGACCCCGGATTCTCCACAATATCCCGTGATCAGAGCTCCACCCAGAAAGGCTTGGCCTTCGAGAGAACTTCCCACTGGAAAGTCCCCAGTGAGAAGAGCCGCAGTACAGGTGCTGTTGCTGTTTCAAATTTCAATCGCTCGTTGGCCGACAAATGCAATAAACCCCCAGAGGCAAGCAAGTAAACGGCCAAGTTTGGTGATATGGTTGCCAAGTACATCACTCTGTTGTGTGCTACCATGCGCTGTGCCCTATAGCACAACCTTTTCATCATCTATCAGGGACACACAGCCTATGCTCGCATATCAAAGTCCCTTTCCATAACCGCATAAATCATCATGACATGTGGCCACATGTCAAAGCTGAGTAATGTACAAGAGTGTCATGACAGGCCTCCATTTGCTGGCCTCCACTCATGGAATCTTAGTTGTCGAGAGGCAGCCCTGTCATATCTTCCCAATTAAACACATCCAGGAAGGGATCAAAATCGTCGGGTGGCTGTGAGTGGTAGAAAGAAACAACAACAGTGTCAGTACAAGTCCACTTGGGCCTGGGGGAGATTCAACAGCCAACGTACCGTCACTACAATGTGAGAGTGAGGAAGTATGCCATTCATGTCTGACGGGAGTGAAGGCGGCATTCGCGGGTTCGCAATGAAATTTGCAATCTGTTTGGGACAGAGGCAAATGGTCAGCATGTCTGTTGCCGTATTGAAAGCACCTAATCATGAGCAGCCCGAAGGGAGTCAGACCTGGTTGTTGTGAAAACTGCCCATCCCGGGTTTGCCCAAATGTTCGCAGCCTGCATGGCGAGAAAAGAGAGCCTGTGCAAATAGCAGGATACGTTCGACTACCTGGTGCTTATACATATCTGCCTGGTCGGGCCATTGCTTCGCTTTGGCGAGGGCCACAAGTGTAGAGAGAAAGAAGTAGTCCTTGGCGCCCTTCAGGACGAGCCAAAATCGGTCCTCAAGCGCCACCAATGCCGTCTCGGCAAGCAAAACAAGCGACTCTGAAAGACCAGGCAAGCTTCGCAGAAGAGACAACGAAGATATCGGGTGAGAGGACAGATCTAGAGGCAGGTTTGGCGCATCAGTTCTACCCATGTTGTGACAGTTCTCGAAGCAAGTACTTACTGTTCCGCTGACCTTGAGCATGAAGGACTTGGCACACAGAGAGCAACGCTTGCGTTGTCCATTCACCAAGCATGCATAGCGATAGTGGCTTGGAGGTGTTGAACAGGCGTTTCTGGGTCGAGAGTATCATCGTTGCTGAGTCCAGACGAGACCGAGCTGAGGGTGCAAACAAAGGTTCCCGCTGGGACTCAATAGCGAACGGCGTATGGGTGGAGAGTAGAGTTTGTGCCAACTTCGTTTCGATAGCAGCCTTCCAAAGAGCGACCTTATGCTGCTTGACAAGGTCACTTGCCCCGGTGTGATCCCATCGAGGAATCTGAGACAAATGCCGGCTCAACTCCCAGTCTAATCGTTGGATCTCTTCATAACGACAGCTGATGCGGGGTGAGTGCATCAGCTGACAGCCCTTGAGCCGAAGTGGAAGAGACCGACCGAGCGCGGTCTGAAAAGACGAGTCTGTAATATCAGACAGTGGTCGATCTGCTGGGGCCACCGATGAACTCTGATGGATTTCGTCATCATCGATGTTCAAAGGAGGTAGCGTGTCATAGTCCAAAGGTTGGACTGCAGGTGGCATGCCCCGATCAATTGCCACTTGAAGATCCAATTCTACAATGGTCATCCAGATGCGCCGGCGCATCTCCTTATTGAACACTGAGATCTGAGCATACTGATCCGGATCTCTGTGGTATCCTGAAAGCATCGCCTGTCGAACAAGGGTATTTGTAGCCAACCAAGCCTTGCTGCGTTTCATACCATGGCAATTCCTCGCCATAATTGTCAAAATTTGCAGTCTCAAAGTGGTAATCTCCTGGCGCCTAAAGCGAGCATTCTCAATCCACTTCTCAGCATGCAGCACCCATTCGATGGCGGTATAACATTTGAGCGGGACAGCGCTCTTGTCTTGCAAGCTCGTCATATCGGCAAGATTCCATGCACAGGCAAGTACCAACAGCAGTTGCACAACAAAGGCTGCAGCTATGGGACTAGGATTGGGAACCATCTTCCAGAAATCATCCAATTCTTTGAGGAAAGTCGGGACATGGAAGATTCGGTGCAGGGACTCAATATAAGTCAAGTACACCCCAATCAGTTCATCGACCACAGATCGCGATGGCAGGAGAGCGATCAGTGACTCTATCGTAGGGTCTGGAAATGCCTGCTTAAGTGGCTGCCGTCTCCACAATCCCTTGATCACCCGCTCTAGGTCGGGTCGCACCTGCGAGAGAATTGGATTCGCGTGCCGAATTTCTTCGGCAAATGCACGAATATCGGGAAACTAGATAACATGTCAGACACATAAGTCCAATCGGACTGATATTGTAGAATAGCCATGAAAAGGGTGAGTACCTGAGCGACCACGTTCGCATAGATCCCAGACCCACTAAATCGCGTCTTGGTATCTCGGCCTCTCATCATAATGCGCGGCGATAGATCCAAGTCGTGCGATGGTGATAGTACGTCATCCATGTCTGAACCGTCGTCAGCACATGGTCTTCGGGGCCGTGTTGAGAGAGGCGGTGTTTCCTCAACCCCAGAACGTCTTGAACGATGTAGAACATCGGTGTTGATGTACGGCTCTTGGTCAACGGCTGCTTTTGGCGCCCCCAAAACCGTTTCAAGAAAACCCTTTTCTTTGCCCTGGGGACGGCGCTCCTGTTCTGGAGCATCTTCGGGATGAGCAATTGGCCCCGAGTTGGGCGCGACTGTTGAAAGCATAGCATCCGACCGAGCCAATGCTGGCTCGCGACCCAGGCTCGGAGTCAATTCAACATTAACCAAGCCTGTCTGCTCGGTGCGAGGAGCGACTGAGGCGTGTACTGAAGCTCCCACTGTCCTGTTTGTTGAGACTGACGTTGGCGTCAAGGTGGTCGGCTGCTGCCATAAGAAGCCATCCTCGTAGGTACATTTGCTTGGCGTCCGACTTTTCATACAGCGGGTGCAAGTTGGGTATTCGCGGTCGCAGCGTAATTTGCGACTGCGGCACTGAGTGCACGCCATGGTGCGCCGACGCCTTTTTCGTGGCCGGTCGGCCTGCGGCGTGCTGCCCGCACTCTCTACATCGGCCATACTGGCGATGAGGGAGACGAGCTAGGGTGAGAATTACACAAGGATGTCTTCTGTGACGTGAGCGGACATTGTTGCTTTACCTCCGCTATGGTTACTCAGGCCCCTAAGAATCCTGGGCACTGGGCACTGGGCACTGAGCACTGAGCAGACTGCAGAGCACTGGCAGTAGTTGGACAACTGGGAATGTGCCCTCCACCCTTGCCCGGTGCTCGTCCAGCTTACGTGGGGTGGCCCACTCACTCCTGCCCAAAGTGGCAAGTCTCGTCGTACTCCGGAGATACTTCGGTCTTAAGGTTTCCACGTCGAGAGCACGTGAACCGTCCCAGGTTTGGTGTGTTTTGGCGGCTAAACAGTGTTAAGCACATGCACCACAGCTAAGACAGTCATGAAAATGGCATCAGCTTACAGGATCAATGAGTTTGACATGCATGCTCTTATACAAGAAGTTCTTTCACTTTGTGGATCACGTTCAGCCCCGGAGCACGTACCTGACTTATGCCGCCAGCCCATTTCGACTTGCCGCTGGCTCGATCGTGTCTGACCGTTGTGAGCTTGGGTTTCATTCAAGGAAAATCCAGAAGGGCCTACCCTGTGACGCGATTTGCCCTCAAATTTTTGAGTCTGAGGGGAGTTGTCAGTGCCATGCCGTTGCGCTCACTATCTCCATTACCTCGCTAGCTCGCTCATCTCCGGGTTAGGTCTCTAGCAGGGAATTATATCATATGCGTCCAATTTCATCGTGTTGGTTGGCTACTCCCATACTTGCGGGGACTTCTCCAAATCAGCCTTATGGATCGTCCTATGTAACTAGAGCCTCAGCCCTGCGGTAAGACTCGGACATCCCGATGCTCCACTGAGTCGTATGTTAGAGCCACTATATTGAGCCTGAAATATATTGCTCCAATCTTCGACTCATCTCATCTGACCTTTTTAACTCCATAGTCGCGCATGACTCAAGTTACAATGAACACACGCTCGTTGAACGTCATTCGAGATGATGCTCTGAGTAAAGCAAGAGGCTTCGCAGTGAAGCGCGTTTGTCGGGCGAGGTCTTACTACACAAGGAATTATTTCGACAGGGGCTCTAACCCACTCAAGCGTAAGGAATCAACTATGCGCCACTTTTTCAGCTGAACAGGCTTCTGACCTCTTGGTTAGATTGGCGAAGCTGCATCTGTCGAGCCTCGGCCTCAATCTCCGTCAGCTTACGTGTACCAAGCAGGCAGATGTGATATCATTTTGTTTCCTTCAAGAGGCTGGCTGTTCGAGACTTTGATCGACTTTCGTGTTTAGCAAATTACGTAATTAGTCGCAACATAGCCGCTTTCTAGTTGTCGAACATCTGTTCAGCTTCTTTGGCGCTCATTTGCACCGACGTGTGAGCGTTCCAATGCGATGGCCGAATAATATCTCAAAGTCTTTTAAGTCCCAACTGGTAAGATCTTGATGTTTCTGCCTTGTGGTATGCTAATTCCGTACTTATTTAGTTCCGGCGTCGATATAGCGAATCTTGCTCGGCATTCTGGGCAACATATACTTCCACAGATAGGTAAGCTGGAATCAAACGACCTCGAGGTATCTCAACTGGGCTCGAGTGCTTGAGTATCGATGAAGGGTTTATCAGATGACAGACATACAGATATACATTGTTTGACGTTCCGCTACCTAGTCTACCCCATCAACTCTAATGATAAAGTGACCTTAGTTTATTGGGGCTTCCGGTCGCCTTCCAAGATTCCTGGTATTTTCCAGACATTCGGGGATGAGACTGTTCGGGGAAACCACGCCTCGAGTCTCCGAGTCGGAGATATCGAACTTCTTGACGGCACTATCCTCATATGACATATACTGTACTGTACAGAAGGACAGATTACTTAAGGGCTTGACAAGCTGACAGTCCTCACTGTGGCCCTTTAAGACATTGAAAAACCGGCTCGTAACTCCCTGGACTCCAACATTCCTCGGTCCAAAAAGCTCACAAACCTTGAAGCACTCGGCTCTGAAAAGCCTCGGGCTGTAAAGACACCATAAACATATCAAGGGGTTCTACTCCTACGTGCTGGTTGCGCCGGGTCGTCCAGACTGGAAGCAGAAGATTGAGCAGGAGAGGGGAAGTTTAATGGAAGCATTCGTGCAGACTTCGGCCAAATCGAAGCGCGATGTAAGAAACCCTTTGATGTCGTGGGTTTGCAGTTTGCTACCCAGACTGATAACTGAATGGCCCATTAATTCTAGCATTATATGGTCTCAGCATCAAATGTTCCACCACCAGAAAGTGACACGGAAAAGACAGAGATACATGAAGCAATAAAAATCTTGATTCTACCACAATTTATCTACATCGACTCAGTGAACCAAACTGTCGTTCCAGGTCTAGTACATCAAGTACTCGACGACCCAGCCTCAAGCAGCGTCAACAAGACCCAAATCAACATCACTGGCGGGCCGACAATACCACCATGTATGCTCGACTATGTGATTCTACTATGCTCTCACAAGCGGCGAGACGCGCGCTGATCAAGCGAGAATTGGAGCGACATTTGCGACCCTTGGGGCTGGACCGTGATGCGGAGGACTCCAGACCTGGCGGTGCGGGCGTTTTTTTTTTCGTGTCTCATGTGGGGGGACACAAATTTTTGGCCAACGTGCTTATCTATCGGAAACAACAGCAGCAAATGATTTGGCTGGCTCGTGTGAGACCCGAGCATTGCGAGGAAATCGTGAAGCACACGATTCTAGGGGGTAACGTGGTGCATCCCGAGACGCAATTACGTGGTGAATTTGATCGTCTACGAGATTTGACGGGTTGGTGATATCATGGAGTAAGATTGAGATTGATGATCCGATCATTGTAATGTTTGGAAAGCAGGTAAATATTTCAAGCACGAGTATGGTGCAACCCGAGAGTTTGACCCGGGGCCACCTTCCAGTTAGAAGCGAGCTCATGAATCAACGCGTTCGAACCAGATCTTCTCCTTCCCCAGTGCTGGCTCAAAGGCCAGACCGACTCTTTGCGCTTTGCCTGAAGTATTCACATAGAATTCTGCAGGCAGGGGGTCTAAAGGCAAGGAATTGCTGGATGGAGTTTTCGCTACGAAGAATTCACCGCTGGCGTGTATTAGATCCAAATTGAGCGCAATAGGAGCGTGCGAGTTTTGTATGCTGAGATGACCATATTCAGCTAGGACCACTTTCATCCAAGAGCCCGTAGGATGCTTGTAGACCCCTGTGTATCTCTCGAGCGGTAGCGCGTGAGGCACACGGGGACACGCTATCGACGGAAACAACCTCTTCTTGATCACCTCTATATCTTCGTTTTGGTACTCGACGAGTTTGGTTTTTTCCTTTTCTTGACGAGCAAAGAATTCTGCCATGTTGCGCTCGTGCAGTGGGTCGCTGGCGGGCCCCAGAAGCTTGTCCATCAGATGGACAGACAACTGCGACAGGAGGAACCTCGCCGATGTCGAGTTTGCCATTAGAACGATGCCGAACCTTTTGTCGGGAATGATGCCCACAAAAGTTGAAAAGCCAGGCCAACCGCCAGTGTGCGAGTAGAGGTGTTGACCGCGATACATCCACACAAACCAGCCCAGCGCGTACGCGTGATATGGCGTTGGAAGATCCGTAGGGTCTTGATCGAAGCAGAGAGTTCGCGGCTTGAACAAGGAATCATGACCTTTCAAAGGCCCGCCGCGGTCGATCAATTCTCGCACCCAGCGCGAGTAGTCCAGAACACTACTGACTATACTCCCTCCAGCCGTGTTGGCCCGCCAGTTGGCCTTCGACTCATCGACCCAGTGACCACCGGTCTTTTCGGCAACCCAGCCGTAGCCTGTGGCCATTTTAGCTGCAATCTTGGGAATCTCTCTGGCTTCTTCTTTGGAGAAGAAGGTCTGCTCCATGCCGAGAGGACCCCAGATGCGCTTTTTCAAGAATGACCCCAGTGGCTGCCCGGATACTTTCTGCATCGCATGACCAACAGCGATGAACATCTGATTTGAGTACTGAAGTTTGGTCCGTGGAGGCTCAGATAAGGGAAGGTAGCGTAGGGTCCGGACATTTTCCCGAACACTCCCATCTCGGTCCCCACAAAGAAGACCCCAGCCGTGACCTGGAAGACCGGAGCGATGAGAGAGAGCATCCTCTAGGGTAGTATGCGCGGTTGCATACTCGTCTGAAAGAACAAAGTCCTCGGGAATGATAGATGCCAGCGGAGTGTCCCAATTGATTGGAGATGGACTATCCTTAGAGTCTTCAATGATCATCGAAGTAGCCGCTGCTGTAAAGGCCTTTGTGGTGCTCGCCGCCGAGAACAGATTGTCTGTAGTCATTGGCTTGTTTGGAAATGTGGCAAGACCATAGGCCTTGAGTAAAGACTCAGTACTGACTTCGTTCGATTACATTGTGATGGAATGAGTACCTTTGAGAATGTGTGGCCATCGCGAACAACGGCAATGCTTATTCCAGGCACTTTCCATTCTTCAAGCCCTCTCTCAACGGCCGTGTCAAAATCTTGATCAAATGGATCGACAATTATAGCCATGACAGAATGACTCAAAGGCAACAAGTCTTCCTCTTTTGTCGTAAGTTTCTGCTTTTCGGTGATCTTAATGCGATGAATTCATCTGGCGATGCTCCCAACGGGTGTGAAGAGTGAATGAGGTCAAACGACCGTGCAACTTTCGTCTTATTGCTGGTAACCCCTCAGTACTCAGTAGACAACTCGCTCGCTTATTCACTATGGACGCTGACATCCTTGCAATGAATTGAAAGACAGCCAATTGGTTAGGTCGAGTAAGCACTACTCGGATCCGTACCAGTCAACTGGCGAGCATACTGGATCCTAGGCGACGTCCACCGTAGGTCAGATGATCGAACATACTTTCATGGGAAGACCAGTCTCTCCTATTCGAAGGCATCGACTGCGGATGACCTGCATTCCCTAGACACGTCGCGAGGCCACGATCTGGTCAGAAAGAAAAAACGTAGCCTGAACTACACCTCAAAGCAGGCGCCCGTGATATGAGCAAGCCAAGTAAGCAACTTCAAGGTTGAAGGTACTGGTAAGTCTAGTAGTGGTTCTAACTACGGATACTACTGTGCGAGCGTTTAATCCTCGTCGCTTGGCGGATTGCGGGCCGCAGGGACCTCCACGATGTCACATGCCCCATTACGCGCTTTAATTGATTTTCCTCTTTGAGTCATGTGGAGACCGCGTTTTACGCGTCCAGCCATCCTTTCATCTCTGCTTCCCCCACGAAATGCGCCTCGTCACATAACTACTGAACAATGGACGATCACGTTTTGCAGTCGAGCGCAGATGTCGCCTCGAAAGCGCTGGAACTACGAGCAGATCTGAAGACCTGGGAAAAAGCCTTTGCAGCCACACATGAGGGACGCAAAGCCGGTCGCGAAGATATCAAACAACACCCAGTTATAGGTAAGCAGACATTTGCAAGATAACGCCCCAAGTCATTTGGATGTTTACGCAGTGAATGCTAACGAGCCTCGGTCGAATTACTATAGCCAGCAAATATAAGGAATATGGCCGGCTGAAGGCCCTGGAATCGACCTTAAGCCGACGAGAAAACCGACAAGGTCCCGTTAATTCACAATCAAAGAAACGCGCTTATGGCTCTCCAACCGGGCCAGAGACTTCACAATCCATCACTACACCCAGGAAGGCAGCCAAAGGAATCTTCGCCACACCAACCAACAATCGAATCAGAAATGTGCCTCAGGTGGATGAATTCGTGTCTCCGGCCACGTTTCGCAAGTTGTTCAGTCCAAGCACTCACCGGCAAGCAGCGCCAGTCATGTCGCCTCTCAAAGCTGCAATCGGACCGACGCCACAGCGTGACGGGAAAGCCTTGGGCTTGTTTGATATGCTGTCCGAGTCAGGAGGAAGCCGCACAACTCCGTCGTCAAAGAAGCAAAAGGAAGTTTTGGTGGCGGGCTTTCACACACCCTCGAAGGACAGACTGGGTAACAAGCTGGCAGGCGTGCCGGAAGAGAATGAGGAAGAAGAGGTGGAGGAGGAGCACGCGCGCCTATCTCGCACGCCAGCCTCTTCGACTAAGCAATTCTACTTGGCCAACCTCTTTGCGACCCCTACGACCATGCGCTATGCGGCTATGGTTGAAGCCGACGATGGACTGCCGGGCGATGGAAAGGTGCCACTGATGAGCCAAGGTGGTCCCCTACCCGAACCGAACGCATCAGAGACGCCCTCCTTCCTACGACGAATGAACTTTAACAGGGTTGCCCCTCCTAGCGCTAACCCCGAGACCATGGCCCTTAGTCCAATAGCAGTACGAAAACCTTTGAAATTCGCTGGCAAGGGGCTCTCACATCTAGTCCAGGGCCTGCGAGAAATGGAGGAAGACCGCGAGGATGACGAGTGGGACATGCTTCGTGAAATTGAGGCGGAGCAAGAGGCGGCGAGCTTCCAGGTTGCACAAAGTCAGCCAGTACTGCAAGAAGGTCGGCCATACAAGAAGAAGGGTCAAAAGCGGACGACTCGCAGGGTGATCATGAGACCAGTTGTGACTCGGGCGAAGAAGTCAAACTCCGCGCCGATGACGACCAAGGAGGACTCGGGAAGTGAAGAAGAAGAAGAGGATGGCGAGCAGGAAGAAGTTACAGTGCTGGAGACGCAACTTCCGACCGGCTCGGAAGTGATCAACGACGCTCTGGACAGCGACTACGAGGAAGTGGCGTCTCTGCACACCATCTCTGGTTCTGATCGAGGGCGAGCGGTCTCGGAGGATCCCGGTTCTGATTCCGATGATGATCCAGATTTTGGAGAATCCTCTTCAACCCGACCAAAGAGTTTCTCCGAGCGGCTTAAAGAAGCTGTTTCAATGGCGGAGCCCACGCTGAAGGAAGTGGCGGCTAAAGCTCCCCCGACCCAGCAGAAAGAAGAGAAGACATCCAAGCCTCGCATGATCAAGGCAAATGCTCAAGTGCACACCAACTACCGGAGCCTGAAGATTCACCACCGTGGCGGTACTCAAGGTCGTGGCCGATTCCGCAGAAGGTAGAGGCACGGCGAGGCGATTCTCTGCCTTACGAACGTATGACCACATGTATAAAGAAACAATTGATTTACTTCGCTGGCCGATAACAACCACTAATTACAAGGCCGTCTGAAACGTGATACGGGATTGATTCTACATGCTTCAAATAATATGCTCAAAATACCCTGACACTGGTGTCCAGACAATGTAGCACACGGGAATCCCATATCAATCGGGTATGTACCTATCTAGGAGATGTCGGTTCTCATTCGGCCAATCAGCCCGCCGATTTTGGCTTTGCTTTGGATCTCGCCAGCTACGTCTATCTGGCTGTGTTGCTTGGGGCCTTGACACCCTATCAAACAAACTTCGATCAGGCTCTCGAGGGGGTGATGCGCTGCGCGCACGCGCAGGACCCGAACGCGCAGGTCTGCGACGTGAAGAGCGCCCGTCCAGGTTCTGACTGTTGCCAGGACCGTCCGATGAAGGAGGGTATTGCACGTGACGATCCCAGTCGTCTAGAGAGGCGTAAGGGCTCCGCAGCCACGCCAGCAATTCGTGGAGAAACAAGCGAGCATTCTCTCTCCCCAGAAAGTCACGGAGCAAATCCTCGGCTTGGCCAGCGCTACCTTTGATATCCACAGTGCGTAAGATAGCGACAATATATTCAAGCAGGAATTCCGCATTGTTGGCTCTTCGCTGCTCTAGTCGCTGCTGTCCCGTGCGAGCCACAGGGTCTCGTGGTTGGGCTGGCGCATCTTTGGGCTCCGGTTGAAGAAAGCTAAACACTTGCAGTTCACGGCGAATCCATTTGCGAGCACGTGAGACAAGGGCTTCATCTCGATTGAAATCGTCGGGTGTCACCTCCGTGTATCTGGACAGCCGGTTCGAACCCACTCGAAGAGAATAAAGCTGATTGCGGTATACGTTCCGGCGGACTGAGAGCCAACCATCCTGACTGCCTGCTGATCTAGTTGGGAAAGCGCGGTGTCGAATGGATTGCTGCCTTCGCGCTTGGTTCTGGCGTGCTAATGCAGGGCGTGGGGCTGCATTTGTAGCATTAGGAGGAGGAACCTTGTATGTCTTCGGGCCTCCTGGTCCGCTCAAGTCATATTGAACAGCGTTCACACTGGCTTTGCCTGTATGATATAGTATCCCTATCAGCCTTTGTTTTTTCCAAAACTTGAGAGCATAACATACACAAGGGACAATTAGGCCGCTGCTCCAGCCAGCTTAGTAGACAGAGGTAGTCAAAGTTCGCATGGCGGCAAGGTATGCCGACACAGGGTTCGGTAATAGCGTCCAGACAAATAACACAGGGATCAACGCCATTGATCTCTTCGTCAGCTACCTCTTCAAGGGTTTTCTGAAGGATCTGGCGCTGCAAATCTCCATGCTCTTCCATGAAGACCGAGGATCTGCAAGCGCAAAGATGATGTATGCGGGGACTTGGGAGTGCCTTCCTTATCACCGGCTTTATCGCAGGCGGCAGTCACGCTGGACGGTTGGAGTGGCCGGGGGACCGCCTGCGGCAAAAAAATTTCCATGCTTGTAGCTCACTGGACTCGTGAAGATACAACTTCTGACGAGGTCCGGCCTGCGGGGTCAAATTAAAATATTAAGACACCAATTATTGCCAGAGACAGATTTCGTCGTATCCATTAATCACAGCATTCTCGTGAAACTGCTTCATCGTGAATCGGAACGCGTATCTGCGTCAGCGGGATCTCTCTCGATAACGTGACTGCGATAACCCTCGATGCGTTCAGCAAAGGCGGTCATATCTGAGAAACTGGCACGCCTGGGATCTTCCACTTCCAAAATGACATACACTCAAAGTGCTTCGGCCGCACAGCGCACATCGTCTCATACGCTGACCTCACTTAAACGATGGTCAGTCGCGTCAAGAGACTTGCCGGGTAAGCACTGACGTCGTACCGCCTTATTCTCCCGATCGACCGAATTGAAGCTCATGCGGATTCACAGCTGTCTCACAAATCAAAACAATTCATGTCTATGATTTTGACAATACATGTAGGTGTTGGCTCCGTGTGTCCACTCCACAGATTACGACTAATAATTCTTGCTGTGACCTAGTATTCCTGAGCCCCCTTCCAAACCCGCAGCTGTGGAATAATGCGACAATCGGCTTTTTGCAGGCTTGGGAGAGCTTTGCTAATGGTGGGTGGTGGCATGACCCTAACATTCTCTCTGCTACTGGTAAAGGTATAGAAGAGGAGGAGCCAAAGGGGTGGAATGGATGGTGGAATGAGAATATTGTACGGAACCATCTGGCTGAATTGAACTCTGGGTCTCTGAGTCTTGAAAGCTGACAAGCCCTCACGCAGTTGAGCCTAGTCCGAATGAGCATGGATCAAAAAGATGCTCTGACTGTCCTGCTCACCGGACGGGGAGAAGCCAACTTTGCCCCGTTAATCAAGCGCATGGCCGCCAGCCAGAAACTTGAATTCGATCTCATCGGCTTGAAACCTGAAGTTGGACCGAGCAGCCAACAGTTCCCATCAACTATGGTCTTCAAGCAGAACTTCCTGGAGGATCTCATGTCTACTTATGATCAGGCTGAAGAAATCCGTGTCTACGAAGACCGTCCCAGACAGTAAGTGACCTTCCACAGGAACCAATGCGTTGCAGAACTTAAGAATCGGTTATAGCGTGAAAGGTTTTCGGGATTTTTTTAGCAGCTTCAACCAAAGGCTGCAGTCTGAAAATGGTCAAGCACCCCGCAAGCCATTTTCCTTTGACGTGGTGGCAGTGACGGAAGGCTGTACATATCTGGATCCTGTGACGGAGACAGCGGAGGTGCAGCGGATGATCAACTCCCACAACCTTGCCCTTCGCGATCCCTCTTTGGCCAAGATGAAAACTCGATTCTCTGCTTTAAAGATTAATCGCTCGGTTTTCTACACGGGCTATCTCATCTCACAGCAGGACTCGCAGCGTATCATTGACGAATTATTAGTCCCACTGTTGCAACAACAGGGCTACGCCGATTCAAGGGACTTGAAATACATGGCTAACAGCATTCTCATCTCTCCGCGTCCTGCAACTCCCGCTACTCTCAATCAAGTTGGAGGAAAGGGAAAGAAAGTCACTTGGCAAGTGACTGGACTCGGTGTGTTTGATCACAAGGTCTGGGCAGCTCGAGTAGCCCCTGTTCCGTCAACCGAGCCTGTGCATGCGGAGAACTCTCCACCTTCGATTGTGCTGGCTTGTCGCAAGGGCACTCGCCCGGCTGATGCGAATAGAATTCACAATTGGCAGAATGTTCCAGCTGGGAAGACCTTGACATTTGACACAGTCGTTGGAGAGAAGGTTGTGCTTCGAGTCGAAGAGCACAACTCTCATGGTGGAGACATGAACAATCGGCAGCCCTACGGAGGCAGCAAACGCCGTCATCCACAGGAAAGAGATGACGACGTGCTGTTCCCCCAGCAACCTGGTCATACACATGGCTATGAAACTGTGAATCAGGGCCAATCTCATGGCTACCACCCCTATCACCGCCCCCATGATGACACATCGCGACGAGGCAATCACCGGGGCCGAGGTCGTGGTGGTGGTCGTGGTCGAGGCGCCGGTCGTGGAGGTCGTGGCCGCGGACGCGGTGGACGAGACGGTCCATCGAACCCGCATTACAGATCCCTAGATGACCAGGGAGCTGGAGGATATGAGGGTCCCTACGAGAAGAGTGGCAAGGGGGGCGGCGGTTTCCAAATGGATTACTGAAATTTTTTTGGGATCTCGGTCTGAAAGCATTGTTGACAGGCGCTGTAGATTTATGTTGATACTCTTTGCATTGTATTGTATGGATAATTGCGGTATTCAAGCGGACTAATTCCAGGATCACCTTATTTCTCTTCATTATGATTTTTATTCACTCAACAATTAATCTGGATATTCATGGATGAGCCCATATTATTGCTATTGCGAGACTCCCGTGTTTTTCACCATGTCGCAGCTAGGCAATGGTTTCTCTTCGAGCCTGTCTTGATACCCACAGAATAACTCTGCAGCGATGGAAGTACTTTCCTCCTAATTTGCAATGCTGACCTTTGCTCCTTCGCCATGCGGAGCCCAAACACCCTTCCCAAGGTTGGAGCGGACCCTACTTCTAGCCAAGGCGCCGTTAATACTATATTTCTGGCCATCGACTATCTTCTCGAGGTGCAATAGATGGAGTATCTAGATAGTTTCAAGGTTCTGAGTATGCCACATCGCGTCTCGTTGCTTCTCATAGTTCTGTCAAAAGCACCCGGAATGCCTATGTAAGTTCGAGCGACCATTGAAAAGCCCAGGTTTTTGGGGTTGGAAATCAATTGTATGCCTTCTAACCTATAGAATGTGTGTGTGTCTTGTGAATTAGGTACGGCTTCCAAACTATTAAGCACTGCTTTCAGATACCGTACCTTCTCGAATACTACCTGGAACGCCACAACAGAGGCCTAGATATGTACCTATCTTGCTAGGCAAAAGAACTTGCATAAATTCACCAGAAGCTTGTCTGCGAGCAAAATTTGATGACCTGGATTTTTCATTGTCATTCATGTTCTTTTACAATTCGTAGCCAATTTCAGCGAAAAGGTTTGTGGATATCGTATAGTAAGAAAGCTAAGTCGTGGCGTTCGATATGTTCCGAGGATCCTCAATTTGTTCAAGTCCTCCAATGTTGGCCTCCGAGTGTCGGGTTGCTCAAATGGCAATCAAAGTGTCCCGGTAAATCGACCAAATCCTGTTGCACAGTGGGATATTCTCATGATATTCTTGGGTATTATTCGTGTTGTCGGGAGTGTCGTGCGGTTATACAAAACCACGAGGAAAGGGGGAAAAATAGTAGTAAACAAAAACGGGCGTGAGTCGACGTGAAAAAGACATGAACGAATCTGAACAATATGCTCGACAAGATGACGGACAAAGATTTTGATCAGTCGCCGGCGACCTTAGTCCTCGTCGGTCAGTTTCCGCAGCATGCTGATGCTGAGAATCATCATGAGAAGTCCGATGGTCACAATGACCAGGAGCACGAATCCGAACCAACCCAGGACCATTGCGGAAGTACCGACGCCGCTCTTGACGACGCTGTTGCCAAAATCTTGAGCTATCGTGCTGGCGGCTACCGACGCGGTGTGCTGCCAGAGTACTGAGACCAGAACGAAGACCGAGGAAACAAAGATCAGGGCGAGCGCTGCCTGGGACACAGGTCTCGAGGGGAAGGGCTTGACCTCGACTGCAGAGCCAGACTCGTCCGGTTCCTCGTGCCACCCGGGAAAGGTAGCGAGAAGGATGAAGCAGAAGAAGGCGAGGATAACCGCGACAATTCTATCGATGTATCAGTGATGATCTAAATGGAGCGTCAATTGGGAAAGCACTCACAGGAGATAAGGAAAGACGACAGCATCTTTAAATGTTGACGCTACCCAGATCAAATTTAGTGGGTCAGCGTCGACGTTGACAATTTCAGCCAGCGCGGTAGCGTTGGCGTTGCAGATGAATGAGCCGCCGTCTGGCTGGATACAGATACCAAAGTAGCCCACGCGGACTTCCATTGATGCACCGCGAACGATGTTTGACAGAGCGGTCACGACGCCCGGGTCCACTTGTGCCAGGTCTAGTACTGGGTCATATCTTTCATAGTACATCGAGATGAGGAAAATGTCCGGTATTTGTGGAGATGATGATGAACATCCCGCCAGCAATAATGCTAAATATCGTCAGTCATTGCCACGAAAAATAAGGAATTCGACCTTGTGGCGTTTCAAGGGACCGCTTACACAGCAAGATAATTGCGACTGCGATCAGAATCATGAGCACATGGTGGTATCCAACCATGGGAATGAAACCTATGAAAAACGTTAGCCGACTTATTCGATCCAAAAGGTTCCTCTGAGGCACTCAAACATACGGGCAATGCCCTGACCGAAGCGAATTGCCATCTTGACCAAGTTTGTGTCTCAAGAAGCCTGTTCTTCCCTTTCCTGCCGGACAACAAGGCTCGCTTCTCGGGGTCTCCGAGAAGGAGTTCGACTGGACCAAATCGGTGCCTCAATGCAGCCGGGGAGCGTCGACGCTGTTGCGAGACTAGGAACAGGTGGGTAGCTCTTGATCCACCTTCAAGATAAGGTCGTAGATGTGGAATGTGGAGCGCAATGAGGAATGGAAGGCGTGGTGTGGTTGAACAGTCGAGTTTCGATTCTCGAAGGAATGTGTCAGTCGACAGAGCTCCGAGTCCAAAGGTGAACTCGATGGGTTTTGAACGATTGTTCGAAGCTTGAGCCACACCTAAATGACAATCTTGAACTGGTCAGATGGTTCCACGACGATTGCAATGTTGACAGATGATGGGATTATGTCAAAGGTCAAGAAGGTGTAGAGGGAGTGAGAGGAACACAAGGGGGAGAGAGCGTAGCTGCAATCCAGAAACCAGTGTCAGAATTCGAATTGGGTTGCAATGATGCCCTTGGTGGCTGGGGATGGGGACAAAAGCCTAGTAATTCGGAGGCTGGGCCAACCATCATTGTTTACCCTCTTGCATCCCGGGCAACGGGCTGGCACCGCCTACTTGATAGAGGGGTTCTGCCAGTCGATTTGGCGGTGAAATGACCCGCACTAGGCCATAAATGGAGACGGTGGGGCCGATTTACGGCACGATACAGCCTGGGGTAGTATGTAGTCACGTCATGATAGGCTTGACTGCCTTGGTCTACAGGCGCGAACTATCAATAATGAGATCCATTGGGGATTGCTCTGAAGTGATAGGAGAATCTCTCGAGAATAGTAAAGTCGATCTGTGTAAGACAATCCGTGTGCGATGAGCAGACCAGGCTCATATCCGCGAGGCCCGTATCGAGGACGCGCCAGCACTCGTGTACCTGCCGAAAGAGATAGGCGTCTTTTGCGGGCGCTTAATGCATGACGGGCTCGACAAAAGACCGAAAGCACCCTGAAGAAACATAGTAAAGCAGTAAACTAATGAATCATACAAGAATTGTAAGCTCCTCGACTAGTTTCAATGCTGCCTAGGTCATCTAAAACCACACCTCGTTCGCTGAGTCTTTGGGAAATCGGCAGGCTTTAAAGTTGGACCCACTGCGGGTTATACCTGTATCTACCTTGCGGATGGACCAGCCTCCGACCTACAGTGCCGGTGGACCCTGACTTAATGGGTACATTCGGTTGGGAAACTGTACAAGTAGTCAGACACAAACCGAGACAGATCAGGTCTATCTGTAAAGTGATTAGGACACGAATGAAGATTGTTGGCAGTCATAAAAAACAGACTTGCTCACTATACATTCTGAAAAGAAGGAAGCTCTCGAAACGATCTACAACAAAGAGAGCAAGCTTGATAAGTATGACCGGTGGTGATATTTAAAAATGAAGTATAAAATGCTATGCCTGGCCACCGAAATCCAACAGAACTCAAACACCAATCAACACCAGAAGACCCACGCCCATGCAACCTCGTTTAACACAAAAAAGGACAGACTTTGCTGCGGACAAAGAGATGCACGCCGTCGCAGGTAAACCGCAATTCCCAGACCAAACTCCACACGCGCGGTTCTAATACAATGCAACTTATCTTGCTGTAAAAGCGAAGCGTTTCAGATCCAAAGTTGTAGTCTGCTCAGCAAAGGTAAGACGGTCGTCTTCATCATCATCGTCGCTCTGTGGAACGATAAGATCTTCACTACCCTGGGCGCCTTCAACAAGCGCAGATGATTGTAAATAAGACATTCGATCAACCTGCGGATCGCTCATTGCACTCCGCGGGACCTTAGTCGGATCATCGATGGTCTGACATCGTTTTAAGGCGGTATGTCCAAGACGTTGCAGTGGAGTAAGCCGCTGGCGCGGGAGACCCCGATTCAGTGCCGCCAGGTTCGTTTGAGGCGTTCGTGCAGTCGCCGGCACTGTGTGTCGGCTGCCAGATTCGAACACGGGTATTTTAGAAGCCGTTGACTGGGATACAGTATTGTTCGGTCCGCCTGTAAAGGTGAATTTGGACAAGACCTGCGAATTTTGTCGCGCAACGTGGTAGCTCAATGCCTGTTCGAAATCTTGGTCCTGAGAGACCTCATTGCTCACATGTGGCGGCTCCTCCTTAGGGGGAAGTTCGATTTCCTTCGTCTTCACCGCAGACTTTTCCTCGTCCACAGTCTGGGTTTGCGTTGAGTTTTGACTACCAGCAGAAGATTCGACGGAGCCTGCATTATCGGACTGCGATGATGGATCTGCGATCTCAGCAAAAATATCCTCAGCCAGCTCGTCAGAAAAGATCCCAAGATGAGACTGTCGTTGCTTCTTGCTTCGCGTAGCTTTGTGTCCGCTTGGGCTGGCTAGATCGGGCTTTGAGGAAAAGAATCGACTGAGCGAGGCTGGGCGAACGGGAAGCTGATCATCATCTTGTTCAGAACAGAGTCTTTGACGTTTCATGGGTTGACCAGTGGTATTCGCAGTCTGAGCCAAGACTGTTTGACGTTCAAGGCTCCGAATCAAAGGACTGCGGTGTTGATCAGACATGGATCGGACTGGGGTGGATCGGTTAAGAGTCGAGCGATAAGGAGCAGAACTGGCTTGCCAGGAATTGTTCACATTCCGCTCCAGAAGGCGTTGTTGACTGGGAGAAGGAGTGAGACTGTTCGGGTCCAACTCGCCCAGAGGTACTCGCTTGGGTGTGAAGATTGAACTGATGGGCTTGCTTGACTTCAGCTCGGAGGACGAACCCAAAGTCTGACGACGAGTGATTCCCAAAGAATGTTTACCTCGAGCCAACGGTTTCAAAACAATCGGTTTTTTGGTCGTTGGATCCAAGTCACCGCATGCCACGCCCGCCGCGATTTCTCCAGCCACGTCTGCGCCGATGAATGGGAGTTCGTCGAGGTTGATACCGTCTTCCGGAGCAGTGAGAGTCACAAGTCTTTTGGCATCCGGACAATAGACTCGCTGATACAAGAAAGTAAGCTCCGCCTGTCTGAAGTCCGCGAGGTAGTCTGCCGGAACCTGGATATTGTTTTCAAACTGCAGCATACGCACGGTTTTCTCCACTGTCTTGTGCCTGCGGATGCTGCGGTAAGCAGTTTTCAGGCCTATCTTCGGGATATTTGCCAGATAATCACACCCGCTAAGAATGCACATTCGTCGAAAATCAGCATCGCTCCAACCAACAAGACTGACTTCACGACAAGCTGTGAAATCCGCTCGATTGATTTCAGTGCATTCGCCATGTTGGTCCAGTTTGGACAGAAGTCTCTTCGCACCAAAGACCAGCAAATCCGAATCTTCAGAAATGATACCGTCGATCACACCTTTCTGTTCCAAGTAGACCAACTGGGCATCGGCCTCATACGGAGCCACAACGTATTGGACGTTCAGCTGTTTCAACTCCTCGATCAACTGGCGAGCCATGTAGGGTGTAACGTCGACGGCTTTCTGGAACTCCTGGTAGGCTTCTGGCAATCGGCCCTTGCGTTGCAGCTCCAGACCGAGGGCTTTGCTTTCCTGGCGACGCTGATGTCGGTCGTGCTCAGTTCCAGCCTTACTAGGAAGGTTGTCGCCATCGAAAACAAGATATGGAATAACACCGAAGAAAAGAAGCATGCGAACTCGATTCAAGACGAAGTCAAGATGCCTGCAGGACCTCCAGTCAGGAAACTCTCCCCCTCCTTTCAATGTGAAGCGCTTATTGTTACTCACTTTCGGGTCGGTCTCTCCAGGACCAAGTCCACCGAGCAAGCTACTGTGCCACGATGAAGCCATCCATAAGCGTCCACTCCGAGAGTCTGGCCGCTAAGGTTTTTGATATGACAAGGCTTCTGTATGGACTTGAGCAGCCCATGAAGTCCTGCTGCGAGTCAGCTCCTGTCTTTCTATTCTGGTTTCAAGTCCAGTCGTACCTTTGATGCCCATGGCGGGCACCAGTCGAAGGACAAGCGGGTCCTCAAATCAACTTTAGAATGAATGACATGTATGTTGCAGACGACCGACGACAACAACGCTGGTCAAGAGTAAGAAGGAGCACACTGAAGTCACGCTCTCAAGAGAATGAAAATATTTGAAAAAGCTATGTACCAGCTGTCGCTGGAATGTTTGTCCTGCTCCCCTCGACGCGCCGACGCGATGCAAGAGACGGTTTTGGGCAGGCGGTGGCGACGCCATACCTCCCTTGAATTAGTGCTTGACCGCCACATTCTGCCTGATCATTAAAAAATAATTATCACGAGTGCCCCCCAAAGTTATTCAATGCTGTTCTAAGTTGCTTCAGACGAAAGATCAAAACTCAGAAAATTGCAACCGTCAACATGCCGAGTGTGTCTCTGTCTAAAGTGCATAAGCACATCTCAAAGAAGCGAGGGGCCATGGACTCCATGCATGAGAATAGTCGCGACGCTCGTCGTCTGCGCCGAGCTGGTTCCAGAGAAGAACGACTGTCTCACCATGCTGGTATGGTTCAGAAAGCTCGCCAGCCCTACAGTTAGTGGACGTCGCCCAACTTGAATCACGTCTTGATGCTCACATCACTCTCTCATTAGTGGAGCGTATTCAATATTTCCATGAGGCCATTCAAGATAGAGATGAGCCATTGTCTGACGCTGAGCTTACAGAGCTCATTCTCAGGTATGCTCATGATGTCCATTCATCGTCTGTCCTAGTATGTAGCTAAAAGATCGCAGGTGCATCCACAGAGACAATGAAGAAATTACGCAGCTCAAATCTGAGCGCCGGAAAGGACGGCCGCCAACCCGAAGAGAGGAGCTTTTGAACCAGCGGACCGAGACAGAAGAGAAGGAATTTAAGACTGGGTTTTGGTTACCCGATCTGGGTGATATGGATGTGTTTCTTGCGTTGAAGAAATGGAATGGACACTGGGCCGGTCTCAGTTCATTGAAATTCCTCCGAATCACGCAAGAAGGAGCGAGGCAGGCCTCAAACTTCCCTCCTAAGGGCATGTCCTAACTACGGAAATGGCGTTGCATTTTGTGCTCTGTTGGGTCAGGACTGGCGTTGCCGGAGTTCAGCTATCTGCCTTTTTTCCATGTGAATGATTCTCCACACCTGCAGATATAGATCATACCCTGTGCAATTTCATGCTTCTCTTTATAAAATGCATCAACTTTCAATTGATCAAAAGCGTTTATTTCCTCATAGCAAAGAGAGGGCGTACTCACACTTGACATTAGAACCTGATTTTCAAATCACAATGACTTCGACAACGATATGTTCAAATTAAATTCGGCAGATCTACATATCTAGCGTAGGCGGTCCAGAAGACGGCATGGGTCTTGGCACGGGGATCAAATGTCGAGCTCGGGCGCGCTGATTTTCTTCAACCGGTTGCCATTCGGAAAACACCACATCATCAATCATCACAATGCTGAGCCTCCGAACATTCGCCCGTGCTGCTCCGCGCATCTCGCGCTCTGTCGCTCGCACCTCTTTACCTTCGACACCTCTTGCTCGTCCTGCCATCAACCAGTCATGGAAGCAGACCATCAAGCCTGCTCACGCTGCTTTCTCAACCGCCAACATTTTCCGTGAACCCGCTGGTGAGGGTAAGTGTATTACGTTCTCGTCCATCAGCAGATTAGAGATGGCGCATTTTAGACTCGCAATAATCATCTCTTAGCCATGTCATTTATTGAACTGTCACTTATGGTTGTTTTTCTCTTTCTACAGGTGACATTGAACTCATCGCCAAGCTCGAGGAGGAATTGAAGCACGAGAAGGCCTCGGGCCAGGAGGATGCCCGAGAGCAGCAAGCTAGCATTGAATATACCTTGCAGTCTGGCGAATGGCAGGTCAAGGATGTTGAGGGTGAACAGGAGGTGGTCCTCACCAAGACCTTTGGCAACGAGACGTAAGATCCTTGCATCGTTCAATCCATTGCATTCAGCGCTGACAGATAAATCCTAGCATTCGCGTCACCTTCACGGTCGCTGACATCAACAATCTTGCCGAAGATCCCATGGACGACCTCACCGACGATGCCCTTGCTGACGAAGGCGACTACCAGAACAAGCCTGCCGAGAATGAGGACGAGGCCCTCCCTCCTACCTTCCCTGCTCGTGTCAACGTCACAATTGAGAAGCCCAACAGTGGTGCTCTCTTGGTCCAGGCTGTCATTCAAGACGGCGACCTCCAGATTGAAGAGATTTCTCACTTCAAGAATGCCGATATTGCCAATGCTCAGACAGCCGAAAAGGATTGGTCGCGCCAGAGCTTCTATGCTGGCCCCCCTGCCGAGAACCTTGACCCTGAGCTCCTTGCTTTCTGGGGTCGCTACCTCGAGGAGCGTGGTCTCAACCTTGAGTTCCAGAACATGGTCACCGACTACATTGCCTTCAAGGAGCAGAAGGAGTATGTTAGCTGGTTGGACAGTAAGTGAATCAAATTCTTTTTTTCGGGGTGAAGAGGTATTCTGACAATGACTCTAGACGTCCGCAAGTTTGTTGCTGCTTAAATCGCTCCATATTTTGGCAAACTTCCACTTTTCTCATCCGAAATTCTTAGCACGACGCTCTTCACAACCCGCTGCAGTACTCTTGGCTATCCGCTCTGCTTGACACTCCCCCTTCTCTGACTGTGGTAGCTTGCCCGGTAGATGAACCTACGTAGGCTCATCTACCAGTCAGTATTGGCCCCCGCAACCTACCCCTGTAACAATATAATGAATCACACACAAACAAACGCAAATGGCCGACCCCATTCTCTCTGCGTTTCTTATTTTGTTCTCAACTATTACTCCATCAGATCGTGTCTACCACGCGCGGTAATACAGAGTTGCTATACCAGCCCTTTCATGTAGTCGGCATTACACTCTCGTGTTCCAGCTGCTTGCCTAAAAGATTCACATCATTGAAGGAAAATCTCTACGAGCATTCCACATCGCACTCATGAACCATTGGGCTTTGATTCGAGGTATACCTACGTGGCTGCCGGGCAGATTGTGTTCGGGGTCTGTACAAGAAACCTTGAACGTGAGCATGCAAGGTAAGTTGCCTCGCCGTCATGCGATAATCAGCGTTTCACTAAGGAACAGAGTCGATCAAAGGCCTCTCCAACGTAGAGCCTGCACACGCTCATGGAAATTGTGGTGCACCGATGTATTTGTCGTCCGACAGAGGGGGAAAACAGCGGACACGAAGATTTGTGGGTAGTCGGCAGCTATGGCATGACCTTTTGAAATATGGACTCGTTGGAACGTGTGACAATTGAAGCAATTACCACTATTGCGATTGTCGGGCTGCAAAGTGCCGCAATAATGAACGAACAAAGGGAAGACACCCTCTAACAACCACGTTACCATGAACTAAAACGCCAATTATGTTTCGAAAGAGAATGGAGATCTCACAAATGAGATCTGAAGATTCAAACACCGGGTCATGCATTGCATCATGTCCTGCAAAGAGAGCTTGTCGGGCCTGTCGGGCCCTAGAACTCCATGGGGTCGGCTTTCACAGCTGGCGCTGTTTCTTCCCGCTCACGTTTCCCTGCGCGCTCCTCTTTCAAGAGATTTGCGATAAAGGAGCGGAAGAAGTCGATATAAGGCTTCAAGCTGGTCTTTTCGTAGTCTTGAAGCTTGCGGGCGCCCTTGGTGTCCTGGTCATTTTGCACACTGCCCTCGATGTCCGCTCCACCCTCGGGGGCAGCAGCGGGGGGATGCTTCGCGTCATAGGCATCAATCTCTCCCAGTAGCTCCATAACAGTAGGAACAGTCAAGGGATCAAATTCCTCGGCCTTGAGTGGGTCAATTGGCACACAGATTCGCCCTGTGCCAGGATGGATCACGAAGGGACTCTTCAGCAAGTGTATCATTTTCTTGCTGACCTCAGCATCGAGCCGGGGATACGTGTACTCGAGAACGATGTCTTGCTTGGCATCTCGAAGAGCAGATGTATTCAATGTGTTGCTTTTTCCAGCCTTCGCAAGCGCATCGATATCTGCCCATTTGCTTGTACTGGGCCGATCTGGGGAAGACTCCCATTTCCTCCTAAGCGACTCATTCAATGATTTGTCTGGAAGCAGGCCCAACAGTTTCTCGACTTGCTCGTCACTTGCAAAAGTGTCTTGATCCTTGAGTGTGGTTTGCGCGAAGTGGTTCTTCAAGATATCGAGACTACGCGTAATGTGAGGGTGAAGGGGTCGCCTGATATTCACTCGCTTGCCGCTCTGAGACCCTCCGCGTAGAATTTCAAGGTAGCCTGCGATGGCTCTGCGACGATCATCTGGCAGGCTCCGCGCCCGGGCATCGCAAACCCAAGCGTGAGCACCACGACGACCAGAGTAAACCCACAGGATGTGTTCGAATCCAAAATCCTCCCGCAGAGCACTATCAATGACTTTGATGGCCATTGTCACGAATGCCCAGCACTTGTGACAAATATTGGCTTTTTGACAGCATGTCCGAATGTCATCGTAGTCCGTCATATCAATATCGAATACCAGCTCTTTCGAAATGGGTTTCATCTGGCCGCCTCGGAGTGTTTTGCGATCCCTCGGGTTCGCACTGTACACAGGGCCGATTTCGAATCGTGACGGGTTCATTTTGAGGATGTCTTTCCTAAATCTAAAGTCCCCGTCGTTAGAAATGTGTTGCCATCCAGCGAGTTCAGTGCGATGTGAATGCGTACAAGTCTGCGGTTGGATAAGATTGGTATCGAAGATATGCGTCATTTTGAAGAGTGAGAGCGAATTCACGATTGCCAAAGTCCTTCGTCGGCACAACACCATGGTTCAACCATTGGAACAGGTAGCGAAACGGAAAGAGGCGTTGATAGAAGGCTAGCATAACATCCATATCCACGCCCACCGGGGCTGCAGTCGGAGCACTGAAATGGGCATGGAATGTGAGTATCCCGTGTTCAACATCAGCAGAAAGTTGTAACCTACCCTGCTGGCGACGAAGCCGGTGAGAATTCCATCTTCACATCCTGAGCATTCGATGCTGGAAAATCTTCATCTTCGTCATCAAACATGTCCTCGAGCTTGACCCCAGCAACATCTTTCTCGCCTCCAGAGGGGGCATCTGGAAGGTCCTCTTCGTCTCTGTGGGAAGAGTCTGCAGATACTGAGTGTGGCATTATTGACCTCAATTGTTGTGGTGCAAGTTGTTGCCCATCAAGAGGTCGAGGCTCCCCAACGGGATGCACAAAAGACGCGTCGCCACGCGTCGCGTTTGGCTGCGGGAAGCGGCTGTCATGTGACAGCATCCAACTTCCCTAATCGGGAATGTCTCTCGAACACGATCTATGCTTGCACGCCAAGGTCCAGCCTATCCGATAGCTGGACACTCGATGTGTTGAGCCTGCAAGGGTCAATCGATGTGCTACGAGATTGTTCCACGATCCACAGCACCCGACCGAGTCTGCTCGCTCGAAGGCTGTGGAGCTTCAAAATCGGCAAAGTCGTACCATCGCCGGATGCGTCCTCTCTCCTACAGGTTCCTGTGCCTTGCACTGAAAGATTGGGTCTTGGATGACAGCATGACTTTGTACGGCGAGAGCAGTTCCACCACCCAGGCACGAAGGGGATCATCATCGATTATCCAAAGTCTGTCTCCATTGCTCCACTACGTCGGGGCTCCCATTGGGACAGACTTGGTGCCTGTTTGAATCCGATAGGTTTGCAACTTGGCCCATCCAAGTTATTGCCCGATCCGGCAATGGATGCATGTGCTGAGTGAGCGATTATGGCATCCTTGCCATCGACTATCATCGTGGACCAGAGATCTAAACTGGTCACCTGCAACCCTATGCGATGGGTCTGCTCGTGCTCAACTGTCGTTCGGATCCACCTTCGTTCGGCTTTCACAAACGAGGTCGATGTAGAGTGGATGGAGTTCACGCAGCAGTTGACGATCTTAGGCCTTTTGCTGAGCCTATCCAACGATGATGCAGTTCGCGAAGTCACCAGTGAAGATACTCCCCACGGTCTGAACTCGATCAATTGGGTCCAAACTTTCTTTACCCTGTGCAAAGACTCATATCTTGCACCTCACCTTGCTACTTCCGCAATTAGTCTTGTCGACGGAAAAACAGGGCTTGGACAGGCCGCTGGCGCAGTCCTGGGGCAGTATCAAAGCTTCAACTGATCGTTGAGATTACCGTTTGTCATGATACTCAACTCTATGAAAGGAACCCAGGTCACACCTGGTCTCCAACTCGACAAGAGCAAATGGAACGAATAGAGCGGATCCCTTCTCTCCACAAACCTGCCCTCCTCCATTCAAGCCTCAACAATCACTGCTGAGTCTTCTCTCGAACCTGATCGCCGCATTGGGACCAAGATGTGGGTCCTATTCAGAGGTTCACGGACTCGATGAGACTACGGGATGTTACCTGAGCATCGCACTCTGCCCTTGGGATCCCTTGGAACCAGGTTCTCTCTCCTCTTTTGCGCCAAAGACTTCACTCGTTCTGAGTGCCTGGATGCTGCGACATTGGACATCTATGACGGCTAGCAAGCTGTGGATCTCAGGTCAACTTTTGCTTCTCCTGAACCCTACCATGGCGACACCTTGTCTATCATCTTCTGATTACCTCTATCCTCGCCAGAAGATGAAGTATATAAGGCGCCTCTTCGTCGCCTTGCTCACCCTCTTTTCTTCTATCATCTTTCACCGTTCTTCTTCATTACCTTCGTTCGTTTCAAATTCTCTTGTGCTTTCTTATTATTAAGTAATCCACCCCCAAAAATCCTTTCATCTTTCAAAATGGTCAAGGCTGCGGCAATCCTGGCTCTTGCCAGCCCTGCTCTCGCTGGTGTCATGCAAGCTCGCGGTGGCGAGTATATGCACCCATCCTCTAATGTCCAACCTTGGGGCCATGAGGAGGGCTACACCACCCCATGCACCACCTCGACCACCGCAATGAGCACTCATCACTCGACCACCAGCACCACCAGCCAGTCGACCACTACTCCGTGCACCACTTCGACCACCACCCATGCTAGCAGCACCCACGTCACTAGCACCAAGTCGTCCAGCACCCACGTTACCAGCAGCAAGTCGTCTAGCACCCACGTTACCAGCAGCAAGTCGTCTAGCACCTCCCCGTGCCCGACTTCCAGCACCACCAAGGGTTCCACCACCCATGTGAAGTCCAGCTCGACTTCTAGCTCTGTGACCAAGGGAACCACTACCCATATGAAGCCCAGCACCACTGTCGTCACTATTGTGACCACCACCTGCCCAGGTATGCGCTGTCGAACCACATTCTGATTTGTCTACCCTGCTAACTGATTGAAGTCACTTCCTCTGTGGTCACCCATGGCACCACTACCTACACTATCCCGATCACTCAGACCAGCACCATCACTCTGACTCAGACTAGTGTCCTGGAGAAGAAGCCCGCCACCATGTACTCTTCTGCCATCCCTCACGTTACTGCTAGCAGTGCTGTCGTTCCCCCCTCCCAAGCAGCCTTCCGTCGTGCCTGTCAACCCGGTCCAGTCCCCTCAGCCTGTGCACCCGGCTCCCAACAAGCCAGCTGAGACCAACCCTGCGCAGCCAGTTGTCCCTGTCGTTCCTGGTCAACCCGCTCAGCCTGGTGCCCCTGCTGCTCCTGGTGCCCCTGCGGCTCCTGGCGCCCCTGCGGCTCCTGGTGCCCCTGCCGCTCCTGGTGCCCCTGCCGCTCCTGGTGCCCCTGCCGCTCCTGGCGCTCCTGCTGCTCCTGGCGCTCCTGCTGCTCCTGGCGCTCCTGCTGCTCCTGGCGCCCCTGCTGCTCCCGGTGCTCCTGCTGCTCCTGGCGCCCCTGCTGCTCCCGGTGCCCCTGCTGCTCCCGGTGCTCCTGCTGCTCCTGGCGCCCCTGCTGCTCCCGGTGCCCCTGCTGCTCCCGGTGCCCCTGCTGCTCCCGGTGCCCCTGCTGCTCCCGGTGCTCCTGCTGCTCCCGGTGCTCCTGCTGCTCCTGCTGCTCCCGGTGCCCCTGCTACCTCGGGTGCTCCAGCTGCACCTGCGGCTCCTGCCCAGCCCGCCCAGCCCGCCCAGCCTGCTCAGCCTGCTCAGCCTGCTCAATCTCAGCCCGGTCAGCCCTTCACTGGTGCTGCTTCCGTTGTCAAGCCCGCTGCTGGTCTTCTGGCCGGTATTGTCGGTTTGATGGCTTTGCTATAAAGCGGCAAACTGTCATGACAGACAATATCTTGGCCGTCTTGGTTGGGTTCCTATTCACGCCTCTTCTGGCCAAAGCGGGCTCTACCTTAACTCGCCTCGCAAATTTCGTTTTTGGAATCCTGACTATTGACAGGAGCCATTGGTTACTCGAAAAATCTTTTTTTTTGTGCATGTGTTTTGTTCGGCCAGAGTTGGGACTTGATTGCAGACCCGCGCAATCATCTACTCCTTGAACATCGAGAGGATGGTTGAAGTTGCTCGGTCGATCATTGCCTTCTTTTCATTGTTCACACTCAAATATTCGGCCATATCTAATTAGTAATAATAGTAATACATAGCTTTCTGAACTTTTCAACCCTATTCCATCTCCATCTTCAGATCATCTTTCAGCTTTCTCGAAATTCTTCACCTCATCTCATGGTACGCATGCTGTCCAACCCCACTATCCATCTTGACTTGATTGATGGTCGCTGCAAGGTCAACATCAAATACTTGATGAGATTGTGGCTGTCCAATTCACATTCCGAAACTCAAAGCGCTCAAAGATTCATGGGTGCTTCATAACAGTCTCTTCTCCCGGTCCATCTTCCAATGATTGAACCCGATTCATCTTCCAATGATTGAACTGGTCATTTGAACCTCCGACAATTTTGAATTACAGGTTCAAGCCCAATCACCAAGGTAGTTGGTACGCTTTACCGCCAGTATCGGGTCCATTCGGACTATTTCCTTGCTATTTTCACCTTCGAGGACGAGCGACAGCCTCGAGTAGATTGCGGTCTGCAGCATGCATAGCAGTGGACTATTCACGATTGAAGCACAGCGAATGCTGCTTGGTATGCTTGTCACTATTCCAATTGTCTGGGGCCCTGGTTTCGGGCTGCGTCAAGCTACACGCGCATGATCTAGACAGAGCACTATACATGATGAATAAAGCCGGGCGTGGCGGCTTGGGGCTGAGTATCACCTGCGCGGGCTCAATATTGATTAAGATTTTCTTCAAATCGATAAGGGGGTTGTTTACAACATCGACATAAGTGTTCCCTTTTCAGAATGCAAATGGTCGAAACGGAGCAATGAATAAAAACATCTATATGTCATCACAATGGAAAGGGGGTCAAAACTTTCCGTCGACCTAACGTTTTCCCTCGAGCTCTTGCTCCACCTCGGCCTTGACGATCTCACGCACTCCCTCCCAGCCAGCACCGTGAGGAACAGCCGTGACGCGGCGCTCACGTTGCTCCAAGCCCACGAACTCCTCGGGAAGTACCTCGCTGAAGGTATATCCATCTTCCTTGCTCAGGGCGAGATCCACAGCGCTCGCGAACTTGGCGGGGTGTGCCGTGGACAGCGAGATGTGGTAGTCACCGGGATTCCGCTGGATCGAGCGGCGGGAGGCAGCAATACCAACAGCTGTGTGAGGGTCGAGAATATAACCACCGGTCTGGGAACTTCTGGGACTACCGGCGGGGAGGTCCTTGGGAATGCAATTCCTGTATGTTTCGCGGATGATGTCGATGGTTTCCTGGTTGCTCACACGTTCGCTCTCGAACTCGGCCTTGGCGGCCTCGATGATGGCGGCGGGGACCTGGAAGCCACCCTCGGTCTTCAATTGACTCAGCCAGCCGCTGACACTTTCGCAGGCGTGCTGGCGGCGCTCATCGGGAGTGGCAGCCTTGTCGGTCCGGAAGGCGAAGAACCAGAGGAGACGCTCGAAGTTGCTGCTGACGAGAATGTCCATGGCTGGGCTGTGGGTCTCCTTGACGCCTGCATCCATGGGCGCGTCCAGAGGCTTCTTGGTGTAGTGGCCATTGGTGCGGAAGAACCGGTCAAGAATACTGCAACAATGTTTGTTAGGGATGACTTCGTCTCGTGGATCGGTAAAGCACAATCAGCTTACTCATTCTCGTTGGTCGCGACAACCAACTTGCAGATGGGTAGACCCATCTGCTTGGCGAACCAGCCAGCCAAGATGTCACCAAAGTTTCCAGAGGGCACAACTACGCGCACACCTGTGCCCGCTTTGTAGTTGGCCGATTTCGTGAGAGAGAGATAGGAGTAGAAATAGTAGGTAATCTGGGGGGGGAAGAGGACGCAAGTCAATATGATCCACGGATGAGTGTGGCCAGTCTAACCGTGCGCATAGAATTGCCGAAAAGGGTGACTCACCTGAGCAAGAATACGAGCCCAATTGATCGAGTTGATGGCACCAATGTTGTGAGTCTTGTTGATATCAGGATCGGCAAACAGGGCTTTGACAATGTCCTGACAGTCGTCGAAAGAGCCCTCGACAGTGAGGTTGTGCACATTGGCGTCCAGGACGCTGGTCATCTGCGCCTCCTGGATGGGGCTGACCTTGCCCTTGGGGAACAGGATAAAGACCGAGACATCTTTCTTGCCTCGGAGACCATAGATGGCCGCTGAGCCGGTATCGCCTGATGTTGCGCCCACAATGGTCAAGTGGTGACGATCTTTGCCGGTCTTGCCCTTGTTCTTGCGCACCAGGAAGTACTCGAAGAAGTTACCCAGACTCTGCAGAGCAACATCTTTGAAAGCAAAGGTTGGTCCGTGGAAAAGTTCGAGGAGGTACAGGTTGTCCTTGGGATCCAAGGCGGCAACTGGAGTGCGCTCAGGGTGGCGGAATGTCGAATAGGACTTCTCGACAATGGCCTTGAGATCTTCGGAGGGAATTTCGGAGGGAGAGATATAGCTGGAGGTGCATGTAGGTCAGCTTTGAATTCGTGGTCATATTTCCGATTTCTTTCTCGCGCGCGGCTTTCTTGTTGACTCACAGGGACATGATACGGTGCGCCAGTTCAGCGAAAGACAAGTCTCGCCACTCACTCTCCCATGAAGAGGGCAGCGACGGAATCTCCTCGGGGATGAAAAGACCGCCATCAGAAGCGAGGCCCTTCATGACCACATCTTCGAAGGAGCGCTGCAAGAACAAAAAGTAAACATTAGCCCAATTGATCCAAAGTCCCTCTCAATGCGGCTCAAGAGCATTGCAAATCCGGGAAAAGAAGTAGGTGAACATACGCCGGACTCGCTTCCACGAGTGCTGAGATAACGTTGGGACATGACGGCGACGATGATCTTTGGCAAATGAACGAGTATACCAACAAGACAAAGCACAATGCTGGCGCTGGAGGACGACAGCAAAAGAGATCGCGATTGAAGATCACGGCGGGGCCCTGTGAATCATTTCAGTCTTTGCTTATCCTCGCCGCGGGGATGCGCCGTGAGACGCTGTTCCTGTTTGGGACTAGGCCCTCCGAAAGCGGCCTCACGTGGGTACGTCTGGACCGACCCAATGGCCGACCGCGGGCGTATCCATCCCGTCTCACTGCAGGTTCGTTACTTCGGCGTTTAGTCCGAGCCTCCGAAGTACCTCAATGTCGCTTCAAGATTAGTACTTTGAAGTTACTACTAACTTGTTACGAACTAGTCCTCAGTGGACAGTAGTGATGGAATGACTGACAACACGTCGACTGGGACTATCAACCTCTCTCAGCGAAAGGCTGCGGTCATGATGCCATAGCTAGAATTGAGTCTCTCGAGCATTTCACTGCGAGAAGCATTACCAGTCAGGTACCTCGAAGGACCTTGGGAGCTGGCCATGACAGTTAGTAGCAAGATCTGTGATCTCGACCACAGATGTCAGCTGATGCAGACTTATCCCACAATAACATGCTCTGTGAACCATTCTTTCTATTCTTCATCGACGCTCGTTATACATGCACGCTCGGCCGTTAAATTGGCAAAATTGTGTGTACACGCCAAATCTTTTCCAGATAGGTTACTGGTTGACCAACACGTAGCGATAGCGTGCTTTACCATCCTCCATATCCACAATGGCCTTGTTGGCCTCCTTCATGGGGACCTCCTGGATCCAAGGCTGGATGTTCTTCTGGGCGACGAGCTCGAACATCTCTCGAATCTCGTTGGGGCTGCCTATCATGGAGCTCTCAACCTTCAAACGGCGGATCAGGTTGCGCACGGGGGCATAGAGCGTGCCGTCATCAGGCAGACCAACCTGCACCATGGTACCGTTGGTGCGAAGCAAGCCCAGATACTCGGGCATGGGCATCTAAAAGAGAAAAGGAATGATTGATCAGCCTCCAATGTCGCGATGATGAGCCACACCAGGCTAAAGGAAGTGTTTGACGTCAAGCTTACCTTGGAGGAAGACACAGTGCAAACGATCAAGTCCAGAGAGCGAGCATGCTTCGTCGCCCAGTCTGGCTCGTCGTCCGTCGCAATATACAGATCCGCACCCATCTTGATCGCATCCTCACTCTTCGCAGTCTTGCGGGAAATCGCAACGACCTGATCAGCGCCCATGGCCTTGGCGAACAGCACACCAAAGTGGCCGAGACCACCAACACCGATGATGCCGACGCGCTTGCCCGGGCCACAGTTGTTGTGCTTCAACGGGCTATACAATGTCACACCACCACACAACATGGGCGCGGCGGCCGCCGACGGGATGCTATCGGGAATTTTGATGGCAAAGTGCGAGGGCACGCGGTTGTAGGTCGCGTAACCGCCATACGACTTATCGCCGTTGTGGTACTTGCTGTTGTAGGTGCCGGTGATGCCCTTGCCGCAGTACTGTTCCAGTCCCATCGCGCATTCCTCACAATCGCCCTGACGGCCGAGGCAGGAGTCACTCTGCGCACCGACGCCGACACGGTCACCGACCTTGATGCCGTTTGTCACCTTGGATCCCACGCGAACGGCGGTTCCGACGATCTCGTGGCCCACGCACACGGGGTACAGACTGGGTCTCTAGGGAAGCGGGACCCGTTAGTAATGCGGGCGTGTACATGAGGTCCAATTGATGTTTCCTCGACTCACCCAGCCACTGCGCAGAGTGTGCAAGTCGCTTCCGCAAATACCGCAGTGAGAGATCTTGATGTCGATATCGGTCTCCTCCCAGGTCTTGGGCTCGAACTCCTTCCAGACCATCTTGCCCTCGCAAGAGCTTGAGTCTAGGCCCATCCAGCCCTCGAAGTTGTAGTCAGTCTCAGCCATGGTGGGATAGTAGTTCTCGTGGTACGACCTCAAAAGGATAACTGTATACAGAGAATTGCGGAGAGAGAGAGGGAAGAAAGACCCTTGAACGATCGTTGTATTTATTTCGTTTCCACGAATGTTTCCGACCAGCCAGCCCACTTGCCCCGGGGACAGACTACTCCATTACTTCAGCGAGATCCACTATCTGGTTGGAAGACATGACTTGAGCGCTTTTCGTTGGTACGAGGCGTTCACCCTCCACAACGAAGCAGAATTGGTAAGCAGCGCGGAGTTTCTCGACTCCCTGTGGATCATTCGGGACACGATGCCATCATTGGAAATCTATCAAGTTCGGGCCCTTCGTGCCAAATACAGTTGCAATTCCCTTGCACAGAGCTCCAGAATCCATGTGGCCAGTTTCAATTGAAAGACACAGTCAGCCGTGATAGAACTGGAGTCCGACAAAAGTTCAGTCTTTCGATCGAGTGCTGGCTTTGCATCACCAGTACGATGACGTGAGTCTGGCGGTCTCTGTGGAGGCTTATCTCTGTCCTTACTTAATCGGGGACCGAGGAGAGAGAAGGTTCATCCATTAAGATGCCGTTCCAAGGGCACGGCAGACCCGCTGCGGGACATTTCACTTCCACCATGCCCGGACTGGACTCACTCGTGACTGGAGTGATCGGAGATACTACTACTTATCGATCGAGAGTTGCACTCGGAATGACTCGAATAGACCTCGTCCAGGTTCGAGTCGCCAGGACTTCGGCCTGCGCCTTCACAATTGCACATCGGAGTTTGTAGTGAGGTACAAGCATCTACCTAGTCATGTCATCATCAAGTGGTTCGATACTGTTCCATCAAGATATTAGTTTACACGCAAAACCCTAGCTATGGCCCGAGCAGTAACTAAGACAAATTCCAGACACGCGGGGAGTAGGTTCATAGTGAGGATTAAGCACATTAAGAAGTACAGAGAAGTCAAAAAATTGTTCTAGCTCATGCTGTGCAGAATGATGTCCGTCCCTCGCTAGCAAGAACAGAATTGAATGGTAGGGGAACGGAAGACCGGGCTCGAAGGAAACACACGAGTCTGCCAAGAGATCAAATGCTTGGCGGGGGAGTCTAAATAAGGTCCATCATGTCCTGACTGCCTGAGTTTGGAGGCGCGCCATGAGGAGCAGGAGCTGGGCCTCCAGAAAGGTCAAGACCAGCGAACCCGTTCATCAAGTCGCCAGCACCTCCACTAGAGGCACCGGCAGGAGATGTGTGCGAGGGACCGGACTCGCCAAAGACTCCCAACAAATCATCGAGATTACCCTGAGCCGGAGCTGCACCTGCTGCAGGAGATTGCACACGAACTGGAGTACCTGCCAGCCCTTCCAAGCCGGACAGCTCGCCAGTAGGTTCTTTCTGGGCTGAGGCTGGGGCGCCGCCGTCAAAGTCAATGTCCAGCAAATTCTCGACGTTATTTTGCGCCTGTGCAGAAGGTGCAGTGCCGCTGACGGCAGCTGCGGCAGCGGCAGCCAGGGGATTTTCCCGGGCGTTTTGAAGTTGTTCCCTAGAATTCCAAGTTAGCCAGGATCGATTTTGAAAACAACACAAAGCAAATGGAATCCACATACTCGATGGCGGCCCGCTGCACAGCATCAGCCCCAAAGCGGCCTTGTCCGACAAACTGCTCTGGGGGCTTGTGATAGACAGAAGAAAGCGTGGAAAGCTCCTGCAGAAGCTGGTCAAGAAGAGTAGGCGGTAATGAGCTGATGGTGGTGACGATGGGAGGCTTGTCTGAAAGTACGATATTCTTGGTGGCATTTTGGTCACTTGTGTTGGAGAGCAATCGCCAGTAGATATAGGCGCGGTCGCGCACGTCGGGGTTGTCGTTCTCGGCAGTAGCAGCTTGGAGGACTCGCTGGACAAGACCCTGAGCCTTCTCAGGTCGCTTGAGGAACAATTTGACGACAGCAGTGAGAATTTGTAATTGAGTCTGCGAGAACTCTTCATTGAAACCATCCACAAAGCCACCGAGAATGTCACCCGCGTTGCTGATCTTCTCGGCGTATTCTCCAACGATCCAGATGAGCGCAGCACGGGCATTGGGCTCGTCGAGTTCGTCAATACACTTGCAGAGCGTGGGGATGATGCCTTCATAACCAGGATATTTGCGGAAGATATCTTTGATCACAACGATAGCCTCCTGCACCACATAGTTGACCTTGGTGTTGATCAGGTCCAACAATGTGTTGACGCACTTTTCGCTAGCACTCTCAATTTTAATGGCCACCTGTCCGATGGCCTTCACAGCACGACGAACGAAGTCCATGTCGACCTCGAGCGCGTATTCCTTCAACTCGGCCAAAAGCTGGTCCACATTGCGATCATTTGCAATTCGAACCATGATCTCCAACTTCTGGAATTTGACGTAAGGAGGGTCGTTGTACTTGCAGAAGAAAACCCGGAGCTCCTTGTTAAGGATATCTGGTTGCTTCTGGAGTAAGAGATCGATGTTTCGGAGAGCGACATATTGGACCTCGGGCGCCGAGGACACGAGGGTCACTGGGAGCTGTGTCAGAAGGCTCATCAACTCCTCGCGTTTGAAGCAGAACATGTCACGTACCTAGTGGCGGGGCCATCTTCTTTAGATATGTCTTCGCCAGTTCTGGGCCAACGTACTTCATATGCAGAAAGACAACCTTCACAGCCGCCAACACTACGCCCGAGTTGACGTGTTGGAATTGAGGCGACACGCGCTCACAGATATGCTCCGACTCTTTCACATCCACGGCACGGTACTCTGCAAGGGTGGAGAGAATGGTCACACGACCCCACTCGGTGCACTCATTCAAGGCCATCAGCATCTTGCGCAATGTGTTGGCAGTGACCTGCAGGGCCCTGGTCTCTGGAGCTGTATGTTGAATCTCTGAAAGCGCGGTGACTGAATTGGCGACGACCATCGGGTTGGGATCACCAATCATCTCCTGCAGCATCTCCAGAAACCCGTTCTCAAGGCACATCGCCGGGTTCAGATCGAAAAGCTTGGCCACGCAGATGGCGGCTGTTTTGCGCACGTACGGCGATTCGTCACGGAGGGTCTTGCGCAGAGGCTCCTCCATGTAATCCACCATTTTGTCCACACGGATACAGCCCATGGTGCGAATTGCCAGAGCTCTGATGAGCGGATTGGGGTCTTCCGAGTCCTGTACGAAGGTGTTGACGGCGAGAATGCAAAGATCGGGGTGTGATTTGGCGTAATTCCTGGGTACATCAGTCTCGCTCCTTTGAATAGGGTTCGCGATCGTCTCTCACATCAGATATAGGTAGACCAGTTTCTTTTGCTCCAGATCCGCCGTCGCGATGTTCTTCAGCACATCTGGGAAGAGAGCCGATACATCCTTGCCAAGAGTCATGGCCATGATCGTCTTCTGAATTGACTCTTTGCTAATTAGGGAGTCAGCTCCATCGCAATGTATCTGGCAGTGATCTAGCGCATAGATGAGGAAGTTCGAGGTGTACAACGCACCGTTCGTAGGCATATTGTGATCTGTAACGAAAGTTAGCATCATAAATTGCTGCTCCGTCGTGGCGTTACGATGAGCTCCATCGTTCAGAACACGGAGGGGGAGCCTCATACACTAGACCAGCTCGTAGCTCAAAGGTCTCTCCTTTCCGAGGCACAGCGAAGGCCCCACGGATCTTGTTCATCGCCATATTGAACCGACAGCTTCAGCAACAACTGAGCCGTGCTTTCACCAAGACAGTTGCAGTGAAAGGGGGAATATAGTCGACGCAGTTGGGCGACTGCGGGGGAGTTGGGAGAGGTACCGCGGTCGCGCGACACGGAGTTGGGGAGGGATGATGGCAGCGGTCAACGGGCAGCAGAGACGGTCATATCACCAAGAGGATGTGAATTGAACCAAGCAGCGTCTGTGGCGACTTAGACTCAAGTGGAGTGAGACGGATAGTGAAAGGTCCAAAGGTGACCAGAGTGTTTTGTGGTGATCAAAAGTTGTTCACAATGGCGGGCTCTAGACCTTCCCGAGTGGTGTCCGCTTTGGTTTCGACTGCAACCTCCGCCGCTCCGCAGACGTCTTTCTCCCCTGAGCTCTTCCCGAATTACGGCTCATCAGGCTGCCTGTACTCTGAAGTACAGTTCAACATAGAGTGTCAAGGCGAGACGTTCGGCAACATACCAGCGCAGATGGTTGGTTCTCTACAGATGTCGAGCATCGTATTCCTCAGCTGCGCAGTGCTGACTGGGGTGTTCCCAGGCCAATTTACCAAACTTGCGTCGCCTCTTTGTGGAGGCTCGAACAGAGGTCGAGGAAAATGAATACTCTCGGACAGCTGTATGTGTACCCCAAGGAATTACTGAACGATATATGTGTTTCTGACAGCTTTCTCAAAGTTCTATAATCTTGTTTTGTTCATTTCGTCTGTCGCGATCTTTAGCCTGGCCGCCCAGCGTATGAGTGGGCCAAAGGCCGCGCGATGAGAGTTAAAAATGACCTCCCCAGTCTTTGGGGCTCTGTTCTGCTCAGGGACGAAGGGACACGAGAGCGGACAGGCAGTCCGGATCTACACTGGTCTCTTGCATTGTACCGTGGACATGTTCTACTGGTGCGTCAGGATAGACCGCGCCGAGTTGCAGTATCGACGTGCAGACCTCAGTCGGTTTCTTCTCCATCGCTGTCCAAAAATGCTAGCGCTTGACGCCCACGCGCTGCACGGCGAGGTTTTGCTGGTCCGCCGCTCTCCTCTCCTTCTTCGTCCTCTGCTCCCCACTGCTTTGCGCCTTGCTGGATTTGCTCCAGGTCGGCCTTTAGCTCTCGTTCGTCGCGAATCTGTCTGGCTTTGTCCAGAGAGTATCGGCCTTTCATTCCCACGTCCTCAAGCATGTCTTTCAAGTGCTTGATCTTTGCCTTTGGAGTCTCGTACGGCTGAAGCTCCCGCCACCACATCTTGCGAATCCCGCATTTGACCAGCCATCCTTGAAGCCGCTTGATTTCGGCTTGATCTGGATCGAGGTCTTCATCTTTTCCCTTGACAGCGCCCTTCTTTGGCGCAGGTTTCTTCGAAGGAGCTTCACTGCTTTTGCGGTTGCGGGCGGGTTTGGGCTTCGGCTCCTCATCGTATACTACCGACATTTCGCTTTCAGAGTCGACTGTGGGTGCCTCTGCAGCCATTTTATTGGAGTCCTCGTTCTCTTCCTCCGTCTGTGCTTGATCCAGCTGCTTAGGCGATGGCTTCTTGCGCGTGACAGAGGGCGGTTGTTTCACTGGCGTTACACGCGTTGTTGCTTTCTCTGTGACCTCATCCTCACTTTCATCGGGCGATGGCTTATTATGTTTTCTCGAAGTCCGCGCTGGCAGCTTTTGGCGCTTTCTGGGCTCTGGCACAGTATTCGGCTGTTGTCGCTTGGTCTTCGGGCTTGCTGCATGTAATGAGTCGCGTTCGGTATCGTTGCTTGTCTGTTGACTTTCCTCGTCCCCGTTGGGCGCGCTTGTCCGAAGTATTTCCTGGGGTGCAACATCTGATCAGTCTCCGAGCAATCTCCAGCCACGTATTGATGTTTCATCTCACAAATTCATCCTTGATGATCTCTTCGCTTCGAGTCTTCCAGTCACCAGTATTCTTAAAATAGCCCTGCTCAAGACCCAGCTGCTCTTCCACGGCACGGCGGACGCGTTTCACAGTGAGCTCCTCGTAGTTCTTTTCATTGTATTTCTGCCCCACCTCCGCCCTCAATGCTTGATCGAGCTCTTTGTCAGAGGGCGCCGATTTATTTTGCGCTGAGTCATCAGAGTCCGAGACGGTGTATTTGGGCACCATGATCCAGTCTCGCCCAGTGGGTCAGATTGTCGCGTGAGGGACTGATGGGCGATTAGATGAGATTCACTGTGAGATCAGACGCGGCTGTACTGCTTTGGTCGTGATGAAATGGGAGAGAGAGAGAGAGAGAAACTCTGGAGAAATTGCCCCTGAAGGACTGCACTTGGCCTCGATATGGAACTTTGGAAATAAGTGTTCTTTGTCCACGAATTCAACATGCGAGAGGCGCAAACAAGCCGCGGAGGTCTCTCAGCTCTGGTTGGAAGTGGAGGCTGACCGCCCACACCAGAGCATCACTTTCTCCAGTCTCCACACTTGCCTTCTTTCACTGCTTAATTGCCTGCCAAGTACACGTGAAGACGGGCAACAGGAACATCTTGTGATTTCGAACTGGGTGGTTCAGGTTGAGTCCCACTATTCTAGCAAACTCATCTAGTTTCACAGATTGGAGAGTCTTCGATTCTATAATCTCATACAATGCTATACTCCTAGAGACGTGCTTCTGCGTTCGGAGCCCGAGGTTGCCTATATGCGTCCGTGGAAAGTAGTTATATATGTCTGGACTCGCGATCTACCACTACTACTGGACTGGGATGGATGAGGTTAAGGTTGGGGTTAAGATAAACCAAATGTGAGCCGTGAGGTACTGTATTGGAGGTATGACCCTTTTCTGTAAATGTCCGTTACTTGATGTGTTCCACTCACAGGGTCTATACTTAGTCTCTCGTCCGAGCTACCGACCTATTTGAAGGGACATGATCCACCTTTCCATGCCATTCTCACCAGAGCTGCTCGAGTGTGCGTTGATTGAGGTGTAACGTTCAAGCCCAATGGAACCACGCTTCCAATCTTGCACTCACCATTTACTCTAGCTGAATTACCAGCACGCCACCTTCCATAGGTATCCTTGTTCATAGGACGCTCCGGTATAAGCGACTAGAGTACCGACGAGCGTAATATGCAACTGCGGTTGTGCCACATGGTGGAGTCAAAATGAATTGACACTTTGCCCCCTGCCCCGCCAGGCCTTGTGGCGTGGGGGCCAGTGGACTGTCTTTTTGAGAGTAAAGTCATGTCAGACTCTCCATCGGAAAAGAAGCGTGTTATCGTCCGGGTGAAGCATGACAAGCAGCTTTTTTCAGAGTTGTGACGGCGTTTTTCGACAGAATTGAGGGACATGGATCCAATCTCAATATTCGGCCTGGTGGTCGAGGTCGGCCAGGTACTGGCCAGCGTCATCAACTATGCCCAAGCAGTGAAGGACGCCAAATCGGATATTCGGAGATTGAGTGAAGAGCTCTTTACCCTCAAGGGTATCTTGGAACATCTCTCAACGGGACTGGGGGACCACAGTCCCGATCCTGAGAAGCAGACCGAGCTAGATTCATCGCCTCGGATCTTCGACAAAAACGTGATGTCGCGAGTGCTCTATGCGACAGACACATTCCTCCAGACACTTCTCAAGGAGCTGGAGGAGCCTGTCTCTAGGTTCAAGAAGTTGAAACAGAAGCTGGAGTGGCCATTCTCGCAAGATCAATTCAACGCCCATCTTACTCGACTGGAGAGGGTCAAGTCATGGTTAATCTTGGTCATCACTGCAGACGCCGCCGTAGTGGAGCGAGATTTACATCGCGAGGTCACCGATCTGGCAAGGGATCTTAGGGAAGATCTGCGGCTTCGCGATCTTGAAAGGGTTGAGAAAGACAATGAGACCCTGTTTAAATGGCTGGCCCCCATCAGTCCTGCTGATTCTCATATTCGCGCCTCGAGCGGGCGACGACAACAGACTGGCCGATGGTTCACAAAGTCTTATCTGAAAAACTGGCTGGAGGACTCTTCGGAAAAGACACGACTCTTGTGTCTCGTCGGTAAATGTATGGCTGTTCTCGTCTTCAATGCTCCAGCAGCATCAGATTGTAAACTATGCTGATTCAAGCTTGCACAGCTGGAACTGGAAAAACAACGCTGTTGTGGGTAAGCCTGTATGACCCAATGTCCAATCGAGAGACTGACCATTCAATAGCGCCCAGGCCGTGGAAGAATTAACGGTCGTCACTGCGGGGACATCAATAAGCTGTTTTGCATACTTCTACTGTACCATCACCGACACCGCCTCTCAGGTCGCTGTCAATGCACTAGGTTCTATCGCAGGCCAACTAGCCAGGTCAATCCCGGCTTTGTTGGACGAGCTAAGGTCAATTTACGAAAAGCTGGCCAGAAATCAAGCACATAAGCCTCCAATTGGTCTCTCAGATCTGGAAGATGCAATCGTCAGGCATTCAACCGCCATGTCACAGGTCGTCATCCTCGTCGACGCTCTCAACGAGAGCTCTGAGACTGGTAGTATGGAGTTTTGCCTGTTGAATTTGACGAAACGGTCACCGAATATCAGGGTTGTTGTCACAACGACATCGACGCGAATGTCTACAAGAGACGTCAAGTTCCTCAACATCCGAGCGGACACGATGAAAGAAGATATCAAGGCGGCGATTCGGTATCGACTCGAGCACGAGAATGCGCTAAGGCATCTTGCACCGAAGTTCCAAGCTGAGATTACAGAAAACTTGCTCAATAGCGCGGATGGATCGTACGTCGCATGCATCGGGGATGCATTCTCGAACAAGAATACCTGCTGACACCGTTTCTATAGGTTTCGATGGGTCCAACTCTCCTTGGATAATCTCTGCTCTCAGCGAACTGCCAAAGCGATGCGCCTGTCTTTGTCGAATCTCCCGAGCACACTGAGAGAGATGTATGTGGACACCCTCAAACGTATCGACCCCAGTGATGTGCCTCTCGTCCGAGAAGCGCTATTTTGGCTCAGCTTTGTGAAGCAACCCCTCAGCCTCCGAAGGTTGAACGAAGCTGTCATACTCGAGGACAACTGCACCATGATAGACGAAGACATGATGCTGCTGCCTCGAGACATTCTCCTTCGAATCGGCCAGGGTCTCATATCAGCTGACCAGGCCGAGCACGTCAACTTGGCACATTCATCTGTCAAGGAGTTCTTGACCTCCGAGTGGATCCGTTCTTCATCTGTGAGCCAATTCGCACTGGATCCCTCCACTGCTGACACCATCATCTTGCGCAAATGTTTGCAATACCTGTGCCTCGACAACTTCAAGTACGGATACGGCGAATATCGCAAGCACGGTAAAGTCCGCGCATTTCTATTTTACGCGGCTACTTTCTGGCCTGTCCATGCGTCTCGCTGCGTTCTTGGGCACGTCGAGCGCGATTTGATTGCTCGTCTCTTCGCATCCCGAGACCTTCCTCGCCGTGGAAACTATGGTGTCTGGATGGAAGCCTTGATTCCGGGCGTGAAACCTGCAACCATTGAGGGTACCAATCCGCTCTACTACGCGGCCTCGTTCGGTATGGCTTCGGTCGTCAAGGCCATGCTTGAGTCTGACCCGACCATCGATGTCAATGCTCCAGGCGGTCGTGTCGGAGCAACGCCAGTGTTTGCTGCTGCTTGGCGTGGTAACAATGAAGTTGTCGAGATATTGCTCAAGGCTGGAGCTAATCCTACAATTCTTGATCCTGGCACTCAGATGAGTGTGGTGCATCTGGCCAAGTGGAAACACTTCAAGCCTCTGCGAGACATTCTTGTGCGATGCAACCAACTTGATCCGTAATTGATATGGTAAGCGTTGAGTCATGTCTTGCTTCAAGGTGAAGACAGACAGCTTGGCAAGTTTTATTCTGCTTTTTGAGGGAAAGCTGAATGGAAAGCTGTGGGAAACTCAGTGCCACAAGCGTACATAGATATATACCTAGTAACTTCCCTTAGGTATACACTGAACGCGGCGGGCGGCTCAACACATCTATAAAGCATACTCCACTGGCAGATTTCCATTCAATGTTCCATGACAGAGCGGACTAGGTCCAATCGAAGAAACCACCTACCATCCTGTATCAATGAAATGCACGATGACATTGAGGTCTGATGATAGAGCTTGCACTCTTTTCAAGGGGAACATATTCGAGAACTCCTGCAGCATAGTACGATCTGGGCCCACACTCCATGGAAAGTGGGTTTATAGTTTAGTCGATGGCACCTCCGAGAACTCCGCACGTCAGCCGGATAGATTGGAAGCCGCGCGCCGCATTAGAAATCACGGTTATTCAACAGCTTCCGCTCACTTTACCTGCACGCTCGTAAACATTCAGTCGCTACTCGTCTCAACCTTTTCCTCCTCTCGTTGACCATCCTTCGCCTCCGACAATGGCCGAAATACATCCGGAGCAGTTTCATGCGCAACCGCACGCTTTCAACCAAGCACCTCCCAGACCCTCTCAAGAATCGCATGACAACGACACCAAGGCTCCGTTGCCCAAGGGCGTCGTTCTCGACAAAGATGGCAAGCCGTGAGTCCTCACCATAGCCCCGAGAGCTATCGCATGTGGAACTTGACCACCACACAAGTACTGACCCTCCACTCGCTGTTCCCATATAGCTGTCGAACCTGTACCTCGGTCGCCTCATGGCGCGCACTTACAAGACAAGCCACACAATCTTCGTCAACGCCCAAGACCGACTCTCCCACTCAATCCACAACAATTGCCACGCCAGTGACAGCATCAAAATCTACACCGCAACCCTCCGAGATCCCCTCCGACTGCCCACCCGACGTCGAACAGCTCGGCCGCTCTACATGGACGCTGCTCCACACAATGGCAGCTACGTACCCTGAAAAGGCCTCCACAGAGCACCAGGAAGATATGCAAGGGTTCCTGAAGTTTTTCTCCAAGTTATATCCTTGCTGGGTATGTGCGGATGATTTCCGCGCTTGGATGGCGCATCCAAGTGGTCGCAACCAGCCGAAGCTGGGTGGGCGGAAGGAATTCGGCTGGTGGATGTGTGAGGCGCATAATGAGGTCAATCGCAAGCTGGGGAAGAAGGAGTTTGATTGTCGGTTGTGGGAGGAGAGATGGAGGACTGGTTGGAAGGATGGTCGATGTGATTGATGCGGAGATGATCTGGTTGGCCTTATGTGGCTCGAGGCCTTGACAAGTGTTGTACGATAGAAACTTTACTCCAGTTGAGTGAGACGGTCTGCATTGTATATCTTCCCCGCTCTTTGTAGAGAAGGTGGCCTCTACATGCTGCTTTCGCTAAGAACGAGCAGATGAGAAATAAAATGAAGTTTCGTGTTTACATTTCAGATTACAATAAGAGTTCGTATATCCTCAGACATTAGGTGTCCATGACCAAAAAACAGCTTGACCTGCATAGAAGAATTTGCGTACACATTGAGACCGCTAAGTAATTAGAATTTCCAATACAGGAACGTCTAGATAGACAAGGTGGGAAAAGCGCCGGAGAAGTTCGTGCTCCCAGGAAGAGACAGGCGCTGCCAAGCACACGGCATCCTCTCTAAGAGGAATAGATGAAGAGAGGAACATGTTGAGGGGGGGGGGGGGGGGGGGGGGGGACCCATTTTGGAACTACACAACGGGGGGATAGAAGAAAGGGATGGGGAAAAACCGTCAAACTTCGTCATGAGGCGTGAGCCAGATTTGCCAGTGACTCTAGTATTGAGCCGGAACAAAGAGGCGCAGTCCACTAGCTGGCGCGCCAATTTCGGTCACATCGGATATCCGGCAAACGCTGCCCTTGTATTGATCATGGTATTTGGCGCCAGTGAAGGGATCAATCACACAGGGAGAACCACTGAAGATAGGGGTGAAGGAGGCGGCGCAAATGTCGAACTCGGCGAACTGGTCGAATTCAATATCGATCGCATCTTGTGGGTTACGCTCACATTGAGCTTTGATCTTCTTGGCCTGTTGATGAGTTAGCCTATGCACTTCCACCGACGGGAAACAACTGATATTCGAGACCCGACATAACATACCTGATCCATCAGCTTAGCGGAGCCGCCATTGGCGAGCATCCTGTTTGCGAAGCCAAGAGCCGAGTTGTAGTTCTTGTTGGCAAAGGCGAGTTTCATGGCTGCCATCAGAGCCAACTGACGATGGGCAACCTCAAGCTTGGGAATTGTGAAGTACGCAGACAACTCCAAGCTACGCTTGAGACCCTCGGGAGTATCAGTTGAGAGGGAACGACGTTCCAGCTCGATAGACATGGCAAGGATGTACTCCCTGGCGGTGGCGATGATCTTCTTTGCTTGCTCAACCTCGCTGTCGGATGAGACTGCATTCACTAGCAGTGTATGGAGAATGCGCTTGAAGGTCTTCACGCCGTCCTCGAGCTTGTTTGTGCGCATGGCGGCGTAACCATCCTGAAGATCAACGCTGGCCACTGTCTCGAGATCGCGGGGAATGGCAGGCAGGACCTTGCGGCTATCCGTCTCCTCCGTAGTTCTTCGCACGTAATTGACGAGAGGTGGTAGACCAGTTGAGGCGGGGAGGTATGTCTTGGAGCCTTTGTAGATTTCAAGGAACCGGTCCTTGAGGGGTGCGAATTGAACCGCACCGACTTGCCGGTTCAAAAGCTGCATGGCTGTATCGAATGAGCCAGCGGCGACATGGTCAGCAGCCAGGGGCGAGTTGCGAGCCCACAAATCAGCCTCGGAGCTACCCGCACCAGCTTCCGTGCTTTCGACATTGACGAACTCAACATCCTCCTCCACGTTGATATCATCGCCCATGTCCCATCCAGAAGCGTCCTCCTCTTCCTCCCCCATGGTGTCTTTAGCAAGCACTGCTGCTGTGTCATGGTCCCCGGTCTCGAAGGAGTCTTGAGCAACCTCTTCCTCATCATTGACTTCGCCCAAAAGTGCCTTTTCGAATGAAGAATGGCCTGCAGCTTTAACGGGCCAGTTGGACTTGAACGTAGGAACGATAGGATGGGCAACCTTGAGGGGTTCTTGAAGAGACGGAATGGCAATTTGATCTTCGGTAAGACCGCAGGCTTCGAGGATTGACTCGGCCTCTTCGGTCAAACCATGCGACTTTGCGGTGAGGTAGGCCAGGGGATCTATGCAGCGGTCAGCGTTTCGGGTTCTGCTATAAGGGTGGTGAGCATGGGACGCCAAGAGACTTACACTGGTCTACTTCCTTGAACATCTGGATGCGGTCCTCAACGTCACCACGGTACACGGCATTCTGGAACCGAGAAGTGAAGTCTCCCCGGTGCTCCGCGATCTTTGCCATACGAGCAAGCTTCTCCTGGTCGCCAGTGGCAAGATAGAGGAAAGACAATTTGTCAAAGTTACGCTGTTTTTGATACGTCATCTCCACAGTCTGGTGGTTACCGTGGGCCAATGCCTCAGCTCCCAACCGACTCCAGATTTGAGGTCGATCCAGCTCTCGGGCCATCTCAGTTGCGACGTCGAGGTTTCCACATTCCAAGGCCAGGTCGAATCGAGTCTGCGGGTCTTGCACGAACTGCAGAGCAATCTCGGGGTAGCCCTTCTTTTGAAGATATGAGATGATGCTCTGGCCGACCAAGCTTGAAGTCTTGATGATCTGAAGCATTTCGTCGTAGTTGCGCTTCACAAGAGCAAGCTTGAAGCGGTACTCAGTCGGGTCGATGGCCAGGATCTGGGGTTGAGCGTTGCGGTCGAGACAGTACACGTTGCGCCCCTTGACGCGAACGAGGTAGACAGTCTGGTCGAGAGTACGGATAATTCCATTATCACTTTACATAAATCAGCATGGTCTTCCGAATGCACTATGATGGCGAGATAACATACCCATTAAGCAGCGAATATTTAACGTGGTTGAGCGTCGAATAGATCAGGACCCCAGAGTCATCCCAGGTGGCACTCTTGATGCGGATTGTCTCGTGCAAGGTGCTGACCTGCTCCAAGGACTTGGTGACAATGGTCACATTGTGCTTGCTAAGAAGAGCACAGTATAAACCGTCGTTTGACCAGACGACATACTTCACTCCACTGACAGCAAGCTCAGCAAGCTGCTTCTTCTGCTGAATGTCGAAGAGCGTGACAGTGGAAGGAGTAATGAACAGCAGACAGCCAGTTCCGCCGAAGTAAATGTCGGTTGTCCCGGCAGGAGGCTTGATTGTCTTTGTGGTGGAGTTGCTCAGGTCTTTGATATCAACCTGCTGGCTTGCAGGACTGAAGACTGCGAAGCGATTGCGAGCAACGAAGACTGCCGAGGTAGCCTGGCCGCGCTTCACATCTGTCGGCTCAACAGCACCGGTCGCGTCCCGGGGCAGGTGGATTAATTCGTATGTACCACCATCTGTGGGAGAGGTGACCAGAATCGCACGCTCGGCAGGATTGTACGAAAGGGTGCGAGGCGGGACCCAAGGAGAGCCGAGTTTGCGAAGCGACAACATGGGAGGAGATTCGACATTCTTGCCAAAGTCATATGATTTCACATGCTTCTCTTTCGTGATGTAGAACAGCTGATTCTGGTACACAGCAGACGCAGGACGCTCACGCTCTAGCTTGAAGACCATCACACCAGTATCGTGACCAGCAGCGAATAGGTTCATCTCGGGGTGGGCAGCGATCACCCAGAATCGGTCGAGGTCCCGCTTAAACGATTGCACAGAGGTGCGCTTGTTGAGGTCCCATGCGCGAATGGTCTTGTCCTCGCCGACAGAAAGAATGAGATCCTGATGAGGGTGGAAGAGACACGCAGAGGCATTCTGGTAATGGCCCCGGCACGTATCAACCTCCCATGCTTTTGTATCTGTGGAGAGAACAGGATTAATACAGTCAATGGCGCATAAATCCCAGGGCTTGTAGCTCACCACTCATGCGCCATAGCTTGATCAAACGGTCGTCACCAGCCGACACGATCAAAGGCAAGGTCGGATGGAATGACACCCAGTTCACACCTCGATCGTGGCCTTCCAGCACAAATTTCACAATGGCATCAGTGTTGCCAAACATGTCGGGTTGATTGGGGTTAGCGCGGGCCATCTGATCTTCGAAGGAGACAGACGTGGGAGCGGAATGCTTCTTCCGCAGGCCAGAGATGTCCCAGATCCGGACGGATTGATCCAGAGAGGCGGATGCGATAAGGTCTTCAGTAGGGTGGAATCGAGCGCACATCACATAATGGTTGTGTCCGGTCATCGTGCAGACTAATTGATGATAATCCGATCAGTTTTTCGTCGGCCCCAAACCACTAAGTAACCATAGGCCTTTGACTTACTCAAGGAGCGGTTCTGCCAGTTCCAAATCCGAATAGTCTGATCATCGGACGCAGACAAGATCCATGGGAGCTCGGGGTGGAAGAATACGGTGCGCACATAATCCAAGTGCCCATTCAATGTGAACAAACACCTTCGTGTCTGGTAATTCCAGACCTTAATCTTGTAGTCATCACCACCAGAGACGAACAGGGGTTGAGTGGGGTGGAAATCAATGCCTCGAACCGGCCCATCATGTTCTTCGAATCGATCAATCAACGTTCCCATGCGATAGTCCCATAGCTGAATTGTGGAGGAGTGGAGGGAAACGAGAATCCATGGCCTAGTCAACAGCCAAAGGTGAGTTAGTGCCGATGCTCCAGCGTGTTGTCATGTCCCCGCTAGCTTGGCGTACCGTTTGGGGTGGAATGCGATTCCCTTGGCTCTAGAAGATTTTGACTCAAACTAAGATGGGTGAGCCTTGTTAATGCTGTTTCAATGAAGCTACCATGCTCAGGATTGACCCGTTGTTCTGCATGGCGAGCATTGACGGGGATCGAGGGGCGCGCGTACCTTAGTGAGCATGTTTGGGGAGGACTGCATCTTGAAAGAATTGGCCGGAGCCGCACCAAGCAGCAGCAAGCTCCGCACTCGAAATTAGAATGATTCAGAGAAATAACCGCTGCATTCAACCAAACGAGTTAATTGCAGTGAACGGGCAAGGCGCAGTAGTCGGGGATGCCTATGCTTGATGAGCAGAGGGAGGTAAACTAAACGTGGACACAATTGTGGGCGGGAAAGGCGGTGGCCAATCACTTGGTGGGCGGTGAAGGACACAGGGGTCTTAGACTTGAACTATGAAAATGATCTGAGCTAGGTAACTACTACTAAGTTGCTAGAGAGGACAACGTACTTGGAGTTGAATGAATCACTGTTCTCTTTGACCCAACTACCAGCTGGGCTGGTATTTTGAGGAGAGCTCTACGTTGTAGACTATAGCATTACATGGAGTGGATCAGTGAGCCTGATCTGTTGTTCACCGCGCCCAGCGAGAGTTGGGGAAACGGAGCTCCCCTTATCCCCACTGGAAGCCTCTGGAAGACTCGCAGCATGCGGTAACATGGCAACATTTCTTCCGGAGATCCAAGCGTGACAAAGCTATTCTCTCTTTCCGCTAGAAGCTCGAATAGGACAGTCACAAAAGGAGATTGAAGCTGGTTAACACAGAAACACTCCGAAGTCCAGTGGCTTTCGCTCTTCAGTACTGCATGACGTGATGTGATCAATGTCTTCTCAGCAACTTTGATTATCGGATACGAAGTAAAGTATCCAGCTCACGGCTCAGGCTGAGGATGGAAAGGAGGAACACCTCTCATCTGCCGGATCCAGAAAAGACAACATCAGGCTCTTCAGAGTTTTATTCAAAGCAAAAGGCTATTAAGAGCGAGCAGATTCCACCCGCTCCTCACCCAGCCAAGTCAATTGACGGAGATTTTACTGGTGAGGGAATGGCTTCGTTTAGTGATGATGAAGTCGTGCGGCCGTACGCGATCGAGGAGCCTGCCGACGATGACCCACAGCCTGCAGCTTTACCACGTCGACTTCTATTGTTGGATTCACCAGACCATCTTGAGCAGTGGCAGCGCGAGGTCCGCGTAGGGCGCATTTGGGAGTCCGCGGAAGAGGATAAGGGAAGGAGTCTCTGCGCCAAAAGTCCGGCTGTGGCCCCTAAGAGAGGGCAAAAGAGAAAACCAAGCGGAGCACCCGGCACTGGAACGTATAATTCCGCTCTTCTTCGGGCTCAGGTGAAGATCAGAGATGAAGATCCTTCGTTATCTGGAAGGACGATCAACCCGAAAAGACGCCGTAGGCGGAGTACGGCAGTGGAGGATCTACTCAAGTGCCAGCAACCACCACTTACTTTGGAAACACTGCGTGACATGGGAGTCCCGCAAGGCTCATGGTCGGATATGCCTGTTCCAAGCAGCCTGGAGCCTACAAATGAACCAGCTGTCGTTGACGAAATGGACATCGATTGATTGTCGTTCCAGCCCTCTTTTCCGGGAACAGCAATTATACCTTCTTAGCGAAGAACAAGGCATGGGTGTTCAAACATGTGACATCGCAACGGAAGTTCACCCGATCACAGGAAACTGAGGAAAGCCGCTTTGGTGTCTGGACCTGAGGCCCGAAAAGAATGACGTCATTGATGTCTCACGGGTGCTCGCCAGTCGCCAGTCTGAACGACGCGGCAGCAACCCATGCTCTACAGTTTGCCAACCGTCATATTTCATGCTTGATCTTTAACATCTCCGCCTGACTTCACACCAAGCACCGCAAATTAAAGAACCAAAGGGCGTATCACCAAAGAATTTAAAAGTCCTAATGGCCCGTACATCATCGCGTCAAGCGGCTCAGAAAGCCAATGAAGCTCTATCAACTCGCAAGGCCAGTGCAAAACCTCCTGCGGGCAGAAAACGCAAGGCTAGTCAGAAAGATGCGCCAGAAGCAAAGAAGGAGAAGGTAGAGGAGCAGCAGCCAGACAAGCCGGTGGAATCAGAGCAGAAAGCTGATGCAGAGCACCACCAACACGGGGACGCCCCAGAGACCAAAAAGGTGGCCGAGACCTCTCAGCCAGAGAATCAGAAGGCACTTGACGTAAAAGTTGAGTCTCAGCAGCTACAGGAGAAGTCTGAACAGGATAAGCAAGTAGGCAATGGCCCCGAGGAAGAGGAGTCCACGAGGGATACTACGCAAAAAGCCTCCTCAACACATCACGATGCTGCTGGATCGAGTTCCAAGAGCGAGCTAGGGGTCCGGACATCCGAGGAGCGAGAAGAGAAGGTTTCCTCCAACATCCTCGAGAAAGGTATCATTTACTTCTTCTATCGCTCACGGGTGAATGTCGACGATCCCCACGGGATGAAGGATATTGCGCGTACCTTTTTCGTGCTACGACCGACTCCGATTGGGGCTGAGCTGGATTCCAACCAAGGACCAGTAGACAAGAATGCCCGGTGTCGTCTCTTAGTCCTGCCCAAGAAGAAGCTTCCCACTTCGGGCAAAGAACGTGACATGGCGTTTGTGGAGAAAGTCAACCAGTCGGTCAAAGACCTCCAGGAACACTTCATTGCTGGATCAACATACCAGACTGCTACCCGTGGGGAACGCCATGTGGAGGAAGCTCAGCCTTTCGCAGAGGGGGTTTATGCTATCACATCTGCACCGCGAGCATCGCACTTGGCCTACATTTTGACAATTCCCTCGGAGCCTGGAGATCTTCAAGACAACTTTGGGATTCACCAGCGAGGTAGTTTCATTGTCCAGTCTAAGAATCCAAAATACCCTGGACCTGCCTCAGCCCAGCTACCGGAGCAGCCAAAATACCCTGAATCGTGAGTGCAGTCGATTGATGGCAACCTGGTAATGACACGTACTCGGAATATTGTGACGACTGACCGGTATTAAATCAGTATTATGGAGCAATTCCGGGACCTGAGATGGGTACCTCTGCGACCCGAGTTCATTGACTATCCAAATGCGCAACTGCTCATGATTGGAGAGGCACACGATTCTCTGGGCAAGGCCGCCACCGCCGAGGTCGAGAAGAAACCACAGGAGAGCGAGCCAGGAGATGAGTTGGAAGAGATGGAGCACGAGAATGAGGAACGTGTGCATGCACTGGGTGGTGAGCGTTCCCGTTCGACAGAAATGGTCTTGTCACAGACTAACAGAGACTTTACTTCAGGAGACGGCGCCATTTTCCAGGACCTTGGCTTAGATGCAAAGAAGCACGCCGGGGTACCTACGACCTGGGACGCGACAGTGAAAGATGAAGCGGAGTAAGAGTCGTGGAAGATGAGTCTTCATTGATTGATGCAAGGTGCTTAGCTGTGATAAGCTCGAAAATTCATCTGGTCTGTCAAAGAATTGGCCTGTTCACTGTCATAGGAACTGTCCATCCGATTGAGCCTCGTCTCGAAAGCGATACCCCAAAAGGCCATGAATGATAGACTTAACTGGAGACAACGAGCATTAGCCACGCTACTAGGCGTGGAGGGGTGCCTCCAAGCAGCCAGCAGCAGGTTCCCTTACCTGACCTAATACAAGGTTGAAACTTGGAGAGATTTTACTCTCACCTTATTTTGGAATGCATATTCACGGCGTACTTGTTAGTGGTCTTCGAAACTGCGAGAAAAATGGTGGACCATCGAGCTGGCATGGGCGTCAGGTCCCACTATTGGACGCCAAGTCGTCGTTTGTGGCCAGTGGCCCCCAAAACCAAGGTATTTTAGCCAAGATTGTGTCGTTTATCTGAACAACCGGTGTTAGGTTACGTTAAATGGACGTCTATGGCTGGAAGGTCCGTTCTCGGATATTTCTGACTGCGCACAGTACACTTCGTTTCTTCCTCGGTATGGAGCCCAAACTTAACGGGGCACAATTGAGCTAAAAGCTTTGGAAGCTATTCTATCTCGAGACTCATCAAGGAACTTGCGGCTCTGGCGCTCAAACACCTCAATAAGCGATGCGCGACGGTTACTCTTGGCGAAGTCACCAAAGGTTATATACCAGCGAATGACAATCGCCACTCAATGCACGTTGAGGTCGACCTCAAAACTCCACGCCTGGCGGGATTCGTATAGCATTGCGCGTGATACGAGGTATAAAGGCTTACTTGGTGCCAGTCTATTTCGGCTTACTTGGTGCCAGTCTATTTCGGTCCGCCGTGCTGATAAACAAATCTCTCGGCGGGTTCTCACTCTTCCTGCAATCATAAAGCAAACTCTGGCGATTGCGCTTCTGGCGTCAGTAGCGGATGCAGCCAGCCATGTTGTAAATAAAACGACCTGCGGTGGTCACACATACAAATACACTGGTTTGGTGGGTTATGGATTCATTCCCTCCGATGCGACAGACAAGTTTGGAGACACCATTGCTGGAATTGGGAGCTCTGCCGCTATTGACCAGTGGTCGTGGCGCAAGTTGCATGGGGATAGATACTCGGGTACAATCTACGCACTTCCAGATCGTGGTTGGTGAGCTTTATTAATTCCTACTAGGCCACCTGCTGAGGGCATTCAATTGCTTTGCTTGAGTGACCCATTATTCCGACACCTGTGAAGGAACACCAATGGCACCCTGAAACTACCAAGCGCGTATCCATAACTTCGGGTTGACTCTTGAGATCGATCACAAAGCCTCAGTGAAACATCCCTCACAACCAAACCTTCGCTTGAAGTATTTGGATACAATCATTTTGACTGATCCAGACGGTCAGCCCACAACGGGCTTGGATGCTGATGCCATCGGTGCCGTTTGTGCATCCATCGAAGAACGGAGGCCACATGCAGGGAGAGCAGGAGTACTTCTTGTTTAGTCTGAGCGACAATGACTTTATCACGCAAAACGGCAAACCTCCACGTATATTGTTTCTGACGGGCCTCTTGTTCAACATGATTCACCAGGTCGGTTGAACTTCGGCAAGTTTCCGTACAAAGACGCGTCTGGATACAATGTTGACACGCAGGCATTCGTGTTCAAAATACAGTTCTAGAAACAGTTCGGGGTCTGATGGTTTAACTCGGGGTCGAGAGCTCGCAGCCACCCGTCGTTGATCGAGAATATCTGGATCGCGAGATTGTATATTAGCAGGCTTACTTGTCTCCTAACTATACCGAAAAGCAATGCCTATTGTTACCTAAACATCTCCGGGCATTTCAAGACTTTTTGCCCTCGTGGATTGACTCACCCTGAAGCGAAGATTGATATGAACTTCATGATACAGTACCATGGAGACTATGCTACTGTTTAAATGAAAGTTGACGATCTGGATGCGAAGCCTAGTCAATAATTTTAGCCTCGCCACATAAATTTTCAATATTGATGGAAGACATTGGTAAGCTTGAAGCTAATTCAGCAGATAGATCGGACGATTTGTTGAGACAGTTTTGTTTTTTCCTTGTGCGTTGCTTGAAGAAACTTTTCAAGATCGGTTGGAGATAAAAAGTTCCGCTTGATCAAGGAAGTATCATGCTTGTACACAGCCGGCATCGCGATTCACTTTGCTTTGGGAAGATTTGGATGCCGGCAGATCAACAACCGAGAACCACCACCGCGACCTTGGCAGTGCACAAATAAACTCTACTTTTCATCCTCCTCGATCTACTCAACACGTACAGTCGTTTTTTCCGGTCATAGTGGAGATAAGCGCTGGATTTAGTCCAAATCCAGCATTATACATTGCATATATGAGACTCTGGGCCGAGACCGAAGCCCTTGTGCTTCGGACATTGCGGCATGTGGTCCCGAGTGGGGGAGGGAATATCATGTAGTCATTCTATGGGAAGGTGGGCACGAGTAGTTTATCAATGAGAAAATCCTGGGGTAGATTTCGCGGGGAAATTCTTTGCATGTTTTTAGTCTTCCCTCAACATCAGTCAACCTCATGACAGTTTCAAGAGAGCCTTCCATGATGGACCGTAAAGTTATTGTGGAAGGAGCGGCAGTTGGAAAGGACGTCGAGAGGCTCGACACCAATACATCCATCTTTGAGCCTCCACCCATGCATCCCTGGCAGCGAAGATTCTTGGTCATCTCCCTCGGTCTGTCGTTGTTCTTAGGTGCTCTCGACATGACCATCATCGCCACTGCGCTACCAACTATCGCCAACTCTCTCAAAGTCACATCACGGGAATATGCCTGGATTGGAAGTGGATATACGTTGGCAACGACAGCTTCGACTCCAGTGTGGGTGAAGATCTCAGATATCTGTGGACGAAAGTCTAGTATCATGGCAGCTGTTACCATTTTCATGGTGGGGAGTCTTGTCAGCGCATTGGCTCACTCCAGCGTTGCGCTTCTTGCTGGTAGGGTGGTCCAGGGACTAGGTGGCGGTGGCTCGATCGTGCTGGTGACGGTCATTATTGGCGACGTCTTTGCACTTGCAGATCGACCCAAGTATTACGCCATTACTGGCGTTGCTTTTGCCTTGGCCAGTGCCATTGGTCCTGTTCTGGGTGGTGCTTTTACCGATGGTATCGGATGGAGATGGTGCTGTAAGTTGTCCTGCATCAGTACGGATAGGAATGAATATCTCGCTGACCGGCGTGCAACACACTTCAGTCTACATCAATCTTCCCTTCGACGGTCTTGTCTTGATCTTGCTATTCTTCACTCTAAATGTCACAATCGAAAAGGAGTCGTTGACCAACGGTTTGAGCAGTATAGATTGGACCGGCTTTCTACTCATCATTGGCGGTACAGTCTGTTTCTTATACGGACTCGAGACAGGCTCCAGTGGTCTGGTGCCATGGCGATCAGCCACAGTCATCTGTCTTGTGGTCTTTGGAGCTCTCATCTTGGTGCTGTTCATGGTCTGGGAGGCCAGGTTCGCCAAGAACCCTATCATTCCCTTCCGCATCTTTCAAAAGCAAACCTCTGTTGCCTCCTTCGTGGTTGCATGCTTCCATTCCTTCATTTTCATATCCTTTGACTTCTTCCTACCCTTGTATTACCAAGTGGTTCTGGGGTTCAGCCCTCTGATCTCTGGAGTTACTCTGTTTGCTTTGATTATCCCGATGTCAATAACCACTTTCGCGAGTGGCTTGTTCGTCCGAAAGACTGGCAACTATCGTGTCATGATCTTTGCAGGAACTATTCTGTTGACTCTGGGCACAGGACTCTTCATTGATCTAGGTGTCCACCGATCATGGGTGCGCATCATCATCTACGAAGTCGTCGCAGGTATCGGAGCCGGACCATTATTCCAGAGTCCCATGATCGCTTTACAGAGTCACCTTCGACAGGCCGATGTTGCAGCGGCAATGTCGGCGTTCTCTTTTCTAAGAAATCTGTGCACATCCGTGTCTATCGTGATTGGAACAGTTCTAATCCAACAGACTCTTCATAGCAATAGTCTGACGACGGCGATAGGAGATGGCAGTGCAGCTGACACGGATAAGCAGCTGTATGTGTATGGACTGCGTAACATGTGGATTTTCTATGCCTGCGTCGCATCTCTTACTATTGTTGCGACGTGCTTCATCAGGCCAAAGGCACTCAAGAAAATCGAGTCCAGCGAACAAATAGCAGATGTTGAGGCAATTCCAGAGAAGTGAGCCTAGCTAGATATCTAGAACCATGGGCTTTTTTTCTCTCTCAGGACTTTTCTTTTCCCTTTTCGAGAATTTGATGCTATTTGAGGAATTGTATACAGTGAAGCTCTCGGCTAGATTTATGTGGAGATTGCCCCCAATTTTTTCAGATGCCCCGATTCTCAGTACTCAAGTCCCAATTCATAGGTAGGGCGACTTCAATAGACTGTTCTTCGTTGCTGCTCCTTTCAACATCCCTAACTTCAGCTCATTCCACGATCAATTGATGGGAAGCATTCCAGTTGACTTGACCGAAAGATACAACGAGGGCTTCTCGGAAAGTCTTAGATATTGAATAATGATGAGGAAATTTCTTGCATAATGAAGTGCTGGCGTGGGTGTAGTTTGCCAAAGTACTGAATGGTTCAAGTCTCAGTAGTCTACCCACTACCAAAGTTGCTTATAGTTTTCTTCGAGACACGGGTAATTTAGTTAAAGGCCACGCCCGTAATGACTTCATGCGAGATCGCCCACACCCCCACATCGGCCGCCGATCTCCAGAGAAACCTTTCCTCTCCAACTTTTGTATACTCGGACCTTGAGCGGGCTGAATCCCAGCTTTCAATGCGCCCAAGACGCGTCTTTACACGCGCACGCGACAATATCATGAATTAAATGCCTCCACCGGCGGTGCGTTTGGTCAATGGGTCATGTTTCTGGCCAACTCTCTTTCCTCTTTACTTTCACTAATCATCGTAGACTCCATCTCCCTTTCGCCTGTCCCGCCGGTACCCCCCATCACGACGCAGCGGACCTCAATTTGCACACTCCCCGCGGTTCTTATTGTCGCAATCGGCACCACGACGAGGGGACCTAGATATTGTCGATGACGATACCGTGCCGCCATCCTCGGCCCCAGCTACAGCCGTACCAGCGGAATTTGTACCGAGCGCAATCCAGTCCCGCCGACATAGGGAAGCAATCCAAGATTCCGACGATGACGAGTGGTTGGATAACCTAGAAAGTCGTGGGGGAAGGAACACCGGACTTGCGAACGACCAAATCGAAAGCTCTCCGCCTCAACCTTCACATATTCAGTCTCCAGGTTACCAGGACCTCGACGATGACGCGCGTTTCGCACCGAGCAGAGACGGAAATAAGCGGATGCGCCTCTTTGCGCCGGATATTTCACCCATAGAGGGCACAAGTGATACATCATACGGAGTCCGCTCGCCATCTCCAGACACGCGGCCCTCAATACCGCCTGTGCTGCAGACACCAGGTCCACGAATACTTCCACGACCAGCCGCCACGCAAGAAGGGAGCCAGCTCGGCGCAACACCAAACACACACGCAAGACCAAGACCGCTCCTTGTTGAAACGCCAGAAAGCACACAGACGCCACTTCGAAGTCGACCTCGATTTCTTATCGGCTCTCAGCAGCCGCGCAGCACTCAGTCTGCCCTATGGGCAGAAAGCCCGTCGGCTACGCAATCGACTTCACTGGGAAGACACAAACCTGCCTTTGTCCTACCTCGTTCACCTTCCCCCAAGGCTGCAGACGATGACCTTCCCGCACCCTTCTCGCCATCGTCCAAGTCGTTGCATAGACGGGGGAAGAATCGTCCCGGGGCCACTGGGTATGTACCTGGGGGAATGGCGGCTGAGTTGCGGAGCTGGGTCCTGGAGACAGGCACCAGGCATGACCAGGCGCGCCCAGGTCGGAGAGTTGAGATGTCGAGCGATGGATCTGTCGAGATTTCCCGCTACCTTGTGGCTGCGCGTGTGCTCGAGGTGAAACCGGCTATCATTAGAGGCTCTGGTGCTTTGTCCTTCATTAGAGCTACGAACCTGGCTGGTTCATCTACCAGTGAGGCTGAGCCCGCGAAGAACAACTTGAATATTGTACTCATGGGTGCCCCTCGGGCAAAGTCAAGACCGGGGGAGTCATCGCCTCGAATGAATCAGCTGTCGGAGGAGACCCCTCGCCCCGGAGACTTGGTGGGTGTTCAAAAGGGACTTTCATGGTACATCACTCTGGGCGAGGATCAAGCTCAATGTGCTCCGAGCAATGTTCCGGATTCGATGGCTTTGGACCACATGTCACCCTTAGGCGAAGAATGGCTGATTACCATGCAGTGGGAGCTGATTGAGAGGGCGGTCTGATACGTAACATGATATCACAGTGCACTGAAAGCTCAACCAGAAAGATCGGATTAATTCACACTGTACAGGGGCCAAGCTGGGATGATATCGTAACTTTTGATAGTCTATAACAAGGGGTATATCTTATGAACATAACTTTACATCACAAATGATTTCCAACCTAGCACTCTCATTCCTTGACGGCCTTTAGTGCATCAACGGCGACATTGCAGCCCCAGCGAACCAGCTTCTGCTCCTTTTCAGAAACAAGATCGGTCTTCGCAACGACTTTGCGAATAAAGTAAATCAAGCCCTTGGCAGCCTGAGGGGTTTCCTGGACTCGTAGGAAAGTTTGCATCAACGCCTCCTCGTCTCTCGCATCGTCGGAATCAGACTTGATCTGGTTCCTCTTGGAGCTCTTCTTCTGCTTCTGCGACTGCTGAATGACGCTGATGACCAGGAGCTCAACAAAGGTCTTTGTCTTGGGCTGGAGATAGGCGAAGTTGAGGTTCTTCAAAACGCCGAGAGTGAGTGTTCCATCGGCAATGAGCATGCCAAACATCTTGGCGAGGTTAACAACAGCTTTCATGCTCACGCCTGTCTCTTCATCGTCGGCGTCAAACTCTGCTTCCTCCTCCTCATCACCCTGCTCACCCATTCGCTTGAAGATGTTCCACAGAGCAAACATGAAGGACATTTTGAGCCGACGACCAGACTCCGCGCAGAGTCGCCGTGCAATCAAGGTATAGTAAGGGTTGTGTGCTTCTTCCTCCATGGCACAATGCAAGAGAACTCGAGGAATCTCAAATTCTTGAGCACGCTTCAGGCGGAGCTTCGTCAGACGCACCTGCGCATCTTGGTAGTCTGTGGCAGACATGATGGCCACAAAAATTGAACGGCGCACGTCTGTGTTCATGCGATGAGCTCGGGCAATTTCTCCCAGGTCCGGTTCTGCTTCACTGTCGTCTTCTGCTGCCTCAGCTTGCTTGGCCTGGAGGTCAGAGAGCTCTTGGCGAGCAGAAACCAGAGGATCCTCCCTCCAGCTCGCACCGACAAGCCACCACTTGCCCTTCTTGGAAGAGTCATGGATGTCCGCCCGCGTGATATTGATAGGTTCGGATGCTCGGATGACACGAGAATTGTTCAATGAGCCCAAGATCTTACGCATCTTGGTGATGTGCTCGGAAGTGACATTGGCACCAATGCCGTTCTTTACTCGATTGTTTTTCAAATCGGTGATAGTGTCGATCATGAATTTCGTTCGCACTGACAGGTTGCCCTCGCCGATCCTGGCGACGGCAGGCTGGATGAGCAGGACGATATCCTTGAGTGCAGAGGGGTCATCTTGGCGTAGCTGAGGACCAGCGTCTGTGATTGGATTAGCAAATGCAAGACTTTTCAACGTCGTCAAGTTCGCGACTCACTTCGAATGATCTTGAGCAGAAGCTCAGTGTTCGTTTCGTTGATCTCCTCCAAGAAGAGCCGGATGTAGTCGAACATCAAAGGATGTCCAATCACATGGAAATTGTAGAGTTGACACAAGAGAGAGACAAGGTTGATGTATTCTTTGCCCTCCCACTTGCCGCGCTCATCACCACCTGCGTCCATAGACTCGACAACTTTCTGCACAATTTCAGCGCCAAAGTCCATACCCATTATTTTGTAGACTGCGGCAATGAAACCCGCATGGAGGACAATGAAGGTATCGTTCAAAGCCGACCGTTCCGCAATCATAGCCATCAACAAAGTAATCAGCGTTGAGGTAACGTGTTGGCGAGGGTAATCGCGATAGAGCTTCTCAAACTCTCCCAAAATGGAAACCAGATTAGCTTCGGAAAGCTTGTTGAGGTGTCCCTGCGCCTGGCGGCGCAAACGGGTGAGCGCTTCACTCTCTGGGTCTCCACGGGCGCGGAGAGATGGCGGCACGTATTTTTGAACAGCTGCAGGTCCGGCTTTGGAGACAGGCGCTACGTATGGATTCTCCCGTTGTTTGGGCGGCGCCTTCTCTTTCTCATCGAACCCGTCAAACTCGCTCTCGTTCGCATCGTCATCTTCTTCCTCGTCGTCTCCCTCCTCTGACCCAAATATTTCATCGTCCAGATTATCCATCTCTTCATCACTATCTTCGTCGTCTTCCTCTTCGTCATCTTCCTCAACCACTGCCGCTTGACGTTGTAGGGCTTTCTGCCTCTTGCTCTGAAGCCATTCATCGGCTTCTCGTTTCCGCTTCTTGCCATCGTCCTCAGACAAATTGGCCAAGTCTCCCATGAGATCCTCCAACCCATCCTCAGCAAATGCTTTCGGAAGCTTTTTGCCCTTCTTCAACCCCAGCTTCTTCTCCAGTGCAGCGATTTCCGCATCGTCTTGGGCAATTTTCGCTTGAACGGTTTTCGAGATATGACCCCCTTGTGGAACATGGGACTCCTCCTCGTCGGAGGAATTCAAATCAATGTCGTCTTGATCGAAGTCCCCATCATCATCGCTATCGTCATTGCCTTCATCATCTATCACTTCGAGTGGCCTATGCTTTTCAGTTTTCGAGGCTGGTAATTGCTGCAATCTCGAAGAGGCTTGCTTAAATCTGGGCGTCTCATGTGCATCGTCGCTAAGAGAGTCTTCGTTCAGGTCCACCTCGTCCCTTTCATTTTTGCGGTGCGTATTTTGGCCTGGTCCTCGGTGGAAGTTCTTCCTGATCGGTGCGGCAGCTGGTTTACCGGACTTTTTCGTATTTCGCTCTTCTCGTCTGCGCTCTTTCCGATTTGCCGGACCATTCCGCTTCTGTTTCTTGTCGCCGTAGGTATCCCTGATACCAAGCTCATCGCGGAGCCCCCGCGGGAGAGAAGTGGTATTGTGCTGAGGCCGTGGCATGGTGGTTAAGCATTGGATTGCACTTGGTCTTCGGTCTCAAAAGACTCCGATATCATGGCGGTGAGTGAACTTTTTTCGCAGCTGCCGCACTTTCTGCCCGTCAAAAGCACGAGGCGGGCGGGCCCACAAACAGCGGCGGAGTCTCCCCTCCCCACGATCGATGCCACGACTGTTTGATGGATGCAAATTAACATTCACATCTGTTCAGCGCTCCAGTAACAGCCTACCTCGCGCTCTGTACGATCACACTTGCAATTCTAAAATGGCACCCCACTTGGATAACGAAGCTGTAAGTTGCTCATGTCGAGAATGCTCCGGGACGTTTCTTGGATTCCCGGTGCCGAATGACCTACTATTGCGAATCACATCTTTAACAGCGCGTCTCTTTCCAGTTCTTCTCGTCCCTCGCGGAGCTTCTCGCAAAGACCTCCCAACAGGCTCACGGCTCTGTGTTTCTTTCTCAAAAGCCCCTCATCGATGGCGTCTCCAATTCGTCTCCGTCTATCCTGATCCGGGCCACAGATGGCAATACCAATGCGCCCAACCCCAAATCCGCCGGTGAGGGTTCAGGTGTTGCTAAGACGACCTCTTCTAAGAACAAGAACAAAGTCAAGCTGTCGACTATCGTGGAGTCTCAGAATCTGGATGGCTTTTACACACGTTATGCGGACATCTGCAAGGCTGGCATGACTGGCTTGAAGAAACGAGACCGCAGCAAGCGCAAGGCCAAAGGCAAAAGCGGCGCGGCCAAGACACCAAAGGCATAAGGGACTGGATCTCATTCTCCCTGTTTCGTCTTGATGATACCATCTGGCTGCATCCAGCGCGCCACGCCTTCCAAGGGAGGAGTTGTCAACATTTGCATTTTCAGGCGTTCATTCGACGGGTATTTGGCGTGATTCGACATGAAGACTTCATCGCAGGCCTCAATCTTGAGCATCTACGTACCAGATTGTCTTCTCGTGACTACAAGCGTGCTACTAGGAGCTTTCCAGCTGACTACATTTTTTGAGACTCGTCTTCGATGTAGATAAAAACTCCAATGAAACATTGAACGGGCTTGATGAATGATGATTTCAGGGTATCGAACTGGTAATGAATACAAAAACTGCTTGAAGCCGGGTAGCTACCCAATAATCAAGGGAAATTGGCCTTTGCCTTCTTCGACGTGGAACCCCCATTTGACTCCAGAGTACTTGTCACGAGGCTCTGCCGTGACTGGGAATTTTCCTTTGATGGGACCCGTGATCGAGACCATGCTTGTCTTGACCTTGACAGGCTCCTTCCAAACCCCACCGACAGGTTCAAGATCATATCGCATCATGACCATGGCCGCGAGGAGCAAGATTTCCGAGCTGGCAAAGTGCCGACCAGGGCAGACCGTGGGTGAAACGCCAAAGGTCATAAAACCACCTGTGCGTCTGCCATCTTTCTTGTCGCCAGTGCTCATGTACCGTCGCTCGTCAAACACCGCCTGAGATTCTCCCCATACATCCGGCCGTTGTGACAATGGGAGCGAAGGCATACTGACGCTGTTTCCGGCCTTGAGAAGATATCTGTCTGCAAGGAGGGTGTCCTTAACGACGACCCGCGTGGGCGAGGAGATGGACCGGTACCGGAGGACCTCCTGGAAGGCAGAGAGCAACAGTGGGCACTTTTCCCGGATGGCAGACAGATCGATGCTGTGCGTGCCATCTTCGGCCACCTTGAGTGCATTAGCCTCGATCTCCTCGCGAAGCTCCGCGAGCAATTGGGGTCGAGAGAAGAAATCGAACATGCACCAGAACATGGCGGGCACGGTATTTGAAATGAAGGCGAGGAGCATGCTGACTTCCAGCAAGGAATAATCCTCGAGAGAGAGACCGGCTCCAACTGTTACCTTGAAGCGCACATCTGTCAGCTCCGAGGCGTTCTTGTGGCCGTCCGCTTGAATGTACTTCAAAACAGCATCCGCAACCTTCTTGCGAGCGTAGTATGGCTTTCGCGCCAAGACGGAAGGCCATATATTAGGCAGGAGCATGCCAAGGTTTTCTTCAAAGATCCTGTAGAAGCCGTCAGTATTGGAACTTCAACTCGATCTCTTGGAGAGACAACATTGTTGACTTACCACCAGGCGTCCTGGATCTCCTTGTCGGCGTACGGATTCATTGGACCGTATGTGGCTTCCGTGCTCGCAGCCATGGTGGCGTCTTTGCACCACCCGTACAGATCGAAAGTGGACGTTTCGCTTAATTGCTCGATGAAGGGTTGAATGAGCCGGATCATGTGGAGATTCAGTTTGTCCAGAGGTTTTCCAATCAGAGTAGGGGTCATGGAATGCATGATTCGCGCTCCGAGACCTTCACCACCAGCCTCCTTGTCCTTGAGGATCTGCAATGCTTTGGGATTGGTAATCCCGGCGATGGTCTTCGCACTGAATAGCAATAGCGGTTCAAAGCTGAGAGTCTTCGCATTGCGCTGGACGGCCTGCACCAGTTCTGGCGAAGTGATCACATAGAACTTGTTGATGAGCATATCCAAGCCGATGATGGGCTGATCAGGGTGCTTTTTGCTGATCGGATAATGTCAGTTTTTGTTCGATAGAAGGCCATTTCATTACTCCAAAGACACCACTTACGCCTGATCGCCCCAGTGACCTACACCGTTGAAAAGTAAACCAAATGCGTGTCCCAAGATCGGGATTCCGTGCGTGACCATAGGCGGTTCACGAGGGTCATGTCGACGTCCATTGAGAAGGACCAGACCCAGCGCCACCACGGCACCCAGGATCAAAAGTTGTGTCGTCTCAATCATATCGATGTGAGGTCGGTATGTTCAGATTGTCACAATTTTCGCATCAGTTCAGAATCTTCGCCTTTAAAAAGGGGCAGATGCCAGCCTGTCCATGTCTGACGTGAATATGCGCACTTGCGTTCAACGCAACCGAGCTTCGCTCTCGCTCGCTTTTTCATATCATTAATGGAACAACTGTCCGTTGGCACGGAAAGCTTAGACCCTTTACGCCATAGTCATACTACGGGAGACCCATTCCCCACACTTCGCTTACAACAATGGCCATCGGGCCAACTTGTCAAGGCCATTGGTTGCCAGATTGGTGATCGCTTGGAGCAGAGCCGAGATGGGTATCTGGCCCGGATACACCAATGATCGCGACCACTCTTAAACACGGTTTCATCTTGGTCCTCTTTTCTTGATCTGGCCCACTTTGCATGTGTACGAGCACGTTGCTGCAGTATGTGCGCCTTCGAAGGTCAAGCACGACTCGAGACGAGGAGAGACTGCTGATATCGACTCTCGGTCGTTCCACAAATGAGCAAACCGGCTCCTCCATACATACCCAAGAAATTTGGAAGCCTCGCTTCTAAAGTCAACTATTTGGCATTCCATCCATATGCAAGAAATCGAGGGCCTTCGCTTCGGGTGGGTTCTGCGAGAATAATGTGCAATGATAGGTCGCGGTCCTCGCGGTCGCATGCCATTTCTGCTCCGTTCCACGTCCGGAAGCCTGGTACAGGAATAGGTAGCCTCCTTTTTCCTGACTCGGTCGCATCCACGAGAGAGCAAGGTGCTCGCCATCTGCGGCGGATTTTCGGAGAATTGCGATTGCAAAGACCAGGTACTGTACTTCTCAATCAGCCTTGCCAAGAACTAACTACACGACCCTCTATCATCAGGGAGCTGTGGCCTTGAACGGGAAGAAAGCATGTTTCTATTCGAATGAGCATCTTTGACGGTCAGGACTCAACGTCCAGGTCGCTGATTCTCAAATGGCCAGGATGACTCGAGTCTGGACAATCCTTGTTGTCAAGCTGTTAACTACCCAAGGTAACATACAAGTAAGCCGCTTGCATGCGCCATGCACTGCCATGCAGCCATTTGCTTAGGTACATGCAAATGTGTTACCTCATCGATGCTCTAAGCGAAGTTTACTCCAGAACTTGTGGAAGGAGATGCTTAGTTGTAGGCGACCTTCCATCCTCGCTTCGCCATGTACATGCATGAGCCCAGAAGGTCGCCGATCAAGGCTCCATGCAGCCCTTTCGAGCCTGCTACTTCAGCATTCTATCGTATGCGTTGCAACTTGCCAGAATGTGGAAAAGAAGGCGATACAGCCGACCAATCGTGAACGGGTTTTCTATAGCAAGTTGCAAAGAGGAGAAAAGCTGGTCATTGGAATCATTATTAAAACTAAAAGATACATCGACTTCGCAACGACCTCTCTAATAAAAGATGTGAGATTTCACCGTGAAGAGTGTGTGATCAAGCTCTCAAACAATCAATGAAACCCTGGAAAAGGCGCAGCCCGCGCTCTGGACGTGTCCTCCGAAAAAAAAAAGCGTGTGATGGAAATTCGAATTAGGTCGTATCGGCAATGAGATGAGAACAAGGGACGCGAAAGACAGGAGATATCGTGGCGTCACATGTAAAATGGATCGGAATCATTAAATCAGAAATAAGTTGGAGATGTCACATCGAAAGAGAAAGTGGTGGACAGAAAGAAGACATTAGTAATAATGGTAGGGAAGGTTCAATTGCAGGCTAAAAAGACAGAACTGCATCAGTCAAGGTCCCATGGATCAAGCTTCCTCATGATCTGAGCATCTTCATATTCAGAAGAACTCTCACGCTCCAGCGGAAAGCTATAATCATCATCGATGAATGACTCTCTGGGTAGTGCTTGGGAGCCTGAAGGGGTATCCTCTATCGTGGAGCCGAGGGCGGGGCTGATGACGATGCGAGCAGCGACGTGCATTAGAATGATGAAAAGATGAATTGGGGGAACCAAGACAAGTGACAGGGCCTTGGTGAGGAGGGAGGATGCCTGCTCGTTGGGAGGCTGATAAAGCGCGGATTGTGCGGGCATGGGGGACACATCTCGCTGTCTGGTCGCCTGCGCTCGCCGTCGAAACTCTGTACTCATGTGACCCATGTCAGGGGTCAAGGTTAATGTTCCTTTATCATGCATAGTGGCAGCCGAGGGCGTGTACGATGCAGGGCTGTGGAGAGAGTCGTCTAGAGTGATAGAGCCGGGCATGTTCAGCGTCGTGTCTATTTGCGGGCTTTCCATAGGCTGCGAGGTAGCTCTGCCGACCTCGATCTGGGAAGCTGAATTTGATTCTTGTAGATTGTTTTCGTTCATCAAGGCTGCAGTGTTCAAGGTTTGAAAAGCGTCGTGGTCCGCACGCATCGGATCCTCGATTACTGACGATGAATCTTGCCGCGAGACATCTCCTGTGCCGTGGTGGGGAGGTGACTTCGATCCTGTCAATACAGAATCTTCAAGGCCACAGCCGGGGCCGTTGGGTGAGCCAACGCTTCCATTCAGCGCTTGGCCAGATGTTGTCACCTTTTGAGCAGTTGGTTCGGGTGATGCTCCGCTAGTCTGCAAAAGGCGGTCATCTTCAGGTCTCACAAGCAACTGGCTCTGTGTTGTGCAGTGCTCATCGCTGGAAACCGCACTCGTCGAGTCTGCGATGAGTATACTCTCGACGCGCTGGTCCTGTTCTTGGGAGATTATGGCGATCGACGGACAATGCGCCTGTTGTTCACGTGATTTTGTGTCGACGGCATCTTGTGTGATATCCCGAAGGACTTCTGGTTGAGAGGCATCGGGAGCGCTTAGATCACAGCTAGAAGGGAGTTCCCCTTCGACGGATCCGCGCACTACGGGACTTGACGTGTCTGTTAAAGACATGGCATCGATTGCCGCGCCGATACCATTTTGGATAGACAAGACTTCTGGCCTTGGAGTCGCGTCGAACTTCTCACGTAAACTTGTGAAGGTCTCTCGCTTCTCAGCTGTTGATTTGACATGTGCATTGAAGAAATCTGTATCGAGTCTTGAACCTGCGCTGTCATCCTCCATCGAAGTGACCCGGCTCTCAACTCTCGTCTTCGAGGTCGTACTGTATGCTCGCTCCGAAATCAAGCCACTATCATCGGTGGCAGCCCCATCAGTATCATCACTCGTGCTGGCAGAGTCTGGCCAGTCTAGTTTGATGTCGACTGAAGGTCTCCGAAAAGTTGGCGTAGGAACGGATAGGGTATCTTTGTTTTCCTTTGGTTTCCACGCCCTTTTGCGTCGGGGCGCTACAGCTTCCTCGGGCAACTCAACGCTGAATGCGCGCTTGAACGGACATGGCGTAACCTCATATCGGAGAACATTGGGCAGGGCAGCTTTGAGTTCCTCCACAGAAGCCTTATCCTCGGTGGTCTCGTAGGGCAGTTCGATGCGGTAGTATGTGAGAGGACGAATGCGCAGGACGAATTTCGAGACCCCATCGACACACCAGCATTGCGAGTTCCTCAATATCGCTCGAACCACATTTCCACATTTCAAGAAGACTGTCAAGCCCCGTTCGAGTATGAGAGGGGCGGTTGCGACTGTTCGCTCGGTTGCCGAGCGCCAGGGGAGGGTCTCGATCGTGTCCACGGGATAGTCAAAATCAGAGGGCGCAGAACTGGATGGGATCGGTACGAGTGCTCGAGGTGCAAAGTGAACGATTTTCGCGAAAGGGTGGTAAAATATGACGTTTTCTGAGAGATTCCCCTTGGAGCGTTGCGCATGCGGATTCAATTTCGTGGGGAGAGTGACCGCGCGGCGGATAGAGTGTACCGGACCAGAGGTATTGCTCTGAGGCTCGGGCATGATCGTGGTCAAGAACTATGACACGGACAAATAATGATAGTTCTTCACATGGGGACAGGATTACCACAATATCAACATGCTTTGTGTGAGAAGTCGCCCCGAGCCAAAGCCAGGTGACGGGGTTTGTATGCACTCCGAGTTTCTCGCAGCTTTGCGCCCGCGGGGGGACATGTGAAACCTGCCTCAGGCACCATCAGTCAGGTGATACTTATGACGCAGTGTAACAGGCTCACAGATGGAGTACATAAATGGATGCCTGTACCTGCGTTGGCCTCCACACCATTCTGCACGTCTTCAAGTCCTACCAGAAAATTTGAAGACGATGAGCTCCTTCAAGGACCCTCCTAGTACGGGGGCAACCCTGACCATGGCCAATTTTGAGCCGAATGCAGTAATCCGCGGCTTCCAGCTCACTATAGTCGGTAGTACGTTGACCAATACTGTTCCCTGTCTGAGTCTCATCCTCCACAGCGAATGTACTTTCAGGCAATCGTTGCGTCCGACCAATCGAAAGAAAGCGACCTGAGAAGCTTTCAAAGACTGGCTCAAAGATGGATCAAATACAAAATGAGGCTCCAACCCGAGGCTAACGCAATGAAATAGCTGTTCGTGCTCTGAAGAATCCCGACCTATTCAAATCCGAGCACTTCCGACAAGCAGCTCTTGCCGTGGGGGTTGGAATCATAATCCAGCTCATTATTCAGATCCCGGTATGTACAAAGATCCCATCCAAATAAATGAAACTATCTGCTTACGCACTGTTAAAGATGATCCTCCTGAAGCTAGTCATTTTCATAGCTTCATGGATCGTCGATATGGAGAACGCAACTTGGGACGTGAAACTCCTCAATGGCATGGACTTTATGTCCAAATCAGTCCTGCAGGTTCCGTTTCTTTTGATGACCTTGATGGGTTACATCACTCCGACACTGGATGAAATGTCGGTCATGTTTCCTCAACCCCCAACTCTGATGAACCAAATGCTCACCAATGATACAGCTTCATGCAATCTGTCGAGTGGGTTGACTCGACGTACATCCAGAAGCACAAGTCCGAGAACCCCGCGACTTTGCGGGCCATGTACTACCCTAGTCTGGTCATGTATCCGACCAAGGACGGCCCACTGTCATCCCGGCCCAAGTCAGAGGCTGTCATGATGTTCGCTCGACGCTATGCCAAAAGAATGGGCACGCTTCTAGGCGTCTACCTACTATCGCTCACTCCCGTCGTTGGTCGATTTGTGATGCCCGCAGCTAGTTTCTACACGTTCCGCAGTCATGTTGGTACGGCTCCTGCAGCTGTCATTTTCGGCGCTGGGCTGGTACTCCCGAAAGCGATGATTGTCAAATTCCTCCACACCTATTTCGCATCGAGAAGTCTGATGCGTGAACTTGTGAGCATATCTATTTCGCCTCCTCGAGTTTCTCCTGCAACAACTAACAACCACTTTAGCTTGAGCCATATTTCCAACGTATTAGGTTCACATCTGACCAGAAGCGCCGTTGGTTCCGTGACCGCGAAGGGGTTCTTTTCGGCTTTGCTTTTGCCTTTACCATTGTGTTAAAGACACCTTTCATTGGAGTTCTCATGTATGGTGTTGCCGAAGCGTCCACGGCCTACCTGATCACGAAAATCACCGACCCACCTCCCACTCCGACCGAGAATGCTGGCTTTGCAGAAAGCCAAGTGACGTGGAAGAATAAGCACGACTTCCTTCGCTTGTCCCTCGAAAATATTGACAAGCTCAATGTAATCACGGATCAGGAGGGCGCGAATGGTACCACAACCACCAAGAAGGACTGATTCCAGAGTGATCACATGCCAATTTTGGCATCGTGGTCATGCATCCAGATTTGGTCTGTTGACATGGCACGGCGGACGTCTGGTGTGAAGATCCAAGGACACCAGCCTTGGCTCAGAATGGCAGCACGGATTTGGCGAATAAAGGAAAGTTACAGACTAGGCACACATTGCTGGGTGTTCCTCCAACACGATCAGTCTGTTGTCTGTTCAAGTTCAAGACTGCATTCAGAAGCGGGGGTTCAGGAGCGGCGTCTGGACTGATGTTGGTTCGAGCATAGCCTGTACACTTTACGCGCGTGGATGATCCTAAAGAAAACATGTTACATAATACATACTACATACTAGTACAGCCGACATGCTATACGAGTGCATCACGTTCTAGTGGATACTGTATAGTGTACACTGCATGTTGCATGCTGCATATTCAAGTAGCATCCAGCGGTTCTTGTGACAAGCCTATCCAACCAGACATCCGCCATAATCCGACTAGATGCTTGAGTGGACCCATATGCGAAGAAGAAATGACCAAAGATAATTGAAGCGCATCGCCGAAGATAGTCGATTTTCGACTTGTCAGCGATATCAGCATCATAGATAACGCCCAATTGGGGCTGTTGGCCAACTGCGGAGAAGCGCATGGGGAGCGTCTTATCTCTGGTCCTTCCCCAAATTGACCCCGTCGGTCTTCGGGTATCCGTTCGACCCCTCACTTGTTCTCCAACTTCTATGACCCTCTTAAATCGTCGTCATTGTCGATGGGAGTACGTGTATTGAAAGCCCGTTCATCGTATAATTCAACAAAACTCTGAGCATCATGGGTGTCAAAGAGATTCGCACTGCCCTGAAAGTTGACTTGAATAAGCACGCCCGTGATCAGCCGGGTCTCCATGTATGTCACCAGAGGTTATATGTGGTCCAGCATGCGCTGTGAGAATCAGATAGCTAATTTCTGCATAGAACAGATGGCATCCTGACAGTTAGTTGTATTTCAGAATGCACACTTGCAGTTGATCCTGACCCGAAGTGCTTTCCAGTTCCCGCGTGCGGCAAGATTGCCAATGGAGAAGTGGTCAAGATTGAATGTCTAGACTGGACCGGCGGACAGATCAAGAACGACGATTCGGCCGAGGATGTCAGGACAGTTGACCTGACAGAGATTCATTATCTGTCGGGTCCCTTTGACGTTGAGACTGCTGAGCCGGGCGATGTCCTGGTGGTGGAAATCCAAGATGTGCAACCGTTCCAAGACCAGCCATGGGGATTTACTGGTGTCTTTGCGAAAGAGAACGGAGGTGGATTTTTGGATGAGATCTATCCCAAGGCGTTCGTACCACCCTTATCCATCGCAAGAGACGACTTGACCTGACTTGACCCAATACAGTGCGAAAGCAATCTGGGATTTTGAGGGTATCTTCTGTTCGAGCCGACATATCCCCGGTGTCCGGTTCGCTGGTTTGATTCATCCTGGCATTCTTGGTTGTGCTCCCTCAGCCGAGGTATTGGCTGAATGGAATCGGCGGGAGGGAGAGCTCATCGCGGCAAACACTGTCGAGGACCGAATTGTGGCCCAGCCCCCGCAGCCTCATAATGCCCACGCCGGAAATGCCACCGAGGATGTCAAGGAGAAGGTAGCAAAGGAGGGAGCCAGGACCATTCCTGTAAGTTGATGACACCTCTTGGTTTCCAGAACCTACCTACCGGCATATACTGATCGGTTGAACTTTGAAAAGGGCCGGCCTGAACATGGCGGTAATTGTGACATCAAGAACCTCTCTCGCGGGTCCAAGGTGTATCTACCGGTTCACGTCCCAGGTGCGAAATTTTCCGTTGGTGATTTGCACTTTTCTCAGGGAGATGGAGAGATATCCTTCTGTGGTGCTATCGAGATGGCCGGGGTCATCACCCTCAAATTCTCGGTGATCAAGAACGGCATGGCGAAGATGGGAATGAAGTCCCCCATCTTCTTGCCCGGTCCAGTTGAACCTCAATTTGGACCTGGGCGCTATCTCACTTTTGAAGGCTTTTCTGTGGACGAGAATGGCAAGCAGCACTACCTTGACGCTACCGTCGCCTACAGACAGACCTGCCTGCGCGTTATCGAGTACCTGAGACGGTACGGGTACTCGGACTACCAGATCTATCTGTTGCTCTCGTGTGCACCTATCCAGGGACATATTGCTGGAATTGTGGACATTCCCAACGCATGTACCACCCTCGGAGTGCCGATAGATATCTTTGACTTTGACATCAGACCAGAGGCGGAGGTTGTGAAGCGGGATCTGGGAAGCTGCGCCTTTGCTAGTGAATGAAAGCTGGAGAAAGATGAAGACTGATCGTTGCTAAATGATTTACGAATTTGAGTGACAGACCCAGTATTTCCCTTGAACGCATGGATCTGTATCCGTTCCCTCTGTCTGTCTCTCATTGGAAGCAAGTCCATTCATCGTCCTTGATATCTTGCAAATTCATGACTTCATGCCGACCTCCGTGCCGATTTTGCGTAGCGTACCAATCCCGATTGATAGCCAACTGGGGTCGCCAGCGGATCACATCGCGGACTTCATCCTGCAGCTTCCCTTCCAATGCGTCCACGATAAATCCCCCGATCGAGGGCATCTGCATGGCTCCATTTCCTGATCCTCCAACAGCTACCACGAGCGAAGTATAGTCTGGATGCCGGTCAATCAAAAATCTCCGGTCGACAGTATCCGCATCCCAGCAGATTCTTGCGAACGAGAGAGGCCTATCCGCCAGATGAGGCATGGTATCCTGCAAAAAGCGTCTCGCGCGTGCCTCTGCCTCCAAGGGAATCTGTTCCTTGGCAAAGGGCTTGCTCCTCTCTTCGCCCGGTCGCTGCCAGTCTGCCACAAAGTTGCAGTATCCCGGATGCTCATCGCAGATCTTGAGCTCATGCTTATCTTCATCAGGTTCGATGAAGAAGCCCATTCCAGGATTATACAGCACCGGGAGATTACGATATCTTCGTGCCTCCTCCGGAGTTAACTTAATATGAGAGATCGTCCACGCCGTCGGTCGAAGCTGTTTCTCAAAGTCCAGAAGCTGGTCAGACCCAGCACCGGCTGCGAGTATAGTATGATCGGCCAAGTGCAGTTTTCCATCCGCAGTCTTGGCTCCCTTCACGTCCCCGTCCTGATAGACGAGCTCGATGACATGACCCTGAGGGCTGCCTGTGATGAAGTTGACGCCGAGTCTTTGGGCCTCTGTGGCCGCCGAGATAATACCTTTGCGGGCATGGATCCAGCCTGCGTCTTTGTAGCTTACCCAACCCCGCCATCCGGGAAATTCTCCCGTCAGCACACCCGAGAGCATCGTGCTGCGAAACTCCGAAGGAGTCTGCAGATTTTGGAAGTCGGCTTGCATTGGGTCGATCTCTTCCTTCTTGAGATATGCAATCAGGCCCGGGTCGCTCGCCGCCAGAATGAATCCGGTTTCATGGAAATAAGGGGTGAAGACGGGATCGGTCTTCCATCCTTTCAGAGCTGCCCGACTGAACGTCGCGACAGCAATCGCTTTGGCATCTTGGTAGTTTTCTATCGTGGTATAGTGTGATCAATACCGAGTCCCAGAATGGAAACAGGTATACACTAGACGGTGACCAGTGAAAATGCGGCTCATACCTTTAAACTCTTTATGCTCCATGATTTTGTTGACATCATTGCCAGCTGCAATGGGCGAGGGTACGACAAAAGGATCCAGGACACGAACCTCTCGATACCCTCTGCGGGCTAGATGAAGGGCCGTTGAGCAGCCCCATGTTCCTGCACCAACGATCAAAATGGATGAGTCGTGGTCGAGTGTTGGGTTTGTCATATTCGCCGCCGAGTCGGGTTGATACAGACAACGTGAGAGACGGGGCCAGGGAGAGGAATCAACACAGAATTTGAAGCTGGTCGCGTGACAGGAAGAGGACACTTGATCAACTCAGCTGCGTATCTGATAACAGATCCCCTCTCTTCTATTCGGAATCAGGCCCTGATCAGGCGAATTTATACTTTGTGCAGGTGGTTTAAAGTACGCACAGGTAGTCGGGTCTAGCAGTAGTTCGGAAGTACTACTAAGATTAGTTAGTAGTGGACTCGAAACAATCACCGCCAGTCACATTTACACCTACAAGTTGGATCAGGAGCAGATCGAGAAGTCGAGAAGCGGCTTCGATTGAGTGTCTATGCATGCATTACTCCAGCAGGTCTGTTGCCTGGATAACTCATCAACGGATGCAATTGTTAGCCTACTTTGAGATGATAGAGGGTCAGTCCGTATCGCGTGGACTTTCCTGCTCCTCTTGCCCCAGACTAGGAGACTAACGTGGAGACGACGGAGTTGATGTGCAAGTCTCTATCCTGCTGTCTTTGGTAGGTACCGGTAGTTCACTAGTCCGTAGTTAGTACTAGGCGTGTGGTCTATTGACGAAAAGGGAGTAAGTGTGCATACTGCATACTGCAAAATGCATCCGCTCGAAAGTAGATTTTTTAATTCGCGACACTTGCTGTATTGTAATGTGGTGGGTCTAAAGTCTAAAGTCTAAAGTCTAGAGGATTGTGATGACGTTATCACGTCGTGTCACTATTGACTGCTACCGGTTGAATGAACTACAGTATATGCAGCAGGAGATCTGTAAGCTTCAGCTAATCTGGAAACTTCGGTAAACCCACCTGCAATTGTAATATTAAATTGATCTTAGCGTCAATGAGCAATAGCAGTCTCAGTACAATGTTTTCTTGTTATGCTCGTCGTCACTCTCTCAGTACTGAACGAAGTATCGATTAGGTAAATCACTGCCAGTTAGCTACACAAGTCATTACGACCTGAAGCATGGACCCTTCGGTCGGCTCATCAAATTTACGACCCGAGACGTACTGGCATCCTTCTAAAGGTGATTCAATATGTCAACCTGACCTGTCCCGTCTGCAAGCTTAGGTTTGAGGTCAGAGGCATGCACTGCTAAACCCTCTGGCATTATGAGAGCCCTCTCGTACCTAACGGCCCGCCTCGAAGACAAAGAGGGAACAAACTGAGGAATTGAAAGGTGCATGAATCAAAAGGATTCGCTATGATTTTCAACTATGGCGTAGTATTTAATTGAAGCAATGCGCGCAGAGTCACCCCGTGAATCATTAGATGTAAGCTCGCTAAGAGAAGAACTTACGCGCAGCAGCCTTGTCCTTCGCGTCACGCTCTTTCAGCGCCTTCTTGACCTTCGCAATCTCGTTGGTAATGCCAGCATCGGTGGGTGCGAGCTGGGAGGCCTGCTGCAGATCCTTCAAAGCCTCGTCTTCCTCTTTGAGTCCCTCGTAGGCGAGCGCACGGCGGAAGTAGACCTTGGCAAGATCAGCATCCTTTGCCTTGGCGGCCTGAGCAGCCTCGAGAGCAAAGGAGGCCCAGCGCTGGGCTTGTCGGTACTGCTGCAGCTTGTTTGCCAGCAATGAAGAGTTTGAGTGCAAGGTGAAACGGAGGGCCTTCATTTGCTCGTCCAACTCCTTGGGATCAGACTCGGCTGGCTCGGGCACCTCGTTGAGGTATCGCAGGCCCTTCTGGTACTTCTCCAAGCCCAGGTTCAGCTCACCCTTCTTGAAAGCCGTGTTACCGAAGCCCTTGAGCTCGGTGGCAATCTTCAGAACAGCGGTCGCCGTCAATTCTTCACCCTGGTGGTCCTCGGGGAAATCCTCGTAAGGGTCGCCCGTGGAATCCTGAGCACGCTTGTCGGCATTGTCGTACTCCTCGCCGGTCAGCTCACCACAGTCTACCACCGTCACATCCACTTTTGGCTTGTCGGACTGAGTGGGCATGTTCTCGATCTTGCGGATAATGCTCTTGCCATTGAGCACCTCTCCGAAAACAACGTGCTTGCCATCCAGATGGGGGGTGGAGACAGTGGTCACAAAGAATTGGCTGCCGTTGGTCCCGGGGCCCGAGTTGGCCATGGAAAGGAGGAAAGGGCGTTCGTGCTTGAGGTCGAAGTTCTCGTCGTCGAACTTCTCGCCGTAGATGGACTCGCCGCCGGTACCGTTGAACGCGGTGAAGTCACCTCCTTGGATCATGAACTGCTTGATCACGCGGTGGAAGATCGAGCCTATAAAAAAAGTTTGTTAGAAAAAGGTCTTGAACTCACTTATTTGGTCCTCTCAAAATCATCCAATTGTCACATACCTTTGTAAGTCAGCGGCTTTCCTTGCTTGCCAACACCCTTTTCACCGGTGCAGAGAGCGCGGAAATTCTCGGCGGTCTTGGGGACAACTATTGCCGGTCAAGCGAGTCAGTTGAGGCACCTGTGGATCGCGGTCATCGTTCTTGAGGAGATTCTCGTTGCGTACCATCGCTGAACTACACAATGACAGTCAGTTTCGGGTCATGTTGGTCTGAACCTTTACGGAATTTGAGATCACTCACAAGCTCGAAATTGACTCGGCCAACCTTCTGATCGCCAATTTGAATGTCGAAAAAGACGCGCGGGCGCTCTATTCACTGCACTTAGTCGCTGTAAAATCTCACTCGTGGTTGCGCGGGGCTAGAGCAACTGGACCCCGCACTGGAACTGGCTGAGGACGTACTGGTTTCGGCCATGGTGGTGTTGATTCTGGAGAGAGAGGTGCGCAAGTGAGGTGAACTACGCAAGTGAGGTAGACGAATGGGTCAAATAGGCCTCTTAAAATGAGAAGCAAGGTAGGTGGACGAGGGAAAAGAAGGTGCCGGAAGAAAGCCAAGGTTGGGGTGGGGGATCTCTCGGCGGTCCTGCGGATGATGGCTCTTCACGAAGCTTCCATGCTTAGCCCTAAAAATATGCGCCGAGGAGGATTACCCGCTTCAGAAGATAATCAGTTAGCATGGAAATAGATCATGACTTTGTAAAATCGAACGCCATTTACGGGGTATAGTAATGACTATGTACAAAAACGCCCCTTTTGCCAGTGTATGTGCTCTCTCTTTCTCATGCTAATAACTCCGGGGGTATCGTAAATTCAAACGTGCGCCCTGTCTCTGCGTCATCGTCGCCGTCCTTTGACTTGCCCTTCTTGCCATTTTGATCCTGCTTGGGCTCTTTGGGCTCCTTCTTCGGGAGATTAGTATCGATCTCAATTGTCACCTGAAGGAATAGAGAATTTGTGCATCAGTCAAAAGTTCGGCAGCGGCGCAAAGGTGTTAAGCCAGACAGGCATTATGTACCGCCGCATCTTCACTGCGGTAGTTCACACCCACCGGCCCGTCATTTTTCAATTCCACGTCCATCATGGCTTGAAAAACGCCATTCTTCACTCGATCTGGGACATAGGTCACCTTCATCTTGTTGTAGAAGTAGTCGTAGAGCTTTCGCGCTGTGGTCGCATCGGCCGCTTCGTGAAAGTCCGGCTTGTTGCCTTTCTTCATCTTGCCGAAAAGAGTAAATTGCGACACTATTCGAAAGTTGTCAGCGATCCCGTAAATAGCTTCACGACCTGTGATGACAGAGCAATCATACCACAAAGGACTTCTCCCTCGATATCTTGGACATTTTTCTTCCACTGGATGAATACGTCAGCGCAAAGCGTCGAGTGCCGATTTGACGGAACTCGCTCGGTGCATATCCATACCTGCGCGCCATTCTCATCAGGCCAGAACTTGGCTTTCAGCACCTTGTTCACCAGAGTTTCAGCTTCCTTCTCAGTATCATCTTTGCCAACACCGGCAAAGACCAGTAGACCCTTGCCAATGGATGAAATTAGTTCGGAGTCAACGGTGACCGACGCAGATTTCACTCTTTGAATGACGACTAGGAATATCTTAGCAAAGACATCTCGCTAGCAGCATTTCGATCAACGGGACACGAACGTTTCATGGTGTTGGTAGAATGCGACGCTGAAGGGTCTCTGGCGCACCAGGAAGGATCAGTCACGGGGAAACCCCACAGAAAGCACAATCTCCCGGGCGAACCATCGACATACCAACCTTGAACGGTTCTCCGCACTCCCAAACCACCTCTCCAAAGCCAACTGAACGCAATTGGCAGACAATTATCAGCGTCGGCGGGTATTGTATCGGAGAAAGCGCTGCTAGACTGTAGTCTCCGCGTAACCTGAGGTTCAGGTTAAGTTGGCGTGCACACGCCTTGGTCAGACCCCAACGGCCGCAACCTTACCTTTGCGAAGGTCGAGGACTCCACCGCCTTCCGCATCTGGGCTTCTAGAGGCTTTCCACTTGGAAGGACGACGAGAAGACCAAATTGCAGCAATCTCGCCATTTTAAGGTGTTTCACTCACCGTGACCTCACCATTCCACCACGCGAACCTTACGCTACCTCTGTGACTAGAAGAGTCACCCGCACTCCGCACCGACGGCACGAGTCGCACGACCTCGTTCCCCACTACCAACGCACGCACACTCGAGACGATCCAGTGACGGCACACTCCACCTGCTAGATCGCTCAATCTCACAGCCACCATGACGTCTCGAAAAACGCAACAAGAGATTGACAAGACCTTCAAGAAGGTCGCCGAGGGGATCCAGACTTTCGAAAGCATCTACGAGAAAGTCAAGGCAGCGACGAATCCTACGCAACGCGACAAGCTCGAAGAGAATCTGAAGCGCGAGATCAAGAAGCTGCAAAGGTTCCGTGATCAGATCAAGTCATGGGCCGCCGGAAATGAAGTCAAAGACAAGGGTCCGCTCCTTGAGCAGCGGAAAAACATCGAAACTGTGGGTGTTGACTTGCCTATCTGCGAATGGGATTGAAAGCTGTGCATACAAGCTAACGTGCCACGGAATAGTGCATGGAACAGTTCAAGGCCGTGGAGAAGGAGATGAAGACAAAAGCATACTCCAAAGAGGGTCTCTCGGCTGCGTCACGGCTTGATCCCAAGGAAAAAGAGAAGGCTGAAGCATGCGAGTTCCTCACTTCCATGGTCGACGAGTTGCAATTACGAATTGAAGCAATGGAGGCCGAGGAGGAGACATTACAGGCGCAGATGAAGAAGGGCAAGAAGGATGCCAACAAGGTCAATCGAATGGCCGATATTTCCCGGATCACGGAACGCCATAAGTGGCACGTCAACAAGCTCGAATTTCTCAATCGGTCGTTATTAAATGGCAACTTGGAAGCGAGTCAAGTCCAGGACCTCAAGGAAAGCATAAAGTATTATGTTGACGAGGGGCATAATCCCGACTACTCGGGAGAGGACGAAACGCTTTACGACGATTTGGACATTGGGGAAGATGTCGAAGCTCAGTTCGGCATGGGTGCAGACAACGATCGTGGTTCGTCCCATGACGCCCAGTCAGTTCCAGATGATGAGCCGGAAATGAAGTCGAAGTCCACAAAGGTCGATGCAACTTCACATCGACGGCCCTCGACGCAAATGAAGTCGCCACTTCCAGTCCTTGCAACTCTACATTCATCCACTTCGTCTAGTGCCACTCCGGGCATGAAACCCGCTCCATTGCCAACTCGACTACCGGGAGAGACACTCAAGTACGCTTCGGCTGCCGCGGCGGCAGCTGCCAGCGACAAAAGTGGAGTGGGCATTCTGCCCTTGCCTCCACCACCAGGTGCCAGCCCGGCCTTTTCGCATGTCCTACCTGTCTCAAAATCGTCTTCGGTTGCATCGCCTGTGGTGTCGTCAGTACAACCAGCGTTTCGACCAGCCACAACAATCGCCCCAGCGGCCGCTCCGACGATCTCTGCGACCTCCTCTGAAGAGGCTGTACCCTTGGCTGCGCGATCGAGGCCCACTCCTACTTCAGCGGTGTCCGGCACCTCATCGCCTGCGCCTACTTCAACGCCCAAGGTCGACTCTGCAAAAGAAAAGCCTACGACGAATGGCCGGACAACACCAAAGGAGACAGTCGATCAGGACGAATCCATCTATCATCTCCCCCCGGGGCTGCAAGACCTCATCCAGTCCTTCGAGGCGACCAAGAAACGCGCCACGGCCAACCCCACCCCTGCAGTGCAACGTCTCCTTGCAACTGCGCTCACGACGTGCCCTGAACCTGGTGATGCAGAGAAGCCCCGTCACTACAAGCCTCAGAACCCTTACAATACCCCTCTGTATTATCCACAAGAGCCTCTTTCCATTTTCGATGACCCCCGTCTGTACGATACAGGTCGGATCGACACAGATACACTCTTCTATCTTTTCTACTACCGCCAGGGCTCATACCAGCAGTACCTCGCCGCGAAGGCATTGAAGAACCAAAGTTGGCGCTTCCATAAGCAATATCAAACATGGTTTCAGCGCCACGAGGAGCCAAAGAACATCACGGAAGAATTCGAGCAGGGAACGTACCGCTTCTTTGATTACGAGAGTACCTGGTCAGTCTCGCAAACCCCCCCCCTACCCGCACTAAATCGTTGTCACTACCCCAATCCAGCGCTGACCTTTGTTTGCCCCGCCAGGATGAATCGTCGCAAGGCTGATTTCAAGTTTGTGTACAAATATCTCGAGGATGAATTATGATTCGATTGTTTCGCTCGCAGGCGCTCTCTATCGATCTTCCGCATTTCCTTATCCAAGCGCGGTCGGATCCTGTCAGCTCACAATTAACTCACCGCTTATCGGATGACCGACCTGTCTTCTCGATACTATGCGTTTTTTTTTTCCTTCCTTTCTTTTTTACAATCCTGCTCTCCGGTGCATTATGATTTGCCGTCCTATTCATGTACCTCCTGGCACTTTGTTCAAGGGATGGCAGAGACAGAGGGGACGGGAGAGATAGATGGTAAACGGGCAGGCAGGACATACGGCCACTCCAGATTGGACATGTCCATAGAGGCGACATTCTTGATCTGGGTTAGGCGTTAGTGACTTGGTGTTTCCACTTGGGTGTTCTTGTTTCGGTGGCTTTCCATGGCTGCCGTTGTCTTGAGTTTCTGTTGGTTTACTCTCCTCCGTCCGGGTGCATGTCTGGAGGAGCGGGAGACAACGAATTTGACAACCATGAATGGGTTAGATGGATTCCTGCGAAATACGTAGGGTGACTGTACCTTTGCTGGATAGACCCTGCGCGATGTATGCATGCGGCTCCGTATCTTGTGGCGTGCTTGATTGGGTAGACTCGTCCGTTTTACCGGAGATATTCGTCGTACTTTGGTCGGGCGGGATGTGCCATTCACTTGGTCGTGCGCCATTAGTCTGCTAGAAGCGTGTTTCGAGTCAACGCCACTCGAGGCGAAGCCACACCGATCATTCAGCTCCTGGGTGTGAACTGGTCTCTGGACTCAAACGCCCGAGCGACTCATCCTGTCAACAGAGTGTATAGAACCCCGGAGCCAGTGACCCGGTACCACACGGTGGCTACGGTACAATTCAGCAACACGGAGAGATCTACCTTCTCCGGGCCAACAACGCAGCCATCCACCCAACCAGCATCAACCACGAGGTGATCCGCTTCAGTCTAGAGTTCCCGAGTGGAAGCAGATGCTCATGCATGTGACCCCTGACAAGTCAGCCTTATCCCTTCATGCAGACCGTATCTGCAATCACCGACCTCCGTCACGGAGTCGGGTGTGGCAGTGTTGTATGGAGTATGGACTATGAAGGAGGAGAGTAGGGTCTTGGGGCTATTGCTGTTCATCTGTTCTTTGCTTTTTCCCCCTATCGTCACACCTGGGTTCTGGACCAGTGCACTGAACTTTCTGCGGGCGGTGATACAGATGGGATTGAGGACTGATGGCTTGGGATTTGTTTCCCCCTCGTGCTCTGACTTTGCGTCAACTGAGTGGTGCATGGCATGTGCATGGATTACTCGGTGGTCGAGTAGATCTCTCCGGGGATTTGCTTTACTGCGCTTTGATCCTCGCAAACGGGCACCGTCAGGCCGGGGGGGCACTGAAACAGTGGAAACTGGGGTAGTACAACTACACTGTACAGCATACATAAACTCGGTACCTGATCAAGCATGTGCGACCTGAAATGGATTTTCATTCAAACCCAATCAGCCCGGCCAAGCCAATGGTGCTAGGTTCCTGAATATATCGGGGAATATGCATAGCCCTGCTGAGTCCATGCAATGGATGGGTTTGCAAAGGTCACCCGCACATCAAGACCTCCAACCCTCGATAACATACTGGTGGGAAGTATGTCATTGTCCGATGGGTAGAGATAGTCGTCGCGATACCTTACGTAGAAATCTCTATTATCTTTCCTTTTTTTTCTCCTTTGGAAAATCCCAATATGACCGCTTAGTCGAGTACATTGGATGAAGTCCACGGTCTATATCGAAAAAGTCACGGGTGACTCCAGAGCCGGTGGCGATGAACAGTCTCGTGCCTGATCAATCTTGATCGAATATAGAAATTCATTCACAATCATAACTGGACGGATAGATACAACCCAAGCTGGGGCTAGGACTGGATCGAGCCCTGTATGTGCAAATGCACATGGACCCGTTACCAAGTCCGATACTACATACATGAGTCTATCGAGGTACGCGGATCAGCAGTTCTCCGGCTCCAGACAGGGACTGTGGAGAAAACGCAGACATCAAAAAGCGCTTGTGTATGAGTCGATCAACACATGTCCGTGCCCGACAGATGGTATGGCCCGTCGTCGTGCCATAGACATTGGTCATGAACGAAAGTGTCTACTAGGGTCTTGATATCCCACTTCGGTACAAGTAGGCGCTGGGTACGTGTAGAAAGTACCAGGAATATTGCCCCGGTGGGTAGCTTTGTCCATATTCACCTTTGCGGAGGGCTGAGACAGCGCTAAAAATTTTGGATGGATTCATTGAGGTTTGTCTTTGTATGACTTGGGAAGTTTCGTGGCCATTTGTTCAAGGTCGGATCCAGTCTCGTAGGTATATCCGGGCAGGTTGCAGGAGGCGGAATTCAGGGCAGGTCAAGAAGTATACGTACCTTAGGTAACTACATAATAAGTCACTCACAATTGAAGATTACTCCATATCTCAGAGCCCGGCTTTCAGTACAAAGTTGGAACAGATGCTATGGAAATCGAGTCTCCTACATAAGTACCACTCTTACCAGTCTGCTATCGTGGCCTTGCATTGACTCTTGTCCAGGGACACGGACATTCCAGGACCAACCCCGTACGCAGCGCGCATGACCACTGCAGACTTGGCGGTACTGCGGTAAATCTGGGGTTGCGGGATTTATCAGTCTGGATTACTGTATTTTCTTTTTATGCCTCATGTATCTTTGTTTCAACCTTCTCGTGGGCTGTGTGTATTGAGTACTCCCTTCCCGATGCGACTGGGATTCGCGAAGAAGCGAAGAATGAGTCTAACGCCGAGGCGGGCGGGGGAGATTATGCAGCCCAAACGCAGACGCATAAAGGCTTCAATGCAGATCATATCCGCAGGGGTTCTGTGTAGAACAACAAGTCATTGGTCTGTCGGGTCACTTCAGTCGACCTTGGTGGCAAAGGCAAGTACAGTAGGACGTAGGTAGGTTCAAGATTGGGGCGTTGACGAATGAGCGTGTTGAATCTGCAGTCTAGATGCATCGACATCAACATGACCATCATGGCTCTGGTCTTAGGACTTGGGGTAAAAGAGGTGCATCAATAGACATGATACACGGGCTGGAAGGCAACTAATTTGCATACATCATTGAGCGACATCCATGATAGCGGGCAGGAACGAAGCCACAATGGAAAGGGCTCTGGTCTCCTCGAGTATAATGGACGCTGACATTGGCCTAACTGACAGAGCCAACCGACACTCTAGTCTACAGTACATCATCTCGGTCGATCGGCATACACTGGACCTATTGTAGATACATCTGTACCCCGGACTGGGATTGTCTTTTCTCTAACAGGAGGTTAGGACAATGACATTCTCTTGAATGTCATTGGATGTGAAAACTGTTATACTATTGCGCGCGTTGGACCACGGAAAGATCGGAACAGGACACGGTCGGAAGTTGGAACAACTCTGAACCTATGTACAGTTTGTACACAGGGTACTCAGTACTGTGACTCCGCTTGAACCAATCTGCTCGATCAATCAATCGCATAACTCATTGTGAGTGGCCAATGAATGAGTCTCTTAGCACGAAACCAGGCCTCGCACAGCGACAGCCGCAAACACATCGTATATAGATGGAACCAATGACCAAAACCCCCTCTAAACAGATACGTCTATTTGTCATGCACAAGGTGTCGTAAATTGATTAGCTCTACGATAAGTGTGCTTATTATATCATCAACGGGGCGATCCCACCGAACCCCGGAGAGAAGAACGGGTGTCAAGACGGTCGCTCTGGCGCCCGGGAGATCACCAATCGCCATCGGCAAAAACTGGGTCACTCGATCCCGCGCAAGTGAGCAAGTGTAAAAAAGGCAGGGCGGCAGAGGGAAAAAAATGGAGTACTGCTAATAGCTAGGAGCTACTAGCTAGTGCTGGGTCATTTATGATTGTTCGGTAACAGGGTGCCGGATGGAGTCCGGTTGAGACGGGACGGGAGAGAGTTGTGAAAATAGAGTCATCATAATCATGATAACAATCGAGTCCATCGCCTGTGTGCGACCCGTATGATCCAAGAAAAAAAATAAAAGAAATCATCGACGAGACGAGAGCCCCACAGGCCCCCTAAGGATGTCGTCATCGCACTTGGCGGGTCTTGAAGACGAGGCTATCCAACCTGTCCCCTTTCATTTGGCATCCCGTCAGAAGTGATGTTCCTGTTTTTTTTTTTGCGTGAGACTCAAGTCGAGTTTGAAGTGAAGAGTGGTTCAAGATGTAGGCAGCCCATTTCTGGGTGAGGCAGACCTCATTTCGTTGAAGAAGAAGCAGGACCAGTTTCCAAAAAAGAGACCGGTCTCATTCGTGCATCGTCGAGCAGAGATCTTGAAACGCCGAGGGAGAAGTGTGGCTGAGGTGTTGAGAAGCGGAAGTGGAGTGAGGACTGAGGACTGAGGACTGACATCAGTCATGGCCGATGCATTAGTACGAGACAAGGGGTAATGCAAATTGGACAGATCACCTGTTTGCTCGTGACCGTCTTGAGTGATTTTTTTTTGGGTTCGTTTTCGCGGAGATACAAGCTAGTGGTGAGCACAAGGCACATCATGGAACGCTATTGGCTTGTCGATGAAGATCAACAAATCATGCGAACAGAGGCCCGGTGAGGCTGAGAGAAGGGTAGGAAAGGGAAAAGGGGGGGCAAAGATAGGAACTCGAGGCCCAAACGCTTCCTTCGCGGTATTCTTCCCCATCACGCTAGAAGGCTTCCAGAAGGACTTCTGCCGCTAGAACCCCGACCGATCACCACCGCCAAGCAAGAGGGAGTGTCCACAGGCAACGGGGTGGTCATTGGCCAGGCACCGGGATCCAGAAGTGGGAACTGGGCTGGGGGAAACAGGTAGCGGGTCCGGTAAAACGTGCTAGACTCCTTAGAGATTAGTCCCGCTTCCAGGCGAGCTCGTAGTCATGAGGCCCGAGGAGCGGTGGAGTCGACGACTCGACGTGCGCTCGAGTACCAGTACAAAAGTCCGTGAGAACCAGTAGAGGCGATAGTGTTTGTCCAAGAGAGGGAAATATTGCATGAGAACTCCGATCACTACTATAACCGGATATTGCATGTACTGTGCACTGTCACACTGTGCCACTGGTGCAGTGTGTAGCGTGTACACTGTACGCCGTACGAGTGTACATAGCACATAATGCAATCTGAATTCGCGGGGTAATCGCGCGTCTGACCGTGGAACCAAATGCTGCTGCCGAGTTCTCGACAACGTCTATCGCTGCGGGATTGGCGGAACCGTCACACCAGGCTCTATCATGGAAGCTTCGAAGATCGGTACCATACTGTGTGCCATGGCATAGTACCACTCTTTATGTGCTATGGATGATGGGCTCTTCCAAATACATCCTGTAACTCGAGAGTACTGCAGGAGTAGCGTAGTGTGTGTGTGTGTCTTTCTGCATCGAAGAGCAGTAGGTCACTCGACGAGTCGACGGTGAGTGGTTAGCCATACAAATTACACCGTGACTGGCCTACAAGGGGACATGGTTTGCTCGTGTTGTGTCCGCTCGACTTTGGATGGCCGGCATCACGGTGAGCGGTGACTGGTCAAGCCTTTGCATTAGCTTGGATTAACCTGCATGGGGGCCATCCTGGGTTCTGCTAGTGGTCTTTCCTCTCCCCCCGAGCCCCTTTCTCTTCTCATGTATCGATCCCGCTCCCTTGGCATTTCCTCGTTGTTCCCCGTCTCAGGACCTGCTTCTATCGCAGCATGAGCCTGGGACGTCCGAGAAGAGGTCATGGGCACCGTTCCCGACGTGGAGTTTTGTTTTTTTCGTGAGCCGTGTCGATGACGCTCATCCGACCCGTGCAGTGGGGGCTCTGGACAGGGCTGTGGATCGTAAGAGTTCGGAGCCTGAGCACCCACTTCTTCCCACAGGAGGCCTGAGAGCCTTCCTGAGCAGTGCATGAGAAGGGATCGGGATCGCGAGGCTGAGACCATGAAAACCAGGTTGAAAAAAAAAAAAGAGGAAAAGAACAGAAAAGCGGGGTCCACTGGATGAGAAGGACGCCAAAACACGCTAACTCACGCTAGCGCCGCGCTAGAAGCCTTCCAGAAGGCGCAGGGAGAGGGGAAGGAGGAAAATCGTGTGAAAAAAAAATTCCAAGAAAACCCCAGAAACAGGACCAAGTCACCAACACACGGCACAGTCACACCATTGTTGTTGTGGTCATGGATGTATCATTACACCATTCAGCAGTTGCTCATTTCGTCCTTTGCAGCAGTGGAGTCAGACCAGACCGCTAATCATCCACGAGTAAAAGACCCACGTCTCGGCCGGCCACTGGTCGCGCAACCTTTGCTGGAGGTGACAGAGAGGCCTGACCCGTGGCCGAGTAAAAGTTCCTCCCGCAGAACAACGGGCGATCCGCCTCTCCAGTGACGCTCACGAGCGGGGCGAGGTGCAAAGAACTCAACTATAGTAAGCAACGGGCCAGTCGCAGCACGCAGAGGCCATAGAACTCGAAGACAATTTGGACCATCCACATCGGCACTGTGAAAGCGAGCTCCAAGCCCGGGTCGTTGGGTTCGGCCCAGGTGGTCAAGCGACCTGGTGGTCACTGGGTCTACGGGTTTTTGTTGCCCAAGAGCAAGGATCACGACAAGCTCATCGAGGTCAGCGTCTCAGTGCTAGGCTTTTAGGGAGATCGCTTCGAGGCTCAGCCAAGACCCAACTCGACGGGGAAGACGGGAATAGGGTCGTGGGCAAGCATGGTCCCCATCGAGCCGCAGCCCTCTTGACGAGATGGAACTGAACTCTCGGGTTATCTGGGGGTTGCTGAAGAGACTCGAGTCCCACCACGGCATATTCACCCATCAAGGTCCTGATCATTCCTGGTACATACCCAAAAAATGGTTCTCGGGTTGACCCCGCCGACTGTCGAGCCAGATCACCAACTCGTCAGGATGATAATCTTATTCTGCGCGGACGAGAATCATTGTTGATTTTCCGCTTTGTCACATTTCGGGAGATCCTTGACTCGATCGACCCACTTGGCGACCTGGATGGCCAAACCCCCTCTCAGCACGAAGCACCGGCCCTCGCAGCTTTTCCCACTTTGCAGAGCGTCATCCACAGATTCGCACCAGCGTCTCATGATGGTAGGTCAATCTTGGTTCCATGCTAGTCCTTTCCGGTCACTAGCGGCCTTCTCCCGCTTTTCTAGAAAACTTGTCTGATCGTCCCGGCGCTTTTTAAAACTAGGCTTTTCCCTCCTCTTTCGGATTTCGTTCCGCTATCAACTTCTACCGCTTCATCTGTTAAATCGACTCCAGACTTTAATCTGCTCTTTACCTTGTGGTCTGGTCTTGCCTTTGACCTCTCTTATTCGAACTTTCTTCACGACATCTGCCTCCTCTATTACCATTGATCGTCAACAAACCTACCTGGTCACAAATATGCAGTCTCCGTTCCACTACTCCTCCTATGCGTCTTCCCCGGGCGAGATGGATTTCTACTATGGACCCACTCAGCCGATCTATGACCAACCCTTTGGCGATCTCGACACCACCACGTCCTTTGCCATTCCCGAGTTCATGAACGGCACTCCCAATTCCTTCACCAGCGCACCCTACACGTTCTCTTCTGGATTTGAGATCGCTCCTGGTTATGAGACTCCGATGGCCACCAGTGGCCCCGGTTCAGACAGCAGCGCTTGCGGTAGTGTCTACGGTGGCTCCAACTGGAACCCCACTGCCGAGGAGCTGCTGCCTATGCCTAGCTACCCTCTGCTCTCCGATGACTCGGGTCCCGATTCTCCACCTTCGCAGAACAAGTCAGTATCCCGTTCTCCACTCGCGAACCTCATCCAGATTGATTCAATCCTGGCTCAATTGCACCGAAACAAAAACCATAACCCGCAGAGACTAACATGTCTTTTTATCTTCTTCATAGGCCTACCAAGCCCTTTGGTTGCGACCACTGCGGCAAATCCTTCACTCGCTTCGCAGACCTCAAGCGACACTCCACCAGTGTGCACTACCCTGTCTTCCGGGACTGCCCTGTTGAGCACTGCTCCCGCAAGGGCAGCAATGGCTTTCCCCGCCAGGACCATCTGAAGGAGCACTTGCGCTCGTACCACCACCTGGATGTTCCCAAGCGCCGAGCTGTGAAGCGCTCAGCCAAGACGGCGGAGCTATAGGACAGGGGTCCCCTGTCCTCAATGTCACGGTTTACTTTTGCACCATTCTGGTCTTTTCCCGCGCCTCATTGCCCGGTGTGACCTCTGATCGATGTGATGAATTTACGAGATATCCCCCATGTCGCCTCTGTGTCTCCTTTGTCTTTATTTTTTTTTTCGTTCTGTCTGAATGCGACAACCCCTGCGTTTTTCCGTCGATCCCCCTAATGACTTTACGGTCTTCACATTGGCTTCGATTCTCCGGCCGGTTATACAGCCGAGCGCATTTGCATTGGAGTTGTTTTGCTTGCTTCCTTCCCTCTACTCTAATAGATTGCGATGTGCATTTTTCGCGTGTCATAGAAGGTTCTTGGATTTTTTTTTGTATGTTTTCATTTCCTTTCTTGTTTATTACTACTATCTTAGTCTTATTCATTTTATTTTTTCTTCATCTTGAACTGCCATTTTCTCCCTTGCGATCTCTACAAGTGTGTCGCATGTCATCTCATCGTCAGAAATGATATTCAATAGATGCCTGACTCGATGATAGACAGCGGCTGCCCCCCGGGACGCGAGTGGGATCACAGGGCTCCTGAGCACGGGGCTTGTGAGAGGTCTTCAATTGATGTGAAGTCCATATTGTCTACAGGCAAAGTAAAAAGCCAGACAATAAAGTTGGGAAACCTTGACAATCATGATTCCAATCCGCTCCCCCCCCCCCCGACCAAAACACTCACTCGATGGACTTCATACATTCCACCAGACCCCTACGATTCTCACCTACCAACTCCCGTCACCACTCAAACCATTCAATTGCCCTTCAAGCTCCCTGGGCTTGGAAAATCCCGAAAGTCCCCAAAACACACCCCCATCACCTTCCCATCCGCATCGAACACCACCCCTTCCCCCTCCAACCTCACCCTCTTCTCATCCTGGAACCCCCCGCCTGCAATATGCTTACTCACGCGCCACTCCCCCTTGTACCCGCCCAGCGAGCCATTCGCCGCCAGCACGCGATGACAGGGGACCTCGGGCGCGAACGGATTACTGCGCATCGCGTTGCCGACGGCGCGCGCGCTGGAGCCGAGGTAGGTTGCTAGGGCGGAGTATGTGGTCCATCGGCCCGGGGGGACGGAGAGGAGGACGCGGTAGACGCGGCGGCGGTAGGGGGTGAGGGTTGGATGGAGGGATATGCGGCGGAGTTGTTTTTGGAGGGTCGGGGTGGTGGGCATGGGTTGCTTTGGTGCTGGTGGTGAGGGTGAGGGTGAGGGTGAAGGTGAAGATTTGTGGGGTGTAGTGGGAAGCTGAAGGTGGATAGGGTCCATGGTGCTGGGATTGTCATGAGAGATTTGAGTTGGGAGGAGAGTTGGCTTGGTGGACAGTGGAGGAGAGCCTGAAGAAGTAAGTGGCTTTTTGTTCGAGTCAAGTGTGGATTGTCGGTCCATGTCCACTGTTGAGTGGCTTTGTTCGTGTTGTCTTGATAGTGAATGGCTCTGGATCGGATGATGGAGGAGAAGATGCGCGATATCAATGACTGACTCGAATCTTTCTGGAATGAAAATAACTAAATAGTTCCAGCCGGCGGATGCCTGGGCGGCTCCGCGCTGTTGATGTCGAATTGACCAATCCGATCTCGGGCCCACATCATAGATCTATTCTACTAACGTAAGCCCGAGCTCGGCGGGGATTGTATAGTCACTTCTGTTGTCTTTTGTATGCGAGCAGCCTCGTATATTTCTGACTCTACAGTACACATCCTCGTTAAGTGAGCTTAGATGGTCCTTGGACGCACTCATCTTTGTAACCCCTGTGAGTTTCGAAGTCCGAGTGACACAAACGTTGGTCGTTGCCAACACTCGGGTCAGCGCACTCTGCTTCGGATGTGGTATGACGCTCCTATCGAATGATTTACATGCATTTCAATGCCGAGAGGCTTGGCCATCCTACAGTGAAGACTGAGACTTGTAGAAGATTCATCACATTAATTGATGTCGTCATTGTATCTCGTCAAACCCTTCCTTCGGTCTTTATTCAGGAATACCTCAGCACCACCGCGTGCAGAGTAGATCCCCCTCACGAACGGTCTACATGCTCAGCCGCAACAGCATCCTCGTGTTTTGCCGCTTCAGAAGGTAGCGCAAGTCCATTCTCCGAGTCCAAAACATTGTTCTTGTGGCTGGCAATGTCAACCAGCCCGGGATTCTCGGCCTTGAGACGGGCAAAGGTCTTTTCTGCATCCCAAGTCCAAGGTGTCTTGGCGGCGAAGAGAAGGTCCATATCTTCAAGAGTGCGCTGGTTACTCTCGGGATAAAGAGCCCAAACCATGGGGATGGTAATGACATTGCTGGCTCCAAAGATGTAAAGGGTCTTTTCGCCAATGGCGTCAAACATGACCGGGCACAGCAGGGTCTGCAAAGAATCGCAAGTTTAGTTTCGGACAAATGTGCCTGGGACAGTAACAAAGAATAGAGGAGTAAACGCACCAGCCATCCATTTCCAATACTCCAGCCGACGACGCCCCATGCATTACCTCGAGCACGTACGGCTAGCGGGAAAATTTCCGCCGGATAGAGCCATGGCACCGTTAACCAAGTGGCACCAAAGGTAGAGGTGAAAATGAATATCATCGAGGCGGCTGCAGCACCGTATGAAGAGGCTGAGCTGACGTTGCCCGCCTCGCGGGCATTGATCGCAAGACGTGAGAAACCACCAGCCAGGAACATGGCAATGCCCTGAACGACGGAACCCCAGTACAGGGTCCAGCGTCGGCCTATACGATCTAGTGTAAAGACACACACCAACGTCGCAAACTGTAGGGCCAAAGTCAGCAAGGGCTCAGCGAGCTGCTCAAAGCACGAAAGAAACATACCATGTAGAAGATGTTGTTCAATCCACTGATCCATTGACTCTTGGTCGAGTCAAATCCCGCAATGCTGAAGATTGTTGGAGCGTAGACGGTCACTCCTGCAATGCCAACCCATTCTTGCATGATTTGCAGCCAGATGACCAGTTGCACCCGACGGCCAATGTGCAAATCTCCCGACTGCCAGCCAAAGAGCATGGAAAGGTATGAGTTGCCATGAACGACCGTCTTTTCCATTTCGGCAATGTTTTGAATGTCCCGGAATTCGGCCTCGGCGCGCATGTTGTCTTCGGGAGAGCTGCCCCGAAGCCGTTGGAGGATATAGCGTGCCTCGTCTTCTCGTCCAACTTTGACAAGCCATCGAGGAGATTCAGGCATGAACCAGACTGCCGCAAAAAGGACCAGTAGGAAGATGATCTGGAATGCAATAGGAAATCGCCAGCGAAAGGCAGACCGACCACCGTCGATATAAGAGAGGCCACTGTGAGCGAAATCAAGTCAGCAGTTGTTCGTAGAGCCCCGGGGCGGTTGAAACTTACAATTCAAGCCAGTAGGCTAGAACCACACCGAAAATGTTGAGAGTGAATTCAATGGCGATAAATTGTCCACGCGAGGTGTGCTCTGCTGTTTCTGTGGCCCACACAGGAACGATGGCATTGAGAATGCCAGTGCCAATCCCGTTGACAGCACGTGCTATATTTCTCTTCATTAGGATTCGATACGTCTCATTCACCATCACACCACTCCCTATATCTTCTTGACTTACCGCAAATCATCCAGCTATGGTTCTGTGCGGAACATTGCAGACTTGCGCCAAGTACAGCCCACGCGGCTCCTGCAGCGATTGACTTGATTCTGCCCATGCGATCCCCGAGCCAGCCACCAAATAGAGCGCCAAAGAGCGTTCCCAAATAGTATACAGCAACAATCCCGCCTTGGAGTAGGGAATCGGTCACTACGGGTGTCGCTTCGCCATTTTCGATTTTTGTGTACCCAAATTTCATGAGGTCAATATAATCCTGCGCATTGTTCACACCAGCCATCATTCCTTGATCATATCCGAAGAACAGGATGGACAACGCAGCCACACAGTTGATTGCGATGAGAAGTTGTCGCTTCTCATATTTGTGAACCAGGTTCCACGTCGGAATTTTGTCGCTCATGATGGATGATGTTGCAGATCATTCAAGCGCGATACGCAGTTTTGGCCGAGTATGGGCGTCGCAGCCGTATCCGAGTACGCGAGAGAGGCAGCAAACAACGTTCTTATACTTGAGCGTGCTGTATTCGATGCGAGCTCCCGTACAGCCCCGTGGAGTATATGGGCAAAAACCTGGAGAATCAGATTGATTTCTTATCTCGCGAGCGTGGGACTCCGATTGCGACTGTTCTTGAAGGCTCCATGTCCCCTCACTCCGCGGCGTGTCTCCGAACATGTTGCCTTCCTGGCTAGGAAGTTCCCCACGTTGATCGGCAAGGACTCTAGTCCAGAACGATCGCAAATGACCAGGGTTCCAACTTGGGCCAGGGTCACATGGAAGTACGTCCCAATGCGGGTAATCAGTTCGGCGTCGTTGCTGTTCAATCTCCACTTTCATACGTGGTGCAGCATTGACAAGTACTATGCTGTGGCATGTAAGTCTCAATTCGGCTGGCCCTTTGTGCTTTGAAAGGGCTCTTTACCCGATGTTACCGATCGGACGGTTGACGAGATTGGCTTCCTTCTCCTTTGTGCGCATGGTGTTGTTTGCCTACTACGTCGTGATTTCACCTCACTAGCATGCTGATATGCCTTGACATCGAGCCTGTGGAGCGCTAAGATTGTGACCAAAGCTATAAGTATCGGCAGGTTGTAGACTCGGACACGTAAGGTGCGTGACTTGGTTTCAGTGCGTTGTGGTCGCTCTTGCACGCCATCTCCTACGGGGCCGGGGTGATCAGGCTAGCAAAATTGCATATCCGCGGTGATCGTCATGCCGTCAGTGGCTCTTGAATGGCTAGCCGGATCGAGTTGGTCGTTGCACTGGACGTGGGGGCACAGTCCAGTTAAGTAAACATACCCGCCGTTGCACATACCTGAGTCTCAGTGGCTTCTACTGGCATCACTTGTACAGTTGCATCGCCATCGGCTCGCCCCTTCGCTGGCCTGGGCAGTGGTTCTTCTTATCGAGCGTTTGAATAATAATGCGCTGTAGAATGGAGACAGGGTGAAGAGCCTGAAAAGTAGAGTAGACCCTATTTAAAGCAATTTCGGAAGTCAGCCGAGTTGGTTGGAGGCTTTGCCGGCCGGGTGCCTGGGCCCAACCCTTTCGGCAAGGGTAGCATCAAATGGTGGGGATGAGTCAATTCTGCCGCTAGTTGTGAAGTCACTGAATCATGCGCAAGTTCTTGGTGCACCACCGCTTTCGAGTCATCCTCAATTTATTAAATGTCACTAGCCACAGATTCTATGACAATTTCAGTGTCTTTGCGAGCTGCAGTGATCTAGTTAATGACGTTGCAGCGAAGAAATTGGAACTCTCAATAGTGAGTTCAGGTCAGTAGGCAATGAACCATTCTCCGTGGTCTCGTGGTGACGATCCGGGTAATTCGAAGTGACCCTATTTACCCGATCGTGATGGCCACACATGCAGTCGCACGCGTTTCTCCAACATCTGTTCCACTCCGGTACGGCTCTACCTGCTCGAGTTTAGCTACATCTATCTTGTATCCTATGCCACAAAACGGATCATACAATATTGGTTTGACTCCCTTGGGATTGGTTCACACGGATCGAGACAGTTTATTCGCTTGATGTGATCTTGAACGTCAGACTAACTTGATGGGCCAACTTCAAGGGTTTGATTGTGTAAGATACGAGCTTACAAGCGAGATGGAACTCGCAGAACCCGAGAACCTGAAAATGACATAGAGGCACTACAAGCTCGGCGAGCTCGAAGTGAATACGTTGTCAAGCAGCAGACATCTTACGTTCACATAACATCGGATAGCCTAATCCAATAGCTACAAACTGCAAAGAATCGAAGCACTGGTCTCAAGGAACAGTAATATTACTTGAAGAGGAGGGAGTCCGTAGAGTACCGGGTAAGTAGTTGCTAGGTCTCTGTGAAAAGGTGTTTCCTGTGCTGAGTTGCTGACTATACAATATGAGCATCATTCGTGGAGGAGTGATGATCTGATCTCTCTTGGATTGCTCCCCGCGCTTGGTTTACATCACGTGATGTTATCATACTGATGCACTCTCAGTCATGAGGCTCGGACCATGCCAGGTGGACAACCCGGGTCGATGACACTCAAACGTCATTTGCGATCTCCGCACGTAGTCACGTCCTCTATATATCGTCAGAGATCGTGATTCTCAAAACAATTGACATAATGACATCTGCACCAGCAGATGTATCGGTCAAGGTTCTGCCCTGGGCGACTTTTGCCTATCTGCAACCAAAGAATCGTCAAGATCCGAAATGGACATACCGTCAGGCTCTTGTGAATACAATTCTCAAGGTGTGCTTGCACAAGTACTGCACATTTCACAAGGGCTCATCACAGGTCTCTCTCAAGCCCGGTCTGGAAAGAAGTCGATTTGTTCTAATCGATCCTGCAAGATCTGACTTGTACAACGGAGTCGCTTACAGCCAGGTGACCAGCCCAGAAATTGTTGGGGCTACATGGTACCCTCGACGACCTTCCCGCGATTTTGTTATTCCCCACGACCAGCACATTATGCTCCACTTCCATGGTGGGTCGTATATTGTAGGGGATGGTCGCATAAGCTCATGTGGATTCCTGGCTAAGCACATGCTTGCCCATACACCATCACAGTATGTTTTAAGCGTCCAGTATCGACTCACTGGCCCACCGAATGGACGCTTCCCGGCCCAGCTACAAGACGCTATTTCGGCATACTTCTATCTGCTCGATTCACTCCACATTCCGGCCTCACAAATCATTTTGTGTGGTGACAGTGCTGGCGCTAATCTTGCCCTTGGTCTCTTACGATATATCACAAATTTTGATAATTCAACACTCCTCCCTGCCCCCAAATGTGCTTTGCTCCTCTCTCCGTGGACCAATATTCCCGAGGCCGTGGATACAGAAGCTTGGGATCGCAGTGCAAATTACAAGACGGAATACGTCCCTGCATCATTCCCGGCCCGAGGCGCTACCTTACTCTTGCATGATCTTGAAATTACCAAGTCGGTCGAAGAGCAAATTGCCCCCATAAAGCACCCTTTCTCCTTACCCGCGCCAATACTCGTGGTAACGGGAGGAAAGGAAGTGCTGTGCGAAGAAAATCGCGCATTCGCTCAAACCTACAAGTCCTTTGGCCACAATGAAGCTATGGTTGACCTCTACGTTTCCGAACCGACCCCCCATGATCTGTTTATGATTGGATGGATCATGGGTTTTCAAAAGGAAGCGCGAGAGTGTGCTGAGGTTGCAGGGACTTTCATACGACAGTTCAACGTACAACGAAATGAGCGATGAGTCTATTTACGATTCTCATATGAACACAACATTGTATGACACTTGAGCAGCGGTCTTCCCGGGGCTTCTCATAATCCTGGCGATGCACGACCCGCTTATCTTCCGTGCACAAACATTCGCTTTTCGAGAGGCTCGAACTTCTTCTCCCGGGGCGGTCCAGTTGGCTTGCCGAACACCAACTGCGCCTTGAGACGCCATTCGAGAGGGATCTTCCATTCTTGCGACACTCGTGCATCAATCATCGGATTGTAATGTTGGAGATTGCAACCCAGTCCCTCGGCTTCCAAGAGAGTCCATACTGTGCTTGGCGAGTCACGTTAGTCGACAGTTCCTTGGGCGGACAGATGGAATGATCTTACAGGCAAATTGATGCATTCCACTCGAATGATCGGACCCTGGAAAAAGAAGAATCAGGTCAGACATGATCGTGAGGTCCCTAGGATTTGGGACAAAGGGATCCTCCTACACTCGGGGAATTTGTCAATCAGCATAGGCCACTTTACTTCCAGTGGTTTCAGCGGGGCGGGATCCTCGTAGAATAAGATCTGGTCTCAGGCAGATTAATCAGACAAAGTCTCAAAGAGAGAAACAGAGGGATAGCGAGAGTTGAGCTTGGGGAGCACCGACCGTTCCATATCCTGCTCTAAACATTGCGGTTCGCGGCTTGTACAAATTTTCCAATTGCTCAGGCGGGACTGAAGCTGTTGCTACCTCTAAAGCAAGATCCCACAGCCGTTCGTGCTGTTCCTTGAGAAGTACCACCAAACGGGCACTTTGACTGTTGAAAGGGCTGGGGGTGTGCAAAATGGTTTGGGAGACAAGCTCTTCGATGCGGTCATCTGATATGGTGGACTCGTTCGTGAAGCTGTAGATCGATCGTCGGTTCTGCATGCCCTGGATGATCGATCGTGCGATGTCCGCCATATTGGATTGGATTTTGCGTTCTGAATTTGGTTCCAAGATGAAGTCAAGGGACTTAAGTACAAGAGACAATTGATTCCTGAGATGATCTGTTCCTTTCAATACCGCAGAGATTTGAGGTCATCTTTATAGTCCCTGTGTTTTCTGATGTTCGATCTATAATCGGAAACACGGAGGTAGCCCGACACCGAACGCCGATCCTACTTTGTCATTAAGCTTGAACTAAAGCGAGCTAGCGCTTGCATCAAGCAGCCCCCCGGTTATCGTCATCCATCTGTGTGTCAAGAGAGACTCCTTTCACTGGAAAATAAAAGCGACAAGCTTCCACTATCTTACGAGCCGTCTCAAGATTGCCATTTATGTTCATGCCGGTGAACGGAAATTGAGCGCCGGCACTAAATGATGACACGAAGTATGATAAGATCTCAGGGAGCCAATCTTGGTCGACAGTGCAATTTGTAGACTTGATTTTGTTATCACGCATCACCAGTTGAGATGTGAAGTTTCATGGTAGGTAGCCGATGCTGTTCCTACAAAAGAGCGACGATCAGTGTTCAGGAGTGTGGAATAGGACATTTCCCGACCAAGCAATCTACACCAGGGTTGATCCTTAACGATACGGGCAAAGTAGATGGGATTCTTCAAAAGCTCACATTCGATCCACATCAGTATAGACTATAGACTATAGTCTCACCAAAACTGAAAAATGTCAATGTAATTGAATGCAACAGACATCCACTCCGGTCAATCGGTTTCGCCCGCTCGGTGACCGTCACTCCCAAACGTACGAATTCCAAAGTCGAACCTTAAACTTTGACAAGAAAGGGAGAAATCATACGTCCGTTATCAAGCGAGTCAACGGCTTCTTCTTCTTCTTCTTCTTCTTCTTCTTCTTCTTCTTCTTCTTCTTCTTCTTCTTCTTCTTCTTCTTCTTCTTCCGGGTCGCCCAGGGAAGACGGGAAGCGATCAGAATGCAAATTTAGGTAAAAGTCGCGACTCGCGACACTATACGGGTAAGAGGACATACCCTCGAGTGATTCGACTGAGTCGAATGACGGAAGGGTAATGTAACGAGGATTTGCGGCTTCACAGGACATGAATCGGTTGGGAACTACCTACAGGTGCCCAAGTGATCTAGTCCATACGGGAGGGAATAGAGATGAGGAAGAAGGTGAGGATGGGAGGACAGGATCCATGAGTGCTCAGTTTTGTTTGTGGTATAAAGATAGCCGAGTGTAGCCGGGGGGGAGCTACGGCAAAGTTGAATAGAGTTGATTGAAAGCCCGCGGGTAGAGGCGAGGATCACGGGAATCCGGGGCAAGAGTGGCTGGGGAATTGTTGAACATGGACACTATGAGGGATGTCCAGACGTTCCAAGCATCATCCAGTCTCTCCGGAATCATGTCGGAACGGCTGGCTTGGGCGCGGGAAACTTTTGCAAAGGGCGCAATGATTTCCCGGCAACGTGATCCTAGAGGGCAAGGATGCCCGGTTCGATGGTAGAATGTTCGGGGGAAGGCTGTAGATAGTAGATAGTAGATACTGATGTATTGTGTGTCACTTCCATAGAAGATGGAATTCTTTCTATCCAAGCCAGTTCCCTTCATCCACCCTCGTCATTCAACAAGAATCCCAAGTTCCCAACAACTGCAACTCTTCCGTCTAAATCGGCATCGTCAACCGGTCAATCTGCCACATCAGCTGCAGTTTCCGGCCTCAGGCTGACTTGCCCGTACCGACTCGACCCGAGTGCGGCTTACATAACCGGAACCTGGCCGGGCGGCGAATCTCAAAATACCGCAAAGCTCAGTCCTCACACCTTTCCCGTACCTCGAAGCCTAATATCTTCGTCCCTCGCCTCCTTCAACCGTACCTCCAGGTCGTGGATATTGGTGGAGCTACTGGATCTCGCGACATATTCACTTTGGTCTAGCTCTTTCAATCGTTATGTTCCGCAACGTCCTTCCCCGGGCCACGCCGCGGGCTGCGCTCCGCGCTGCCGGCCCCAAGGCCATTCCCTCGACCTTCGTCGCTCCCCCTATGGTCTTCATTGGCCGCTCAAGACGTGGTTACGCTTCTGAAGCCGGTATGCCTCTCCCTAGTGCAAATCGATTGCGGCATCATCAACGTGGATGGTATCAGCATGTCGACCTTCACATCTCCATACGCTTCTCAACAAGTCAAATTTGCGATTGCTAATCCTTTTGCCCTCACGGGCTTGAAATAGCCGAGCATGATCTGGTTATCATCGGAGGTGGTGTCGCTGGCTACGTTGCTGCGATCAAGGCTGGTCAGGAGGGTCTGAAGGTATGTTGTGAAATCTGTGCTTCGGACGGCATCTTTGCGGAGAGTCTCCGATGGCTGTCACGGGGAGAGGCCGACAGCTTCAATTCGCCCAAAGCCAGAGTGAAGCTAACTGTTACATTCTCAATTCATTAGACTGTCTGTATCGAGAAGCGCGGTACCCTTGGTGGCACTTGCTTGAACGTCGGCTGTATCCCCTCCAAGTCCCTCCTCAACAACTCCCACCTCTACCACCAGATTCTCCACGACACCAAGAAGCGCGGTATTGAGGTCGGCGATGTCAAGCTGAACCTCGCTCAGATGCTCAAGGCCAAGGATCAGTCCGTTGAGGGTCTGACCAAGGGTGTTGAGTTCCTGCTGAAGAAGAACGGTGTCGATTACGTCAAGGGTGCCGGTTCCTTCGTTGATGCCAACACCGTCAAGATCGACTTGGTCGATGGTGGTGAGCAGACCGTCCGCGGCAAGAACATTATCATTGCCACTGGCTCTGAGGCCACTCCTTTCCCCGGTCTGAACATTGATGAGAAGCGCATCATCACCAGCACTGGCGCTCTTTCTCTCCAGGAGGTCCCCAAGAAGATGGTTGTCATTGGTGGTGGCATCATCGGCCTGGAGATGGTAAGCTTACATACCCATTCCCCGCGTCGGTGATGATGATCCAGGGCTAATTCTTTAATTTCTCCTTTTCTGGATAGGCCTCTGTCTGGTCTCGTCTCGGTGCTGAGGTTACTGTTGTCGAGTTCCTCGGCCAGATTGGTGGTCCCGGCATGGATGCCGAAATTGCCAAGCAGACCCAGAAGATCCTCGCCAAGCAGGGCATCAAGTTCAAGACCGGTACCAAGGTCGTCAAGGGTGATGACAGCGGTTCCCTCGTGTCTCTGAGCCTCGAGGCCGCGAAGGGCGGCAAGGAGGAGACCCTGGACGCTGATGTTGTCCTGGTCGCCATCGGTCGTCGTCCCTACACTGAGGGTCTTGGTCTGGAGAACGTCGAGATCGACAAGGACGACCGTGGTCGTCTGGTCATTGACCAGGAGTTCCGCACCAAGGTCCCCCACATTCGTGTCGTTGGTGACGTTACCTTCGGCCCCATGCTGGCTCACAAGGCCGAGGAGGAGGCCGTTGCCGTCATTGAGTACATCAAGAAGGGTCACGGTCACGTGAACTACGCTGCCATCCCCAGTGTGATGTACACTCACCCCGAGGTCGCCTGGGTTGGCCAGAACGAGGCTGAGGTCAAGGCCTCCGGTGTCAAGTACAACGTCGGCTCTTTCCCCTTCAGCGCCAACTCCCGTGCCAAGACCAACCTTGACACTGAGGGTGTTGTCAAGTTCATCGCCGATGCCGAGACCGACCGCATTCTGGGTGTCCACATCATCGGACCCGGTGCTGGTGAGATGATCGCCGAGGCCACTCTGGCTATCGAATACGGTGCCTCCTCCGAGGATGTTGCCCGCACATGCCACGCCCACCCCACTCTCTCCGAGGCCTTCAAGGAGGCTGCCATGGCCACCTACTCCAAGCCCATCCACTTCTAGACTTATATTTGGTGATGCAGTTGTCGTGCGATTCGATATCCTCCAAACCCCCTCCGTGTATTACCCTTTGTGTGAAATTTTAGTCTAGCCTCGCTAGCAAACTACATGTAGCATTTCATGTAATCATCTCTCTTCTGTTGTGAAACTACTGTCATGAATTTACAGATAGATTTTTTTTCTTTTGCACTATTCGTAGCATCCTGCTTCTCCATATTAGACTTGAGTGGCGGGATAAACGCACTTATCCGCTTAGTCGACTGGGTGATTCGTGGTGTGGCATGTCCATACGTCCGACGAGGGCAAGAGCCATCGAAGAACGTGGCAGTCTTTTCTGCGCAGGGCCGAAAAAGAAATCTGTTAGAAATGCATCGAATATTAAAGACCGGACCTTGGGCCATGACTATAGAGAACCGCTCGACAATGTCGCATTGTTGGGAGATTGCAGCTGGTGGTCGCTGGTGGGAATTTCACTCTGGGAAAATCGAAAGCAAAAAGAAATGAATGACTCCGAATAGGGGAATCGAACCCCTGGCTGCCGTGTGAGAGACGGCGATGTTAGCCACTACACCAATTCGGATTCTTGAATACTTATGAAAGATTTGGAATCATGACTGAATCATTGCAAATGGGTAGTCTTCTTACGGCCACTTCTGAGCCACATCAACACTTCAATCGGAAGCGCCATCCGAACTGCGTCATATTTGTACTTTCATACCATAGACGTTTTTTTCTTGCGAGTTAGTCCCGGTCAAGAGACTTTTTCTCTCAGTATCGACTTGAGACTTCAATGCACCATAATTCAACTAATCCGATCCGACAGTAGCCATCGACTTCAAGCCTTCAGTTCACTGCGCTAGACAGGACATCAATACAGCCCGTTCGCGAAAAGCTATCCACTCTCATGGCTTGTTCTCTCATTCCTCCACCCATGAAGCCTGGACGCTGTTGCCAGTTGCCCTCGAACATGAATGGCATTGCACCTACTCCGCAGCCCACACCCTCACGTAGCTACGTACATGTGTTGGACAGAGATTTTCGATGATCGTTAGGCGTCCACTCCCTGTGGTCTCTGCTCTGTCCGAGCTGGTTTACGTAGCGGTCGGACCATCAAAGAGGCAGCGTCCACTTCTCAAGCTGATACGCAGTTGACAATTTACACGGCGCTCCGTGTTCGGATTATGTAGCTGGCCTTGCGCTCAGATCAGACCCGATGTGTCAAGGAAGCGACCATGCCTATTCGGGTATGCACTGCGATTGATTTACCCAACGTGCATCCAAATCCCCATGACGATGTTTATGTCAATCAGTCAGCGCCACTTAGTCACCAATATGTACAATCATGAAGATACTCATCCGATATAATCAGTCAGAATTGCCAAGATACCGTGACTTGAGAGATGGAAAGGGAAAGACTAGGTACCTAGCGGCATCCATGAAGTTAGATGTTGGTGCGGCCACGGGGCATGCATGTATTTCCAAAGTCAAATGAAGGCACAACCTAAGATTAGTCTTAGCTTGTGCCGATTCAACCTTTTCAAAATGGACATCGTCACAGGAAATGATCATGGATGGAGTCCCCTGTCAGGCAATGTCACTTGAACCTTCGAGGAATATGTGTCTCAGTCTTTCCCCACTCAATAGCTCCCATCACCTCAAAGGGCTATGGAATCTGATCTCGAGAGTCGAGAGACCAAGACTTCAGGCGACCGGCCGTTATTTGGTCCCCACAAAGCATCCATTCATTACCTAACTTTGCCCAAGATGGTAACTTAACCTCTTCGAAATTACAGGCCCATGCTTCCCTCAGCCTCGAGCCCACTTGTGATGGCTGGACGTATGCAGCATTAATCAGGTGTACGAAAAAGAGAGGTTGTTAAAGGATGGGGGACTCCCTGGAACCCTAACTTATTCCTGCCTCCGTTTTGTCCATCTACTATTCACAGCGACCGCCCTCCAGCTTTACATCAAACGATGTATCTGATGTACAAGAAAGTCAAAAAGCACAACGAGAGAAAGAAACGGTCGGCAGATCATCCGAAAAGGGCCACCCAAGACTTATCACAGACTCAGACAATACCCAGCAATGCCGGGTCACCAACAGACAATCCTCCCATCTCAGAAGAAGAGAAGAGCGAAAAAAAGCGACGGCGGACTTACAGATGGAAGATCATATTCGGCCTCTTTGCACCCTTCTGCCTTGAGGCTCTCGATACGACCATCATCGCATCGGCACTCCCTTATATTGCGCAGGACTTCAGTAAGTCGGCCCAGACTGGAAGCCTTAATGACTCGGGCAATAGCTTTCCCTGTCTCTAACACACCCCAATTTTCTAGATGAAGTGAACCAGCTAAACTGGATCATTTCCTCGTTCAACCTGACCTCTGCCGCCTTCCTCTTCTTCTGGGCCCAGTTGACCGATCTATTCGGCCGACACAACACCCTCCAAGCGGCAATCGCGGTCATGATTATCGGCTCAGCTATATGCACGGGAGCTCCGACATCCGCTTTCGGCGTCCTCTTACTCGGGCGTTCCCTACAAGGTGTAGGAGCTGGCGGAGTGAATATCTCCGTTCGCGCAATCTTGGCCGATCGAGTCAATCTCTCGGAATATGCCCTGAACTGGACCGTCTTTGCACTAGTGTCCAGTATAGGATTTAGCGTCGGACCGGTGATCGGCGGTTACCTGACTACTGCATCCTGGCGTTGGTGCTTTGCCATTAATCTGCCTATTGGTGTGGTTGCAATGATCGTGGTCGTCTTTGTGCTTCGTAAAGAGCTTTTGGGACCACAACAACTTCCCGAGCTGGAAGGGTGGGACTTGTCGACTGCGCCCCAAAGATTCATTGTCCGTCTCCTCACAATCGATTACGGTGGCCAGCTGCTCTTCCTCTGGGGATTCGGCCTGCTCATCCTGGGTCTGACCTGGGCGGGCGGCAACTACGCCTGGAATTCCGCGGCGGTGCTGGCACCACTGATCATCGGCGCCGTATTGACTTGTAGCTGGGTCATCTACGAGCGACTGATGGTTCCAGGGTCTACGATATCGCGTGCTCTGCCGCGGCAACGCGCGATGGTTCCCTGGGATCTGCTGGTCCAGAAGGATATCGGCCTCTTGTTTCTGATCAACGCCTCAATTGGCGTGTCCATGTTTGCAGTCATGTATTTCATGAACCTGTACTTTGCCCTAGTCGAAGGGCGTAGTTCCAGCAGTGCTGGTCTATCCTTGCTGTATTTTCTGCCTGGTCTAGCTGGTAAGTTACATTTGCCTCTCACAGATCTCGAGGGACCTACCTCATTCTAACCATTCATCTACATAGCTGGCGCATACATGGCCATGTTCTCCTCAAACGTGTGGCCTCGTCAGACACTCCCTCCACTGCTTTTCGGGGGGTCACTTCCGCCGTGGGCATCACTGTACTCGCTTGGGCCATTCACACAGGCAAGACCAAGACAATCTATGCGATGATGGCTCTCACCGGACACGGAGTGGGTATGCGCATGAACCCCGCCTCTCTACATGGCCTGGCCTACTTTCCTCAAATGGTCGCCCAGATCTCATGCCTGGTGTCCTTTGCTGTTCCCTTTGGCGGTCTCGTCGGACTGACGATTATGTCGACGGTGTTTACCAATAAGAGTGGGCCGAGCCAGGTCGAGGCACAACAGGGAATCATGTGGGCATTCATTTCGATGACACCTCCCATGTGGCTCTCGTTGGTATTGACAACGCTCCTGGGGAATGTGTGGATTCGTAAGGAGGGTAGCCATGAAGTGGTCAATGGGGTGTATCTCTGGAGTTTAGCGACGAGGGAACCACTTGTTCGTGAGAAAAGGCGAGAGCAGGAGTATGAGTTGGCTCAGCGTCCTGGTGGCGCAGTGCGCGATGAGAAAACTTGACATGCACAGTAAAGTGTGACTCGGCTCGAAGTAGATCAATTGGAATGGAATTGATCTTACACATACTAAAAGTACAAAGGTCTGTCAGTATGGTCGTGCAATCGATTTTTCCTGAGAAGGATCGGACCGGAACTGTCACGTCACGACGTCGAAGGACAGCACTAAGCCCTGCATAGCGATCAATGCGCTACATAGTAGGCATTCTGAGTATTCTGGTTCTCTTTTCCTTTGATCTCAATAAAGCTCAGATCATGTTCTCGGTGGGACGGCTGTCTGAACACACTTGGGGCTCGTCATCATCTGTAACCTGATTTGATTTCGTTTCGTTATTAGTAGATTCATTGAAGGACAAACAATAACAAATACAAGGTAAGAAGTATGAATTTATGTACGCTGCGAATTTTGACTTTAGATTGAACCTTTGGCCTGGCCCAGCTTGCCTTTGGCCTCGTCGCACCTACGTAAATAGGCAATCAATGTGGCTTGTCATGAACACCAGCCTTGAACGAAATTTGTTGAAGAACGACCAAGCAATGACAAACGAATACCTGGATGTCAAATCCATGAGTAGTGGAAGTACACGAGGTACAACTATTGTTTATTCAAGGCTGCTACATAGTATCCAAGGGGTCCTTCAAGAATCAAGCAAACGGTCTCAACTTTCAGCTGATCAGACGATGATAATACCGTCCAACGCTCGTTGCTCCAAGGCTGCATCCATGCTACTTCAGCTCAACAGAACTAGAGACTCACATGTACAGTCAGTTGACGTGGTAAAAAGTAGGACATGTAGATTTCATGGCAACACGCGTAGAAAAAAGTGTAAGTTAGCTGTGCAAAAAGGAATGTATTCTCTCCGAATAGGGGAATCGAACCCCTGGCTGCCGTGTGAGAGACGGCGATGTTAGCCACTACACCAATTCGGATTGTGGAACCAGGTACCGCTAGACTACCTGTTCACTTGGTGAAGGTAGTCTTGTAATTTGGTTTAATAAATCCTGACATGATTCGAAATCATAAATGAAGACTTTTCAGGAAGGACTAGTGCAAGTGGGTCTGCGCTAATGCACTCAGCCGTCGGTCTAACCCTTCTTGATTCAAGACTTAATTTAGTCTTGCCATCAGCATCTTCGAACGTCGTCAACGACATGTGTCAGTCGAGTTTCATTGCTTGCAGAATTTACCCAAACTAGGATTTTTCACAATTCATTGCTCGAACAAAGCTGAGACAGCAGCAGCAGCAGCAACAACAATAGCTGGGAAATAGCCTCGAAGGTTCAGAACGCGAACGATCTCCATTCCGACTCCAGTTCGGATGCAAGAGGCAGTGGCAGCTATGTAGGATGTGCGTACCCGCTTGGACAACGTATTTGTCGTGCTGACATCTACAACATACAATCGGACTATGACCGTGTACATGCTGTCCGGATGGCCTGTACCTGCACGGAGAGTGCGTTTGCAAGTGATGCGGCCTTTGTTCTGCGGAACAAGGTGTCGATTGGGGGCATGGCGTGGGTCTCTCGCATTGCTTGAGATGACAGCAGCTTTGAGATCTCAAGTGGGCAGGGGCGGGGCTCGAAGCCTTCTGCTGACATTCGCCTGATCGACAGCATTGCGGACTTGGCGAGTATTGCGGCAGACGATCGTACTGATGATTCAAAGCACGGTCTGCTCCGAGCGTCTCAGGTTCGCGGTCACAGCAACGACCACTGGCGGTTTTCATGAGTGTCTCAAAGTATGATTTGGTAATAAGTGAGTAGAGACTCACTGTCTGTGACATGTTTGAAAGTGACTGGAGCCAGGTGCATGTGGGCATGGTTGACGAGAGGTCCTTTTGAGTATCTCTGACTGATCCGCTAGAGTATGCATGATGGGACGATGCGCTCCGTTTGCAACAGACAGAGGGCATTGGCCTGAGCAGCCCATTTGGAGTCTGTATGCCGGCCGGAACGCAGAATATATGGCCTGGAGTAATGGAGGATAGTGGAAGAACGATACTGGCCTCTTCGTGGTGTAGTGGGTAGAAGAGCAGCATTGGGGCCCTTTTATATGATTGAACACACGAGACATAGGGAAGAGAGATCAGAGAGAATCTAGTGTACTATTGCAGCGTCGCAGCATCGCAAGGGTTGCTCAAAGCTGTTCAGCCTCGTCGGAAATAATGAAAAACAGGACGATTCGCCATCGATACGCGTAGGACTCAGGAGGAAGTCACGCAGACGGAGGCTTGCAGTCTCGCGTTACACTTGAGACACCGTGTGTCCACAAAGTTGACTACATGGAGCTCAGAAGTAGCAAACCAGTCGCCTTCGAAAGGTGAGACGGACTACTATTTACCAAACTCGATGGTACTGCATGACACACACGTTGGGCCCAAGGACCAGGACATGATACTCTTTTGAAATAGCTCCAAGCCACCCTCAAACCATCTCAAGCGGCCAGTGTCTCTTTGTCCACAAGCAAAACGGACCCAGACGAGGTGGAAAGCTCATTGCTGTATGTCATCGAAGGAGCATATTGTTGGACCCAGTCTTTCAGGATGGCGAAAAATGCATCGCATACAGACTTGACGGCGTCCCCGCGAGAGTCACTGCAGCATTCGATGTAGACTAAAGGCATTTCGGTTAGAACATCTGCGACGTTGGCATCACTGGAATGGGTAGTCTTACATTTCACCTTAGGCTCAGTACCCGAGCCACGCAATGTGAAGCGCACTCCCCCTTCTAGCCAGAGGGTGACCATCTGACTGGTAGGATCCTCGGGCAGATCGGGCTTGTGATCAGAGGATGCAGTGTCAAATCCCTCGGTCAAGTCTCTCCAACGCAGGATCTTGAATTTTCCAAACTGCATCTTTGGCAGGAATGGGCCGTTTCTGATCCCATGGAAGAGCTCGGCAGTTTGCTGGGGACTGGAAGATCGGAAGTAATTGTTCAGAGTCTCATGATGGCCATATTCGGCAAAGAGCTGTTGCAGCTTGCCGAATACCGTCAAGCCCTGGGCTTGCCATTTGGCGGCTGCCATGGAAAAGACAGACATGGCGGTAATTCCGTCCTTGTCGTAGCTCACAGCCGGGAACATGTAGCCAAGGGCCTCTTCATATGCAAATAGAATTGTTTGGCCAGTCTTCTCGAGATCTTGCGCCACATTTCCCATCCATTTGAAGCCGGTGAGGGTCTCCTTGAATTGGATCCCTTTCGATTCGGCCATTTTCTGGAGCATACCGCTCGAGACAGTTGTTGTCAACACCGTGATTTTTGATGCATCTTTGGACGAGTCAATGGTATCAAAGAGGTGAGATGCGAAAAGAGCACCGACATGGTTTCCTGTGAGAAGGAACCATTTGCCCCTGCCGTAGATGTTAGCTAGACTGTCCCTCCATCGTCGATAACTGCGTATGGATGGCCCTTACTCGACCTTCTCAGCCACCGCAAAGCGGTCCGCATCAGGATCATTGGCAAAAATTAGTGTTTTGTTCTCTTCATCAGCCACTTTTATTGCGAGATCCAGTGCTCCAGCTTCCTCGGGGTTGGGGAACTTGACAGTCGAGAAGTTGGGGTCCGGCTGAGCTTGCTGAGGAACAATGATATACTCTTGGCCTTGACGCATACCCATTTCCTTCATCAAAGGGTCAATGCGGATTGCGCCTACCCCGTGCATAGGAGTGTAAATGAATGGCCTAGTGGGGTAGGTTTCGGACACAGTTGAGATCTGATAGACAACGTCAATGGCAAGGTCCTGAACACTGCTTTGAAAGAAATCCATCTCACTGCATATTGCTTGACACGGCTTTGGAAGGGTGCCAAGATCTCATGGAGAGCCTCCTTGTCGAAGTATTCGCCCGAGCATCGGTCTCCTTCCCAGGCCCTAGGCCAAGGTTCCAAGTGCTTGAGAATAGACTGCGCGATCTCTGCGTCTTCTGGACGATTGATCTGAGCTCCATTGCTAGAGTAGCTATTTTGAACAAGGGAGGTCAGCCCGTGCACGATGTCTTTATATCAGCTAAGTCAGAGATCATACACTTTATAGCCTATTTGCGAAATCAGTCAGTTCATGTCAATGACATTGAAAGTCACGAAGAGGTACTCGACAGCCCTTACCGTTATCCTGAGGCGGATTCTATTAAATTCACCAGTAAACCGGTTAGCATTCAAAGAACACAGATGCATACGAGTAAATGGCTCGTCCTGGCGGGTGGTTCTTACGTGGCTCGCAGTCACTACCACACCAGCAGCTGCCTTGAAGTGTTTCACTCCAAAGGCAACGAGCGGAGTGGGAGCCGATTCATTCACAAATTTGACTGGAATTTGCAGTGCTACAAATGCATTGGCAGCCAACTGAGCAAATTTGTGGGATTGATGACGAGCATCATGCCCAATGATGACTCCTTTCGAAGCAAACTCTTTGCCTTGACTTTCGATGTGTTTGGCAAGTCCCTGGGATGCTTGAATAACCGTGAGGCAATTCATGAACGAAAAGCCAGCAGCCATTCGACCTCGCAGACCCGCTGTACCGAATTCAATTCCTATATAGAACGATTAGACAGGGAGTTTCGAAAAGTATTACGGGCACTGTGATCGACACACGATTCCGCAGACGCAGCTCTAGCTCTGCTGTATTATTAGCCTGATGCAGCTCTTCAATCTCCCGTCGAGTGACAGGATCCTGTACACCGATTGTGTATCAGTTGAAAATCCCAGGCCACTTGAAATGAACATAGCGAAACATCAATATTGAAAGGATTTGCCGAGGTACCTGATCCCACTGTAGCCATGTCTGGACCAGAGAAGAAACTGAATCCTGCTGAAACGGTTACTTTGATATTACGATCTGGACGTACGCAACATTGCGAAATACCTCAGCCATGACGGTTGATGTTGAGCCTGAGAGAATAAGGACTGGATTTCGAGTACGGTGCGCAATCCGGCAATTCTCAGCGAGGACGTGTGCAACGCACAGAGTGCTGAATTGGAGGAGGCGAGGTCGATCCTTCGGCCGTGGCGGAGCAGTCCCCGCTTATTTGACTCCGCACGTTCCATCTTGCCCCTGCTTTCGAACCTTCACCCACTTGTCCTTCAATCCTCTCCCGCACTTTTTTGGTTCTGTTTGCTCTGACCCTTCTGGACCTGGTTTCATCCTCTTCAAGAGCTATGTCTCTTTGAATTTATCTCGCCCCAGCCCCAATCGATCGCATACAACATTCAATCTGGATATCCGAGCGCATTGATCGAAGACACAAAGCATGGGAAACACAACTCTGCGACCGTCCCGCAAGGACACGATCTTGAGTCGCCGCTACATCGAGGGTCAAATTGCAGAAGGCAAACATGTTGTCATCTTCGAGGGCCGAGTCCTCAAAGTCGATGCTTACATGAAATTCCATCCCGGTGGTGAGAAGCCGATGAAGCACATGGTGGGCAGAGATGCAACAGATGAGATCAATGCGTACGTGCCTTACTTTCTCCAGGCTCCCACGTTTGCTTGCTGATGATGGTCGGTCGGGATCAGGTTACACTCAAAGGAGGCTCGCGAAATGATGTTGTCCTATCAAATCGGTCGCATTGAAGGAACTTGGATCAATTTCCTCCCTCCTATTCAAGGCGGCAAATTTCGCCCATACGACGAAGATACATGCTCAAGTGAGGACAGTTCGTCCATCCAAGACAGTGCTAGCTCGGGCGCGTCTACGCCACCATCCCCTATATTCGAAGCGGCCGAGCCCGGCGGTGCAGTGCACCGAAAAGTGTCGACAGCTCCCTCGGCGATGTCCACTCCCCATGAAGATGACCAGCCGCGGCCACATTTCCTCGATGCGAGAACCCGAGAAGAAGTTGTGTTCGACACCATGAAGTATCCCTCCTTGGAGACTGCGAGCCAAGAGAGCATCAAACAGAAGTACCGAGATCTGAATGAGCGCATGCTCGCTGAGGGACTCTTCAATTGCAATTACACGGCCTACTTCGTCGAGTGCTGCCGCTACACTCTTTTCGCCGTCCTGTCCTACTGGTTCCTGCGACTTGGCTGGTGGGCAACGTCTGGATTTTGGCTCGGCTGCCTCTGGCACCAGCTGGTGTTCACAGCCCATGATGCTGGCCATATGGGTATTACACACAACTTTCATGTCGACACAATCATTGGAATCATCATCGCGGATTATATTGGAGGATTGAGTCTGGGTTGGTGGAAGCGAAGCCACAACGTTCACCATATTGTGACCAACGAGCCCGAGCATGACCCGGACATTGAGCACATGCCCTTTTTCGCCATCTCCCACCGGTTCTTCGACAGCCTCCAGAGCACATACTACGATCGCAGCATGACCTTTGACGCCTTTTCCAAATTTATGCTCAAGATTCAAAACTATTCGTACTACCCTATCATGATGCTGGCTCGATTCAACCTTTACCGTCTAAGCTGGGAATACCTGCTCAAGCGACAAGCTCCCCGGAAAGGTCCTGCTCGTTGGCACGTGTGGGTGGAATATGGTGGTCAGCTCTTCTTTTGGTACTGGTACTGCTACCTCGTGGTGTACAAGACCATTCCGGATTGGAGCAGTCGCCTGACCTTCATCTTGGTCTCCCACGTGGTCTCATCGCCCCTTCACGTTCAGATTACCTTGTCTCATTTCGCCATGTCCACGGCGGATCTTGGCATCAACGAGTCCTTTGCGCAAAAGATGCTGCGCACTACCATGGACGTTGACTGCCCGACATGGCTCGATTTCTTCCATGGAGGACTACAATTCCAAGCAATTCACCACTTGTACCCTCGTATGCCTCGCCACAATCTTCGCCGAGCCCAGAAATATGTGGCCGAGTTCTGTCGCGATACTGGTATTCCCTACGCCCTCTTCACCTTCTACGACGGCAACAAGCAAGTCATCGGCCGACTAGGTGATGTGGCAAAGCAGCTGCGCATTCTCGAGGAATGCCGCAAGTCCATTGTAAAGGAGACGGGATTTGCGCACCAGCACTGAACCAGCAATCATCAAACCTATTTCGTGGGACTGTTTTGCGAATACTACTATGTACATACATTTACACCTATTCTACCACGTTCAGAACGACCGCCGACCTTCGCGGAATACATCAAGATTAAGGATACGGATATCCGTAGAGCGGCTGCACGATCCAGTCATGAATGCTCACTGCCACTAGACATTGACTTCCATTTTTGGGGGTTAGACCAAGGTTCATGATCGACAATTCTCATTTGGAGTGAAACATTGGAGTGATCCTCCCGTTCATGCCATCGAGCGATGGTCGTGATCGACAAAGGACGAAGGTCGCACAACGACAGCTCTTTTGCAGAGATCTCTCAACCCGGTAGACCCCCAACACGCGCAATCTTTTTTGCTCGTTGTTGACGACGATTGTGGTTCGCCCGACTAGCCTTATTTTGCTCCTTTCGCTGATGCGCAATGGGGCTGTTTTGCTGACCAGACTCGCCAGATTGAGGTGGGCGGCCGCCTCCTCGGCCGCCTCGGCCTCGACCCCTGCCAGGTACGCCGCGCCCACGGCCACCTCTTCCACCACGTCCGCCTCCTGGTCCGGATGATTCCCCTTCTCCGTCAGAACTCTCCTCGATAGATTGGGGTTTTCGATACGAGGTTGGCGCAAGTTCAGGCTGATTCAAAGACCTACTGCCACCTCCACCCAACTCATCGGTAAGCTTATTCTCCAGCTTGGACAGACGCTTCGGATCTCGCGAAAGCATGACCGCCCATCCTTCGATAGCCTCATCAGTCATAGTAGTCTCGCGTTTGAGTGCCAGGCGGGGCTGAGAGCGACGAGTCGCCGAGTCTCGTGCGAATATGGCGGGGTTGGACTTGTAAGCTCGAAGAAGAGTCAAATCAAGCTGATCAGCCGCCAACTTCTGGTTTCGCGCAACCGCCTCGGCCTCTGCGTCCGTGCCTGCGGTGGCACTGTCTACGGTACCACCGACGTCTGCAACGTCATAAGTGTCATCTCTTTCGTCATCGTCAGAATCGAAAGTAGCCAATGCGGAAAGAATAGCTGCCTTGTTGATTGCATGTTTGCTGCGATCTGCAAGGACTTCGTCTGCAGTGAGCTCGGGATTCGCACGCCCGAATCGAACCTTTCCTTCAGCTGCGCCGGAAAGGCTGAGCTCCGCAAGATCAACATCGTTGTCGAAGACGTTTTTGCGCGGCGGAACCGGTTCTTGAAGCGGCGAGTTAATGGCAGGCGGTGTTGCCCGTGGTTGGAGATGGTCCTGGTGAGGTTCTGCCATAGGCGGAAGCCGTTCAGATCGGTCAAGAGATTGAAGCTCCGGTGGTAAAGATTCGTCTAAAAGATGCGCGATAACAGTCTCCGGGTTGTCTCTGTAGGTGTCCAGCAATCTCACAATGAAGGCCGAGCCGAGGTCCGGGAACAAGTCTTGGACTTGGGAGACGAGCGACATTCTGTGAGCATGTAGCTCGTCTGGGACGGTGGGAACGCCTGCTGCTTGTTTCCCTTTGTCCAGTCTTTTGCGTCTTTGATATCTATTGTGAAATGGATTCATCTCCTTTTGATAGTCACGCAGAAGAACGAGTAGATCGTGGCCTCGTTTCTGTGGACGCCCTGCGAGGTACTTTTCTAGGCGCTGTAGTAGGTCTGAGCTACATATGAGATCTGATATCAGATTGGGCCCCATTTTCGCTGCAGAGGTGCCCACTCCTGCACTCGCCTTGAGGCTGAAGAGCTGGTCCAGCAAAAGAGACATGTTATTAGTGGTCTCTTTCATCAAGGAGATTAGACCGACATAGATGTTAGCGACAAGAATTTTTCGAAGCTCTTCATGGCTCGCCATGATTTGGTACGCTTCATTCAACGCATCGATATAATCAGACCCAGCCATCAGGCTTTGGCCACATTCCGGAAGAGCCGAAACCAGGATTGTCAAACGTCGGACATCGGAAATTGTGTCAGAAGAGAGCGAAGCGGCTCCCGAAGTCAGGTTGCTGATTACATGGAGTTTTGCTTGCTCTATGCTGGACGATATCTCCTGGTCATGCAGGTCCCACGCGGCTGATAAAGTTGTCTTCAATGCAGTACTGGCAGGGTAGCAGCAACAAATGTTGCCAAGCAATCGCCAGCTCAAAAGACTTTCAGGTGGGGAAGAAAGACTGAGTAGATATCGCCTTGTCGTAAGAAAGCAAAGCTTCCGCAGTTGTCGAGCTTTGGGTCCAGACTGTAGACCAGAGTCACCGACGGCCGCATGTTGATAGAATGAATCCAAGAATGACGCTATTGACGAGTCTTCGACTGCTAAGTCTTGGAACTTCTGCTCGGCAGAATTGAGCCGAATTGCAAGTAACGTCGTCCATGCATCTAGGCAAGCATCCCAATCACTCGAAGGAATAGCCCTCCGCACCGCGGGGAGGGCACTGGAGCTAGCGGCGGGAATGCCACCATTGAACACGGCTCCTGCAGCCAGATATAAATTTAAAGTGACACAAGTAAGACTTGAAGCAAGAATCGAAGTGCAAGCCAACGGACTCGGGTATTGGACATTCACTGAGAAATAACTTGGAAAGTGAACCATATGTCGTACGTAATATCCAAGCTCTAGCACCTTCACATAACCGGTTACTGCATTTGGTCCCCGCGGAAGCACGCTGAGTCAGCGGATCATTCTGCCGGGCGGCGTGACTCGACCGTCTGTTCGCTGGAGACGATGAGCCTCCAAAACGGGCTTAGTGTGCGATAACCGAAAGCGCCAAGATTTCCCGCACTGAATCTTTTCGCTTCGCTCCACACAAAACTTCCATCGGCCATCATCACCTTACCGAACCCAGCAGTTCAGGTCTTGACCGGCAATCCGTCCCTAAACCCCCCAAATCCAAATCAACTCAAGATGTCTTTCCAGAAGCCCGAGAAGGAGTTCGGCGAGGGCCCCGTACGTTCGACCCGCATCCCTCAATTGTCGTGAATCGCATATCGCACAAGATACTGTCAGCCCGCCGCAGCTTGCTGAGCGCGCGATATCATGTCGCTATCGATACAATGCACATGAAAGCTACCAGATCATGTTGCTAATAATCGCCGCAGAAGGTCCACAAGATCCGCATCACCCTCACCTCCCGCAAGGTTGCCTCCCTCGAGAAGGTCTGCCAGGAGCTGATCGACCGTGCTCGCTCCAAGTCCCTGCAGGTCAAGGGCCCCGTCCGTCTGCCCACCAAGACCCTGACTATCTCCACCCGTAAGACCCCCAACGGTGAAGGTTCCAAGACCTGGGACAAGTACGAGATGCGCATCCACAAGCGTCTCATCGAGTAAGTCATCACTCTTCAATCCTCCGAAGTGCCGCAGCGGGCCATGGAACCGATGTGATTAAAGAGCTATGTGGCTAATGGCTTTTCGTATAGCCTCCTCGCCCCCACCGAGACCGTCAAGCAGATCATCATCAACATTGAGGCTGGTGTTGAGGTTGAGGTCACCATTGCTGCTTAAATGCACTAGTCCTGCAATGGAGTCAGGGAGGGTTTCGAGATCGATCGCCAGCTGTGCCGAGCAAATTGCAGGTTCTTCAAAGTGGTTGGTCGTTTACTACGAGCCTATCTTGGATTATAGTGGTAGATACCCGTTACAACCTGAAAGACAAAAAAATGGAAACATCTTGAGAAAATACACCGTTTGCATTTTCGCGTAGTCTCGTTGCCCCAACTTAGGATCATCTACAACCAGACAGCCATCGCCGGCTGCTAACCGGTGGCACAAACACCTGTATGCTCGTCAAACTCCACAGCGCCTTCGCCTGCTGGTTTGTACAATCAACCGCGCGGTAATGTTAGCTGTTACGGAGTTTGCGGAATGAATCAAAAGTGCAAGGGACAAAAGTATTATAGCAAGTCGCAATGATTCCCACTTCATCAGCGTAACACGCTTTGTGGCTGCTCGACAAGTAAATCTGCCCTTGGACGCTGTATTCAAAAATCAAAGCTGATGAAGTCCTTCCTCGGCGCAACTGATGGGATCTTGCCATCTTTAAAGTAGCCATTGTCGAGGAAGAATCTAAACATCGCCTCAACCTCTGGCGTGTATTCCTCGGGCTTAGCCTGAGAGTCTCGCAAACTGGCATCGTCTGGAGGACCGTCCGGAAAATTGATGCGAACAGGGGTCTTGTTGTCTTGAGGATGTAGATAACAAGGTGCGTCTTTGATGTATGTCACTGGACGGCCCTTCCACAGGACAAGACGGTTTGTGGCAGGATCGCGACGAGTATCTCCTTCCAGAGGTGGCAGAGGATTCAGTTCGTTGGGGGTGTCAATTTTGAAGAACGCTCGGGGCCCTGCGTTGACGTTCGGTACTACAAGGCCTTGTGGGGCGGCAGGCTGACCGAAGGGGGAGGGAGCAGCTGCAGACTGCTGAGGTTGTGTTGACGGAGCACCGAATGGATTTGGTGGCGCAGATGGTTGCCCAAAGGGCGCTGGAGCTGATGGTGGTTGCTGCGGTTGTGCAAGTTGGCCAAATGGTGATGCAGACTGTGAAGGCTGTCCGAATGGTCCCGAGTTGCCGAAGCCACCCGCGGATGGCGCTGGTTGTGAAGTAGGCGACTGTCCAAATGGTGATGGTTTGGAGAGAGCACCGAAGACATCTGAAGCACGCTGGCTTTGACCGGCCTGTGCGAAGGGAGAGACACCCGTTGCTGGAGTGATATTTTGAGATCCTGGCGGCGGAGAGCAGAAAAAAGGCCTGCTGCGGTACCACTGCTGAGGCGAATCCCGGCTGCCCAAACGCTGGCTGACCGAATGTAGTCTGCGCACTGGCTCCAAGAGATGAAGGCTGGCCAAAAGCCGAGCCTTGGCCCATCTGAGAGGGCTGGCCAAAACCTGAGGCTTGACCCAAAGCGGAGGGTTGTCCGAATGGCGATGATTGTCCAAGAGCTGATGGCTGTCCAAAGCCGGCTGCTGGCGCTTGTTGTTGCGTAGACGCTTGACTGAAGGCTGTAGGCTGCCCGACCCCTGAAGGCTTGCCCCATCCTGCAGCAGGTGCAGCGGGTGCCCCGAAAGCACCCACAGCTTGGGCTGTCGAGAACTGTCCCACGGCTGACGTCTCCGAACCACCTGCACTTTGAGATTGCTCGATAATGTCAAGTCGATTGGGGTGTTCATTGGCACCGTCGATAATGTATTTAACGGCCCCATTTAGATCATTCAAAGCGGATTCCATCTGCCTGACGGACTCTTGCCACAAGGTCTGTGCTTCCTGCACAGCTTGGTTCAGATTTCCGGCAGCCGCAAGTTCGTAGTGCCGAAGGCGCATCTCCTCCATGCTCTGTTCCCGCTGAGGGCCCCCAAACAGCTGTCGAGGGGCATTTCGACTTGGCGCATATGATGAAAAGACCCATTCTGGGCGGCCTTTGCCAACACTTAGGTCCAGCTTGATATCATTTGCTGTCACACCGTAGCTAGTCCTTTGGTCAGTGTCCGGAGATTGAGCTATCATGGTAAGGGAACACTCACTCTGTTGCTTCCTGAGCTGATCCTCTCTGTTGACCTGTAATGCCATAAAAGTTAGGTATAAATGCAACCGACAGCTTCGGGATCATAATGGGTAACAATAATCTGAATTGATGTTGCCATCAAAGAAGGCAAGACAGAAGGTTGCAGGGATAAGTGGAGGATGAGGACCTGACGACGCGTGGGCAACATGTGTGGGGTCCCATGAGGGGAATACAAGAGCTAGTAGTATGCAAAGGAAATGCAGTCATGTTTCGCGGAGGCTTGAAGTCCTCTGGGACCGAAAGGTTGCCTTACCTCCAAGACCACCCCCGGAGAGGGCGCCAAAACGATTGCCAGAGGCACCAGTCGTCCCTCGGCCAGGATGCTCGTACTTGCAGCGATCTGTTCAAGCATCAGCACTCTGAGCTTTGCCCACGGATTTATTGTGCAAATTGACCTACCGCCAAATTTACAGCGCCCTTGCTGGAAAAATGTGCAAACGACCATGGTGCTGCCGTCACTGCGTCAACGCTGGCCGCTGCCCTTGTTGCGCTGAATGACGGGTGGATGCACCGCTGCCGCACGTGATGTGGCACACACGCACACGTACTGCGATTTCCAGATCTTCTGTCTGGATGAAAGCTATTGTGAGGTAAGATTGAGCTTGGCAGACTTGATTTGTGAGCACTATGAATCGTGGGTATATGTAGAGTGAGATGAGTCTGAGGCTGTTTTTTCGTAGTTGGCGCGCTTGAAACTTGTCTGCGGGCGTTATCGTTATCGCGATAAGACCTCGATCAAAATGCATCTGTCTTCGAGATGGTCTAGAGCGATCTGCCCAGTGATTATCGGTAGGAAATAGTAGGAACAGCCACCTACAACGACTGCATCATCTGGATGTAATGCATAGCGGCCTTCAGATCGAACTATTAGATCCTTGTCACAAGTGTCTGTCAAAAAGCGCTTTGAGAGTTCCATTTTCCAACAAAGACTATGCAATGACAGAGTATATATCTAGTCAACCCTGAAAGAGCATGTTTCGTCCCGCAATAACCTTAGAGCTATTTCTGTCCCCTGGAAAGCAGTGGAGGGCAACACTACCTAAGGCATCACGCCTCGATCGAGTGCGATCTATACTCCATCACGGTATTGTCAGTCTCTCTGAACCTTGAAACTCTGAAGAGTTCGGTCCGATGAAGGGCTTACTGAAATTCAAAATTGATGACTGTTCATAGAGCTAAGACGAGATGGGGGCTGTGACTATGATGAATCACCTAAACCTTGACAAGGAAGACGCGACTAGACGGTAGTTTATGCCAGCATTTAAGCGAGTACTGGTCATGCCGACAGACACACTGCTTCGCAGTTTGCCAAGTCAGAGTTAGACAATGTCAACATTGCAGAGGTACAGCTCTTCGGGATTTGCACCCAAAACATGTCACTGAGGCTTTGATTGAGACAGTAGAATAGAATTTGCGTGGGTATATGTGAATTAGTGTTGTGTTTGGCGCATGCTGTGTCGCAATGTGTCCCAGTTTAGCCCATCTACCTTCTTGCCACCCAGTGCCTCCAACTCGTTTTCAAGCCCGGTAACCCGCCCAGTAGCTAGTCGGCGCATCATCACTGTATCTTTGGCCCCCGGGAGAGTCCTAGCCGTTCCGTGAAGCAAGATCTCCTCAAACCAGTCCTCTTCGTCTTCACCGAATGGCAGACCGACAAGTTCCATGGCGCGCCTGCTCCTTGTCTGCCCAGCGGGCGTTTTCAACACAAATTCAACTAGCTGGTCAAAGTAGAGCCGGCGCTGGCACTCATCCCACTTCCTCGTGAAGAAGAATGCCTCGGTGACATTGGATCGACATAGGGTTTCGAAGAAGGCTCGTTGCACATTGGGACCTGCCAGGGGAGGAGCGGTGGTGTGATAGTAGGCGATGGCAAGGCCGTCGTCATGCTTGGGAAGATGCGGCAAGGTCAAGACGTAGAGAATCTCGTCCGGGAAGGTTGGAATGAGGGATGGTTCAGTGAGTAATTCAATTGCGCGCTATGCTTCGTTAACTGGGGTTCAACGATTCATTTTGTGTAGCGGAGGACGAACTCGGAATTCTAGCCGATCTAGGTTCCAGAGACCCTCAATAAACAGACGGTACTTTTCGGGAAGATGGCATTCTCGCGCAAAACGCGAAGCAGCGTCAGGCGCACTGCGACAATCTTTCAAAATGTAATAGATCAAGGCCTGCTTGTGATGAATATCCAGTTCCGAGGAGACAATCTTCTCAATCAAAGATCGGAGATCATCGTTGGTCTTAGGAGGGTAGGCCTTTGATGCTGAGCAATTGTCAAAAAGAATCCGTTAGCCAACGTCGACAAGGGCCTTCTCATGGCTTGGTAGGGCGATGATACACTCATACCTGCTTTGATTCCCGCAACGCCCAGCAGTCGATCGGCAAAAAGCTGATTCTCCAACGCTTTGCGATTGGAGATTATCTGATCAACCACCTTTGAATCATATGAGAATTTCTTGTTGAAATTGAAGATGTCATTGAAGTTCTCCCATTGCGCCATGGTGAAAGACTGAGCTCTTGTTCGACAAGTGTCTGTCGCGGGGATGCAGATGGCGACAGCTTGGGAAGGCCTCCTCCGCGGAGTGGTAAGATTACGCCAGTAACGTTACCGGGCGGTGAGTGATTTGTTATGAGCGTGGATTAGCACTTTACCATTTTGGGTGGAAGGTAAACAACCCACTTTCCGGTACATCTGCGATTCATCTTTTTCCCCTCATCTCAGCAACTCCATTTCCCCCACCCCTCCGATCCGGACTCACTCGCGTTCATGAATTAAAGCGACGTTGAATCATATCTGCGGCTCAAAATGGCTTCGATCGCTAAGGCTAGGCCGTCGCGCCGTGCAGCCGCGCGCCGAAGCTATGTGGTTGAGGAAACTTCCGAGTCCGAGGACGCCGGCAATGTCACACCAACCGCCTCCACGCAAGACGGCGAGGAGGAGGCGGACGACGATGATGACGACGATGAAGAAAGCGAAGACGAGCAGGACTATACACCTGTTGCGCCCAAATCGAAACGTCCCTCTGGCAAACGACTGACTCTAGAGCCCGTGACCCCCGCGACTGTGAAACCTGCGCAAAAGTCACGACAGCCAAGAGCATCGATCGCACCAGAGACAGAGGAGTCAGATGTGTCTCAGGTAGAGGTAACGGATGACAGCGAGGAAGATGACGAGGAAGCCAGCGTTATCTCTGCCGCCGTGGACCCGGACTCTCCCTCGAACCAAGCAGTCTTGAAGCGGAAGAGCGTCGAGCCTGCAGAGGCTGACCCTGATTCGCCTATGAATAAGGCGACACTGAAAAGACAAAGTATGACTCAACCCCTTGAGAGTCGTGGTTCAATCACTCCGACGTCGACAAAGGGCTCACTTCCCACTCCAGAGCCATCTGAGTCGCCAGAGACCACTCCAACACGCGCACACCGGGAAAGTGTGCCACCTCTGTCCGACATTACCCAGTCCGCCACGAATGTGCAGACCCCCATGAAACAAAGCGAAGACGCCAAACAACAGATATCGATCATCAACCCCAATTCTACAGTACTTGAACGACCGATGGACATAGTGATGAAGTCTAGGAATATGCCATTGCCCGCGGTGGCCGAGGATTCGGCGGAACCAAAGCCCCGCATGATCATTCAAAATCTCATTCTAACCAACTTCAAGAGTTACGCGGGAAGGCAGGTCGTCGGCCCATTCCACGCGTCTTTCTCGTCCGTAGTCGGCCCTAACGGATCAGGGAAGTCCAACGTCATTGACTCCTTGCTATTTGTGTTCGGTTTCCGTGCCAGCAAAATGCGTCAAGGCAAAATTTCGGCTCTGATTCATAACTCTGCGCAGCACCCTAATCTTCCTTTTTGTGAAGTTGAGGTTCACTTTGAGCAGGTTATCGATCTGCCTGAGGGCCGCCACGAGGTTCTACCAGATTCTCATCTCGTTATCTCCCGACGCGCGTTCAAGAACAACAGCAGCAAGTACTACATGAATAAGAAGGAAACCAATTTCACTGCCGTTACCACATTCCTCAAGGACCGCGGGATCGATTTGGACCACAAGCGGTTTCTCATTCTTCAGGGTGAAGTCGAATCCATTGCACAAATGAAGCCAAAAGCCGCCAATGAGCACGATGAAGGACTTCTTGAATATCTAGAGGACATAATTGGTACCTCCCAATACAAGACACCGATCGACGAAGCTGCTACAGAACTCGAGACATTGAATGATGTCTGCGTTGAAAAGAATAGTCGCGTCCAACACGTCGAAAAAGAGAAAGCTGCTCTGGTCGATAAGAAGGACAAGGCCTTGGGTTATCTCCGCGATGAGAACGAACTTGCAGAGAAGCAGTCAGCTCTCTACCAGATTTACATCAATGAGTGCGCAGATAATGTCCGCGTGACCGAGGAAGCCATCCTTCAAATGCAGGAACTTTTGAACTTGGAGCTTGAAAAACACGAAGGCAATGAGACTGGCATCAAGGAGCTCGAAAAGGCCTACAAGCGCGGTGTGCGTGAGTACGAGAGCATGGAGAAGGAATCGCACGCTGTCGCAAAAGAGATGGCCAAATACGACAAGGAGAACGTCAAGTTTGAAGAAAAGAGGAAATTTCTCCTTGGGAAGCACAAGAAGTTGGAGAAGACCATGCAGACCAGCCGCCTGGCCGCTTCTGAAAGCACTAGTCTCGTCGAGAAGTACGCCGACGACATCGAGAAGAAGACTGGAGAGGTTTCTCAACTTGAGCAGGAAATGCAGACCGAGGAGGAGGAACTTGATTCAATCCGTGAGAGTTTGAAGGGAAAGACTCAAGGGCTTTCTGAACAAATCGCGAAGAAGCAAAAGTCTCTAGAGCCCTGGAACGAAAAGATCAATCAGAAGCAGTCAGCTATGGCTGTGGCACAAAGTGAGCTGGACATTCTTCATGAACGCAGCAATGCCGGCGCCGTTCTGCTGGAGGAAGCCCAAGCCAAGACCGTGACCATCGAGGAGAACATTGTCGCCAAGGAAAATGAACTTGAAGAGCGACAGGCACAGAAGGAGACACTGGAAGCTGAACTTGCCAAGTTGCAGCACGATTTGCGAAAGTATGGCGCTCGCGAGCCAGAGGTACGCGCCCATGTCTCCAGTGCACGACAAAAGGCCGAAGAGGCACGAGCAAGCTTGGCCAGTACGCAGAATCGCGGAAGTGTCTTGACTGGTCTTATGCGGCTCAAAGAGTCTGGTCGTATTGACGGATTCCATGGCCGTTTGGGTAACCTCGGCACAATCGACGAAAAGTACGACGTGGCCATCTCAACTGCTTGTCCTGCACTTGACAATATGGTTGTCGAGACAGTCGAAATCGGTCAACAATGCATCGACTACCTTCGCAAGAACAATCTCGGACGCGCAAACTTCATTCTTCTCGACCGCCTTCCTCGTCGCGATATGGCAACTATCTATACCCCGGAAAGTGTGCCTCGCCTTTTCGACTTAGTGAAGCCCAAAGATCCCAAATTCGCTCCTGCTTTCTACAGCGTGATGCAGAATACGTTGGTGGCGAAAGATCTGGAACAAGCGAATCGCATTGCATACGGTGCGCGACGTTGGCGAGTGGTGACACTCGACGGTCAATTGATTGACGTTTCGGGTACCATGAGTGGTGGTGGCACGCGGGTCGCTCGAGGTGGTATGTCTTCTAAGCAAGTTGCCGACACTACCAAGGAACAAGTCGGACGGCTTGAGTCTGATCTTGAAGAATTGGAGCGGAAGTTCCAGATCTTCCAAGAGAAGCAGCGCAACATCGAAGCCAACATGCGGGAGAAGACGGAGGAGATCCCGCGAGTGGACACGAAGATCCAAAAGATCATGATGGAGATCGAAAGTGCCAAGCGCAGTCTTGCAGATGCTCAACGGCGGGTGAAAGAACTCCAAGTCGCGCACAAGCCATCAAAGACGGATGAAGGTCAAGCGGCGGCCCTAGAGAAGCAAATTGAGGCAATGAGCGACGATATTGAGGAGCTCAACCAAGAAAAGAGCGGCATTGAAGAGGAAATTCAAGAATTGCAAAACAAGATTATGGAAGTCGGCGGTGTCCGTCTTCGTGGCCAGAAAGCCAAGGTTGACGGTCTGAAGGAACAGATCAGTCTGCTCAGCGACGAGATCTCCAACGCCGAAGTGCAGAAGTCCAAGAACGAGAAGCTTATCACTAAGCACTCTAAAGCCCGCGACGCTTCGGAGAAGGAGATTAACCAAATCACGGAGGAATTGGAGAAGCTCGAAGAGGATGTTGAGAATCAAGCCAATGACGCTTCTGAATGGAGGCAGAAAGCAGACGAGGCTCAAGAAGCCCTTGAGAGCAAGAAGAGTGAATTGAAATCTCTCAAGGCCGAGCTTGACGAGAAAGTGACCGAACTCAACGAGACACGCGCCACCGAGATCGAGATGCGTAACAAACTGGAGGAGAACCAAAAGGCCCTCGGCGAGAATCAAAAACGCAGCCGGTACTGGGAGGAGAAGCTTTCCAAGCTCTCCTTGCAGAGTATCAGCGACTTGGGTGAGGAGCAGGAGACGACGGAGCTTCAAACATACACCAAGGATGAGTTGGATGCGATGAACAAGGAGTCTCTCAAGGCGGTGATTGCCGCTCTCGAGGAGAAGGTGCAGAACACATCCGTTGATCTTTCGGTTATCGAGGAATACCGTCGCCGTGCTGCTGAGCACGAGTCCCGATCAGCGGATCTGGCCGAGGCGTTGTCATCTCGTGACGCTGCCAAGGCCCGCTTGGATGGACTTCGCTCCGCACGACTCAACGGCTTCATGGAAGGATTCGGCATCATTTCTCTTCGTCTGAAGGAAATGTACCAGATGATCACCATGGGTGGTAATGCCGAGCTGGAACTCGTCGATTCGCTCGATCCGTTCTCCGAGGGCATCCTGTTCTCGGTCATGCCCCCCAAGAAGAGTTGGAAGAACATTGGCAATCTCTCGGGTGGTGAAAAGACGCTTTCGAGTCTGGCCCTGGTGTTCGCCCTGCACCACTACAAGCCGACGCCGCTCTATGTCATGGACGAGATTGATGCGGCGCTGGATTTCCGCAACGTACGTCCTGTTTCTGTATACTCTTGTCATTATTGGCATTAACGACTGACTTGACTAGGTCTCCATTGTGGCCTCATACATCAAAGAGCGAACGAAGAATGCCCAATTTATTGTCATTTCGTTGCGCAACAACATGGTACGCCTGTCTTCCTTTGCGTCTTCCTTTCCGATCGAGAAATGTCTTGCTGATTGTTTTCACAGTTTGAACTCGCTTCTCGCCTCGTCGGTGTGTACAAGGTCAATCATATGACGAAGAGTGTCACGATCGAGAACAGAGACTACATTGAGGGACGATGATGGGATTGAGCGATATCCGCGCATTCTCTGCTTTTGCATTCTTGGACATAATTACATTTTCACGGTCGGATAGGGTTGTGTTACGGTTTCTTGTTGATGATATCATGGGCTTGGAGTTTTGTGGGGTTCTTTGGAAATGAATCGTTTCCCAGTTGATATACACCTATACAGTGACCCGCCTCGAAGCTTGCTGGCAGTAGCAGTGGCAGTATTGAACCGTGTCGGACATTCCCACTCCTCCCCCAGGACTCCAAGTGCTTAGTGACTTGGGGTGGGAAATGGAGATGTCACGAAGTAGTAATAGAGCGATCAAGTGATCTGGTGAGCATAGATGTCTGACACGCGCCTTCTAGGTGCATCGCTCCCTATGAATGTCATGTCTGCAAGGGGAAGGAGCTCATCCATCTGGCTCCTCGGCCGCGACGACTGCCGCGACCGCTCCATTTTTCCCGCACTACAGACATATCTGGACTGAAGCGATTCACGTGATAGTCGCGTTTGTCATCTCGGCTGTTGGTCAATTCAATTGACAGGCATTTCACTTACTTGGCACAGGCCAACCGGTTCGCTAGACAGCTTGTCGATGAAGGAGAAGAAGGTTGGCCGTGATCTCAAAATGACGACGTCATGACAAAATGGTTACCTATTGCTGTGCGGTACTGCAGGAGGGCAGGTACTTTTCCCCTTTTGAAATGGAACTTGGAAGCCTCCGCTTGACCAGGATGTACCATCAAATGTATAATGGATAGAGTATCGGAGGCGTGGCCCAGTCTCACGCGGCAGGGAGACGTGGAGTTTTGGAGCTTCCGATTTCAAAACGAGGCACCCGTCTTTGCTTGCTTGATTTTCAACTCGCTCATCTCAGCTTTCGGGCGGTGCAGGTACTCCAGAATAATTAAGTTATTCTAGTGCTTCCCCAGAGCTGTGCGCAAGAGGATCCTTCAGACCGGGCCAAGAAGTGACCTGCATAAGCCCTGCGTCGAAGCACTTCAATTTCACGCGGGTTCAACCTGTCCTTGAGACGAACGGTTTCTTTCATCTGCGATCGACATCATCTGGATTCTGGTTTACCCCGCTGTCTGGGCCGGAATGGCACTCCAGGTTCCGCCCTATCACTCAGCATCGGCTTCGGTGTCTCTTGCTCCAAACTTGCTCGAAGTTGAATGATGTTCTGGCTCGTGCTTCTGCACTTGCTCTCTGTTCCAACTTCCCAGCCTCTTCGGGGCCCTTTGGAACAGCCGCGATCATCCGATCGAATCTCATCCAGGCGTTCGCAATCTCATCTGTCTCGCTTGGATGGGGGAGTGCTGCTATGTGGTCCACTGAATCTCTCGTAAAGAAATAGACAATAGGAACATAAAGCTCGTCTTATATCCCTGCCGCTTGCTCCGTCTGCGCCCCCATCGTCGCCAATGAAGATGCGCTCCTACTCCTCGTTCCCGTCTGATTCCCAGTTTCGATGATATTTCCGGAACCCAGCCGTCCAGTGGCTGAGGGTCGTCGAACTTTCGCTTTTCAGCTTTCCAACCATCTCGGAGGAATCGTAGTCGATCTGTTGACGTCAGCGCGGGGTCAAGTACAGTACTCCTTGACTTGAGTTCGACAGCAGCATGAACAATTCTTTGCACGGCGGCTGCAAATTGTATTACTTTTGTGGAGAATGAAGGTCTTGTCTTGCAGTGCTATAATGTATAAGACTCGCGGTTGGCTGCAGCATGTAGTGTGAAACTTTTGAGAGTTTGGGTGCAGGTTCAGTCAATTCCAGCTTCTACAGATTGAGCGGCTGTCGCCTGGTTTCCGCTTGCAACTGAAGGGGAACCTAGACTCTATCAAACCCATGCAATCATAGACTGGCAAAAGTGGCAACAGAGAACGAGTTGTTCAGTCTTTCTAGCAGCGGTCATTCAATCCATCCTCTCTCTACTGTCGACTTTGGTCAAGCCAAACGACAACATCTTTCTTCCGTGACATACCTCTAGTCGAATCGACAAGTCGACTTGGTAGTTGATACTACAATTAAACAATGGTTAGTACCGCATGGAGTCAAATATTCGAGAAGAGAACTTCCCTTCTACATCATCAAAACACCCCCGTCCACCATCCACTCTGTTGTACCTCATGAACCAGGGACAATACCCGCGTCACGAACCATAGCTCTGGCATCAACCCTAAGAACCACACAATCATCAATAAACAGATCTCCCTACCCATCTTCATCCCCTGGATCGACCTGCAATTTCTCTCCCCATCACTAACATATCCTGGATTCTTTCCATTCAACCAGGCACCCACATCCCACCTGCTCACCCCCCGAGCCCCAAACGACTGCCCAAGCAACCTCACCGGCGGTGCAATCGCCGGCATCGTCATCGGCTCAATCTTCGGTACTCTCCTCCTCATCTGGCTCTGGCGCTTCCTCCAATTCCCCTGGGCCAGTGACGATGTATCAGATGTGGGCTATCGGCCCCCGATCACCCGGACGTCTGCGGGAGATGAACGGCGACGACGACGACGAAGATCAGCTACCGTGGACTACTATGTCGAGAAGCCAAGAAGTCGCTCGCGGGGATATCGGGAGGAGGTGCGTCGACCAGCAAAGGTGTATCTTTCATGAGGGGTGGATGGAGTGAGCTGAAGGACCTACCTAATTCATTAATTGATGGAGGCGAGATGGGATGAACTGCAGGTGGATGTTGGCGTCTGTACCTTCCAAAGGCTCGGGTGAGGTGGCGATGGGTGTGTGTTGTGGTGTGACAGGTGGCTAATGGCTAAGTTACTGCGTTTTTTCTAGTGTTTTGTCTGGCGGCTCTTGTGTTTCTTTGGTGATGTGTGGCGGAGGAGTTAGGTTATGATGAGTGATGATTTATGAGGATACGTCGAGTTTCATTCACGATACACCTACTAATGGGCGTCTGAAACGTGAGAATATCGAATAATGACATGTCATGCCACTCAATGTGAACAGACTGGATCTGTATACACCAGACTAATTTCCATTCACCTCTGTGCCTAGGTAGGTAAAGAGAATGGAAATATAGTGTACTCGGCAGATACCGCCTACATACCTCTTATCTGAATCCAAGTAAATGCCCACGGGCATTCTACGTCCATAGGTTTGAGTGACCATGCACGTATGAATAACAGCGCCCTCCTTGACTGGTGCGAATGCTGTACTCGGGGCTGGACTATCTTCCTGTACGGCATCGTCTCGACGAGGACCAACCTGACCTTAAATTTGAGATCCCAAGATCACGGGCACAAAGCTCTAAACCAGGTGGATGTCCAAAGGGACGTGGGTTGATTTATAAAGTACTGGAACCCTCTCTCCGTCCGAATGAGGTACCATACCACTGGAGTTATGACACAGGGAGTGGGAATTTCAATGTTTTCGTTGAGACACGGAGACCCAAGATATACGACAGATCTCTCATCCAGGGGATCCCATCGCTGCTTACATGGATATCAACGTCGAGACCAGATGGACACCTGTCTGAAATGGGTCGCTATGGCAATCGTGAAGGTCGTGATTTGTCACTGGAACGGAGTGATCGAATCGATCAATGTCTCTCATGTAGGTCCGTCTACGCCTTGCTTCCATCAAGATGGTATAGAGGCGGACGGGCCGGGCCTAGACTCGACTCGGTAGGTCGAGGCTTCCCTCCACCTTCGATACTCTATGATTTGATATGATCACCTGATTAGAGGTGCTTCAGCTGGACGGCTCTCACCTTCGTAATTCATGGCCTGCTTTTTACAAGTGTAGTGAGTAATGAAGGGCTTGGAAGAATAGCCTCGTACTACATAGTACATGACGATGTAGTTACTACTAGGTGATTCCATGTACTCTCTCACCTTCACAGTCTTCACGATTCACTGCCGTGTTTAAATTGAGATCCTTAGCGTTGTTGGCATCTCCACTACTTCTTAGGTTTTTACTACAGACTACAGAGACTACAGACTCACGGAATACAGAAGAGTACCTCCAGAGTACTCCCTTAGTCAGGTGTTCCTCCCAACGTGACCAATGTGACCACGTGATAGACTCCAAGTTTCAACCGCGCCTTGAATCGCAAGTCCGGACTCGGCACGATCATCCTCTCGATTCGTCTCATCAAGACGACCAGTGGAGGGAGGTTTCACCAGCCCAAGGTATGGTTTGACTGGGGTCTACTGCTTCAATACCTTCACCATCAGGCCCACTCTCATGCTCTCAGTACTTTGGGTTATGAAGGTGTGACGAGATTATCACCTCCGGGTGCCCCTCTGACAATTGGTGTCCTCATCATGATAGGGCGGCCATCCTGGTCCTTGCCGACTGCTCTTGACTTCTCCAGTTCTTTCACCAACCTGGAAAACATCCAACATTGACAACAGTATATGTCTTCCCCCCCCCCGACGCTCTGTGGCTGGTGGATGGTGCCCTGACTCGACGCCATCACCCATTCTCAAACGTCCATCACTCCACCACTGCATGCAGCCGTGGACTTCCGTCGAACCGACCGTTACGTATCCAGCCAATTATCCATGGTCTTCATCATCTCGGGACCACTTGACTGCTTGAAGTCTCGACTGTCGACCTCATGCGAGTCCATGTCTTGTTATTCGCTACCACCCTGTTGAGTGTTGACTGTAGTAATGACTGGACTGTTCAACCCCAAGTCGATCCATTCAGGAACGAACCAACCACACTGAGCACTGGACCAAACCCCTGAGTTGATCTCATTTGAACTTCGTCATCCCAGTCACGGGAGTGAGCATGTGATTGGTCACAGTAGCTCGTCAGGGGGACTCCTGCAGCCAAGCACGGGGGCCGGTAGATTGCTTGCTGCCGCTAATCCCAAGTGGGCTTAGTGGTGATAAGAGGCGGACGGGATTGTTCCCCTGTTCATCTTACTGGGACTCTGTGATTGGACGGCGGGCGGGCAACTGTTTTTTTGTTTGGACTCCCAGCGGCAGTCCCCTTACCGTCCACTGGATCCATCGACTGCAGTGCTGCACCCTGCCAGGCTTGCCAGCTGCTCTTGCGGGAGGTGGACGGTGGTAGTGGTACAGCCGAGAGGGGAGCCAAATACCTCAAAATTGAGATGCCTGATAGGGACACAACGGACTCACACACGCTAATCGCACTGAGCCAGCACCCTCTCTTGGCCACCCTCCACCCAAAACAGACTAGCAGATGGAGACACCCTCAAGTCGTCGACGCCAGGCCTCTCGGGGGCTTGCCAGGACTGAGCAGCGATTCCTGATTGGCATCTGCTACTCAGTCTCTGAGATCCACCACGGGGCTCGAGAAGAACTGTTTGACTCGCCCTCTCGCCCACCTTCCTCTCTCTTTCCTCTCGTCTCGTTCCCCCTGAATATTATTATCGGGTCTCCACGCTCATTGACGCTGCGTCCTCGCTCCCACCCTCACACTCTTTAGGATCCGCCGCGAACTTGTTGCTGCTGGTGGTGATTCCACCTGTCCAATCTTTTCATTTGTGTGATTCGGCTGCCGTACGACCGCCATCACATCCTCTCCCTTCAGAACTCCCGATTTTTCAGAGCTGGACTTTGACTCTGTACCCATTCATTCTTGCCAAAAAGAAAATCCTTCGTGGTGTGGATTCGCCGATCCTTCAGCAGCAACTGATTATCAATTCTCAAAAGAACGGAAGAACAACCACCGAGCTTGCCGATTGCGAGAGCAAAGACGTTGGCACCTCTTGTGTAACACGAGGAAAAAAAAAGAACATTCGATATTCTCAAATTTGATCAACTAGTCGAGATGAGGCACTTTTGGACGACCGCCGCCTGGGCGTCCCTGATGGGTTCAGTGGTAGCTCAGACATTCACGAACTGTAATCCCCTGGAGAAGGCTTGTCCAGCCGATCCGGCCTTGGGCACTGAGCATGAATGGTGGCTCAATTCGACCATTGACCCGTCTGTGTGGAACATGTCCACCGGGTCCATCAACTATGCCAACGGTGCGGCCGAGTTCACCATCGCCAAGGTGAACGAGTCGACTCTGATGCAGTCCAACTTTTACATCTTTTTCGGTGTGGTGGAGAGCTGGGTCAAGATGGCCAAAGGTGGGGGTGTCGTGAGCAGTGTGGTGCTGGAGTCGGATGATCTGGACGAGATTGATTGGGAGTGGGTGGGATACAACACAAGTGCTGTGCAGAGCAACTTCTTCGGCAAGGGCAACACCACCTCGTACGATCGCGGTGGGATTCATTACGTCCCCAACGCCGATACCGAATGGCACAACTACACCACCCTGTGGACCAGTGAGAAACTCGAGTGGCATATTGACGGTCAGGTGGTGCGCACCCTGCCCTTCAACGATCCCAAAGCCTTGGGAGGCAAGAACTATCCGCAGACGCCCTGCCGGGTCAAGTTCAGTAACTGGCCCGCCGGTCGAGAGGGTGCCGCCCAGGGTACCATCGAATGGGCCGGTGGCCTCGTCGACTACTCCAAGGGTCCCTTCACCATGAGTGTGCAACGCATTCGCATTCAGGATTACCACAGTGGCAAGGAGTACTCCTACGGTGACCGATCGGGCTCCTGGCAGAGTATCAAGGTTGTGACGTGAGTATTGAAATCTCGGACGCGGCAAGCATACTATCTCTTGGACGAATTCTGGCTGACTCCTTTTGGGTTAAAGTGGAAACTCGACCGTCCAGCAAAAGATCGATCAGCCGCCTCCCAAGTCTCTGTCCGAGAAGTGGGCGGATCTGCCCCAGGCCACGCACATTGGAGTCTATGCGGCCGCGGGAGCTGTCGGTGGCCTGCTCATCCTTGTTCTGGGCTTCTGCTGCATTCGTCAGCGCCGCCAAGGGCGTCTTGAGCACGCCCTGGCCGATTCCAAGTGGAATGCCGAGCGAACGGAGATGGCCAACTTCCAGAGTGATTGGAAGCAGACCGAGTGGAAGCACGGTGGCTACAGCAAGGTCAACAGCTAGATCACCCTAGCTACGTTGACTCGTCCAGCTGTCGTTTGTCGTCTCCTATTGTGTCTTCTATGTTTCCTGTTCACGCCCTCCGATCGTGTGCTCTCTGTCATGAATGGAATCCCACGAACCGTGTGTTACCACCACTGTCCTGACGCGCCCTTCAGTCCGCTACCGACGCGTCGGCTCTCATAATGCCTACCAGTGCCGGAATATTCGGTTGCCAACTGCAGACACCTCCCACGTTCACGATCCATCTCAAGTACGAGTCACAAGCATCCTCCTAATGACCATCGTCTTTCTACTTGATTTTCAGCGTGTTGCCGCTGCTTGCGACCTTTTCCTCGCCTTTTCCTTTCTTATGGCATGTTCCTGTTGATATCCAGATTTTGCGCTACCCTCTGCGCCTTTGCAATGGCATCCTGTGAGAGCATTTCTTGGATGCTGTACTTGGTTCATTTCTCCTCATGCCCCCGCAAGTTATATGGTAGTCTTTTTCCTCCTATGAAAAGTACGCGAGTCTAGGCAGTACGCGCTCTCCTCCCGAGGACTGCTTTGACGGCACACCTTAATATGAAGATCGTGAGTCAATGCCTGGAACATCACCTCGTAGTGGGAGATCAGAGGTGACCAAGTCGGGCCGACGAGACGGCGCACAGAAGGTGGAAACGTCATGGACCAAAGGGTCAAAGATGATCGAACCATCGGCTCGTGAGGTGATCTTCCAGTCCACCTGCACCTAGGGTATAGTCATGGGCTTTTTGACCAAGGACCACACCCGACCAGCAACAGATGATCAACACGTCGAGGCCAAACTTAGCATGGAACCTGTTCGGGGCTCGAATGCGAGGGAGTTGTGTATCTCGAGCACAGCCTCACAGGTCAAGGTTGCTCATCTGCAATTCTGAGATCAGATATCCTGTACCGCTCCGGGCCCCATCATAGCATGGATGTCATGCGGAAAGACTGTGTTCAGGTACCGCCGATGCAACCTTGCAACCCTGAGTGCCTTGTGGCGGGAGGTATGCATCGATGCTGACAAGCCACAGTTGTATTCCAGTGACTGGAATAGATGTCTGTATGTTTATGGCAGATGCGTATTAGGCTACCACCTCACTCGGCATCACCGACTGGATAGGAGCACTGCCCATGAAGATTCGAGAAACTTCAGCAATCAGGTAGTCCAATAAGTCTCTCAGTACCATGTACCACTGACGCAAACACAGACTCCGCATCTGTCATACCAAGGTAAAGCAAAGCAAAGCAGAGAACATCGGAGTCCCAACCTTCAGTCGGCCCGATCGGTGTCCACAGTCCGTATCCGACCGACGTTCCATTCTTTCGACAGGACTTCCCCGGTCCCGTGCTCCATGCGGCATACGCCATAGAATTAGGCAATGAGGCATACAGTCATACACTCCTACTGTGCTAATGTAGTAATGTTTAAAATGGACTAGCGTGAACTGTTAAGTGTGCTAATATTGCGGGGGTTGTTTTGCCGTTGACAGGGGTGTCAATGGGTGGTCTTGAACAGTGCAATTGTTTTATGCCGATGCATATCAATTGCATAGGGCAATAGTTATTCGGTCTTCTTGTTCTAGAGCTTTTGGGTTGTTGAGTAAACTTCAGTCTAGTAAAGATATGCCCGTTGATGATGACGATGGGCCTTTTGCCGAGATCACCAATAGCAAAGCACCAGACTGTAACCTGAAAGCTTTCAAGGTTGCGAGCTGAGTACTCACGAGCAACTAGTGTAGTACTAGTTAACTACAGCTTCAGTACTTCTATTCGCATTCGAACGGCAACGGCATTCACCATGGCCGTCCAGTGGCGCATGCGACCGCGGAACCCAACAATCCAGTTGCTTTTCTGGCGAGAAGCCGAGGCTCCAGTGTCCCCGGGTGGATCTGGCCCTTCTGCCTGTCATGGTCCGATTTGATTCGATTTGGAAGGGACGGACGGATGAAGTGGAATGGATTTCACTCGGGCGCCCCGGCTCGTGTGGAGCTTGCGAGGCTGGCGACGGCCAAGAGAAGTAAAAGGAGTCGACTAGATCAAGATCAGTCTTGGAATTGATCAGGGATGGAGGCTGCAGTCCTACCCAATTGGACCAACACTACTACTTGTAGTAAGTTAGTAGTGTTGCAGTACTGTAGAAGAGAGTCTTTCCTGAGGATAATAATAGGAGAGCATAACTTTTATATTCGGCAGATGTGACGTGTTGTCTATGAATGTGCATAAGATCTGGCGATCGACGACCAAGGAGCAAAAAGCTCTGATTCGGTATTAAGTATAATAACAACAATCTTATAAGAACGAGCCTAGGAGTAGTTCGACTCTCGCCAGAATATCTGTCGATTTTCAAGAACGAGGTTCTCACCGTGGTCTCGATCACTGATTAGCTTTCCGCCTTTCCGTCTGACACGAGCTCTTGCTGTCATTCACCTCGTTTTGGGTGGTTCTCCATCGGATCCACAAAGTGAATCAGTTACTCGACTGAGCGATCGGAGTTCAAAACACCCTTTTTCCAAACAAGAGATCGCCCAGTGAAGCCCCGCCGATGGTGAAAGTTCATTAAAGTTGCACTGCACCCGGGAAAATAAAGTCGAGTAACCAACATCCCCGCTTCGAGCTCATCATCTGATCTGTTTCTTTTTCTACCTGCTTTTCCCTCTTCTGTTCTCCTTCTTCTTCACTTTGCTTAAGATTCAACTGCGACCCAAATCATACTGGAGCACATCTCCTGGGTATACTTGCCCTCCGCCCATCAAAGAGGAGATATCTACTAGTCATGACCACACCCAAAGAAGTCCCCATTCCGGGGCCACGCGGCGTTCCACTCCTGGGCAACATTTATGATATCGAGCCTGAAGTGCCACTCAACAGCATTGACTTGCTTGCGGACAACTACGGTAAATATCCGCATTCACCTCCCCCGTCTCATCACCAATGTCCGGTTGGAACTGCAAGCACTAAACATATTCGTAGGCGAGATCTTTCGCCTCACCACACTAGGCAACTCCCGCGTCGTCGTCAGTTCTCATGAACTGGTCGATGAGGTGTGCAATGAGGAGCGCTTCGGCAAAGTAGTCACACAGGGACTCAAGGAGATTCGCAATGGTACACATGACGGCCTTTTCACGGCCAATTATCCCGGCGAGGAGAATTGGGCGATCGCGCATCGCATCCTCGTGCCCGCGTTTGGCCCGTTGATGATTCGTGGCATGTTCGATGGTAAGCACTGCAAAATAGAAACTGTCATTTATTCGGACTTCAAGAGCCGCAGAGACTAACGGTTGGGTACTCAGATATGTACGATATCGCCACTCAGTTGGTGATGAAATGGGCGCGACAGGGTCCTACGACACCCATCACAGTGACAGACGATTTCACTCGGCTGACGCTAGACACAATTGCTCTGTGTGCATTGGGCACACGATTCAATTCATTCTATCACGATGAGATGCATCCATTTGTCGAGGCAATGGTCGGGCTGCTGAGCGGTTCTGGCAACCGTGCGCGACGACCCGCGCTTCTGAACAATTTGCCCACGGGCGAGAATACCAAGTATTGGAATGATGTGTCGTACTTGCGGAACCTCTCACAAGAGCTGGTGGATTCCCGAAAGAATAATCCCATGGACAAGAAGGATCTGCTGAATGCCCTGATTTTGGGACGGGATCCCCAGACCGGCAAGGGCATGACGGATGAATCGATCGTTGACAACATGATTACTTTTTTGATTGCTGGTGAGTCTTCCGACGCAAAGAGGCTTAGCGACTTACCGCGATACGGCCTTTGTGGCTAAGCAAATTCTCCCTCCCCCTAGGTCATGAAACCACCTCCGGCATGCTTTCATTCCTCTTCTACTACTTGCTCAAAACTCCCCATGCCTACAAAAAGGCGCAAGAAGAGGTTGATCGGGTCATCGGCAGGCGAAAGATCACGGTCGAAGATATGGCCAAGTTGCCGTACATCACAGCCGTGATGCGCGAGACCCTGCGTTTGAAGCCCACTGCTCCCATGATCGCCGTGCATGCCCATCCCGAGAAGAACAAGGAGGACCCGGTGACCCTGGGCGGTGGCAAGTATGTCTTGCACAAGGACGAGCCCATCATCCTCTTGCTAGGCAAGATGCAGCGTGACCCGAAGGTCTACGGGCCCGACGCCGACGAGTTTCGCCCAGAGAGAATGCTGGACGAGAACTTTGAGAAGTTGCCCAAGAACGCTTGGAAACCATTCGGTAACGGAATGCGTGGGTGCATTGGACGGCCATTCGCTTGGCAGGAAGCTCTTCTCGTGGTCGCAATCTTGCTTCAAAACTTCAACTTCCAAATGGACAACCCCAGCTATGACCTTCGTATCAAGCAGACTCTCACCATCAAGCCTAAGGACTTCCTGATGCGAGCCTCTCTCCGCGCTGGGTTGGATCCAACCAAGCTTGGCCTGGTCCTGAGTGATACGACTGGTGTGCCGCAGAAAGACGCCGGTGTCGCCGAGAGGGAGAGAAAGCCCAAGGTTGTGCCCGTGGATGGTAAGACTCGACCGATGCACATTTTCTACGGTAGCAACACTGGAACATGCGAGGCCTTTGCTCGCAGACTGGCGGATGACGCGATGGAGTACGGTTTTGCCGCAGAGATCAGCTCCTTGGACTCGGCCATGCAGAATATCCCCAAGGAAGACCCGGTGGTGTTCATCACTGCTTCCTACGAGGGTCAACCTCCGGATAATGCTGCTCACTTCTTCCAGTGGCTTAGTGAGCTCAAGGGAGACAGCTTGAAGGGAGTCAATTATGCTGTCTTTGGGTGTGGACATCGTGAGTTTTCCCTTCTCGCTGTTCTTTATCCGTTTGTTCGTACCTCTAATTGACTAACTCCCTTGCGTTGTTTCCAGATGACTGGGCATCTACATTCCACCGAATTCCCAAGGCCGTGAACGAGCTGGTCGGCGAGAACGGCGGTAATCGCCTCTGCAACCTTGGACTCGCGGACGCAGCCAACTCAGATATGTTTACCGATTTTGATAGCTGGGGCGAGGCAACTTTCTGGCCCGCCATGACGACGAAGTACGGTGGTGCCTCAGAGCAAAGCCTCAAGTCCAAATCCTCGCTCCAAGTTGAAGTGAGCTCGGGCGTGCGCGCTTCGACTCTGGGCCTTCAACTTGAGGAAGGCTTTGTGGTTGAGAACAAACTCTTGACGCAGCCTGGAGTCCCAGCCAAGCGTGTAATTCGGTTCAAGTTGCCTTCCGACATGGCATACCAGTGCGGTGACTACCTTGCTGTTCTGCCCGTGAACCCGAGCTCTGTCGTCCGTCGCGCCATCCGTCGCTTCGATCTGCCATGGGACGCGATCTTGCGCGTGCAGAAGCCATCGACTGGCTCAGCGCCACCATCGATCCCCTTGGATACGCCCATCTCCGCCTTTGAGCTTCTCTCCACTTATGTCGAGCTCTCTCAACCGGCCTCCAAGCGCGACGTGAAGCTCTTGGCTGACGCAGCTGTCGAAGACGCCGAGGTCAAGGCAGAGCTGCAATACATTGCCTCCAGCCCCAGTCGATTCACGACCGAGATCGTGCAGAAGCGAATCAGTCCTTTGGACATTCTGATGCGCTATCCATCCATCAAACTCTCCATTGGAGACTTCCTGGCCCTGCTGCCTCCCATGCGAGTACGGCAGTACTCCATCTCTTCATCCCCTCTATCCGACCCCTCCGAATGCTCAATCACCTTCTCTGTTCTGAACGCCCCAGCTCTCTCAGGTATCTCCGAGCCCGGCAGCGAAAACCCCGAAGAATACCTGGGCGTTGCATCCAACTATCTCTCCGAACTCCAGCCCGGTGAACGTGCCCATATCTCCGTCCGCCCGTCTAGCTCCGGATTCAAACCCCCCGTTGATCTGCAGACCCCGATGATCATGGCCTGCGCCGGCAGTGGCCTGGCCCCATTCCGTGGATTCGCCATGGATCGCGCGGAACGCATCCGCGGCCGTCGCAGCTCAATCGACGCAACCAATGCCTCCGAGAGCGTCAAGCCCGCCAAGGCCATCCTATACATTGGCTGCCGGACCCAGGGCAAGGACGACATTCATGCCGAGGAGCTGGCCGAGTGGGCGGCGCAGGGTGCTGTTGACGTGCGCTGGGCATATAGCCGTCCCTCTGATGGATCAACAGGCAAGCATGTGCAGGATCTGATGTTGGCAGATCGCGAGGAATTGGTGGATCTTTTCGAGCGAGGAGCCAAGATCTATGTCTGCGGCAGCACGGGAGTCGGTAACGCTGTGCGTGACGCATGCAAGACGATGTATCTGGAGCGCCGCCGTGAAGTGATTCGTGATGCGAAGGAGAATGGGAAAGAGCTCGGCCCGGAGGCTGAGTTGGATGAGGACGCTGCTGCAGATCGATTCTTCGACCAGTTGAGGACGAAATCGCGCTATGCAACTGATGTGTTTACTTGAGGTGGAATTTCTTGGAGATGTGGGGAATATGTAGATAATTGCAGGTTCGGTAAATGCTGTGATTTCGAACGTTGAAATATTGTCGCTGCTTTACTAGGCTCGAATGAAACTTGAAACTTCACCGCCATGACTTGGTTCCAATTTTAGATATTGCAGTAGACGAATCATTCGCTTCTCAAGCATCTCGATTATCTGCAGGAAATCATACGCGAAGGACAGGCTAATGTAGGCCAGTCGTCGTACTAGATATTACTCCTACGTCTACACCTTGATCTACTCGTTCGTAAGAGCACAAGGCGCATTCAGACGTAACACATGGACAACTGATTTTCAAATTCTAGTTAATCAAGTCAGGAGAGCACCCTTCAACGCCTCTTCCTTCACAGCTATTCCAGCCCCCTCAGTCTCCCCAAACGCTTTTTCCGACATCCAAGCAACCAACCTACCACAAGGCGGGTCGACATAAATCGTCCACAGATAAGAGGTGTAAAACAGAGCTGCGTAGAATATCGACAAGCCAAGAATAAAAGTGAGTATCCCTCCCCTTTTGAGATACTTAGGATTCCCCTCGGCATTCACAGGATGAAGGCCCTCTCTCATGGCAGAGTCACGGTAGACCAGCCAGGTGAGAATCGTGCGAATCAGCGTATTGTGGATCAAGTATATAGGGAAGGAGATGCGGCCGAGGAAGTTCATGATCGAATGAGAGAGGACTTGTCGGGCATCCTGTGAGAAAAAGACGCCAAAGGAGAACAGGGTGGTGCCCACGGATATCACGTAGCGATTGACTTCGCCGCCGGCGGGTACGACCAGCACGGCGAGGTTGTTAATGGCGCGGCTCCAAGGCATCCAGTCAACGTTTTCATCTGGGAACGAGGCGATAAAGAGACCGAAGATGATCATGGAGATTGAGGAAGCGCGCGAGATGACTGATGTAGCGCGAGGGCCGTAATCGACACTTAGCTCGGCTAGAAGCATGCCGGCATAGACGTTTATATCGGCGAGAGCTGATAAAATCGCACAATATAGTCAGACATGTTGTACGCCCATCTTGAGTCACCGGGAAAAGTTTTCAATACTTACATTGACCTCCTGACCACGCAAAGATGTACAGGAAAGCCAAGATCAATTTTGTCCAGCGCGTCTGTGTGTATGCCGTACCCAGAAGTGTTAGGTACACGACCATCGAGCCCTTCACGAAGAACGGGATCGTCCAATATGTATGATCGTATATCCCAACTCCTCCGTGCCAGAACACCGTCAAGTTCTTGAACAGGGCCCAGAGTGCCGAGCAAAGAGTCGGGCCTGGAGCAACGGCGCCGGCACGGATCCAAGAGGAATCCACCTGTGCTGCCACGCTGTACCCGTTCAGTTGGCAGACGCCCCAGCCGATGATCAATGCGACATTCGTCGGAAGAACCAGCTTAGCTGTCCGGGTGAATGTTGTCTTTGACAACCCGACAAGTGCCAGACCGGCATCGCCGTCACGGACTCTCTCGCGTGTGCCGTACGAGTTGACATATCCGGTGATCAGGAAGAAAAGCGCAACTGAGCTGCGGCCTCCCACGATCAAGCGCAAGAAGGGATACTGGAACACATGGACTGAGCCGTGCTCTTCCATAGCGGGAGAGTTGAGCCAGTTTGCAAAGCACGAGCAGAGATGGTAGGTGACGACCACCAGAGCTGCGACTCCTCGAAGGCCCTGGATATTAATATTCACATTCACGTCAGTCGTTCCGTCACTTTCGGAGGATCTCATTTATTCAATGTCAGCTGGAGGAGGGACATACATCTATCCAGTTATTGGCTCTGTGCTTGTTCGTCATGATTCCCAGGACTTGCTGGTTGGTGAAGGAGACGGTTGACGAGGGAGGGAGCAGTGAGACATGATGGTTAGGTTTGAGTGAGGTTTGAGGGTGCTGCTATGTGATGTGTGCTCTAGCACTTTCCGAACGCAACAAAGCTATTATGCGTCTGATCTTGATCGAATAGGTTCCTATATGGCAGATGCCGCGGGTGAAGGTACAGCCTGTGACCGGATGCGGCATTCGTCGGCATGCCGACAGCACCCAAGCCAAGCAAATATCTCGAGGAAAAACAACCTGCAAAGCAATGACCCTGTCTTAATAACTGCAGAAGAATCTCTCGAATAGACCTAATGGTCAGTACCTATTGAATGTCAATTCAATGCGAGAGAAATCTTCGTTGTTCTTGATATCACGCCTATTGTTGTTGTCGTTGCCGCGGGGACTTTATCGGGCCTCCGAGCCAGAACGCAAGATGGAAATTATAAACCTTCTTTGATTAACAGAACTTGTCTCCTAGATCTAATGACTATCTCTGAGAGCCGTTTGCAAGTATGACATGATCTTGAATAGATACAATAGTTCGTGTTCCATGTTCGACTCCGAGAGAATAACAGGCCGCCCATCGAAGGAGATCTGCACCACTCATTCCAGAGACCCGCTAACATTCCACCGGCTTCGTCTAGTGAACTCATCTGTTTGATCTTTCCATTCTGTTCATAATATACCGTGCAGCTCTTTTCAAAGCAAGAAAAACTTCCACCACACGAGTAAAATCAGACATGGGCTAAATATTAAAGGCTCAGTGGCCTGTGCAGCGTGCACACCTGGGGGGTAGCATCACCGGAAAGAAGCCCCTGTCACTGCAGATCAAGGCTGTACATCTTCTTTACTTTGCGCCACCTTGAAAAGCTTCGATCTCTGCGACTCCCTCGCGCAGCTTATCCTTCACAAAGGCAGGAACCTCCACATCCTCTCGCATGCTCCAATGTTTGGCCCAGGCTCCTTCACAGATGGGATCACCACCACAACCCGCAAAATGCACAACATGGTCTCCGGCTTCCCAGTGCGAACCCAGCGCATTATAATCCGGGTAAGCGTTCATCGAATGCTGGTTCATGCAGGCTGTGGGATTCCGAACAATCTGATGGTGCTGCCACAGATGAGACCATCCGTCATTTTCGGGAAACACCCAGTTCTGGGAAATGTACAGTGGCTCTAGCCACATGTCTAACAACCAGTCGCTCCATTCGCTTCGGCGCATGAGAAAATTGCCCACGTTCATGCCCCAGTGATCCAGCGAGAGGACGAAGTTGATGTCCTCATGGCGATATCCAGGTGAGGTGCGGTACCCTGTCCTTCCACCCTCGGCACCGTTGATCGGATAGTCAAGCAGGATATTGCGTGCCATGCCTTCTGGAGACAGAACGTGGTCGTGGATGTGGAGAGAGATGTTCATGATGATAATATCAATATCCAGCCACCAGATCCATTCGGCCTCTGGAAAGCGATCGAATGCATCGCGGAGAATGGGAATCTTATTCCAGTAGACGGGCGCACCATCTGGAAGATTGTAACTGGTCATGTTTGCCCACATGAAGTTGAGCCCGTGCTTCTGGGCATAAGTGATGCGATTCTCATACACCATTTCCTTGATACGCGGCATCCCCAGCATTCGACTGTTGCCAGCGCTGCCAGTCACCATGACAATCTTCTTCTTTGACTCGGCAGAGGCTGGAGCTGACACACGAGAGCTCTCTGGTGAAGTGTGCTGACTATCGTGACCGCTTCCTGGGTAGAAATTACCCACCCCATTTGATATCTTGTCGTAGATTTCCGATGTCTGAGGCCAGGATGAAGTCTGGATTGTAAGCCAGTTCCACATGATCTAGATGGAGTTTCATTCCAATTTTAGTGCGTACGATTCACAACATGGGAGTGATCATGCACTTACCACACAGCCGGCGACCACAAGCACGGCCAAGAGGAGCCGAGACGGGCCTTTGAGCCCCATATTACAGTCCAGAAAGCACAGAATAGGAGTGAATTTGCGCGATAAGAGTCATGTAGACTACCGGCTGAAAAAGAACTGAGAGCTAGATATGAGGGCCTTGGGAGGTTCTCGGAAAGCGTTGGCCGGTGCAGGAATTGGAATCTCACGAGGTCTTGCTATATGGGTTGTCTTTGTAAAGATCTAACAAGGCGCCTCCGAAGAGAATTCGTCCCAGCAAAATTGCTTTCTTCAGATACTGAGCCTGCAGCTCAAAGTCGTGTACTTAGAATATTGTTTCTCAGTGCGGGTTTTGTAGGTAATTCCGCCTGCGGTCGCTTGGTAGATTCACTCTCAGTGTCACATCGCCCGGTCAACTCCCCGTCCTCAATCTAGCTAAGGTGATAGCACCAGATCCTGGGCTGAGCACAATGCGCTTTGTTAGGGGAATGGCTTGTTCAGGTTCATCCAGGTTCAGGGTTTCCTCGATTACGTACGTGTGGCCCGGAAGTGCCCACCAATTCGAGGCAACCGTAGTTGAGGATGAGGTGATGCGCGGGAGCTGCTCACGAGCTATACAAAAGCCGCATCCGGACAATTCTTACAGCAATCGAGGCAGGTTCCTGAGGGGTACCAATGCAGCACTGATCCAAGACGGCTTATACTGAGCCCTGAGAGGAGTTCGGAGATTTCTTATCTCTTTCGAATCAAACATCCTCCCAAGCCTCGAGTGCAACGATAGCAATTTTCGCCGCGCACTTGGCGTCTCCATCTGCTCACAGGCTCACTCAACTCACCTGGCTGACAGTCAATGTGCCCCACGAGCTCAAGATGAGCTTTATGCGGGCAATCCGGAGAGGTCGATTCTCTGTTGTACTGTCCGTTGCTGCTTTGTCCGTCTGGTTCTTGACCAGCCGATTCGACTTGGTGCAAAGGGTATCCCGAATCGATGAGACACCCACGGGGTACTCTTACAACATCAACGAGCATATTGGGTTTTGGACCGAATTCCAGCCGCTACTACTCGCATTTGAACCACAATGTAGACCCCCACAGCGTCTTGGAGATGCTACCGCAACCCGATTCTCCATGTCCGAACCGGTTCCTCGGCCGGAGCTTCTCAAGATGTCCTCACGAGAGGTACTTCACATGAAAAGTGCTCACAGCGACTTTGTGAATGCAATCAACACGAGTCCACCTCACCTCAACTACACTGAAGGGACAAGAGGGCTGGTCACAACTGCAGGAGGTGCCTATCTCCCCGTTTTAGTCATTTCGCTACGCATGCTGCGTCGCACAGGATCCAAGCTGCCGGTCGAGGTTTTCCTTGCCACACATGAAGAATACGAGGAGAAGATATGTGACAAGGTTCTTCCGTCGCTGGACGCCAAGTGCATTGTCATGACAGACATCCTGGACGCTGTTCCTGGAATTGTCAAGATCGAAAAGTATCAACTCAAGCCATTCGCCATGCTCTTCTCCTCCTTCGAGGAGATCCTGTTTCTCGATGCGGACGCCTTTCCTTTGTCAAGGCCCGAGTCCATATTCGAGAACGAGCCCTTCAAGAGCACAAAGATGGTGACATGGCCTGATTTCTGGGCTTCTTCCGCTTCTCCGTTATACTACGAGATCTCATCGCAAGACGTCGAGCCCACGACTATTCGACAATCCACAGAGTCGGGAGAGTTGCTCATCTCCAAAACAAGTCACTTGAAAACCCTCTTACTCTCTACATACTACAATTTCTGGGGACCTTCGCATTACTATCGACTCTTCTCGCAGGGTGCACCCGGCGAAGGCGACAAAGAGACCTTCGTCAGTGCCGCAGCTGCGCTTGGCGAGCCATTTTACCAAGTCAGCGAACCGCTATGCGCGATGGGCCATCGTACTGAAGGTGGGTTGGCAGGATCCGCGATGGTACAATTCAATCCTCGTGAGGACTACAGACTTACCCAAGGCGGGCAATGGCGCGTGAATGGGTCTCAGGCAGCCGCACCCAGTGCGTTCTTCATTCATGCGAATTTCCCCAAGTTCAACCCCGCAACCATTTTCCTGAACATGAGCAATGTCAAGCCAGTCTTCAATGATGATGGCTCTTTTACAAGGGCATGGACGATCCCGGAAGAGACGATCGAGTCCTTTGGCCGCGATGTGGAGAAACAGTTCTGGGCAGACATCATGTGGACTGCTTGTGAACTCGAATCTGAATTTGAAAGCTGGAGGGATACGCAAGGGATCTGTGAGGGGGTCAAAAAGTATTGGGAATCTCAATTTGGATCAGAGAATCCAGCCGAGGCATAGCGACCATAGCGTCCTTCCTCCAATGGGCGAGACGAAACTGATTTGGCCGATTGTCAACCAACAGGCCCTATTCAGAAAAGATGCACGGAGAATAATAAATTCATTAGTCGTCACTCGTCACAGTGCCACGCTATTCACTTCTTTGATGGATCACGGCCGTGTTCATCATGAGGAATGAATAGACATTAATTCGAACAGATAACTTCATGAGTCGTAGGGTGTATCTTTCCGCGTGATATAGATCTGACCAACGAGGACAGTACAGCCAACAACCATGGAGATGGCAATGATGGGAAGGTTGACTCTCGCGAATTCAATGCTTCCAACGCGGATGAATTTCCTTCTTAGAATATCACGCCACAACAGCCCAGCAAGCGACGCGCTGAATGCCGTGCTGAATGCGCCATAATTCACCCCGATCGCCATACTGTACACGGTTGCCCAGAATGTTCGGTCGCTGATGGGCAACCCGTTTTGGCGATGGATTTGTTGCCATGCTTGGATGACTCGGGAAAGTAGAATAGTGGTACCGATGTTTGTTCCAGCGAACTGAGGAATAGTCCAAGACAGATGTTAGCCCAAATCTTTCTAGGAGAGAACCAGTCGTTCGGCAGTTGGGCGTTCTTTCTCACATTGCAGAGTATGACAGATAGGAGTCCCATGCCACCAACCGCGCCAACAGTTCCCGTCTTCTCAACCCAATGATCCCATCCGTATGCAAAGACAGGTACCCAGCCTTTTGTAACGAGGGCCTGGACGAGCACAAACATAGAGAATGCGAACGGAACGAGAGGAAATGGCATGTGCGAGACTACCACAGTGACTGTTGGAAAAGTGACTTGCAGCCAATGGTAAAAATCCTGCGACAAAGATACCAAAGTCCGTGGACCACTGGTCTCTTGTCCACCCGGGGTGTTCGTCTTCTCGAGATCTCCAACAATGCCTGGCGCCGTCTCAACTGTGACTGACGCATCGGTCAAGACATTCTTTCGAGGAGCACATTCTTCTACTTGCACGAAAGGCTCGATGTGGGGGTCTCGATTTGCTGGCAAATCTGCTTGATCAGTGTGAATAGCTCGCGCGTCAGCTGCCATATCCGATTTGGTAGAGCTCGAATGACTGTCATCAGGCGAGCTTGTAGAAGCGGTCTGCAGCATACTCTCCTGCAAGATGGGAGAATCCTGCTCTTTTGATCCTGAGATCTTTTCGTTTTCGGTCGCTATATCTTGCGAGGATTGCGAACGCTCTTTATTGATCCTGGCTAACTCCATTTCACGCCTGCCCTTGGCGGCAATATCTCGAGTCTCGTGACGATGAGTCCAGCCAGATGCCAGATCCCAGCAGAACATGACAAAGGCTCCCGGCAAAGTCACCCAATACACGGGATGAGTCTCGCCCGAAGAAGACGAAGTGACTGCGTTTAATGCAAGGACGGTGATGAGAGTCGCAGCCATGATCAAAGCGCCGAATGTAGCGCCTTTCTTGTCCAAGAAAGGATTCATGATCTCTTCCAGAGATAACAACTGAACACTCTCGTCCTGCGTTTCTTCAATCTCAGCTTCTCCTCGGGCATGCGGAATGTTTGGGTTGACGGGAGGTTTGTTCTTCATGTCGTCGGGAAGCTCGTGCATTTCAATGGAGTATGGGATCAAAGCCCTGTCCGTAAAGATGATGTAGAGCAAAAAGGGAAAGACGACTATTGCTGTCACGACTACAGGAACAATCATGTTGGCTGTGTACTTAATGAACGTAATGTTAAATGCTCCGGCAAGCACTAGATTGGTTGGGTTCGAGGAAACCAAAATCGCAGACGCGATGTTAGCAATCGCAAATTGGCTGTGAATCCAAGCCCGCGGGTGCGCAATGTTACTGGATACTCGGGTCATGTAGGCTAAAAAGGCTGTGCCGGACAGGATAATCGGATCGTTGCCAATGAAGCTTCCAAGTGCGAAGAAGAAGGCGTACAGGTAGAAAAACAGCCAATGGCCAACTCCGCCAGCACGCAAAAGGACCTTGAATGCAAGCCATCGAATCAAGCCTGACGCATCGATCGAGATGGCGATGTAAGCCAGGGTGAGGAAGAAGGCCATGATATCGATGGGTTGAATATTGTCGGAGCCGAGAGTCCCATCGTGGACTTCCTTGCGCCCGATGGCCAAGATCGCGAGCAGGAATAGGTCGGTGGCTAGGGGTGCGGTCACAAAATTCACGGGAAATTGAAATCGTACGAACCACCGAGTACCAGCCCGGGTGGATGGGGACAGCTTGCGCGAGGTGATTATGCGCAAGCTACTCAGCATATCGAGTGCCGCATTGTAGAGCACTCGAGGGATGTAGATGGGTACTTTGAAAGGAAAGAGCACAATGATATCTTTGTAAATTGCAGACACGGCAAAAACAATCAGTCTCTCATGTTTTCAGCCACCCTCTTCGAAAGCCTGTGCACTCACTGGTAATCACAAAAAGTATCAAGGTGATGATCGACCGCCAGTCCTTGATTTTGCTTGTATCCAAATCTCCAGCCATCTCCGCCAACTTCCCACTCTTCGCTTCTCGTCCGATGCGGGGTTGCAGCGACTTCTGACTTCCCGACCGGGAAGAGATTTGGTTTCCGTTGGCGACGTCTATACGAGGGGTCTCGCACGTGCCCGGCCCGGCTTGTTCAAGGGATGGAATTGAAGCTTAGAGCTCAGTTTGGTCTCTGGAGCTGGGACCTTCAGTTCATACACACACCGATGAGCCAATTCAGACTCGATATAGATTGAGGTCGTTTTTGATCGTCAGTCGCGCCAGATGATGATGACGCACGTGGGTTAGACCAGAGAAAATTTTCTGCGTAAGATGGCGATGAAGCTGGAAGCTTTGGTTTGGTCTGAGAGACTTCCAAACTGGCTATTGGTCCGCTGATAGTCGATTTAGTCACTGATACTGTAGGTGAAGCCCTCGTAGACACCATAAATAACTCAGCGAACTTCGTGGGATGTAAACAGTAGGCTTGTGCGATCGATCACCCCATGGTAATGCCAATGATTTCAGGTAGAGAGAATACGAAAGACGGCAGCTGAGGCGTCATTTGAGCGAGGAGATGGGGATATCTGATGGTTAAAAACGGTGAAGCTCTCGCGCCACCAAGATTTCCACATTCCACACAGCCTGGTTCTTAGCGAGGAACCTTAGGGTCGAATACTGCATAAATGAGTTTCCTCCCGCTGATCAGACCCTGAACCTCATCTGGGGGCCCTCACAGCGAACCTGGTCATTTCAAGACACATGGGAGGGCTGACCTCTCTGATTAGTTCCTGGACGATCAGGCCAACCCATGCTCGGTCTGCCAAGGGCTGTCGGTGCGCAATAGAATTGATCGGGCGTCTTTTCTCGTCAGCAGAGAGCATCATCCAGCCCTGCAGACGATGGTGGGTACTTGACATAAGCTAGGAAGACCTACCTCCCCAGATAATAGTCCTTCCATGATCAACGACTACATTCCCACTGGATGGCACCCAGAGAGGGATCAAGGCTACGCGGAATCGCTCTCGAGCCGGGGACGAATATTCTCATCTGTGGACTGGAAACTTGAAGATGCTTGAGAAGAGCAGAGTCCAAAGCATGGATGGCCCTGCGCCCGGGAAGTGGCCCCACGGCACGTGGGGCGCACCTGCCGAGCCAAAATGGGCTCAACCCATCGCCATTCATCTTCACTTGCTTGGTTCATGGCAACCAAACATGTCCAACTCCACTCCACAGAGCTTAATGACGACCGGGAGGATGGAGACTGCGGCACAAACATATCAGTCGCGTGTCCATGCGTGTATGAGGCTATGATCCATGTCAAGACCTAACGGCGACTGATCTTGACCTGGCAGAGTCTCGCGTGACCCGAGCGCTCTACTGAGGCGCAAAAGCGCCTCCCTCAGATTGGCGGGATGAACAGACGTGCATAGAATACGTCTGACCCCTCTCAGCCTTTTCCAGGTGGTTCCAATCCAATAAGACACCCGGACTGAAGCAAAACGGGCATCCTCAGGGCACAGCCTCCATGATCTGGGTTGAGAATCCCAATCGGAGGCGAGCAGAGAATACCCGACTGTTTGTTTTGACTTTCGACTCGCATCCTGCGCCCGAGTGCTGGTGATGATCATTGATTCAGCAAGTTCCTCTTAGAGAGAATTGAGGCTTGCGAGTGGAAGGACCATGAGGATCAGGAGTAGCGCCCAGGCGTATTGACAGTCGGCCAGGCCGAGGGTGCTTCTTGCACTCTGTTCCTCACCCTGTCATTCATCCCGTCGTCCTGGACAGCTTCTCCGCTTCTGTGAGGCCTGAGGCATGTGATTTGAGGCTCTCAAAATCTCGTCCCTGGCCACTTGCTGGCCAGCGATCAGGAATCAAGCTTGATGCAAAAGAGTAAGCCGTCAATGCTTTGTCGGAGCTTGAAGAGCTCCAGGGACCCGTGGCTTAAATTTCTACTGCCAAAGTCCTCAATAACTTCAACCCACACCACCTTGCTAGACTGAAACTGAAGAGGCGTGCATATCACTCTTTGCCCATAGCTTCTAGTTCAATTGTCGACGACATTTAGTCATCTGCGGTGGTTTCCAGGGGCGTGAGTGCCGAGCAAGGAGCAATGCCAGCTATTCCTGCGACTGCGAGACTGCTTGACTCCATTGTGCAACGCAGTCTCGACGGAGCCCTACCCAATGCGACTAATGCGACCCTCGAGGTCGTTTGTGCTTGGCCTGTATCGGGACAGTATGGACCTGGGACGCGAGTCTTGTAAGGAAAATTCTGCTTTCTATCATCCATCAAGTGGCGCGCCTGGAAGATTTGGAGCACAGTCTAATCAGGATAGCAGATACTACGCTTCGATAGCAGCTTGCATTTTTGCGCGTAAACAAGACTGGATTCGCAGCGCATGCCTTGCCGCAGCACTTCTGTTCCCTGCTGTTGCGGCTCTCCATGGCATTGTCTTAGCATCCCTGCACAGAAGTGGTAAGTGCGGACGAGACTTGCAGGTCTTGAATTTTTATCCAGGGATCTTACAACAGGAGACTAATTATTTCATATTCAGGCGCTGTCGACATGGACGTATACGGTGCATTTCAACTCTGTGCTATCGGCGTACTGACCGCACCGCTCACGGTATTCGAGTCGAAGACTTATTTCATGAGTACCGGCCGAAACATCATCTTCTTGTGGACGCTTCTCCTCCTCGCCGGGCTCGTCGGCTTGACGGTCGAATTTCTTCGTTTGAGCCCGACATCATGCCCGCCTGACGATCCGGCTTCACTTTTCTGGGCCACATCTGGGATGTTCTACTACAACAGCACGTGTGGCATGATGTGTGATGCAAGTGGCCCCTTCTCGCCGTTACGCCAGGGGGCAGCCAACAATATCTACGTGATCCCCACGCCACACGTATTAACCTTTAACGCGGCAACACTTCTTGCAGCGGCGTGCTGCATCCCCGCGATACTGTGCCTCGTTTCGATGTGGATCAAGGTCCTGGAGAGCAACTGGGAAATCTTCGCTCGTAAGCGTCAGTCGAGCGATGGGGGCGATGTGCCGATTTCGGGCACCAACGGAGCCACGCCGAAGCAAATGAGTGATATAACCAAGACAGTCCGCGCATGGCTGGGGTGCCTCGAGATTCCGATTATCACTGCAGCAGTACTTGCAATCATGATTAAGGGCGAGATGAATTTCTTTAGTGGTCCAGTTGAGTATCAGACGGAGCCTATTCAAAGCATTGGTGAGTCTCCACAGATTTCCTGACGTGTGATGCCTCCTATTATAGCATTGTCTTCCATGCGCGCGATTTATCAATGTCTTGCTAAGTGGACCAACTCTGCAGGGCAATGGGCACCGATTGTGGGCACGGCGCTTGCCGCGCTGGGGTCATTGTATCTGTCATTTGCAACGGCCATGGAAGCGGAGCAAACCACAGCACTTCACGGCCCTAAGGATCCGGGGATGGATACGCCAGCAGTTAACCACGTGGAATTCCTTCAATGTACTGACATTGTTCCAAATCACCCAATCGACACAACTATCGCAAGTCTCAGTATAGCACACTCTGAATCTGGCTCCTCCAGTGAGCACCACACTCCTAGCAGTCCACCTGAGACACCACACAACACAGGCGGGAGGGCGAAAACCACAAAATTTTTCAACCATGTCAGTCGGACTCTGGCTACCAAGGCTCACGAGCAAATGACTGGAACGGGGGTTTACGCGACCAAGAAAACCGAATTCCCTCAAATCCCGGGGGAATCGCTCCGTAATGAAAATTTGTCAGCTGTTTCAGCAGCATACAGACAGAGATCAAGAACGGCAAGCTTCGTCGGCAGTTTCGCGTCTGCCTCTCCTCAAGGAGAAGGAACTCCCTGCACAATACCGACTCCGGTGGAGATGCTAGGTTCGCAGCGAATTCCAGCCTCGACTCGCAGCCGCGCGCGAACTTTCATGTCCTCTTCTAGCAGAAGCTCTTACGAGGGGACGAGCTCGGCTCAAAGCGAACCTCGGGTTACAAAACGCAATGACGATCCTCCTCCAGCAGGGCGAGAGTCCCAGCAGTCACCTATTTCAAACGCTCCCGCTTCATTGTCAAGTAACGCAGCCACACCATCAGATCACCTACCTACAGCTCCAATAATCCTCATCTCCTCCAGTCATGAGGACAGATATACGAGCAGGTGAAAACATCATGTTTGACGAATCTAATTGAATATACGAATCATGATCATGTCACAATCTGGGTGTTTGAAAAATTGCATTGAGATGTCCTTGTCTGTTCTTCTTGCTTCCGGTGGTTCTGTAACTATTAGCTATACTATACCTTTTAGATCAGTGTGAATGGGATTTGCCGGTGAACCTTTGAGAAATTGAGAGTTTCCAACCAGACCAGCGCAACCACTTCACTATACAATGGGAAGTAGATTTTATATACAAGACTTCCTACTGAAAGGTTCCACAGGCACCATGTTCTTTTCTGGGCTTGAATTTAATTTCCCAGTCTATAAATATGACGTGACCGAGGGGGGAAAAAACTTAACCGCGGATCAATGCCAGGTGAACCTGCATCATAGAACACAGTCTCAAAACTCATGAGCTGTATCAATCACACCAAATCAACCAACCAACTTTCCACCATCTCATCAAAATCAGGACTGTAGAGCCATGCCAAGTCAAACGGCTCAGTGTCCAAGCCTGCAGAAGAACCATGGTCCTGAGGCATTCTTCGCGCGTCAATCTGGGCATTCAGCTTCAGCACCTGATCGATGCGCGCTTGACGACCTTTCTGCCAGATCTCCAGTCCTTGCTCCAGGTTTGCCTGGTTGCACTTGGCTAGGATCGTAGAGAATGTGTAAACGTCCTCGAAGGCCTGGTTGACTCCCTGTCCAGCCGTGGGAGGGATCGCGTGAGCCGCGTCGCCAAGAATGACCACTCGGGAATGCTTCGAAGCCCATGTGTCGAGTCTGGGCACCACATAAAACGGCCAAAGGTTGATTTCATCAGGAGAGATCTTGGAGACGGCGGATCCTACGATTTCAGGGAAACTCTCCGACCCCTGGCGAAGAAAGTCCACGCACCATGCCTTGTTGTGGAGTAGCTGATTCCATCCGTCGCGTCCGATTTCCGTTGCGCGCTTTTGCTTCCCAATGAGAACCTCAGAGCCGTCGGCCAATTGCTGTGCAATTACAAAGGCGCCGTAGCTTGGGTTCATAATAGTCAGGGGCATTTTGTATGCCTCTGTACCCGTGAGCTGGCTTGTCGGCACCACAGCAGTCACGCCCACCGCGTTGGTGAATTGGGGCTCGAGGTCGGGATAGAGATATCTTCGAACTCGTGAGTGAATCCCATCAGCTCCGACAAGGCAGGCTGCTCGCCCTGTCTGGCCGTCTTCAAATGCCCAAGTCACTTCGGACTCCGACTCGGTCAGCACGCGAGTGAACTTCTTGCCATACTGGATGGAGATCCCCTTCTCCTGGAGCGCAGAGACCAAAACGTTGATCAGCTCATGCCGGTAGATCCGCAGTGCGTCGTACTGGTATTTCTCTTTGTTTCCGAACTCGAACAGCTCGAGTGGCTTGTCGGTGTAGAAGTGCAAGTCTTGGAATTCGAAACCGTGAGCTTTGATCTTCCGGTAAATACCAAGGCCATCGAGAATACGTAAGGCGTTGGGAGAGAGCATGATTGCACCTCCAATGTCTAGCGACGCTGATCGTGCCTCGTAGATTGTGCACGGGATGGATTGTTTGTGGAGAGACAGTGCCAGTGCGAGGCCTGAAAGGCCAGCACCGATGACTGCAACTTCGATTGATGCCATCTTGAAGGCACGTCAACTTGATACTTGATTCAGACGGACAGATATAAGATAAGTAGACGACCTCAGGCCTTTGCTTGAGCACTGTGAAGGTGTTGGGAACGATCCAGATATTTATATGCACGGGAGACCTGAACCTAGTAAACGCGTAAGTGTCATCTTGCTGATAGCGAAGCTGAGCATCAATCCTGGGCTGATGCTCTGGGCAGTCGTTCCTGTTTGAACATTGGCAATCTGATAGTTCATCGGCATTGACAGCCTGCACAACATTGAACGTCTTCTCCGAAGAGGTCATCCGGATCCGAATGTTCGGCTCCGGGCCACAAGTCCGAATTGGAAGCTGGAGACGGACGGAATTCTCTGCGTTAATTGAACAGGTCAAACTGAATGGTGCGCCCAACGCTCGAGATTCATTAGCGTAGAAAATATGGTCTTGAATAGTTACGTCTCGAGTAGTATGTTTCCTATTATTGCATCCGTGTTCATTCAATGTTTCCCGCCTGCTTCGCTTCTGGTTTACGTCAAGGCGTGGGCATTGGACTTGTGGCTATCGTAGCTTCCAGTCAGGCTATAAGAAGCCACTCCTACTGTGAAAGAATTGAAAGACTTAGGCTGGCGGGATTACAAAAAACAGTATTTCATACTCATTGATAGTCAACTATTGAAGAGAAATATATTGCTACAAATGCTTGCTGTGATTACTCGGCAGCCGTCGTACAAGACACTTATACACTGTAGAAGCCGCATGCTGACAACATGCCTTGGTCGCCTTTACACGCGCCAGGTAAGCAAGGCTCGCTCAGAGAAATACTGCTCCAGCTGCAGCCCAAGAGATTTTCCTTCAAACATTCCAGCATTATACCGGTCGGGTCGCAGTACGCACGCTGCGTCCTTCTTGAGGATTGCGGCGGAGTGTTTCGCACGCCATTGGAAAAGTGTCAATGACATCTATTTTCCGTGGCACCTCCCCTGCAGTTTGATGTCCAGCTGGCCATAAGCCTGGACTTGCCACTTTATGGATGCAAAGGTCCAATAGTCGTCGCAATGGTCTGCCTTGGCCCATGGTAAACATCACGTGGCTGGACTTTTGCCGAGGCATGACACGGTTGGTTGAGGGTGCCATTACCCTTGTAGGAGCAAGACAGTTGCGATTCCCGTCTCAGAAGTTCGTCCCGAACCGTCACAAATTGTATGACGAAGGATGTCAAGCATGAAGTAGCCCAGTTGTGCATGATATGTGCGCGGTAGCCCGGCGCGGTTGGGCTATTGAGATCGTGAACGATTGTTCCTGGCACATTCAGAGCGAAGAGTCATCGCTCCGATTCATATGCGCCCAGAAGCGCATTCTTCGCTTCCTTGGTCATTGAACGCTGCTCGGTCACGTTCGCGGGTTTCCACATTAAATTTATGGCATACATGACACCCACGTTCATGCATTGGCCTCCGAGAGGATTGTGCGTGTGAGCAGCATCACCAACAATGAAGGCTTTGTCGCTGCGAAAGCTGCTCGAGACATTATAATGACTGCGATATGTCGAGCCCCATTTCACTTCTTGCTCGCCAGTCTTGAAGCCTTCTTTCACCTCTGGCAGGACATCCTCGAAGGTCAATGTTGAGCCAGACTTGGTGGGTGGGTCGCGCGACCTTTCGCACTCCTTGGCCACGACTTGTCCAATCAATCGAACATGGCCCTGCGCGACATACGCCGATGCCAGATTGAACATAATGTCCACGAAGTTCTCATGAGCCTCACCATTAGGACTTTCTCTCTCTTCAGCCACATTATCTGCGACGCAGGAAAGTGACCCAAAGACTCCTCCTTGGTGTCGCGCTCCCATATAATGTCTGACAACCAAGTCGGCACTGTCACATCCTTGCTAGGTAGCTAGCTTCGTAATTTGGCTCAACTCCGTGGACTATCAGCATCGCGCTTATGGTTGACTGGTTGATGAAAAATTTCTTCAGCTTTGTTTGTCTCTCAACAAAAATGCCAATCGAGTTGAGTGGGTTCTCGAGCACACGTTCATGCTCATTCAGAGGCTGCGTTAACAGGAAAGCATTTGGCGTCAATTCAGGTCCAGAACCTTGAAAGCCGATGTGAGTCTTGTGCTTCTAGTTGACCCAGACATTGGTAGCGGGCATCTGGTTACTGTGCTGAACCATCTCATCAGCCAGGTCAAGTTGGCGATAGAGCTTCACGGTGCGAGCATGAACAATGACAGAGCGGGAGTTAGACCATCGGCTTGCTGTCTATTCGATGATCCGAATCTCCAACCCATGACGGGGGAGCCAAAGAGCAAGGACCAGCCCCGTCGGACCAGCGCCCCCAAATCAAGACGCCAACTTCAGGCATGTCTCAATCTTAGCTGCCAAGGAGAGAACGGCAATTTGATAGACTGACTGCAACCCTTGAGGAGCTTCAGGTGGGTATGAAGATCAGAAATATGCGGAGTTTAAAACTATTAGGGTGTTTCCGAGGGCGAGGACAAGACCAGTTCTTTCTCGCCTTTGTCTGCTTCATGTAGTGAGGATCGTGCCACCAGAGTCCTTTCATAGTGTCATGTTCACTTCCCGTGGACGCTGACACCGAGCCTCCCGACGAAAAAGAGATAGTCAGCGAGATTTCCGTAAATGTCATAAGACTTGTTTCCAAATTGCGCAAAACTGTGCAGCCTAGTCACCAAAGCCAGTAATAGGTCCAGATCCAATAAGGCGACTATAGCGGTACAAAAGCCACCAGCCACAATGTCCAGCATCATACGAAACCTGTCATCGCCGTCATATCCTCCATGAACGAATCCGGACACTGATTCAACAGTTCCTCCCATTCGAGCCAGTTCAAGGGGCTATCGCCGAGGAGAGTTTCAAACCCACCAGCTTCGCGATCTGATAGAGTGCGAGGTGCTTCAGCTTGCTCGTCTAGGACAATGTTCGCATCTAGTCGCAATTCTTCCCGTAGAGCCTTCGACTCGGGGGAGTCCCCCCAAGTGTCCGCCATGTTTTTGATCGCGGACAGACAAGCTGTCGGCGTGTAGTTGTTTTCACGACAGTTTTTAGCGTAACTCCTCCACGATTTAAGGAACAGGCGTTGAAGCGCCCGGTGAAGGGGTATCTGCGAGGCCGCTTGCCTGTGGCGGACATATCGACCACAGACATTGCAAATGATCTCCCAAACTCTCTCTTTTGCGCAAAAGTCGTTTCCATGTCGCATTTCAGACAACACAAAGATGATGGCATCCCAGGGCATGTGATTTGTTATGTGCCACGCAAATTGTCTTACGTCGGGATTTGTCTGGCCGTAATCAGCGTACTCGATCATCTTCAAACATACTTTGTAAACGATGTCTTTCTCTTCCTCGGCGAGAGGGGTCTTCGGGGCCCGATGGTGACGTGGGTGATGCGCCAGTAATCTCGTATAATGACAGGCTGACCGGACCATGAGAATGACAGCCGAGTGAAGAGGTATCGACTGGTCGCAGTATCTCAAAAACTTCCGTTCCATCACGGTCTCTAGTTCATCGATACTTCGATCTTTCTCTACTGCTGACAACTTCGCGGACGTTAGGAAAGACCAAGGAGAGCCTGAGCTAGGAGCGTCGCTTTTCCATCGTCGCAACCAGTTGCCAAACTCACACCGAGCCAGAACAAAGACCATCTCAGTGGGACCTTCTTTCTCGCAAGCGGGCTCAGTCATTCGTGGATCAAGATCGCTATCATTGACATTCATGGGCGGCTTAGTGTCGGCGTCGACAAATGGGGCAGCCGCAACTCCGCAGAACTCTGCTGAGGTTCCTTCCATCACCAAAAGCTGAAACCAGATACGGCGTCGCATCTCAGTTTCAAATATCGACAGCCCATGATGGGAGCCATCGCGATGGATACCCATCTTTTGTGCCATACGTGACGCAATGCCACTCAACATCCAAATTGTGCCTGGGTCAGAAAATGATCGCATCGACAACTGACGAGTACACTTAGCGGAAGCAATTCCTAGCCGATGCAGACGAACCTACCAAATACAGCATGAATGCTTGAAGCACCATCGTATTCGATGAACGAAGAAAGTGTGCGTTTCGAAAAGCCTGCTGTGCCCCTCGCCGGAATTTAGAGAGAAGGCTCTTCTTGGCCTCGCCGAACGTTTTGTCGACTTCCTCTGGCCACAGAGATGTCAAAGCGACGCAATATATTGAGAACATCAAGGCTTCAACAGCATTGCTGGTATTTTCTAAATCACTCATGGCATCCAGAATTTGCTGCTGAACAGTCGGAACATGGACAAGCTTGGTCAATGGATTGACCCTTTCAAGGAACGTCTGCCATAATTTGAATATGTGTAGAGTATTAGGATGTCGTTCGGCCAATTTCGTGCAAGTCTTATGACCTGACAACAAAAAGTAGCCTTCATCTCCACCTTGGGAAATATTATCATCGCTGTCATCCGCCACAACGCCGAAGACCTCTGTTGTGTCAGGAAGCTAATATGCGCGCTTAGAAAGATCTGGTAAAATGAGCAATGCAAACGGAAAATACGAACCTCTCTGCGCACACTTGTCCAAAGCGTGCTAACAATAGATCAGCTGCTGCACATGAGGAGATTTCTTCACCGACAAGGAATGCTCACGTATCCAAATAAACTGAGCCGCCCTCCTTTGCAATCATTTGCCCTGATTCAGCTTGAGATTTCTCGGCGCTCCTTGTTGCATCATTTGTTGGTGTCACGGTTTCTCGCTCTCTACCGTCCGCAAGAGGTGTATCCTTAGGGATTAGGCGGAGAGACCTTCCTCGTTCCACAGAGACATCTACATCAGCATCGTGTTCCCTCTTTCGGCGCCGCGGAGGTGGCGGAGCCTGGTAGATACAATCGGCGCAAGCTTTGGCGCAATTTGAGCATGGCTCCTGGCGATCACATTTGACTTTTCTTCGATGGCAAGTCACACAGGAGTATGGCTTCGATTGGGTTGATGGCATTTTGAGGGTTTGAGATGAAAGCTCCAACTTTAATTTCAAAACCAGGTTTCATCATGCGGCATGTGGGCTGTTTTGTGTGTGTCGTTTATATTCCACCGGAGGCTATCATGTGAAGAGGCATCGCGGGAAAAAGTGGAATTTCCATCCTCGCTGTTTCGAAATGTGATAAAAGATGCATTGCGATCACGCGATGGGGTCCGAGATGTGAGGCCTGAGATGTGAGGACTGTTAGCTTTCGTGCCTCAGGCATGATATAAGTACAGCCGCGCGGATCAGTTTTGGAGCGACCAAATTGATCGAAGCCTACCTATGCGAAGAGACTTACCAGCTTCATATATCTCCATGTGCTTTTAGGTCTCCACTAGGCTCGTTTTGGATCATAGCCTGTGTCAAATGTTCGAAGCAACGTAGAGTCTCAGATGTGGTTCGATAGGGGTTTAGCGCTGGCCCCGTACACCACGCCGTGACTCCAGTCCAGATAGTCTAATATGGCTAGGGAATGGAGCTTTCAACCAAGGGCGGGCGAGTGCATTGAAGATCGACGGGTTCGCACAGCCTCTTCTCGACGAGTCAACTTGGCCGATGTGTGCCGGTTTGATGCAGCCCCAATGAGGACTACTGCGGCCAAATTCTAAATAACAACCCCAACCAGCTTACGGACAAACTGTCCAGAACAGAGTAATCTTGAAAGGCTGCTCCACGAGGCCTGTTTTATTGAGCGATGGCATTGAATATTTACGGTTGAAGTCGTTCTGCAGGACGTGGTCCCTATGATAGTGGACGGGTAAGAGACAAGAAAATAGAGGGCGGAACGAATGATCAGACATTCCAGTCCAAGGATGCAAAAAAAGAATGGCTCGTATAGCAGACATGAGACATGCAAAATGAACTGGTAGCGATCGAGGATGCGCAAAGGATGGGGAATTAGTGTACAATATCGGCAAAAAGGATGTAAAGATCGAAGGCATCACGAGATCAACACCCAAAGAAGGAAGAAAATCTGTAATATATCAGTCGTCTGTGAGACAAAGCATAGAGGGAACCATACGTACCATCAGGATTCCGAACATCTTGGCGATTAGCCAACGATTACCTGAGACTCGAGTCCAATATTTCATGAGTTCCCTCTGGGCCCCTTCAACATTGTCCACGACGTCTTCGGTGTTGGCGTCAATGCGTTGAATCATTTCAGACTGCTCGCTGACCATCTGAGCCAACTGGCCGAAGATACCACCGAGCTCATTGATTGTTCGTTCGATTGCCTCAATGGCTTCTCCACGTGCTTGAACGTAAGAATTGCTCGACTGAGCTTCTTCCATTACTAGTAGTTGCTGGTCTGAGTGCATTGCTGACTGGCCCAATGGTGATGGATTGGAAGGATCCAGTGTCAATACGTCGGATGAGTTTCCTTGATATCCTGGTTGAGGGGTTCGACGACCCGAGGTGTTGTATAACGGTGAATCGGAACGTTGTGAGTCCAATGCACTTTGCGATTTTGATGAGACGGAGGAAACGAAATTCTCGGTCCTTGTCCGGGAGGCTTGAATATTCTTCGTTCGAATTTCTAGCACATCTTTGAAGGAGGATCCCACATCGGCAAGCTTGCCCTGCAACATGACGACGACCTGGCCACAGGAGGATCAGCACAAAGAACATATAAACCATGATTCGTCCCACTCTTTCCTGTCGCTCACTCACATTATCATTGTGTTCTCCTTCTTGGTCTGTCTTCGAGCGATTGGACTTTGGATGTTGCGCTTGAGTCAGCGCCGCCAGAGAGGCGATCTGCTGGTTCAGTGCCGCCAGGTCTTGCTTGATCACGTATGTCAATTCGGAAATTTCCACCGGTCGGTCGTCGAAGAGTGTCTTTCGCTTTGCCACTGCGCGATGCTGCGTTAGATGTTTGTTTTGTTGATTGCGTAATCTCAAGCAGCACGAGCAAGGATGGTCGCTAAGGCGACTCAACTTACACTCGGCTAAGCGTTGTAGCTTGGCCGTCGTCCCTGTGATTCCCTTTCCGATGTCGCGGGCTCGTCGCGCGAATTCCGACCTGCCAGTCTTACGATCCTGCTCGGATGTGGAGAAGCCATTTGCCTGTCGTTTCTGGGCGTCTGTCAACAGCGCCTGTCGCTGCGATCCGACCTTGGATGCGCCAAGGCGTTTTTGCGCATGGCCGAGGATGGCGCTGAACTCGCCCGTGCGGTCTTGAATAGATTGGCCTGCCATGATTGTGCGACCACCGATATTGCAGCAAGCAAAAGGTGACAAAGGGGAAGTTTGGCTTTGTGGAGGTCGAGTTAGCGTGGGGCCGTCTCGACCTAGGCCGGTGGTTGACAATACTGGGGCTGATCCAGGTCCGATGCTCTAATCGATAAGGGGGGGCGTAGACGTGTCCGGATGCAGGTATCGTGGGCCCCAACAGGTAGACGAAAGAGGTCGTGAAGAAGGTTGCAATTTGGTATGGTTCCGATGATGAATTAACAGGCCAATTTGACACTTTGTTCACCATTCGAGTTGATCGCTGTCAAGTCTGGGCCAGAAAAGATCCTAGAGTTTCGCGCGACCGTTGAGTCGAGACATCCTCTACGAGTAGGAGTTAGTCTATAGTAGTAGTAGTGCTAACTTACTGGCACTCACGTGTTGCGGAAGGATAATACAAGTACTTGGCGTGCCGGCCAAGTACCCCCACGTCTTTGGAAGTAACTCGTCTGCAAGACGATTCACTACTATCGGAACCCGATTCGGGCTCTCAGGGTACTTGCAAAGAGTATTCTGCGATACTTCTACAGAGCAGTGGTTTGAACTATAGCTCAAACACTGGCCTCGATACTGCCCATGCTGAACTTAATGTTTGACTCAATGGTTTAGTGGTACTTCCATGTCGGTCCGGGTGAAGTACACTCCAGTTACGTCAGCAGCATCGCCCCCCGGACGCCATCTTTTGACCCAATTTTAGCTCCGAGCGAACTGCGGCGGTGTCCATCGCAAACTGCCAGGGGAACGTATTCTTTGAGCTATTTAGATTGTGGATAGCCTCCTATTTCTGGGAGCCCCAAGACTTCAAGAAACTGTGCGATCAACTTGGTCCTGGTTGTCATTCCCCAACGGCGGAGACACGTCATCGTGACTGGCTGTATACTTGTCTTGTGGAATTCATTCTTGGTCGTCGCCCGACCGTAGCTTAACCAACTGATCTGATCGGCGCTCGAATTGTCACTTGCGACGCTGCCTGTGCGCAAATCCCCCTGTCAAGGACTATTCCTACCAGTTATCTCTGACTTCTGGCGCAAACCAGGGAGACTTGGATTCCCCAAGGTTTCTCGTTTGGAAAGGAAATTTGAAGAACCCAGCTTCACGCAATCGGCAGCCAGGCAGCAACCTATGCGAAATACTTAAACTTGCTCAAACCGCAGGCCACCAGACTTAGTCCGCCACGACTCAAGATGACGGATCACAACTCTCCATGGCAGGGTCGAGTGGTCCAAGATTCGTAAGTACCCAGACAGCGCTCACGACTTGTGACCAATCAATCACTCTTTCTCCAAACGCAATTACTGATTCTCCGACTGTCCAGCTCTTCTAACGCGAGTAGTCCGCTTGCGCCCGCCGGCACAGGCAGAGCAACACCCTCCTTCGAACGCAACGTGAATCGTCAAAAGACCCAGCGTTGGGTTCAGGCCAAGCAGTATTCATACGACGGTGGTGACTGGGGCGACGAAGACGATGAGGACGAGGACGAACCGTCAGCGCCGCCAGTGCCTCCTTATCTCGCGCACAGGACCGCCAGCACACCTGAGCTGGGCTCAGGGCGTCTACCCGGAACTGGAATCGGTAGAGACGAAGCTCGCGCCAGTCCCCTCATTGATGCAAGAGGGCAGCCTCTAGCCGCCGCAGAACAGAAGTCCTTGCCTTTCATCCGGCCTGTCGACATTTACAAGCGCATGCGTGACGATCGAGCGCATTCGAGCGAGGATGTCGGCCGCAGTCGCTCCGAGGAGCCTCCAAGTCTTGCTCAACCGAACACGAATTTGGTTGAGACAAGCGCAATAAGTGGCACCGAAACACAGCCCCCTCATGATTATAGTGCTCCGCAGCAGGCTCGACCAGCTCCTCCCGTCACCCTGCCAGAGGTGAAAAGGATGTCAGGATTCGGTGCCGATTTCCTCAATGCAAATGAAATGGGCGTTTCACAGACGACCGGCACCCCCTCAGCAGACGTCTCCTTGCACCATAATCCCTCGCAAGCATCACAAGATTCTCAGTCGTCTCTGGGTTTCACATCGGTAGTGCATCAAGCTTTTGATGTACCAAACACACCTGAGTCCACAACTAGCAGTGTGGTGCGATCCAATAGCGACGGGACATCGCTCATTAGCCCCATTATCAGTCATCATGCCAGTCAGAGTGAAAGAACGCCCACGATACATGAGGAGCCTGCGGAATACAGCACGCCAACTCATGATGCTCCAGATGGCGTGAACGACGCGCTATTCTTCAAGCCAGGACATCGCCGAGATATGAGCCTCCCTGATCGGGCTGACAGTCCTTCCCGGCAACCTGTTATCAAGGACACTCAGCCTCATGTAGCCGGTCAAGCTGAGATTTCTTCGGTTGATGGTCAGGCACAAACAAGCGGATCGAGTTCGGCACCTTCCTCCGCTGCTGCAGGAGATTTTGTCGCCCCCCTCAACCTTGGAAACAATGGCATGACAGCTGGTGAAGGCTACCGGGGTGGAATTCCAACTATCGCCTCGATCAGCTCAGAAGCTTCACCGCAAGACACCGACAATGATCGACTGCGAGAGGAGATCATGCGGTCTTTGAGTCGGGAAGGCTCTCATGAACCAGATGCTCAGCCCGAGTCGGCACGCGAAGGAGGTGACTTGGCAAGTCTGGGGGGTTACTGGAATGATACCGGACGCTCAGATACAAACGACATGTCAAAACAAACACCTTCACAAACAGCTCCAGAGTGGCCAAGCTCGCAAGCTCTTGCTGCCTCACAACCTTTATCGTCCACGCCACCAAGCACTGCGGCGGAGCCAACCCAGGGGCAGCCTCCGAGGCCGAAATTAGGGCGCCGCTTTTCGTGGGAATCAGAATCATCGGATGAAGAGCCTGCAGGACAGCCATCCGTGCCTGACAACACACACTCCACTTCAGGTCCAGATCTCAAAGCACCGCAACCAGAAGTTCATGTTGACAAGGCCAAAGGGTCACCAGAGGTTGCTCACGAAGCTTCTGAAGAGGAGTCTCACACAACACTAAGGCCTCGACTTTCGATTGTGCCGCCCATGCCAGAAACCTTCGACTCGCCACAGGAGGTGGATGTCTCAGCTACACCCCAGTCCTTTCATCGACAGATGTCCGTACCAGTCGCGTCGGCACAAATTGACGAAAGCAAGTTGCAAGGTTTCCGTGACATACTCAATAAGCCATCGCCTGCGGATCGCGTTCGCGCTTTCAATCAAACACGAGAGCAATTCGCAGCTATCGATACGGGTCTTTCGGCCTGGCTTGAGTTCACAGTGCAAGCACATCCTGAGCATGCAGATCTTGTGCAATCCAGTCAATCCCTCTCCACTGGATTTTCAAGAAGCTCCCCTACCACTCGGAAATTCCCCAAATTGACATCTCTGAGCAACCTTACTACTAAGGAAGACGGGTCTTCTCCCGGTTCCGGACACGTCAGGCGTCCCTCGGGTCATATTGGCACAATTGTTAGTCGACAGAACGTTGAACAACGTGGTAAAGACTTTCTTCACACTGCGGGCGCGTTTAGTGGGAAGGCCGGTGAAGCCGCGAAGGGCTTCTTCGCTAAGGGTAGAAGCAAGTTTCGGCCCAGTGGAGACAAGGTAGATACATGATCTCATTTCTTTTACCCTGTCGTATATGCTTGAGATTTAGCTCGGCGCATCATTGGCATAGCGTGTCAATTTCCAAGCCCAAGTACTACATTACATACCCTTGCTCTCGCCAGCCCTCTTGTCTCTATTATGATCCTTGGAGATGACCATGTACTATATGGTTAGGACACTTGAAGTATGCGATGCATCATGCGCGAGACATATCATGCGGATCTGTCCGCACTCAATCTTCTTTCCGCTCTCCCATCATCTTCCTACTTTCAACGTTTCGGTGCTAGTTCTGATCTTGGTAATGAGCTGTAGGTTGATCAATCGACTCGTTCCCAACGCAAAAGCCTGCAGTTCCAATTCTCATCGCTGTCAGAATCATCTGCACGCGATAAGCCAAATTCTGCCAATGGTAGATCGACTCTGCGAAACTCCGTGGTCTTTGGAAGCCTACCATTGTTCAAGTCTGGCCGAAACTCCAATGTCTCTGCTGCCCAAGCGACTGCCATGGGCCCCGCTTCGTCCTGGGATGACGATCTCAGTAATGAACCTCTAGCGGACTCTCTCAGGGCGATGAGAACGGCAGAAGGGGCTTTGGGTGACAAAGAGCAATCGGTAGGTACTCTAAGTGAATCTTTAAGCCCTCGCAATCGTGATACGGTCTTCCATGTACGATCGGAATCTGCTGTGAACTTGGAGCAGGAAATGATTGCGGCTTTGAATTTGTCGCCCATTGAGGATCCCTCGCGACAACCGATGGCCGTTGGGTCGGTCTCGGGGTCGAATGCAGCAATGCGATCTTCCTTAATCCACGCAAGTGGTCAATCGAAAGACGTGGGAGAAGGGTCTTCAACCCGCTGCTTGACTTGCGTTCCTTCAGATCATTCGTCGAAGGAGAAGGAGAAAGAGAAGGACTTTTCCTATCCAGTCGCCAGGGAGCCTATTTCGAAATCATCTCTGAGTGTGAGCGCTGCCTCGCCGCCGCCTAATTCCGTGCTTCCTAGCATTGTGTCTGCAAAGTTGCCCGGTCGTGACAGTCGAGCAAAGGGTTCTTCGAGCGATGTGTCTGATGCATACGAAAGTTCAATTGTCACTCCTCGAGGTGACTCTCGCTCTGGAGAAGCCGTAAATAGAGGTTACCTCTCCACTTCGTTGATTTCGCATCAGCGAATCTCGTCTGTGTCGACTCTTGGACCGGATGAACGCTCGACCGATGACCGTCTAGAGATTGGAATGGAATCGCCGCCCTCTCCGCTACATCAATCGGAAGCAACGGAGACAGGAGATGAGGCACATCCTGCCATTTACAGCCGAGCTGGTCCTGAGAGTCGCATTTCCGACTTTTCATTGCCGTCACTTGATTCAGGTACACCAGAAGCGAGTAATCTTCTCTCATGTCAACTACCCTGCTCCGCAGAGGTACTTTTCTCGAAGCATATGTCTCATCCTGGACTACCTCCCTCTGCGCCGGATGTGCAAAGTCCTCTTCGGAATGAAGTGGTGTATACACCAGGAACACGAAGCAGTATGGTGAGCCTCGGCAGCTTGGGTCGACAAAGCGAACAAAGCAGATCGACGCGCCCAAACACCCCCGGTAATGATCTGGCACAACCTGTTGGCCCTGGGGATTCTAAGCTCAACAAGCTGAAAGACTTTGGGCGCCGTCGTCGAACATCCGTCGGTAATGCGCTCTCAGGATTCCAAGAGGGAGTATCGAAAGAGTTCCAAGCTCTTCAAACACGGAAGACCCAAATGGATGTTGGGCAGGAAGCCAAGGCTGGCGGGCAAAAGAAACGAGCCATCAGCCGGATCAGTGTATGTGTCTTCGTTCGGTCTCAGCTCCTGATACGGTTTGATTTTTTTTTCCCTTGCTGATCAATTACCAGGGTCTCTTTCAACGACAACAAGACGCACAGGACGGCTCTACCGTTCCTTCCCCAAGTGCTTCACCTGCAGGCAGCGCCCAACGTCCGACTCGCCCTGCTACGAACATAAGGATAGGCGAACCTCCCGCGCTGCTTGTATCCAGCTCCATCTTGCTTCCAGACAGGCTGCCGCATTCAGTGGATCAGTCCCTCGAGCAGAAAAAGCCGTCTAGAGACCCTTCTCCATCAGCACGATTCTACTCCTCTTTTCAGTCGACAGATACTTCGGGACCAGCTCAACCTCTTTCACCATCTTCCATCGATTCTGGTCAGACCAGGCATCGACTTTACGGCCACGTCCCGTCCCCACTAACAGAACCGCATATCGCCCAGGAACGCGATGATGGCAATGAATCCAAACCTCCCGTGCCACCCAAAATTCTGGACGACCCTCAAAGATCGATTACGGATCAGTCCCGCGCAGACGAGGCCAACGAAATGCCAGCTGCTCCTAGCACCTCGAGTGAATTTCACTGGGCGACTGCTCGACTTGTTAATGAAACTGCGGACCCGGTCGAGCTTCGAATCACACGAGATGATTCTAGTGAGGAAGTTATCATGTCTCCCACGGCTTATCCCCAACAGATGTGGAAGCCGGACGGTTATTACTAGCGCGGAGTGAAACCCCTGAACGTGTCTTGAACATCATGAGTTGGATCACTCGAGCCCATCTGGAGCTTTTGTCTGTTGATACACACACGCCTTTTGCGTCCTTGGAATTCACTAGTTCATTCCATGTTATGATGGCATTTGATTTGCACCCACAGCTATTTCACCGGCGGGCTCACTTGAACATAATCTATTAGTCAACAAAGAAAGACTTGAGGAATGTCCGCACTATAAGCCTGCAGGTTCTATATTTGGAAGCAACTTGAAATCGCTCAGCGAGTCATGGCATCGTGGTTGACTGCAATTGATTGAGTGTCTTCTGCGGCGTAGAAGCTTTTGTCTAGGATGCGGTAACGCGTAATGATTCGCAGCATTCGGCAAAACTCGGCAGATTGATCTCGTGGACGGCCGAGAATATTGAGAGAAGTCCTAAATGAAATCATTCGCAGGGCCATGAATCTGATTATCCTCAATTGTTATTGATCGTCTCCTCCAAGTCGTCAAGTCCTCGGAGACTGTCCCTCCTGCTGCCGCTCAATTGCGCCCTTCTCACAGGTGGAAGTGAGATTCTCCGTCTTCCATCACCTCCGCTTTTCACCCCAGCACTTTCACTCCTTCTCCATGCGGGGAGGAAACAAGCTTGGCTACTGAACAACCCCCAGACCCCAGAGACAATGCTCATTTTTGCGGGGAAAGAGGCCAAAGGGATGATGCTCATCTCCGTGAGTCTTGTCCATCAATTCCATTTTCGGCTGCGATGGCTTACAAGCTTCGACTGCAGGTGGGAAATTCCTCCGGCGAGATGAGGATAGCTCAGACCCGATGGGGGTAAAGGAAAAAAAAAAAAAGTGAGAGACTGTGCCAGCCGTGTACCCTGTGTATCAGATATTGGGCACGAGGCCATCCTGACAAGTCTATAAAGGTCGCACTGGAGATCTTGCATTGACGAAGGCCCATTTCTATCCGAGTTCACACAAAAGAGCTCGCCATGCATCGCTTCCATCTCGTGGCGCTTCTCGCCCTCATATGGCACACGGTCACCGTCCACAGCGCAGCCCTCGCCCACGTCTCGCGCGAGCAATGCCAAGTCTCAGGCAAGCATTGTCCCAAAGGCACGATCGTGGTCTCGGCTACCGAGAAACACGCCGACTTCACCACCGTCCAAGCAGCCATCGAGTCCCTGCCCCAAGACGACTCTGCCCACACGATCCTCATCCTCGCAGGTACCTATAAAGAGCAAGTAAACATCACCCGTGCCGGACCTGTCACGCTGCTCGGCCAGACCTCCTGCCCTGAAGATGCGACCAAGAACAAGGTCACTCTGACCTGGGCGGCTGCCAACCACGACAACACCGGTAAAAGCGTCGACAACGTCTTTTCAAGTGTATTGGTCGTTGCGCCCACGCTCGATTCCAGCCTGACTGGCGCGGGGCCCTCGGGCTTCCCTGTGCCGGAGGACACGCCGTTTGGAAACAAGGATTTCCGCGCGTATAATATCGATTTCACCAATAACTGGGCCGAATATTCAGACGGACCGGCTCATGCGCTGAGCTTCAGTCGTGCTAACGGTGGTTTCTACTACTGTGGATTCTACTCATATCAAGATACGGTACGTCCTCCCAACGCCGAGCGTTGCCATCTTATCACGACTCCCTTGGTCCCCTTGGCCCCCCCTTCCTTCCTTCCTTCCTTCCTTCCATTCATCGCTGACCTCACCTTCCCTTGTTCTCCCCCGCAGGTCTACGTCGGCAAACTCGGCAACGCCTACTTCTACAAATCGATTCTGGCCGGCCAAACCGACTTCCTCTACGGATTCGGCACCGCCTGGATCCAATCCTCGTCCGTCCTCCTCCGCGGCTGCGGCGGCGGCATCACCGCCTGGAAAGGCACAAACACCACCTTCCCCAACAAATACGGCGTCTACATCGTCGACAGCGACGTCCGCGCCGCCAACGCCTCCATCGCGCCCAGCATCGTCGGCGCCTGCGCCCTGGGTCGGCCCTGGAACGAACTCCACCGGTCGATCTTCGCCCGTTCCTACGAGGACGGCAGCATCCAGTCGAACGGGTACATCGACTGGATCATCTCCGGGGTGGGCCGTTACGAGAAGGGCGTGACGTTGATGGCGGAGTATAATGATGATGGACCGGGATTCAATCGGACGGGGAGGATCGAGTCCAGTGTGTCGACTGTTTTGGATAGGAAGGGGTATGAGCCGTTCGATGAGCCTAGGAAGGTGTTTCAGGATCCGAAGGGGAGGTTTGGCGATGTCTCTTGGATTGATTGGGAGACGGCTCGCAAGTGATTTGGGGGGGGGGGGGGGGGGGCGGGGAAGATCGAGTTGATTTATCATTTGAAAGAATCTCTAGAATGAAAGACATCAACGCTTTTGAGGGAGCGAATGGATCGAAAACCCCCCATTGTTAAGTGGAATTGCTTGAAGCACGTAGAACATTAAGACCCGGTGTGTCTAGATCCATTGGGGACGGCCAAGGTCAATGAAAGTGGGGAAGTCGGAAAGCAGCAAGAAGGTCTCTTGCCCATGAAATCCTACGACAAACTCAACGAAGTAACGTAGAATAGAATGAAAGGAGCTGAGTATCCAGGAGAATTATTAACGCAAATATGGTCCTTGCTCAAAGAGAAGGTGGACTTGTACTTGAGACGACTCTACAGAGAAATGGCTTATGTTTTAACAAGGCAATTTAATCATTTGAAATCCTTCGATGACTTGGACTAACTACCACTATTAACGACACGCATACACTCTTGAGAAGAAAAAATCTTGCAATCCCGCCGACTCAAAGAGCCAACGGAATTAACAAGATGGGGGTAAAACACAAAAAGTCTATGATACGGGGGTAAAAAAAAAATGGGAAAGGAAGAGAAAAAAGAGACGAGCAAAAATGAGCCATCTTTTTTCCTTCCTCACGGTATGCAATGTCCAGATGGTTCGAGGCAAAAAGAACAGAGACAGGATCCGCGTGGTATCGATAGAGCAAGCGGCACGACAGGACGGGAATGAAAAAATTGGGAATCAGAAAAAGGAAATTTGATTATTGATCTCGGAACAGGAGCGAGTCAAGGGAAAAGATTAACCACCATGATGGTGAGGAGTAAGGAGGCAAGCCTAGAATGTGGCGCGCAACCTTTACTCATCCTCCTCAACATCCTCGACGCGGGCGCCAAGGGTGTAGCGGGACTTGCCCTCGTGGTCGACCTCGTGCTCAATGGCCAGCTTGGACAGGTGAGCGATCATGTTCTCGATCTTGGTGTCAGCCTTGGAGCGGGTCTTGCGGCCAAGGTTGTCGAGAGCAGGAATGATGGTCAGGAGGTAATAAGCGACAGCAATGATGACAGTGACACCAATGGAGTAGGCCCAGATGACAACGACGGTGACAATGTCGACGTGGCCGTTCTGAGTGAAGTAGGCGTGGTCGGGGGGAGAGGTCTGAACGAAAGCACCGCCGGACAACCAACCGAAAAGGCAGAAGAGGGTGGCAAGGACATCGACAACGAAGATGGCAATGACCAGCTGCCACGAGGGCCAGGTCTTACCACCACGGGTGACGAAGATGAGCCAGTTCTCAGTAAGAGCAATCTCGAGGAAGAGAATCTCCTGAGGAGAACCCCAGTTCTGGATGATACCACCGTTGGTCAAGAAGAGGGAACCGCGAACGATCCAGGTGGCAGAGGCCAGAAGGATTCCGAGGATGACAGAAATGACCCAAATCTTGGGAAGCTGCCACTCGACGGGGCGGGCCTCGAAGTGAGCGTTATCGTAAGCAACGGCAATGGTGGCAAGATCGGCGAAGAGAGCAATGAAGACAATGAGATCGGCACGGACAGTCTCGTTGATGATGATCATGGAGGTGACGAGGTAGATCTCGAGATGCAGGCAAAGAGCGATACGGTACTGGATATAAGCCTTCATACGCTGGAAAATCTGACGGGCGAGCTTGATGGCATCGACGATGGTGGAAAGACCGGGAGCGAGGAAGACAATATCAGCAGCAGCCTGGGCAGCCTCGGTGGAACCCTCGACGGCGATACCACAATCGGCCTTCTTGAGAGAGGGAGCATCGTTGACACCGTCACCAGTCATGGCAGTCAAGTGACCACGCTGCTGGAGCATCTCGACAACCTGGTACTTATGCTCGGGGAACACCTCAGCGAAACCATCAGCCTTCTCAACGAGATCGTGCTGAGCGGAACCAGCGAGACCACCGTGAATCAGACGCTCAGAGTCGTAAACCTTGGTACCGAGAGCAAGCATCTTGCAAGTTTCCTTGGCGATAGCGATAGCGTCACCAGTCAACATCTTGACGGACAGACCGAGAACCTGGGCCTCAGCGATGGTGTGGGCGGTATCCTCACGGGGGGGATCGAACATGGGGTACATGCCCAGAAGCTGCCAGGGCTCACCCTCCTTTTGGACGGCGACACCAAGGGAACGGAAACCACGGCGAGCGAACTCAGTAGCCTTGTCACGGTAGAGCTTAGCCTCCGCCTCGGAGCACTCAGACATGTTCAGGATGGCCTTGGGAGCACCCTTTGCACAGATGTAACGGACACCGTCGCAGGTGCAGACAGTGGTGATGCGCTTGGAGACGGGGTCGAAGGGAGAGTACTTCTCGGTGACCCAGTTGCGGGCGAGAATCTCACGGGCCTTGGGGTAACGGCGGAGGGTCAGGATGGTAACCTTGTCAATGGGGTCAAGGTTCTTGACGTTGTGGGAAGAGGCAATAGCGGCAACGGCCATCATCCAGTTGACATCAACACCCTCAGCGACGTAGGGCTCACGGATGGACAGCTGGTTGGCAGTGAGGGTACCGGTCTTGTCAGAGCACAGGATATCGACACCGGCAAGGGACTCGATAGCAGTGAGCTTCTGGACAATAGCCTTCTGCTCAGCGAGGTAGGCGGCACCGACGGCAAGAGTGGTGGTGGTGACGACGGGGAGACCGACGGGGACACCGATGATGAGGAGAATCAAAGTGTAACGGAGCAGGGTGTTCTCAGAGTGCTCGGGGGTGGCGATACCGAGGTGACGGAAGAAACCACCGATCCAGGCAGCGAGAATCCAGAACATGACGAGAACGAGCAGAGAGGTACCGATGTTGTCCATGACAGCCTTAAAGTGACCGGAGTCCTTGGCACCCTGAACGAGAGCAGCGGTCTTACCGACGAAAGAGTGGCGGGCGGTGGCAGTGACGATACCGTAGGCCTTGCCACGCTTGCAACCGGTGGTGTAGTAACAGGTGTCGGCCATGTACTTGTCGACGGCGAGGGACTCACCAGTGATGGCGGACTGATCGCAAGCAATCAGAGAGACACCCTGGTGAATCTCACGGTCATCTTCATCGTCATCCTCACCCTTCTCCTTGAGAGTGTCATCCTGGGAGTTGACGAGGTACTCCTTGTAGTTTTCGAACATCTCGGGCTTGGAGTAGTCACAGATCAGGCGAACATCGGCAGGGATAACGTGACCCTCCTCGACGACAACGATATCACCGGTAACGAGCTCACGGGCGAGAATCTCCTCCTCCTGGCCGTTACGGACAACAATGGCACGCATAGCAATATCACCCTTGAGCGAGGCAACGACATCGGCAGCCTGCTTCTCCTGGTACCAACCCACGAGAGCGTTAAGCATCAAGATACCGATAATGACACCCAAATCGATCCAGTCACGAAGACCAGCAGCGAGCAGGACAGCAAGTTCCATAACTAAAGACAAAGACGCGTTAGAGATGAGAATGTTTGGTTCTGATGACCACAAGATCCACCCTCCATGAGGGACAGATGCAAGGCAAGGACGAGGAAACTCACCATAGAGAATAGGACCACGGAAGTAACCAATGAACTGGACGAAGATGTTGGTCTTCTCAGTAACCAGCTCGTTCCAGCCGGTCTTCTTGCGACGAGGCTCGATATCAGAGGAGCTCAGACCGGAGCGAAGGTCGGTCTCGAGCCACTCATCGGGGCACTGCCAGCCGTCCTCAACACCATCACCCTGCTTGGCCCAGAACTTCCAGAAGGGCTTCTTCTTCTCCTTGTGGCTGAGAGCAGCGGCGCTGGAGGTGGAACCACGGCGGCCATCGCGGGCAGTCGAGATGTAGCGGTTGAGAGCTGAGTATTCGTCGAGACTGCCGTCATTCACATCACCGGCATCGCGGTGACGATCGCCGTTTTCGACGTCGGGAGCATAGGAGATCCTCCGCTCCGCCATTGTTGCTGTTGCTTCGGCTCACAAAGCTTCGGAACCCAATCTGAGCAGATGCAATGACACCAACACACAATGGCAGGGATGGCGTGAGACGGAATATGTCCTATGGGAAGGAAGAGAGAAAAATAAAAGGGAGGATGAAGGTGGACGTGGACAACTTTATAATACCCTGGGGGAGGTGGGTGGGAAGGGTTTGGAAAGAGGCGTGCGAGGAACCTGAGGGAACGGACGCTAGTGTGGATAATGGGGCCCTTTTTTTTTTCTGTGAGGGAAATACGACTGAGTATGGGAGAGGGAAAAGGGAAAATGGAGAAAATCAATTAACTGGGGGGGGGGGAAGGAAAGAGGATTAGGATTTTTCTGGGACCAGAAAAAGTCTGAAAAGGCATCGATTCCCAAAGGGGCTTAGTTCAACAAACAAAACGGGAAAACAACCAATTTTTTGGGAGCGGAAAGCAGGATAATAAAATACGAGGTATGGTAATTGACCAGAGAACTGGGATACCACAGGGCCGTGGTTACTATGGAGGACTCTCCCTTCGTTGCTGGGGACATGTACTGACGACACGCGCCGACCACTCATGATCCAGCACCGCTTGCGGTACCTGATACTCTAAATCGGCTGCCAAGTCTCTGATACTCTGTGTGCGTGCCTCCCTTGCCCGGACTGCCAAGACTATTTGATGTAGTACAGTTGATCTGTCTGCGGCCTGATAGCAATTTGTGAGAGATGTCCGACGACTCGGACTGATTCGGCTATCCAACGAGCCATGTTTTGCTTGGTGTGATAGTCCCCGAGTTCACTGGATTCTTCTCTCAGTTGTGAAGCTGTCAGGAACAATACGGGATCTCTGGTAGTACAGTAGTATCAAGTCGACCAGCAGGTCACGTCAGTGAGCAATTGAGCACGAGTCGCGCTCGGAGAGGGCAGGCCGAGAGCAGCCACTGACACTCAGACTGTGTCCGATTGGGTCGGACTAGTGGGGCTCAGCCGGCATTAGGCTTAGCGGCGTCAATCAGTACATCCTCCGTACCGTTACTCCAGTGCATGGTATCATCCCCCAAACCGCTCTGAGATGGCCCTAGTCCTTTCTGGGACGACCGACCTGACAGAGAGGTCGCGCGAGGGAAAAAAGATTAAAAGAATAAAAATTCTTCTTGCAGGTCCGCGACCGGCACTGGTCTGCCGAGTGCCACTCCACCAGCGACCTGTTGCTCGGTATCAAAAACCCAGCGGTAACATCGGTACAGTCGGTACGGTCGGTACAGTCGGTACAGTCGGTACACTTCTACACACAGTCGGGTGGACTCGGTGGCTCGCTGCGTCGCTGGGTCGCTGCTTCTTACGTTGTTTCCTCGTCGCCCACCGAGTACTGAGTACTGATCCGTACTCCGTACTGCGTACTCAGTACTCCGTACTCAGTACTGGACGGGTCGACTCGAGTCTGCGAGAAGTCTCCCCAGTCCGTCCCCACGGCCCCGAGCCCTCTCTGCTCAGGGCTACGATCCGGTCTGTACTTTGTATCACACGTCCCAATCTCAGACCGCGACCAGAGTGGGTGGAATTACTTGTTCGGAACTAACCCAAACGGAGCCTTGCCCAAGTGCGGTTCTGCGGTGGTTTCCCCAGCTGCTTCCAGCTTGACTATGCGCGATTTTCTCCGGGGCAGAAAACGAGCAGATGCTCGTCTCTCCATCTCGTGAGCCCCTCCAGACTTGCCCCAAAAGCAAAAAGTGGACGCGCAGAACTGGAGGAGATTGGGGGTACGACCAACGCAACGGCCCAGGTTCATTAAAATTAACACCACAAATGACAATCCACTCGAGCCTCGAGAGTTCATCCCGATTGCTGCCATGTCGAGGCAACCGAATCCGTTCTATCCGAGATGGACAGTTCAAGTTAGTCAACCGACTCACCACATAATCGCATCCTTAGGATGAGTCCGGACTGAAGGGGGAGGGGATTATTCAATGACTACTTAAAAAAAAAAGTACTATATTGATTTAGTCGGTACTCGCTACAGTCGACCTCTACCCTCCGCGAACCATGATAAGATTAATGTTAGACTACACGTCAGTTCCATGCTGAAAGCCGTTGCGATGGAAGAATGTAGAGTAGACCCCATTGCTATTTGCTCGAGTGGGAGACCTTGATCGACCTGTCGATTGTCCACTTGCCATTGACCGGAAAGCACCATGTGCTTGAAGATTCGAGACTGAGAAAGCTGCGTAGACTTGAAGCAGTCTATGCAACTTTCTCAGAGAGTCACTATACTACTATAGTATAGACTATAGTATAGACTATAGTATAGACTATAGTATAGACTATAGTATAGACTATACTGATGAGTGATCGGGCACACTCACCACCACCGCGGGCTCAGAGCCCGAGCCTTCAATGTCCTCGTCAGGCACACGAGTGATTCCCATCCCCTCCCCTCGACATTTGTGTATGGCCACCGAGTCACCGAGATTGTGAGATCTCATCTCGAAGTCGGTAGTCCACCTGCAACCACCCACGTCCATTCTTTGGATCGGCAGCCCTCGCCCGATTGCCGTTCGAGTTCGAATCTTTGTTTCCCCTTCCTATGGGATTTGATTCCTCGACAGTGTCCATTGATGCTCCATTTTTTTTTGCCCCTGGTTCCCGATTAGGAGTTTGTTTTCTTGGACCTGGCAAACGTTGACGTGCATACGGGAATACCATGATGATGAATGGAAGTGACACACCTCCCCAGAGAATCTGGTTCGCCACAACGTGGCTCTCGGCACGTTGCGGTCGAGGTGAGTGGAATGCCTCAGAGAAAAGGTTCTGGTTCTCGACGGTCGGGGCGGGTTTGGTGGAACGGGATTTCGCTGGAATCCAGTCCGGACTCGGCTCGGCCCTGTCTTTCTTTTTTCTTGTGTTTTTTTTGGGAGCAAAATCGTTCGAGATGGATTCTCTGGCGTATCCTCATGCCGGGACTTCCTCCAGCGTCATACCTCCATCGTGCATGGATGTTCACAGGCAGGTACTGGTTGTCCCAATGTACACTACAGTCGGGTGGGAAGGTCCCGGAAGCAGCCAAGAACTCCCAGGGCGATCGGGCACATCGTCCATGGTGAAGGTATTCGAGCAGGGGCCCCCATACCAAAGCCCGTTCGAGGAGGTGGAACGGTACGTTTCCAGAAGACTGAGGATTGGGGAATAGGATATGCAGGATGGTGTCCAGACTTCAGACCGAGGGGATGGATGCCTTCGATGAGGACCGATTTCCATGGGCAATGCGCCTACAGGGTGTCTGTCCATTGCACTGTTCACTGCAAGTATTCCGATAGACAGTTTAGACACCATGACCCTTTGTTCTGTACTGGGGTACTGTCACGGCAGGACGACCAAGGTACATACGATCCTCCCCTTGGACGTGGGGACTCTCAGGTACCGCGACAATCCGCAGGGCATAGGGCCAGCCACTACTGGAAGAGTCGAAGGCGGGCAACCGACCCAGGGTTCTCATTATGTCACCGGATTGACTTTTTCCTCGACCGTTGATGATCGAGTCCAACCGACTCGCGTTCCTTATCAGAGAGACCGCCCCAAGTCCACTCGGTCGTCGAACCCAGACCATCGTTCCATCTTTGCATCCGATGGAGTCGGAGTTCATGGCTCCCTCGTGCGCCCAATTGCCTCCTCCTGCCTCCTGCGAAATCTCACTAACCATGGGCGATCGTTGCCCTCTCCAGTCCCCACGAGTCGACCGCCGGGTCGGGTGTGCCCCCAGAAGCGTCATTGTGTTTCCATCTCTTGTCACTGGCCACCCCGGCAGGAAGGGGCCCGCCCACTAGAGGCGGACTAGTCTGCATTCTTGGGGCGGGAGACCAAATCAGAAAGCGTCCGGCGTGTCCGATGATTTCATCGTCTGGATAGATCGGCAGACGGGAGACGGCTTCTTGTGCGGGCGCGTTCATGGCGAGTCGAGGGGGGTGAAGACTGGAAGCACAATGTTCTTTTCTTGTGGTGATGGAACTGAGGACAGTGACCCTGTCGGGGTTTCCTATCACGGCTCATGTGTACAACTGTACACGCCGACACGGTCGTCTGTACACTTACAGTAGAGGTGTCCGTCCCAAAGAAGATGGATACAGACGGCAGGTCGTTCCCCATTCGGGACCGGGGTTGATGCTCAATCGCGATGAGGGAAGTTGGCCGAGGGGCATTGTGCATGTGCACGCGTGATATTTGATCACTCCGAAACGATCATCCTTCATGCTAGTCTTCGCGTTATTTGATTACTCCGAAATGATCATCCTTCATGCTAGTCTTAGCAACTCCCATCTTCATGGCCCTCCATCGACGGGAGAACGAACTTTGATGAGAAATCGGAGTCACCTCGGTCTTTTCTCGTCCCAGACCCGAGACCAGAGAGGTACGAGATACACAGTACATGGAGTACAACGGTTCGAGGGGCGAACATGAAGACCACGTCCGGAATGTAGACTTGGATAGCGTATACTGTTGTGAGTGTAGTTTGTAGTTGTACAGTCACTACAGTGTAGTTTGTAGTTATACAGTGGTCCTTTCAGCATATAGGAGGATCACCGTTTGGATCACCGTTTGGATCACCGTTTCCTTCCCCAATCACTCTCAACTCCCCATGCGCCTCTCCCATCATCCGGGGCCGCCCGTTCACCCAACGACCAACTTCTCATCCAAGCTGGAAGAAGCCCTTCCAGCGAACCGGGTGATGCGCATCATCCCTACCGGCTGACGTGACCTGACGTCTGCTGAGCATCGCGGGTGCACTGCGCGACTGTCGGCGATTGGACGCTCTGCACCAATGAACCCTGTAGGGCCAACACAACTCAATCCGCGAGCACGGTCCAACCACAATACAGCTACGCCATGCGGTGGTCGACCGCCGGGCCAAGTTGAAGCCCATCGGAAGTCGAAGCCAGCGAGCCCGCGAGTCACCGAACAGCTAGTCGACCAGTTGAAGATTTGAGGGGTGTACACTGTACCGTGGTGGACTTTGGAAGGTAGATACTGTGGGAGGGCACGTGAGGATCACGGGGTTCCAGGTCTTTGGTTATGCCGAATGGATTCTTGATCGCTACCTTCCTAGGCTCGTAGGCGGGACGTCCTGGATCAACGAGTTGGCACTCTGGACAAGTGCGCAAATGAACCCCCATCTGCGGCGGTGGTGGCTGCAGGTGGTGAGTACTGGATGTAGCAACCAAGCTTGACTCGTCGGGACACATATCGGATGGCAACACCTGCCACCTGGGGACTCGCGCCCGTCACGTCTCCAATGATCTCGTAGCCTCGCTCCAGCCCGGCTGGAATTCAACGTTGCTTTGAAGAGGTCACGGATAATCTACCCAAGACTGTGGCTGGATGGACATCTGGTTTAGTGCACTGAGGCACGGACATATTGAACCTTGAGTATAGGTCCAAACAGTCACGATCCCCCCGGAGTACCTCTCCTGGCGCTTTCCGCGGCTGGCGTGCTATCACTGCCTAGTCCTACGGGTCCCTCAATAGGTAAGTATATTTCTACGCTCAGGTGCTGTAATGCGTCCACCCCCGAGCTTGCACTCTTGCATACGCCTGAGGCAGCACACCTCGTCCAGAATGTGGCCTCGAGTAACTACCAGCTTCCCGTGCCGCTAACTTAGGTGGTTTCTCCTTCCTCGTCCTACTAAACAATGAGAACTCACGAAACAGCCCGCACTCGCAGGGGTCGAAGCTCGAAACAAGCTGAAAATTGAAGACCTTCCACTTCCAACCCACCACCGTCAAGTCAAATCAAATCTCAAACCTACGGCCCAAACACTCCCAAGCAACTGGATGCAGAATGGTAACCACGATGACCTGAATCGCATCTTCTCTACCCTCTCATACAGTCGGATCGTCTCGTTCCCACTGGACTGGATCAAATGGGGCAACTCTCCTCGAGCTGATCCGTTCCTGCACCGTCTTCCCACCGTAATGCGTCGCTCGGTCGTTCTCAAACGGGCTTCTCTGCTGGAACCCTCTCCACCAGTCCACTCTAGCTAGGAGCTCTGAAGTCGAAATCCATGGTTATCACGATGCCTCACTTCCGTCCCGTTCGATCCGTCCCTGGACTAATCCATCTTTGTACGATCTACCGTCCCTCTTCGTGGACACTTCGTGCCGCTTTGTGACCGGTTGCCCAGGTCGTAAGGAGCAATCCCCACTTTCTGGATTGGTTAGGAATCCGTTAAGATTTTCTGCTCCTGACACACCTCGAGCTATATGGTGTTCAAAAATAGCCCCGTACCATCGTCATCGTCATCAGGACGCGAATCTTGATACTTTGAGCCCGGTGGATGTGGTTCCAACCCTCCGAACCTCAAATGATACGAGAGCGCGGAGATAGATTCATCTACTCCCTTGAGCTGTTCAATCCGTCATGGATTCTTCTTATCTCCCCCCACGGCAAAACCGCAACCTCAATTGACGATGCCTGGGGGGGGGGGGGGGGGGGTTCCCTGCACTCCTTCATCACCCGATAGTACCTAACATCCAGGTTGAATACTCTCGTACCTCTCAAAGCCAGCCGAGCTTGTAGTGTCCCTGTAGTGTTCTACCACTCCCTCCCTTAGTACTACCCCGATAAACTATCACGAGGGGCTCCAGCCCAGTACAGAGGACCGAGATTCACCAACAGAGTAAAACGGCTCATGTTCACCCTTCAATCTTCTTTTTCCCCAATCTGCCAACTCTGGTACTGTACCTGTGTTTTTTTTTTTTTTTTTTTGTTTTGGTGTATTCCAAACCAAACCCTCTTAGCGCGACAATGCTATCAGCTCAAGTGGGCCAGCAAATCTCCTGAATTGCGGCAGACGGAAATTGGCTGTGCGGGAGGCCCCATCCCCCCTGGAAGTTCCCCAGTCCAAGTTCCCAACCACCCGCCTTCCTCCAGCTTGACTCCAGCCGGAGAGCATTCGGGGACTCGCACTTGTGGAAGCCAGCGAGCCCGGAGATGAGGGAGCGATAGCTGGAGGGCGGCTATTTGGGCTCTGACCTCTATTTCTATTTCTGTTCTGTTCTCCAGTACGCTGCTACTGCTGTATTGATGATCACTGGTTGTTTGATTCCGGTGTGTAGAACTCTAGTGTTCTACATCTACTATATTCACGGTCAAGCACGTATAATCTAAATCCATTCGGTACTCCGGGCATGGAGCAGGTATAGACCAGATATCACATCGACCTCCCAGGCGGGCTGATCTCAACAAGCTCCTCTGCTACTCTCCGAGAGTTCGTCGGACAAAACTGAATCCTCTGATGATGAGTACTTCCATGGACCTGGGACCGGGATTCTCTAGTGGTACATCCATCACCTCACGCGACAGCAATCTGATCAGCCCATCCATGCCCACGCCGCAATGATTCAATCATGCGTAATCTGCAATGCTTCTACGTAAGGGGAAGGGTCAAACGCTTCGTCCTCCATGAACCCCATGCGAGCGATTCAAGGGAGGGGGGGGGGGCCGAATTAAGTTACGATCATTTGTCCGGGGGATGTTCGCGCCCGGGCTCTTTTGACCCCTGTCCCTCTGTCTCTCTGTCTCTTCGAGATCTCCGTGAGTCCGTGTTGGGGTTTCGGAGGACTTTGGGAAGTTGGAGTCGGGAGCTGGAAGACATGTATGATGATAGCAGGACTCCTGGGACCTCAGGGGGTGATAATCAAACATGACTATACGGACTATTGGAGGACTAAATAGTTACAAGACTACAAGTACACAAAACGTTGCTGGGTTGAGCTTAGCTCGGCGCACTGGTACCGTATGGTTGTATCGTATTGTATGCTCATGACTCTGTAGTCTGTACTTTTGTAGTCTGTCTGAGTCGGTCATGGTTTGTTTACTATCATTGCATCCCCAAAAGGACAATCCAGCGTGACTTGGTGGGGGTCTCGTCGGAGGACCTGCATCCAGATGAACGCGAATCGCCATGTCGACAGTTGATATCAATCTCACTGCATGCGTCTTTTGATTTCTCGTGCACTCGGGACGAAAAGGGTGGAGCGGGTCCCCGACGAAATCGCAGTGTCCCGGACTCTGTACGAGGAATTGCTTCGCCGTATGCAGCCAGACCCAGAGCAGAATCAGATCAGCAGGTGCAGCGTAAGGGAAGGCCCTCCCAAAAAAGTGGAGAGCTCTCGTGAGCTTTCCATCCGGAGATGCAGCTGCGGGTTTCACCATTCGGGATGCTATTCCAGTTGTCCGAATGGACTGACGGGTCAATAGTAATAGACTCAATGGACTCAATACCCATCTAGTACGTAGTACAGTAGTACTCAGTTCAACTTAAAAGTTGAACACCTTCCATGCAACTTGGGATTCTTGTCGGTGATTTCGATTTCATTTGCGGTGAGTTGTTTACACATCGGGGATTAGTAGTTCGGGCCTCATCGGTGGGATGGTTCCGTGTACGTGTAGGGTGTCGGATTTTGATCCATAGACTGCTGTAGTCTGTAGTCTGTAGTCGTGTAGTCTGTAGGCCGATGAGTCTCCCCAATTCAACGTCGTGTGAAGTAGGTCCCTGCATGTTTTGGTCCCGACACACTTCCGTTCCACGGTTCAGCTTTGAGTGGAAGACCCCCGACACGCAGAGTCTATTGTCGGATGTCACTGCTGGAGGTAGTATTGTTCTCGTCTCGCCGCTCATCGATGTATATCTGAGTTCGCGCCCGCCCCGAGCCCCAACCGTCTCCGCGAGTCTCTCTAGTCTCTACTATGTTTGTTTTCATGGGCGGACTCTTGCGCCCTGCGATACTGGACATTTCCTCCACATTCCTGCTTAGACGGATGCAAGATTCACTTTGATCGGATCTCAGATGGTCATCTCGATACTGCCGACATTCCATTCTTAGAATCCGGGCACTGGACCGACTGGGGCAAGTCTTGTGAATGTTCCCTGCCTCGCGGAAATATTCAGGCGCGCAGGCCACAAACACCGACTGCAGACTCCGAGTGCAGTACAGTCCGGGACTGTTGCCGGACTTTTGGTGGTTGCATCCTCTTCCATGGCCATACTACCGCACCGCACCGAGATGCTCCAGGCTGACACTACACGACAAAGATAACCAACCTGCCTCGCTGTTTCATCGACACGAACATTCATGCTCGCAGAATGTGAGCGCAGAACGTGGAGTAATCATGGTCCTTGGTCAACCAGATCCTAACCCC